AACATATTAAAAATTGGTGAAAGTGTAACCGATAAACATTGCGCCATACTTTTGTCGTCTTTTCGAAAAATTAATTTTTTCGTAAATTTCTCGTTAATGCACAAAACCCTTGAAAGTCGGAATTCCAAGTCGGTTCCAAAAACCCCTCCAGGTACTGATCGTAGGAGTGTAACAAAATTTTGTTTTTGAAATTTCATCAATCCGTTCCATAGATATGCGGTGCCCTAGGTGCACAATATGAATCTCCCATTATTCTCATAATCCCCCAGGGAATATTTTCGCGCCCGAAAAAATTGTTGAGTTTTAGTTTTTTTCATGTGGGGAACATAATGAAATAGTGTAATTCCACTTTTGAAATACTTGGCGGATCTGTTTGTCGAATCAAATAATTCTTACTCCTCACAAAGTCCCTAAGCTGACCCACTCCTTCACCCCGGCCGCCCTCACCCTCTCCCTACTTTCCCCAATGGCTGCATATTTCACCAAATTGGGAAACATTTCTACCGCCCTGTCCCAAAATTCGGATGAATCCCTCCACTCGTAACATTCCCCATTCCCGCCCTCACATTTCTCCAACCTAAACTTAGCTTCTGGCGGGAACGGGACATCCAACCGTTTCACACTCTCACTCCGCGAATTACCCTCGCGTAGAAAAGTTTCATACAAAAATGTCACGCTCGCCTCAAAATATTCCTGCTCCGTCAATCTGTCCTCAATCCCACGATTTCGTAATAAGTGGTGCGTTTCATTCCTCGATATCCTGACCGTTTCCAGAACAGGGAACTGATCTTGGTACACCAACCTCGTCCCGGGATCACTGCCGTCCCCTTCCCACCGCAACAATAGCCCAGGCCTCACCATCAAATTTTTCCCATTACTCCGATCCGTAAACTGATTTTGGACAAGCTCAAAAACCTTTAATTTCCTCATGACTGGAAAAACTATGACGTCTTGCATCAAATACTTGAAGTCACGAGGAACATTTTCTACCTCCGAGAACTTCACGTGTTGCAACGTTTCCGCTGCAAACTTTAGCACGTGGGAAAAATTCGACTTGTCCAAATAATAACAACCTATCTCAAGACGGGTCAGATTTAATATGGTTGGTCGCTGCATGGGGGCCGTTATTATGACCCTGGACAACTTCAAGGATGTCACCGTGGCGGGGAAGAAAACCAGAAAGTTTTCCACCACGGCCTGAGTAACGTTGAAGAACGAGAGGGCGCTCAGGTGTGCACAGAATATAGATTCTACCAAATGCTGGGGATGGTATGCATCTCGCGGGAATGAATGTCTAACGCCGTCTGGGACGAGAAGACGCTTTCGCACGCGATACTTGGACATTTAAAGGGCTGGTTTTCTAAAGGAGTCAAGCAAAATAGGGGCATATTAGTGATCAATTTTATCGAAAAGTTTGCGAAATTTTATAAAAAATTAAGGATTTGTTTTACATAAATTCGCAAATTCGTTGTTTCACACACTCAAAAATAAAGTCACCTTTTGATATGTGACTATGACTCTGAATTCCATATTAAGTAAACTACCTATACTAACTGCAGTGTAACTTTAACTGGATCAAGTTTACTCTGGATTTAGCATAATATGTAGTTTACTTAATACTGAATTCAAAGGGCAGTTACATACTTTTCAACAGAGTAATATTACATTATTTTTAAGAGTGTAATATTATATACAATTTTCAATAACCCACCCCCATGTTGGAATCGAATATGGAGCAAGAACTCCAACTCCTGTAGCTTCGTGACACTGCATCGGGTACAGTTATACGTGACCAGGCCCTGCCTAGAGATCTGCATCGACGCTGACTTGAGTTCCACCGATCCGGCTATTTTCAAGTTAATTTCGCAGCATTTCCGGACGTGGTGAGAGAAATCTGATTTTAGAAAGACGCCCCCACAGATTCCACACTTCTTGTGAAATTCTACTTCGTGCTGGTCCAGGGATTTGGCTGAGGTGAAAGTGAGGTCGCACTTTCGAACAGCGTGGTCCCTCGCGGTGTGAGCCACAGAATATAGATTCTACCAGAAGAATCGATCTTATGTATTCGAGTGACGCTTATGGAGGAACGGGAGAGCCAACCAAATAACTCGGTGTACATTTGGCCCACCTCGGGGAGGCGCCTACGCATCATCATCATCGCCACATTTCCTGGCATCAAAAATGATGATGAAATCACCATTTTTGTTACATAGGTGGCGGTGGCACCCCTAATTGTGCACCAGAACACACCGTCGTAGAACATCAAGTTTGTGAAGACGCAGCTCAGAACCTGAAGAGAGTATGTTCTACGACGGTGTGTTCTGGTGCACAATTAGGGGTGCCACCGCCACCTATGTAACAAAAATGGTGATTTCATCATCATTTTTGATGCCAGGAAATGTGGCGATGATGATGATGCGTAGGCGCCTCCCCGAGGTGGGCCAAATGTACACCGAGTTATTTGGTTGGCTCTCCCGTTCCTCCATAAGCGTCACTCGAATACATAAGATCGATTCTTCTGGTAGAATCTATATTCTGTGTCAGGTGTGGAAGGAGGGGAACAAACGAGGGGATAATGTTGGCAAAGATGGCCTCAAGTTGGGCGGTATACGTACTGCTAACTGGATCACCAACATTATGAATATGTTCACTCGTCCCAATTTCTAGAGTCGTTACTTTCGAGAAGGGATATTTTTTTGGAGGGAGGAATTTCAATGATTCGTAAATTGACCCGAAAGTTACGTCTAACTCGAGCCTGGTCACGTTGGGGAACGATTTTGCGACGAGTTCCAAATCTTGGGGGAATGTGAAGGCTGCTGATTTTAGGAGGAAAGTTGTCGTTATGGTTTTCACTTTGGGGCCGTGATCGCGGACGTAGTTTGCGCAGAGGCCGTGACCCGAAAGATGTGAGGCGAACGAGAAGAACCCAATGCTTCGTCAAAACGGGGGACCAGTAAGGATTTTTTTGTGGGCAAAGATTTTTCCTGGATTGAGAACAACCCTGAAGTTACCGAGGAGAAGTTTCCGGACTTCGGTTTCTCACGTGGAGTTGATCAAGGTGCAGGTGAGGAGGTCGGATTTGGGGAGAAAGGTGGAAATCTTGACCAAACTCTGGAAATGAGGAGGTATTAAAAGTTTTGCTTGTTTAGTTCAGGTACTTAGTAACGATTTGATACCAGTTTTCTAAGAATGGATACATATTTATGTATTTACTTAGGTAGATACATACATATTGTAAATATGCGTAACTGTGAGTGCATAATATGCACTAATACCTATACATATGTATATGCAGTTTATTTACCTCGGGTAGTACGACGGCGAGATGAGGGTTGTCATGGTTTTCGCTCAAATCCATTTATAGAAAGGCAATTAAATTTCCTCAAAGATTCCTTAAAAATATGCACATACTCAATTATCGTAATAAATAAATGGCAATCTTGATATCTATTTCCTTTAATTTAGATAAATCACGAACCTTATCTATCTCTAGATTGATTTGTCGAACGGTAATTTCGTGTGACGCAAATTACTCCAAAATTTAGGCAAACAAGAGACAATACACAGGTAGCAAAAATGGACCTGCTTGAAATAGCTTAACGATGAACTCTGATGGAATGCAGACCAGCGTTGAAAACGCGACCCTTGTTAGTATGTAAACCCTTTTTTATTTATGTATAAATATAAATAGATTCATCAGACTGGGACGAATACGCGTTGTTACACACATATTTTTAACTTCGTCATTTGACAATAAAATGTTGAATGGAAACATGTATGAAGAATGCATGGTTCCTTTTTGAGCTTAATTAACTTCTACAAAATTTATTTCCGTGACATCGTTTATGTAGCACCCACTAGAGAAAGTCTAATCAACTCACGAGCCCCCAGCATTGCAATATTGCACTTATTTTTTATATGTTAAACAATCGACTTTCACCTAAATACATACATACACAACTTTATTCTTGTTTTTGCACACGAAGCCATGTATTTTATTTTTGGGATTTTTTTTCATCTTAAAGGACAACTCAGGAATTCCAGTTACTTCAATATATGTATAGAAAGCCATTTTCATTACAAATTAATAGAAATCTTATCCATTACTGCATTTCCTCCAGTAGAAAAAAAATGTATTTCGGTGGCACAATATGCTTAGGTACATAATTTGTACATACTTCACTAATTAATTAAATTTGGACTCGAATGACAATATGTAATTTTGTACAAACCGGAGAATGTATGTACGCTGGAAGACCTGCATTCATGAGTCATATGTACGTACGTAATTATCTTTACATACATAATACTCAATAAAAAGGTACACCATGGAAAATGCATACATTTTTGGAAATCCAGTATTAAAATAATACCAAACGGTATTCAATATATTTATATATGACGCTACAAAAGTGGTATTGATAAGTAAGAATGTGTAGTAATAAGTAGATCGGTTTTCCGTATCGGTATTATTACGGACGGGTGTAATATTTTTATACCAAGTGGTAGCAACTTTAGTTTCAAAAAATCAATACCTGTCTGACTACATATATGTACAAGATTTCTAACAGTGTGTCGTCACAGTATCTGGAATGTGGTTTTCCCTTTTTTTATTCTAAATTGGATCCTCCGCTTCAATCCGTATTCACCTTCTTACCTAATATTGTCAACCTTTACGTGAAATATAACTACCCCAACAATCCATGATCTTCTCCAGAGTAAAAAAAAGGAAAAAGATGCGTTTACGTATGTACCTGCAGGCTACACAAGTTCAGTGGCCGCGGAAGCGTAAGGACAATGTCCCCCAGGGTAATTCGATGTCCCCATCATCTCCCCATGTTATGTAAACCCCTCCCTCCCTTATCCTACAATGTTAATGTCCCCACGGCTTCCGCGACCACTGCACAAGTTATAGCTAACATTTTTATGAATCCTTTTTATGTATATATATATAGAAAATGTTTACAATTACGTGATGCACCTTTCCTCAGGTAAACTTTTTTACGTCCATAAATTCTTTACGCAAGATTAGGTAAGAGCTCCAAATCCCTTCGTCGCGTCGGATGGAGAAGGATGAACTTAACGATAGTTTAACGGGAATTTAACGATATAAATATTGGTTTGTGATTTAAAAACTGGTAAAACATAGTTGAAACAATTTTAAATATGGCGGAGGTAGTGGGTGTTAATCAAGGTGTGGGTGGTAGTGCAATTTCTGGCAACTGGACAGAGTATGACGCCACTCTTATGCAGAATGGAGTGCTCATAATCGCTCTGGGAAATATGGTAAATATGCAAATATATATTTACATAAATCAGTTTATATTACACTATTAAAAATCTATTACATACATCAATGGATACCCCATTCTGGTATTGATTTGGTAATAAGCTCATACCGGATTGGTTGTAGTTTTTCTGACTGGTAAATTTTTTTACTTACACAAAATTTCTAAATCAAAAATCATATATGTACTCCGGTCAGTAATGATTTAATTAATACCAGTTTTCTAATAGTGCATCATATTCTACATACTTATGTAGTCGCTCCTTGTTAAAAATCATACATAATTTGTGTTCACTCTAGGTCGTGAATCTCATGAGAATAGTGAAACTCTTAGACGACACGTATTTCTGCACAGAAAATACCAAGGGATGTAAAGGTCAGAAAATATAAAATTTAATGAAAAATGATATTATGGTGTGTCCACTATATAGTTAGATTGGGATCCATGACCTGTGGAGTTCCACCTAATTAGAAGATTTTTATAAAACCTTTGGGGTAGTGTAGCCGCGAACCATGTCCGTCAGTTTTTGTCGCGGACGATTTGTCTGAGCCTCTTCTGCGCCACCAATGACAATTTCCGCACCAACCCTCAAATTAGCGATTTTCCACCCACTTGCGGAATGTCTTTGCTGATTTTTCGCCATTAACGTTCGAAATTTTCCAGTTTTTCTGCCTTCCTTTCTGCCTTTTCTTTGAGCGACGGTTAGAGTATCAACTTTTACACAAGGCCAAAAACTTTTCAATTTTTCGCAAGTAGGGGCATTTAGAGGGTTTTCTGTTTTAAGCCCATTTGTCTCAATGTAAGCCTTGTTTGGAATTTTGCAGGGAATTTAGATTTCACGTACAACTTCTGTTGATAACCCACACTCGCAGGGTTGCCTGAATGAAAAAATGTGCTTTTCGAAGTCTTTGGGGGATCAGCTTCGACGTAGGTCTTGTCATAAGTGATGATAATTTGTCATGACATTTCGGGACACATTTTTTTGCAAAACTTTTCGCATGTAATTTTTTGGTCTTTAACGTACTTTGGGGAACTTTGTTTGAACTTTTCCGGAATCCTCAGTTTGCGAACTTTAATGTTGCGCAATAAATTTTTTGAAAATTTCAGTACCAGAGCTGCACAACGAGGTGACGTCGAAGAATTAGTGCCCAAGATTTTATAATGTTTTTCGAGCTTTGGTGGATGGTCATGACCAGAGTTGATGTGGAATGTTTTTTGAATTTCACTTTTTGTCATCGTAATACTTAGAAATGTTAAGGAAAATTGTTGTTTTGGGACATTCTTCCTTTTTGATCTCCTGCCACGTCTTGTTCGAATAACGTGAAGAGGCGATTTTGTAGTTGTGAAAAACTCGATTCGCGAGGTCTTCACTTTGACCCTGATTTCTATTGAATTTAAACTTTCTGATAAAAATTGCTTTCCACCTGATAGTTGCCCTTGAAATTGGGTTTCCAAAAAATCATATAGCTAAACAATAACCACCACCAGCTGCCGAGTACCATTTAAAATCCATCAATCCAACTATATAGTGGACACACCTTATTAGAAAAACTGAATTATGTAAATGTGTCTACATTTTTATCTCATTGGATTCGTAAGCATTTGGAAAATTATGAATTCCTTTAAATTAAATAGTGGGCGATGAGATGTTGTTGGACGACAAACGTCCTTGGTTGGGGGTGGACAATCATGGCTACAAAAAGTACAAGTTGGGAGATAGGGGACCAGAAATATTGTGCTACGCGACCATGGTCTTTGTCCATTCGCGATTATTCAAAGCTGCCATGCAGGTATGCAAACTAATGATCCAATTTGCATTTTAGAAATCTCGTATTCAGGTATTGATTTCTCGGTCGGTATTAAAGTTGCTACCACTTGGAATTACATATACTGGTCTGTAAGTAAAAATTTGCTACCGATATGGTAGAACGTTAATACCGAGCTAATTAATACTACATGGTATTACTTATTAATATCACTTTGGTGTGGACATGTACATATGTACGAATATCGCTTGGTATAATTTTAATACTGCAAATTTTGATGTGCAAACTTATTGCATTAATAGTCTAGAATTTACAATTCATGCCAATTTTAATTTATTCCCAGGACGACCAGGACACGATTTGGCTCTGGCTGCAAATCAACGGTGGTCTAACTATTTTGGGTATGATGCCTTTGAGCACCTACCCATCCGTCTGGGGCGTCAAGGACAAGTTTGAAATTCTCGTGGGAAAAATTATCGTGGACATTCTCCAGTACGGCGTCATCTTGGAGTATCTGCGTGCCAAGAAAACAGTTGATCAAGATAAGGTAACCATATCCACATGCGTACATTTTTCCAGAGAAGAAATGTATTTGTGTTCTTTTTAATGTGATAATTTTTTACATTCGTATTTAGAATGTTACTTCCCCAACACTGCATCCTCCATCCCATGTGCATGTACTTGGACATGACTATGACTCCATTAAATCGGAGAAAATGAAATTTTAGGCAAAATTTAGGGATGATGTACCATTGACGCCTAGATTTTATGCTCGACTGTCCCTTCAGACTTGTACATATGTACTCCCCCACCAGTTTGTGTCGTATTTAATTGATCCTCACAGCAAATATTGATATTCAAAAGATGTGTCCTTGTTTTTTTTTATTTACTTCAATATGCACTTGTACATTTAACTCTATGAATTTTGAGTGATTCGTTTAATTTTTGTGTAGTATATCACCGGTATTTAAGAACTAAATAAACAAATCTTATATGTACAAAAGTATTACATACAGACATAAATATATTAAACAAGTTGAGACACCACATTTTTGTGCAGGCCAACTTCCGTGCCTCAACTTTTGTTTCATTTCACATATTTATTTTTAAAAAGAAGAGGGTACAAACTAATGCTGTACTCGGATTTTATGTGGACCTAAATTTCATTTATGTACATGCATAGCTGTTTTCAACGTAGTAAATACTTTTGGAGGATGTATGCATGTATGTATGTATCAGTAAACAGTAAACCAACTAATGGACCTCCTTGGCATCACTGCACTGAAAAAAGTATGAAAGCAATATGTGTGTAGGTATTTCACCATAAATTCTTTGTGTACATATATTCTTATCTATAGGTGGTATAAATACGTACCTATGTATATACAGACTGACCGAGTAGGGTGGAAAGATTTGTTTGTTATTGTACCCTACCCTTCCGCTCTTCTTAAGCATCTTCTTGCAAACAATTGTTAACTTATGTAACCTTGAAAAAGGAACTTGCCTTATGGACCCGAATCCTATGTTGGTGTTGGTCAGTCCCTGCTTTTAATCTGATAAAATAACCTTGAAACACGAATTTGCAGGGTTCAGAATGTGTTTTTTTTGGGTGTCATGCTTTTTTAGATTTTTTGTTACTTAGATTGTATTAGGCTGCAAGATCCCTTGAGTAAGGAGTACGTATGTATAGTGCATTTCGACCAGAGAAGAAGTATGTACATATATTTGTTTCATGTAATTATGCAATTATGTAATATGGGAATCAAATTTTGATGGAAGTTATAGTTCAGCAGTAATATGTACAAAAGGCGATTAGAGATGGTTTTAGATTAGAGAGTTCATACCTAAATTACGAGACGGTTTTTGGTTGGTGAGATTTCTAAGGAGATCGAAAGCTTGACACCATTTAGAAAACAATAAAGTTTTTCTGATTTGTACATCCACAATGTCCGTAAATAATAATTCTCCTGAGATTTCTTACTTTTTTTATGTGAAAACCCATATCTGGAACTATAGGTAGACATATATGTATGGCTTCCGGTTTTGTGCACTCTGGGGCACGAGGCACGGTCAAATCTGGAGAGGTGTCATTTTTAATTTTCCAAAGTTGTGTTCTTATAAAATCGAACAAAACATTTTCTCTGAGGCTCTAATGCAGAAATTGTCTTTGCGACTATTATCATAGGACTCAGCATGCTTTTCACTATAATAAAACCACTTTCTCTCACGTTTATCCTTATAAGTCTGTTTTGTATCTCATAATTTGCTCGTATTATTTAACTCTTGTAAATTGGTCTGGTCCAAATTTCACTAATAAAAAATCCCAAACTTAACACCGAGCATGCCGCACAAAGGATCAAAATTCCAAAAAAGTTGGCAATCCTTAACTTCTTCGGAATTATGTTGGCATCAATCATACTTTTCCATGCGGATTGAAGACGCCTCTTCTCAACCCGCATTGCAACGTCTTCCTCGTCTTCTTCCTCGTCGTCTCCACTTTTTTCTTCGTCATCCTCCCCACTTTTCAAAACTCGTGCCAACAGCATTTCTAGCAAACGGTGCACAATAATATGCTCCACGATGGATTGTTCTTTACTGAAATGGTCCGTAATCCCGGTCTGCGCTAGGTTTGAAATGAGCGCTAAAATCTGCCCAAATTTTGGCGCGTTATATCCAACCGCCCAAAACTCTGGGTTCGTAATGGTCTCTCTTCCCACGCCATATTTCGTCCAGCCGTACCGATCCTCCATAATTTCCAGGGCTGTCAAGAGAACGGCGCCATCTTCCAAAATGTTGTAACGGCCTTCCAAAATGTCCACCAATTTTGGTATGAAACTCGTATTGTACTTTGTTCCCAGCGATTTGAAAATTTCCCTTGTTTTTTCATTTTCTGTAAATAGCTTATCCTCAAGGAGTTTCCGAACGTTTAAATTTTGTCCGAGACGACCTTTCGTGCTGATGGCGACGACGGGTTTGGGATCGAGGGATAGCTCTTTCCACGTGGTGAGATGGGTCGTGTCCGTTGGCGCCATTAAGGTCGGGATCAGATTGCCCCGATAGGTCGAGAGTACAATCAAGTTGAAGAGGAGGGATCCGCAGTACATGGTGGAGAGATCGCTGCGCCGCCGAAGTATGGATTTCGGATCGACGCATTGTTCCATCTGGGAGCGAATTAGTAACATTGCGACGGCTCCGAAATACGGGTAGTTTTTCCGGGAACAATCCCATATTTTGGACCAGAGACGACCATAGATTTCGAAAATGGCGACAAGAACAAAGATGTGCCCAATGGTGACCAGAATGACTACGAAACCGACCGGTTTTACTAAGGGAGTTATCAGGCCAGTATATTTTTCTACCTTGGCCGATGCAAAGACGAGGCTAAATTTTTCACGGGAATGGACCAAGGAAGATGTCCGCAATAAACGGTTTTTCTCAAGGTAGGATGATACACTGAAGTGGAGATGGTTTTCGTCTGGTTTTTTGATTTGTGGGCAGGCATCAATGCTTAAGTTTAACTTGTTAAGGACCACCTTGACGAACATATGGTGACGATTTTTTGCCCGTTGGGAACGTATGATATTGTTTTGGGAGATTTTGTAATAGTCGAGGACGATAGTCTGAGATTTTGCGAAGAAGTCGTCGATCTTGGAGGAGTATGAAATTGCGTTGTATTCGGAAAATACGAGGTGACCGATTCGCAAACAATTTGAAGAAGGTGGTAAGGCTTGAATGAAGGTTGGGGATATTTGAGGTACGAGCTGAATTAGGGGGCGGGAAAGTAGCAAGGGAAGTAAAACGGAGATAAGAATAATATCAAGGCCAGGTTGAAGATTTAGCCCAATTAGCAAAGTGCTTGGAGATTTTGTAGCTTTTAAACACTCGCTGTTTTTTAAGGTTATGTTTGCTATATTTGTGACTATAATTACGGCTAAATTGATTACATTATGATTAAGATTAACGGGATTGGTGAAGTATGAAGGAGTAAGTCCGTCGTCAAATTGTGGGAATCGAGGAATTTGTAGCGTCATGTTATTTTACATATATACAAATGTGTTAAGTTATTTTCTAGGAATATATGAATGTATGTATGTATGTATTATGTACAATACGCAAAAAAGGGAAATTTTTCTGGATAAATTGTCGTGATGTACATACATACATATATCTGCATATGTAAGTATGTATGTAGAACTACGACGTTAACTTAGGAACTTAATGTCTTATTAACCGTTACGCGCTTAACGGTTTTTTCTTCCTACCTTACAATACTTTTTTTACTCCTTCATTCTTTTCCTTTCCTCTTTTTCCCCATTCACCCACAAACCACCATGTGAAGCAATCCTCTTCGTCGTCCTGAAGAAGACCCTTTGAGGTCGAAACGTTGACATAATGGCCTAATCTGAACCCCCCGAAGTACTACAAAAGTGAGCCCTTTTCCTTCCCAATTTATTCTGAACTTAATGTCTTATGCCAATAACTAAGGAGTGTTGCAAACTTATTTTGTGAATACAATAAATGACGACAATTTCTTTAAAGCTAATGGATGATATGTACATTCATACATATATAATAAACGGGTACATTTTTAAGTGGACACAGGAAGTTTAAAATTTGGAAAGCACTTATTATAAATACTCAAACAACAACAATTTGGAATAGCTGTATTTAAAAAAAATTACGTCAAACATAGTGTGAATTACAGACATACATATGCATACACAAGTTTTATTAAGTTGTAATTTAAGGTATAATTCACAAATTTGGCAATATATGTATGTATATACCTATGTATAAGTATAGATAAGTACATATTTGACCGTGTCTGTGAAATATGAATGTGTAACCTATTGTATTTGTGTACATGTTTTTATTATATGTGATTTTTTAAATAAATGAGTTGCGATTGGATTTTAATAAACAAACATTACTGATATACGAATTATTCCTCAATTTAATGCCTCAACATAATTTTTCTTACGAAAAAAATCCTTATCGATGTGATTGATTCATGCAGAAACGTACCAGTATTACATTTTATTTTTCATGCAGTAGAACAAATAAATTAGTGGGAATGAATTGCAAGAAGGATCACAACAATGCATAAGGACAACCGGTTTAGCCTCCTCCAGTTCATCAAGCTGCTTGAAGGATGACACGAACAAAGAGGAAAATTAGGTATTATTCACTCCAGAAAGTAAGAATGAATCAGACATTTATCAGGATTCCTGACCATGCTACGCTACAACTTGTCAGGAGGGGATTAGTTCGCAAGAATGTTGTACATACATATTGCGTATTCTTATGTAGTCATGCATGTTTTTGTATTCCTAGTAAAGTGATAAGCACATTTTGTACATAACCGTTTATGGGAAAACGGTGGTGCATATTTCATATCACAATATACAGTATCTTCGTCTCATCTTTAAGCATTCTTAAAGTATTTACTAGACGACTGGACAGCTATTTACAATGATACGTACATACATAAGACCCTTGCTTGTTGTAAATACATCAGGATAAAATAAAAAACTAGAATTTTTACTTTTTTTACATGAAACATGAGACACACACACATGTTTTATTGATTATTCATCATTCGCATTCCTTCTTCGTTTCGACCAGCTTCAGTTAAATTAAGTGGACTAGAATTTCATATACATACTTAGTCATGAGCTAGTAAAATTTGTAGGAAATTTTGTGTATTAATCTTGTCATAATTTACAATTCGGCATGAATTTTACAGCATTTCAATTGGCAATTTATTTCCTGGCGACGTTTTACTCTGGCGTGACAATTGCGCAAAATGTGACCACCATCATGGAGGAAATTTCAACAACAAGTACGACAACAATTGATGCAAATGACTTTAACGATACAAATCAAGAGGCCGATTCTATTGAGACGACGACAACGACTCCCCTTTATAAGGATACGTCAAAGATAAGTGATGTTCCAGTGGATCAGGAAAAGGACAAATTGAAGGATCTGATAAGAAAAAAGCAAGTCGTCGTCGTGGAAGGGGAGGACGATGAAGTACTCAAACTTCCGGAGGGGTACACTAAAGAAAAGATCCCAGCGTCGTACGAGGGTAAAGTCTAAAGAAAAAACTGATCTCATATTGGTTCAAAATAATTTTGAAAATTTTACTAACATTTTCGAAGCTCGCAAAACTATAGAAGTATATGTGTGCTAAATTTATACTAAATAATTTTGAGAAATTTAATTTTTGATAAACACTTGGTATAATAAGTATGGCAGTAAATAGTTTAAAAAATTTAATTGCAGGCAAGAAGCCGTTCAAAGTGGCGATTTTCATTAATATTAGGGCCATTAATTCAATCGATATGCTACACGAGGTAAGTTAAATTCAATTGTGTACATAGATAATGACGTGAAATATACTTGTCTATGTTTTTGATCTAGAAAATCACACTCGATTTGGACTTGTACGAATTTTGGGCCGATTCTCGATTTCATGCAAGTCTCAAGGATACTTCCAATACAACAAAGAAATCAGGAAAAGATGCCCCATTTGTGGTCCAAGTGCAAAAATTGGATCCTGAATTTGTAAAAAAGATCTGGGTACCGGATTTGTTGATTGAAAACACTGTCCTCATTCCGCACAATGATTTGACAAGTCAACCCCTCGTTAGCTTTAATAGTGAGACGGGATTCGTGAAATATTCGAGGTGTTGATTTTGTAATTGTTTATCAAAAAATTGCAATTTATTTACATACACATTTATTTATTTTCATGCAGATTGGAAGTTACCAGCCCTTGTGCAATGTCATTCTTTTACTACCCGCTAGACACGCAAACGTGTGAAATGACAATTCGTAGCTGTAAGTTGCAAAATTCATGTATTATGTAAGTCTTGGTTAAAATGCGCAAAATTTTTATTAGACAAGCATTTCAGTGATCACTTGAATTTGCACTGGGTCCACTCTGGTGTCTTCTTGGGATCCGTAGACAATCCAAATTTTGCCATAAAAGTTGATTCAGCTACGAAAGAAAAGCGTGTAGCGAGGACCATTAACTTGCCAAATCTGTTGGATAAAGTGCATTGTAAATATGTTAAATTGCTACAATTTCACTACATAATGACTGCACTCACGGCAAGGCCTTGTTTCACGTAGAAAATAATTTTGCAACTTATTTTCCAATTAATTTTGCGAATTTCTATGTACATATGTAAAAGTATTTCTACAATTTGCTGGGTAAATTTGCGAGGAAAAGGTTCTTTTCATCAAAAAGTTTTCGCAAAACTTCGCAAGTTCTTCAGTTTATATGCCCAGTTTGCAAGATTTCCGGGCTATGCGAATTAACGTTGCCGTGAGTACCATTTGCATAAATATTTCTGCTAATAATTTCCAAACTTCATAATTTCCAGTGGGCAACATAATTTTTGCTGACAATACATTCGACGTGTTAAAGGTGTCGTTGAAATTCCGTCGAAATGTAAGTTTTCACATGGCGCAGACCTACATGCCGTCCACCTTCTTTATCGCAATTACCTGGTTGTGCTTCCTACTTCCGGCTTCCTTGGCAGCGTCCCGTGTCGGCATCACGATGACAACACTCCTTACGATCAACACCATGTTCAACTCTGTGAGGTGGGTGGATGGTGAAACTGAGCTTGCAAATTTATCTGTATAATTTGCTTGTGCTAATTTTGTGCTAATTACGTTTTGCAGGCAAAGTGCACCTCAAGTGTCATATGCAAAAGGTATGTAGTAGGATTCACTTTTTTGAACTCGCTTGTGTTACATTTACAAAGGGGGTATTCATGATGAGTTCGGGTCGTTAGTTACGTGCGCAAAAAATAAAGTTCGCAAAAAATTTTGACTTGCAAATACAATGGCAAACATGTGCCCTCCAAGGCTAGTATTTTCTTCGCAATTTTTTTCCAAAATTATGTTGCGATGCGAACATGCAAGTATCCCCCATGAATACCCCTAATAAATATCCAATAATATCAGCAATATGTCCTCAGAGGTTCTTCAACTTATTTTTATTTTTATTTCTTTCCCCTATTTCAAAAATAGCTGTGGATTTCTGGATGGGGGCCTGTACTCTGTTCACATTCCTGTCCCTGCTGGAATTCACGGTCATGGCGTGGTTAGAACACGTAAAGGAAAGGGAGGAAAAGAGAACCAAAGAGTTTGAAGAGGAGGTAAGTTAATTTGCAAATTTGAAATTTCTATACGAAATTTATGTCCATTTATAATAATGCAAAACGAAAGAGTTTATCATTTTTTGCAATTAATTATTTTTCCAGGAACATAAAGCCTTGGAACTTTGCAACTCCGCGAAGGAAAAGATCGTTGAGGATAATGACGAGAAACAAGGTGACGGCTTGGTTGCCGTGTTTTCCATGCCGATGACGAGTACCAAAGATCGCAAGAAGATTAAAAGAATGGATCCGGACGAGCTAAAGAAGATTTTGAAGATTCGCAAATTCCTAAAGAAACATGGCCTAACCATGTTGTGGATGAGCTTTGTAATATTCAATATAATTTACTGGAGTTGGATTTGTGCCGGGTCAAAATATTTTGATTGGGACGTGGATCCCAGTTGTAATGGATGATGCAAAAAATATACATTTTAAGACAATGATAATAAAAACGTATGTTACTAGTATGTTTAACTCAATAAATAACAAAACTTTCATAAAAATTGGGCATACTAATAACAACGTCTTTTCTAGAATCGCAACTCATTCCAAAATTTTAGAAGCTCAGGAAATTTATGTCGGGAGAGGATTCGCAAAAATTCGCAAATATGCACCTACATATACATATTGATGTTATTTCCAGGGATAGTTTTAACTTTTCTAGCTGTTAATGATGGGAATGGGTTTGTGGAATAGATAATTTTGGGAAAATAAACACATTGTCATGTTCGTTTGCTGGATAAATTTCTAAAAAAATCCCATCGATTTCTAGCAACAGTTTTACGAAATCTCTCAAAACTTCGTACATGTTAAATATGTTTGTATGCTAAATTTTGCGAGATGTTCGAGGTGTGAGAATTTTGAAGTGAATACGCCCATTATTTTCACAGATTATTTATTATATTAAAGTTTTATTACTATTTTCGTATACATTTCATTTCATAACATTATAAAATAGACCATCGCTTAAATTCTAATTACAAAGACAACTATTCTGTATAACAATAATGTACTATGATAACATATGTAAATATAAATTTGTATACATATATGTCGTATGTAACTATTCAATCATTATTTAAAATGCATTTAGACAATAAATTGTGACCTTAAAATTTACAAATGCAATAAATAAATTTCAAGTATTGATAAACGCAACGCTGTTGTACAATTATTTGATTCAGAAAATTACACCCAAATAGATGTAGTTCAAAATGTGCACATAAAAAGCTAAAACATCCCTAAATATAATAATGGTCTAAAAAAATATGTTGACGCCAACTTTCAAACAAGTTTTGAAAATGTTATCAACAAAAAACACTCTAAATGAAGGCTTGTTCAAGTACATACAAGACAAATTTACAGAATAAATATAAGGAAAACTCCTCAATAAATATACTATGCAGATAACTGTTAATAGCGAAAAAAGATAATGCCCAGATTAGGAAATTAACATTAGGATTGCTACCGCAATCCTAATGTTATAACTTCGACAAAGTAGTCGTTTCCATTGGTCAGTGTTTGCCTAACAAATCGTATTTTTTTGATTTCCATTATTAAAACTTGTGCAGATCATCGTTATTTCTCCCGAAAAAGCATACTAAACCTGGCTGTAAAATTGTGTAGTTTTCAGAGATAATCACGAGTAATCAATTGATACAAAAAATTGTTACCCCTACAGTCAATGGAAAAAGTATTGGCAACCCCCACGCTAGCTAAATAAAATTGGCTATAACCATGGAATGCATCATACAATTGGCATGTAAATTTGTAGGCCTTTAGCAAATATAATGTAGTTTTCGATTATAGTCATGTTTTATTGATTAAAATTAGATAAACACAGTTTTTAAATAATTTGTTGGAAAATTTGCAAACTTTACCCGCAAAAAGTATTGGCAACCCTTAACTTAAAAAATCATAAATCAATGAAACGCCAATTTTATTATGACAAACTGCTTCTAATATTACGTAGCACCTCCCCTCGACGCAATACGAGCAAAAATACGTCGTGGAATTTATTCGACAAGTTCCTATATAACGTTTTTTTATATGGCTGCCCACACTTCCTTCGAACTTTTGACAAGCTCATTTTTCGAAGAGTGGTTTCCCACCAGTCCCTCTTTTCTCAATCCGGACAATCAGAATCACATCGGGAGACTGTGTGGCCAACGAAAGAAGCTTAACCTTTTCGATATCCAAAACCTTGCATCGTTAAATTGGCTACATGTTTGGGGTCACTGAATTTTCGGAATATAAAATTCTTTCATAGGTTAGATTTTTATCAAACAATTTCAAATTATCGTTTAGAATGATTATTTGGACCTCATTGGTCATGATTCCATCGATAATGACCAGCTACCTACGCCACGACCTAGTCATTTAACCCCAAACCATAATCGCTCCTCTTCTGTGTTTAGCTGTCATAGGAACATATTCGTTTTTGTGAGCCTATTATGGCATCCGCCAGACTTGAACCATTCAATTGGCTCCGAATAAGCAAAATATGCTTATGTCAGACCAGCAGAACATTTTTCATTCATTGGAAGTCTATTCAGGGTGGTATTTAGTCCATTCCAATTTATTGAGTTGGTTCGTTTTGGGGACCCTCGCGTCAGTCGAGCTTCTGGACCCTGAAACCCCATGGCATGATTTTTGATTGATCACAATATTGCATGATATGTTGACCCCACAGTTGGTTCTCAAATTCAACATGGTTTTGGGAGCTGAAATCTTCCTATCTCGAGTGATAATTTGCTTGATTCATCAGTGGCTCGTAGACGTAGGTGACTTTTTCCTTTCGCACCATGGAAAAGTAGAAACTGAGATTGTCATTTCATATTTCTTGGCTACGTTTTCAATAGTAAATATGGAAAAGTATGTTTTCTCTTTGAATTTTCGATAAGAAAGCTTTTTTGTGAAAGAGACATGATTATTTCTCCCGGCGCCAATACAGCTCGTTTGGTGTCGCCATTTTGGCTCCAGACAACACAACTGTAGACTTAAAATGTAGCTAACGTCATATTTAGGGGTTCCAGTCCCGGGATTTTTCGGGATTTTATTCCCGGGAAACGGGATCCCGAAATCCCGGGATTTGAAGAACTGAAATCCCGGGATTTCGGGATTTTTCAATTTGTCATTCAGAATTGAAAATTACTTATAATTCATTATTTTAATAGCGGTTTTACATAATTTTAGGTTATATGATTAGTAAGAGAAAGTTTCGATGAGCACAACCAGGCAAGATTGATCCTGAACTCGAAAATTTAAATTTTAAGCAATATTAGTGGCCACATCTAACTCGTACATTTATCTAAATTTCAAAATCTGCAAGTAACATTTGTAATACAAGATGAAACCATAAATTTTCTAATCTCGATGTCAGATTATAACTTGAAGGAACAAATAAACCTTATTTTCGGTATAATTATAGAATCTGAAATCAGTTATGATCAAAAATGCTATCATGTTAGAAGTAATATAAGGCTGCATGAAGGGCATTTTGAACGTGGTACATATACTTATTTAAATTTGAAATTTTTGAATTGCCAACTTCCTTGTCCAATTGAAATTTTTGAATATTAATTTTAATGCAATTTAGGCCAATTAATATTGATATTTGATAAACGTGAATTTATGCATTTCGGGTTAACATGCTGGCAAATCCTTGATTAATTAGTTAAGTTTTCTGGAATGAAATTATCGAACTCTTTCCTCACAGCTCTCCAAAATAGTGAACGGAAATTGGGCTTCCACAATACATCGAATCTTTAAATTTGCCATAGCAGGCAATAAACAATATAATCACTAATTTGTATTTCTATCGTACATATGTATGTATTTTTAAAATACTATTTTGTGTAGGCCAGAAAATAGCGTACTGTATGTATACTAGTACTTATGCAGGCACAGATCCCAAAAACACAGAAGTAGGTATTATAAATATGCCCAGTCTCGGTACTTTTTAGAGCCATGTACCTATTTGTATACCCGAATTTGACTAATTTCAAGTTATAAGGTTATATTTAAATTTCGGGAAAAATTCCCGGGATTTCCCGGGATTTTTCACGGCTAAAACCGGGATTCCCGATTCCCGGGATTTAAAAAATCGTCCGGGATTGGGATCCCTAGTCATATTTGGTCACCTAATTAACTTACCGTAATGAAATGTGGTAGCTGATTAAGAAAATTGTTTCGCGTAATTAATTTGGCCACATGTTGCCAATACTTTTGCGGGTTAATTTTGCAAATTTTCCAACAAATTATTTAAAAACTGTGCTTATCTAGTTTTAATCAATAAAACATGACTATAATCGAAAACTACATTATATTTGCTAAAGGCCTACAAATTTTCATGCCAATTGTATAATGCATTCCAACGTTACAGCCAATTGTATTTAGCTGGCGTGGGGGTTGCCAATACTTTTTCCATTGACTGTATTTCCTGCTTCATGTCTCCCTCTTTAAATCAAGACCAGTTCAGAAGGCTCTATTTAAACCTATCCGTATACTTGTAAAGTTTTTTAAATGTCAATGTAGGGTAGCCAATTATACCGTAATTTTGCTGCCCCTTGAATAATATGTAACGTTGTAGCCAGATTTTACGATTGTTTGCTCGTAAGGACGCTTTCAAATGCAAATTATTAAAATTGTTTACAGCCATATTAAGATTGGCCTCATTCGGCTACTGTTTCTATCAAACATTACATACTATTGAAGGAATAAACTAAAAATTTACTGGCACTGGATAACGCATGTTAATTTAGTTATGGCCAATCTCAAAATTATCCTCATTTTGAGACACATCGTAAAGCAAAAATTATTATTTCTATGTCTTGCAGCGTTTCTCCCTCATCAAATCAAGACCAGTTCAGAAGACTCTAACTAAACCTATCCATAAATTCGTAGAATAATCTATTACGTATTGCCGAGCAGCTAATTGTACCGTAACTTTGCTAACTTTTTAACAATCAAGAAAAGTTCAAAGCACGCTGACCAAGCTAGGTTATAAGATTGCTTTTTTCAGAACAAAGCCAATTAATACAATAGAATTATTACCCCTATTTCTCGCTACTTTCCTCCCTCATCAAATCAAGACCAGTTCAGAAAACTCTAACTAAACCTAATCGTGAGTTTTTTTTAAAGTAAGATGTAGTCAAGTTTACCGTAACTTTTCTACGCCCTGAGCCCTGAGCAATCAATTTCAGTTCAGAATACACTATCCAAGCCATGTTTCACGTTTGTGTTTTCTTAATTTTTAGTAGTAAGTTTGAACTTACTGCTTACCAATCATATTTTAAATTTGCATTATAATAAATTCAGGCAAATTATTGGTAGGATTTAAATTCCACAATTTACAAAATATTCAAAAAAGCAATCAATCTCTGGACTGGCATTTGGTTTATAATCATATCTGCCTAATACGTTAAAGCAATTTACAAACCCACTGGATATATACGTTATGTACCATCATTCGTAAAATCATAATTAAAGTTTGTTTTCATGTGGAACTAGTAATGTAATGCAAATTTTAGGTGCGTTAAAATTGCATTACACATAGACTCTTTTTAACCCATTGAATTTTTCATGGTGTTGTGTGTGCTCATGTGCAACCTATCTTTCCGTTTACAAATATTGTTGCATCTGCTAATTACATTTCAGCAGAACAACATTTCAGGGCTTGTTAACCCAGCGAATTTTTCATGGTGTTGTGTGTGCTCTTATGGAGCCTATTTTTATATTCCCCTAATTTAATAATCTTTCTGCATTATTACAATTATACAATTTTTAGATACATTTAAAAATTGCATTATCTCTCTTTTTCTTAGTCGTTTAACCCAGCGAATTCTTAATGGTGTTGTGTGTGCTCTTATGGAGCCTGAATATCTTTAAAAAATTTCTATTCTCTAAATTTCATACTTTTTATGCATCAGGACAATTATGCAATTCTAGGTACATTTAAGAATTGCATTACTAAAAGTGTTTTCTTTGTGCGGACTGTGGGATCTCGTAAATGGTTAAACTATATAAGCGCAAAAAGTGTTTCCTTTGTGCGGACTATGGGATCTTGTAAATGTACTAAGCCAAACTATACTGTACACTTAATGTTTCCAAGTAGTATTATCCCGCCAGGTGTTCACACTGGGTAGTGTCCAACACGGCAGGCGACAAAGCATCCTAGAGCATTATAACTAATTCGTAGATTGTGAAGTTTGGTAAAATACTACGCCCACCAAGCCCGAAATGCTTGCGCAAGTCGATCATTTGATCTCTCCCCAAAGTTGATACTAAACCTACCCGTTAATTTATATGCATAGTTTTCTTGAGCAATCAATTAGTACAACAAAATTGTAGCCCCCTATTTCTTGCTGCATGTCTCCTTCATCAAATCAAGACCAGTTCAGAAGACTCTAATTCAACCTGAACAGAAATTTGTAGAGCATTTTATTACCATAGTAGCCTAGCTAATGTACCATAGCTTTGCTACCCACGACAGAACAGTCAATACTATTTCGGAACGCACTGACCCAGCGAGACTATAAGATCGTTGCGATTTGTAAGGAAAATTTGTATAGTAAATTTTTGTTTCTTTCCTGGCTTTAATTAGAATTATAATAACTTAATCCTACGTTACGAAGCTTAGTAAAATACTTCAATTGTAATTGGTGGCGTAAATCGATCTATATCTCTCCCGAAAATTCATACTAAACCTAATTCTACGATTATATGTATAGTTTTTCGAGTAGTGAATTAATACAATACAATTGTTACCCCTATCTCTTGCGTAGTGCGTGCCTCCCTCATCAAATCAAGACCAGTTCAGAAGACTCTAACAAAACCTGTTTGCGAAATTACTTAGGTCTGTATTATAAATTTTGAGTAATAAATTTGATACATTCAAATTGTTACTCTCTCTTGTTACCGAACTTATACATATATCATATATACATATATGTATATAGAGTGGTTTAATGTAAGACTCCAATGTAAAAGTTTTTCAATGGGAAAAAATTGCATGCAAGTCTCTATTAGTTACGGAAATTTTGTCTCTGAAATTCAACATTTTAAGAATTTTGTCAGCGTTCCATCATTTTTGATAGATTAATTAATAAAAATCTCAATCCCAAGTCCGTACATATGATCAGCGTATGCAAATTGAGTGTTTTAAAGATTATTAAAATTGTTCGTCTCATTTGTACTTTGTTGGTAACCATTTCTATTTTGAGTTATCTATCAACCCAGACTTGTCACTCAAATTACGTATAAAATGAATGACCTTAATGATACCAAGGTCTTCAGCGTTATGGTGCACATTAACTTGTAGCTTTAAAAAATTCTCCCTAAAAACAACTTTTGCTAAGTTATTCCTATTCTGTCCACCCTTCAAAATAATATCATCGTGTCAAAATTAACCACTTATGTATAAAGAAAGAAAGAAAGAAACCAAACATAATTCATAAGAATTTCCATAATTACTAAGCTGCTTAACAGTTCTTAATTATACTATATCTTTAATTGCTAATACTCCCTGTTCCAAACAAGGCTCCTTGATATTCGCCAAACTCGATGAAACGATCCGATACAGTGTCACCTTCCATCTCAATCGGGTCACGAACGTTCCCTTCATCTCATCATAACGGTCAGGTGACTAGAGTTATAAAAATTGTTTGATTATTATTAATATTTCCAAAATTCAGGGTGAATTGCATGACTGGTTGATGTGTGTATTACTGTGTATATATATTCAGACTTGCATTTGCATATGAAGGGATGCATTTATTTTTGCTGGCCAAATCCGTCAGTCAGTTCGCTTCATCGCAGGTTGTAGGATCTGGGTAATAGAGGAGAGAAAGTTTCATTATTTATGGTTGTACATATACTCTTAGAAAACCGGTATTAAATTATTACTAGCCAGAGTACATGTATTTATGACTTTACCGACATGGTAATAACGAGCATTACCGCTTAATAATGCACTCGTAATGAAAAATTTGCTACCCAGTAACAAACTTCTACCAATCGGGTATGAAGTTAATTACCAAATCAATATCAATCCGAAGTATGTATATTCATATATATGAATCTACCAGATTTTTAGAAGTGTACTAAATGACAAGTTAATTATTAAAAATGTAAATTTATGCTTACCAGGCTGTTTAAAACGATGGGACGATGATGATCCTGGCATGGACAAGACTTTGATGATACCTTCTCGGACATTTGCAAATATGTCGTAGGCGTCGTAATCTATGAAAGGAGAGAAAGAAACATTATTTATTTAATTTAGAATTAACATGACATTGAATTGAAATAAATTTGTATTAATTTAGCACGTTAAAATTGGAATTGTAATTCAGAAATGTCGAAATCGTGCTGGTTTAAAGCGTACTTTGAAACTCTAAGCTTGAATTAATCTAATTTGCATATTAGATCATTCTCCATAGTCAACTTCATTCATTAATTTGAAATTTACTCATCCTAATTTGGCCATGCATAAGTTAGTAAAATAAATGAAAATAGAATCAATAAAATAGTCAGATTAATCGAATGGAGAGTGGAATTTGTGTAATAATTAACATGCACATAACTTAACACAGAATAATATTTTGCTATTAATTTCAACTTTGTATGAATGAACACTGGGTTATGTACGAATTTAAATATTTCTGACGAGTGAAATAGACAAATTAATCGATAACAACCCGACAGAAAGACAATGCATAAAATTGAGGAAATTAAGAAACTGTCGGTGAAAGTTATGCACAAACAGGAAAAAATTATGCACGAATTTTTACCCCAACAAGTAAGAAACTTATTAGAAGCTGATTTTCAAATTTGTTTACAACTACAACTAATAAAGAAAATTCATAAAAGTAAAATATATAAAAAGTAAAAATTTACCAGTCTCCAGTTGAAAAGTGTGATGTCGAGGAGAATAGCACGTGGTCTTTTCCGCCATCATGCCGGAAAGCACACTTGTTGTGTAATTCTTGATGTCTTTCTTCTACTTCTTTAGCGAAATACTTTATAACTACAAATGTCTACTGATCACCGAAATGTCACACTCTTCGAGTTCCTTTTTGCTAAAACTTTTTGGTGGAGGATGTAGAAATGTACATAAAATATGTAACGTCCTCCATCTCGCTCAGTCAACCTCGTACTGAACTCTCATTCGGTCGTTGAGAGATTTTATATTATGGCAAATGAACAAAATGGTCCATGCAGTAAAATCACAGAGAGAATAGATACATACATTGAAGGATGCAAATATGTGCGTATATATGTATAAAGCTGGTTAAAAGAATGTAATAAACCAACCCAAACGGATAAAAATAATCCACCTTTTCTTAGAAGGATGGAAAAGTTAAAGTACTTTTAGAATGGACCCTTACATATGTTCGTTGGGTTGCCTTTCTTAAATTTCCATTTATGTCAAACAAGGGAGAGAGAATGGCATTCCATTTACGCAGAACGTTATTCTTGGGCTGGAAAGATAGATATTTCCATATGCATGTACATATGTACATAAATATAAATGCGATGAATGAATAAATAAATGCGATGTTTCTGGAATTTTGGATCCAACTGGGAGAGAAGGATTTATGAAGGGACTAACTTCACCACGTTGTACAAATTTGTGATTGGAACCTAATACTGATACATACATAATATGTATTACATATATTTACGAATCCATTTTTCTTGTACGGATTGCTCATGTACTTATCCTAAATACATACATACATACACGTGCACATGTGTAAATAGTCAGGCAGGCAGGTATGGTATTGTCACCCTCTTCCAGGAGGTGATGTGAGACTTTAAGAATGGGAAAATTTTTCAGGAAGTTTAGCCCGTAAGTTAGGTGTGTTGTTCTGCCTATAAGTATTTCAAAAGGGGCAACCTCTCTAAACCTTATGCTAAAAAATATGAGTGAAGAGTACATAAGATTTAGTGTCTACATAACTTTGGTATATGCACATACATATGTACAATTAATTAAATAGATGAAAGGGGATACATAACTCGTTTTATACACGCATACCTATGTATATATGGACATTAAGTATTTTGCATACTTATTTAAGACATATTGAGGTCGTCCCACGTTGTTTAATGGGTTATCCAACACCACAGCATTTCAACACTTATCTTGCAGGGTATATTTTGACATTTATCTTAAAATATAATCATGTATTTATTCAAGTACTTGGCGTGTCGTTATTTAATATGTATACTTTAAAATACTGTAATTCCAATACGCAAACTGTCATTTTAGCTTCGCATAATTCAAACACTTGCAATTAAACTAATCCTAAACTATCTATGCAAATATGTACATAACCATTAATTTTATAGTATTTTCTTCTTGAATGAGCAACCCCCAAATGTAATTACCCTTCGTAAAGTTAAGGTGGTTATGTGTTAATTTGCTTTTAGCCAGTGGCATTATGTATTTATCCAGGTATGTAAATAAGCACACATACACACTACATAATTCGGTATGAAATGCTCCGTGTTTGTTACCGATGTTCGATTCGCACAAACTGACTAATCTGAATGTATGTATACAGGTTGGACAAAATCCTGTCATCTGATAAATGACAAATGACGGAATAAATTAGATTCTTCCAATTTAACCAATTAGATTGGATCCAGAGCCTGGATATATTTTGCATATTGGTTGTGTTTACGTTCACATTCTAACAAATTTCATTGTAACGAGATAAATAAATATTTATGTACATGCTTATTATCTACATATTCGTGTAATGCAGTTATTACGAAAAAAGGCGTGCTACTTTATTTTAAAATTCGAACGAGTTACGGTTGGCTGTCACTATTTAAAGTGCAAATTGCAAGATTGTAATTAAGCTAGATATACATACATAACTAAAAACATCGATTGTTGACGGTTGACGGTATGTATTTATACGTATGTATGTAGAATATGTATGCAGATACGTGCTTCATTACCTTGCGTTTCATTCTATATATTTCTTTACATACATACATATTGAACCTACAGAAGTGCCATTGCCAATAACATGCTTACTTTTTGCATTAAAATTCTACTTTTTGATCTCCGTTATTTACACGGGTTGGGAATTAGGCCAATTTTATACAATCCAAAAGCAAAAAGATTTCTAAATAGAACGGAATGGAAGTCTCGATCGCTCATTGTTCTTTCCATGTTTTCCATAATCTTTGCAATTTCTTTGAATGGCATCCACAAAATTTCGACTCGCCAAGCCGACGTGGTGCAAAGTGCTCTAATCATAATATTTGCGGGATCATTTTGCCTCGGATTTACCGCAGTGGGCCACTTTCTACTGGATTCGGGACACTGCGTCGATATTTTTAATATGCTGGTGTTGTTTGATGTTCGGAATTTTAAAAGGGAAGGTAAATTAAATATGACTAATTTTTGTGGGAATTTATATAATTTCAAGGGAATAATCAAGAAATACGTGACGTACACAGTTGATGGGAGGGAAAGACCTGTGGCAGGCAACTTGCACCTGTTCACATTCTTTCGGATATTTATTCAATAGAGAACCAATTAATTATTCAATAAATTCAGGGACAAACAATGGATGAATCATTAAGAAACTGAATGAATGCATATTGAATGAATGCATATCGAGTATTGAACATGTACATATTTATTCATTTCATATTCATGAAGAATGAATGAATAATTTTATTAATTATTCATTTTTTTAACCTGTGCTTAATACATGGGGTATATTGAGAAATCCGTTTATTATTTTTTTAAAGCGAATTTGAGATAAAGAAAAAGATAAATGAATTTATATTCAAATTTTAATTATGTATGTAGGTAAATGAATATTGATTGAATCTTTTTAAATTGAGTCAATATTTCTGGAAGGGCTGTACCTGTGACACGTGTTAAAAAGAAGGGTATAACCTGCGGTAATGGGCAAAAAATCGTTGATTTTGCGTAAAGTATTTTATGAACGGTCCCCAACTTTAAATTCAAGTTAATAATTTTTAACAGCTGGTAACGCCTGGAGCAGCTGGGAAATGGTGGGGAAATTATGTTTCGTCGGATCAACTCTGGCCATGGTCTTGGGTCCGATAGCGGCTAGTTTGATAACGGTATACGAACCAAATTTGCCACCATTCTTGGCGTCGACTTTGCCACCTTGGAGGGTGGCGGATATTTTTGAGAAAAGCGAGTATATAATTGCCTTTATTTTGCAAGTATGGATGACTAGCGTATAAGCCCGTCTCCCGCCGGGCGAGCGAGAATTATAAGCTGCAAAAGTCTGTGGGCAACGAAGTAAAAGTAAATGTTCCGCAATGGAAGAAAAAGTAAAGGAAGTCAAGTTTCGAATGGAGCTTAAATTCTAAATACGTTAAGTGTCCCTGTGTGTCACGTCAGCACATGTACTGTCAGTTCAATATTTAGTGGGGCGCACTGCATTGGATCGTAGAGCATTGCATGCTCTGACACAGATACGAACTATGATCAAGCGTGGTGCACACTGCACCAACAGCCCATCTTTATATGTCGATTCTAGTCATGACATGACATGACGTGACATTACGATATGCAGTGCAAACATGTGCACACTAAACACAAACACTTTATGATATGACACCACAATTTTGTTTAGTGCAAACATGTGCACACTAAACACAAACACTTTATGATATGACACCACAATTTTGTTTAGTGCAAACATGTGCACACTAAACACAAACAGTTTATGGTATGACACCACAATTTTGTTTAGTTCAAACATGTGCACACTAAACACAAACACTTTATGATATGACACCACAATTTTGTTTAGTTCAAACATGTGCACACTAAACACAAACACTTTATGATATGACACCACAATTTTGTTTAGTGCAAACATGTGCACAGTGCACGGAACTGTTAGTGCAGTGGTATTCACTGCACTGGCTGTTATCTGAGAGTGGTTATCATGGGTGATTATCTGGGGGTTGTCAGACAGTGATTATCTGGGGGTTATCAGATGGTGATTATCTTGTGTGGTTATTTGGGGGCGGTTGTAAGTGAAAAATAATTTCGTTTTAAATTAAAAATTTTGAATTTTCGCGCCATTCGAAACTTGACTTTCTCCACTTTCACTTCCGTTGAGGACGAATTCCTTCGACAGACATTTCCAGCTTATAATATAGATGTCCGTATTGGGTTTGACCTTTTGTGTCATCTTCTTCAAAATATTCTTGGGAGTCTTGTTCACCGTGGGACGATTTCTGGCCAGGTATATATTTTCCTCTTTAGGCTGCCTTATTTTGGAAATGTTTGAACCGATTAAATCGAGAAAATATCTAGTTTCAAATTAAAAATCAGAGAAATAAATATGTAGCCTTTTTAAAAATTTAGAATATTTCCGTATCAGGGTGCATAAACTTTTTTGTTGTCCGTGGTTTCTCCTAAGGGGGTGATGAAAGGATGAATTTTTTTCAAAAAAATTAAAAGTTCGGGAATTGCATGCGATTTTGCTTTGAATTTGGTGGTTTGAATGGGTGGTTTCCATGGTTTCCATTTCATGGTTTCCTAGCATTTCATAGCATTTCATTGCATATGGTTTCATATGGTTTCATGGTTTCATAGCATTTCATGGTTTCCATCACAATTATAGCGATGGGAACCGTGGCAGGATTATTAAACAAGCTGTCGACACGGAGAATACAAAAGGCGATTAGACATGGTTTTCACGACTTTGCGCTTGAATATCTCTGGTGCAAATTCGAATTTTGAGTTGATTTTGATAGACAAGCAAGATAATACTCTCAAAAAGATATCTCTAAATTTTTAAGGCGATAGCTTCACAAATGTCCCCTCCAGAGCCCCCAGAGTTGGAAGGTGTCAAAAACCCACTTTCCAAACTTAATTATTCATGTGGCATGATAACCAAAGAGGTCAGAGGTGAAAAATTATTATTATTATAACCCTAGATAATGATTGTATCTAATAATAAAAGAATCCGTAATGAATAAAATAATGTGGGCCCTCCAGCATCGCTGATACTTTTCCATGAAAAGTGATAAGTCGGACCGTGCACCGGGAAATTGACCTCCTGACCTTAAAAACGGACCGACTGGGTGAAATGAAGATTGAGGGCAAAGCTCTAAGTGTCCTAAGTAATATTAAATTAAGCAGTGATGATTTTGAGTAAACAGTTTTGGAGAAGGACCCGAGCTAATCAGCTGTCGCGGAATCCTAAAAAACTCTTGAACTTATTTAGAAAATTAATAGTCAAATTTTGTTGAAAACAAAGTTTAATAAGTTTTTTGTGTCCCCTGCTGCAGAACTATTTTACCTACAAGGTACAAGTGACAAAATAACAAAATTACTGCGTTTTGATTAGTTAAAAAAATGTTTAAGTTCCGCTTCAATTTCGAGGAGAACTTTTGTAAAAATTTTATAGGGTTTGATGGAAACTCATTTCCTGGGGTGTAACCACTTATCAAAATTTTATCAAAAGTACTTACAGTGCAATATACTATATGTACCTTGGATATAAACAACGTTTGGGATTTTTAGTGTCAAAGCCCTAAAATGTGGGGGCCTTAAAAGTCGAGGAGTTGCGTTCGTGAGAGCATTCCATAGGACAAGTATGAAGTTAAACTACAATACGGGCTTAAAAGATAAGCATGAGATAAAAGTGGTTTTATATAGTGAAAGGCATGCTGAGTCCATTGATAATAGTCGCAAAGACGATTTCTGCACTAGGGCCTCAGAAAAAATCTTTTGTTCGGCGCCATTTTATAAGAACACTGGTTTGGAAAACTAAAAAAGGACACCTCTGCAAATTTGACCTTGCCTCATGCCCCAGAGTGCACAACACCGGAAGCCAAATATATTTACCTATAGTTCGAGACATGGGCTTTCACATAAAAAAAGTTAGAAATCTCTCCAACCAAAAACCATCGCATAATTAAATTATGAATTTGTGCAAACCATCTCTAATCGCCTTTTGTAAGACAGTTTAGAAAAGGGACATGTTTTGTGGGTGAAAAGAGAGGAAAAATTTTGAGAAAAATGGTGAAATCCTGTGCTCCGTTAAAGATCAGATTTGCCAGCAATTTCATCCAGATTTCGACACCGCTGGTAATGACGAGTTTCTGTGCTAAAACAACGGTCCGCTTGTTGCTGATTCAATAACTAATGGACTGACGTTTAGCCTTAGACATGGATTTAAATGGGTAAAAAGTGTTTAGGCATGTATTTAGATTCTCATTAGAAAATAAGCAACCAAATTAAGTACTGGACAGGGTCACAAGTTTTCATGCAAATTAATAAGTTTTAGTCGTGCGTATATTTTGTTAAAGTGCGTAAAACTCCTCCGTCTATACATACATATAGCATACATATGTATGTGAGTGATGCTGGGCTTCCTACTTATGTTATAAACATTACTTGTTATACATATTTACTTAATAACTACTGCATAGGTTTGCACAAACTTAATATGCTTTTTTTCTCAATTAAACGAATGAACCCCTTTGTACAGTACAAACTCCGAGTCTCATTTTTCTCAAAATCGACTGACTCCCCACCATGGTGTATTTACTGCCTCTCCATTTACACATAAAGTTTATACACGCATACATAAATCAGTATTAGAAATGCACCCTCGCTAATAAGCTTGTGTAACCTTTATACCATGTTAGTTATGTATGTACGTATTACTGACAAGACAATGAGTAATGTTATCACCGTTAACCGTGATCTGGAAAAATAACGACTTTGCTTATTTGGATTTGCATAATTTTAACTTAATGACTTATCAAATTGTCCTGAAATAAATATTATGCTAATTGAGTACATTAATATATTTATGTATGAGTTGGGTAAGAAAAGTAGAAATTTTGTAAAGAAACTTAAAAATCTAAAATCGATACATTTAACTTATTCAGGGCAATCCTGAAAGGTAATAATATTTTGAGACAATCAAAATCATCACCACTGACCATGTTAAGACACTTGACCCATGTTTGCATACAGTAAATTTGTGTACTTATGTATTGCAGTGTGTATGCAATATTTGTGAGGGCATGATATCTACATCGCAAAGTCGACACTCGTTCGTCAAGGGCCATACCACGTTGAATGCACCAGTTCTCGTCCGATCACTGAAGTTAAGCAACGTCGGGCCCGGTTAGTACTTGGATGGGTGACCGCTTGGGAATCCCGGGTGCCCTTGGCGTATAAATTTTTTTGCAATTTTTAGTCCTGACACGTCTTGAACTATCTAATGCAGTTAGCCATTAACACATTGATATTATGGGACATCGTGTACCATAAACCAGAATATGTACACGAAGTTGAACATTATACATACACCCCATGTATATACCTATGTATTATTCATTTTGTTTTTATTTCATACTGAAATTTTATTTTTATTGCTTACCTTTCTGTCCCATTTATGTGACAGTTATAATTTTAACTTCAAAAATTGCGATGTCCTTTTCGGAACGTGAGGAATTAGTATTTTGACTTAATGTTTCCCCATATTATTCATTATTATTCATTACTCGTTATTATTCATGCACGTATTTCAAACCAGACCTGCATAAATTTGCAAGATGTGTATGGAAGCATTTCGTGCGAAAATATACAGAAATTAGTAGAATGAACAGAAAATGTTAAAATATCACAATTAAATTTTATTTAGTTCATTTCTGAAATGTGTTCCGTATGCAGGTACAATAAATGTTTAAATATTTAGGGATTAAAGCAAGCAACATTATTAGAAAAATGTAGGCATCTGTGTACATAAAGAACAATATAATGGCCACATAAAGCAAAAGTTGCGTAATTAGTAGATAACATAATTCTGTTCTTAATTCGCGATGGAAAAGTCAAAATCCATCATTTTATTCTCACGTTTACCAATTCGGCCAACTATTGCTTTTGGTACTTTCTTTTCCGATTCTTTCTTGACGAACTTTATTCCTCGTTTCACTTTTGATGGGACCACGTTCACATTGAATGTTTGCTGCCCTTGACTAGTAACCTTTTTGAGAAGAGATTTTGACGCAATAATTTCCGTTACTTCTGTAGCCCCCTTTTTCTCAAGTAGTGTACCGCATGAATCTGGGTTGGATTTTAGTCCGGAAGTCCGAGTCCCAATTCCTGTTTTTGAGGATTCACCCATCTTTCCGGATCCGGCATTTTTTGATTTGACTTCGGCTGAAGTTAGATTTCCGTGAATCCGGCTGCCGGATTCATACGGAAGTTTAATCTGGTAGGTGTTTTCTGGCTTTATTTTGTTGTTGTACCAGGCCTGTTTTTCGATTCTTTTCCCCTGGTCTATCTCTGCAATTAGTCTTTTCTCCTGAAGTCTTAACCAATCCGTTGGAGAAAGTAATATTTCCTCATTTTTCTTAATTTTAATTAATTTCTTCACTGGGCGAAGATTTCTGGAGTATAATTCGTTGTAGACGTTCCCAGTCCAGTGATCCAATCGGGCTCTGGATTTATGGTCCTGTTGACCGAAACGTTGGGACAAAAAGTTTCGCAGAGAAGTTATGAAATCATACTCGGATAAAGTGGTGTCTCGTAAATGCTTCAGTTTCGTGCAGTGGTTTATTAGAGCTTCGATAGTCACGGCAGATCCTTCGGTAGGAAGCATTAAAATTTTCATTCCGAATGGTGATAAGTAGTTGAACTATAAAGAAAATTGTATACATATTGCTTTAACACATCAATAGGTAAAATAAATCTTTGGAAATCAAATGTAGCAAAAGGATGAAACCAAATTGGGTACTAGAGTCTTATTCACATCACCCTTAAATAACGTATAAAAATAAATTAAAAAAAACGACATTTTCGACTCATAAACATCAAAGCTATAAATTATTCTAAAATCTCCGCCCCAAACAACGCCTAGAACGGTTAAATCTAAAAATTCTTAATTTTTTATCCCCGTGGCGTCATTATCTCAGGACATACAACAGCCCTCTTCGAACTTAACTCCTACTCAAACCTTATAAACACATATTTAAGGGCTTCATGCCGAAATTTAGATCTATTCACTTATGGTGAATACGGACAGACAGACAGACTTGGCATTCGCATAAAAGGTTTCACCCTTCTGTAAAAAAATATGAAACTGACCTGTTCCAGAAATTTGGAATACCCAACAAATCTCAACCATTCTTTGAATGCACCATCAGAAATCCAATTCATCAAACCGATCAGAAACTGCATGTGGCGAATATTCCAAGGAGCCCATTTGTGCAGGATGCCAAATAATATTTTGTCTTGGATTGCTTGCGTAATTATTGGCACCATTTCACATCTCGTTCCTACAAACTTTTCAACGTCCACCGAAGCAACGAGGGCTCGAAGATAAGTTAACGTATATTTCGGGGACAATGGTTTAGCTTCCATTGCAGTTTTAAAGTGGCGTATGGCTTTGTCGTAATTACCCTGAAATACATAAAATTCGAATTAGGGTTCATGCATACACAAACACGAGCCGCACGTAAATATTTGCTACGTGTACTATTTACTTGTAATTCCCATACTCTAAATAACTTGGAGACAAATCGTCACCCGTGGGTGTACTATGTACAGTGCTCTATTCTTGGGTTCATGACCATCGAGACGTTTTGTCCCCAGCAGATAATGTTTGGTTGGTATTGAAAAATTCACACTTTCATGCAAAAAATCTTATACATTAAATAAGATAAAATGCTTAATTGTTTGTATAACGACATCGCATACATGAGTTTTTGACCTATTTTCCACACGTGGCAAATTCTCCCCTTAATCGTTACCCAAGAACAGAGCACTACTGATACTACCCCCGCCGGTGACGATTTTTCTCCAAGTAATTTAGAGTGCATACATACATAGTGAATGTCCCGTTGCCCGATCAACCAATTTGCAGATGAAGAATCAGAGTTTAATTGTAACGATCTGTCCACTCCCCTAAATCCAAATTGTGATTCTCTATCTGTAAATATTTCTCTGTACAATTTGCAGATATTCAATTTTGTTGCCAAATTTTTTAAACGGATCGATTCTGAGTGATGGGGTAGCAATTCCCTATAATATTACAAAATCTTAATGAGATGAAAAATTATACCTACATAGAGCACATGTTTTCATTTTAGTAACCTTATTTCCTCATCAAGAAATCTAACTATTTGTTCACAAGTTGTAAATTGTTGTCCACATATCTCAAACGGTGTCCAATAAGTAATTTTGGTTTTGATTTGGACAAAATCATACAAAAGTTCGTACAGGGTTGTTTTTATCTTATGGTTTTTGGGGTCCAATTTCAACGCTTTGTTTATCCAGGTCAACTCTTGCGGCCAAGGTATCACAGCTTTAATTCCCAAAGTCTCGTTTCGGCTCTGGTGTCGAATTCTCCTCAGTATTCGGACATATTGATGAGTGAGCTCAGAACTTGGTAAATATTCATCCATCGGGTTTTTAGATTTGGGAATACAAAGTTCCTGGAAGGAATTAAATGTTAAAAAATGTATTTAATTTTACAACTATAAGGTCACAGATTCTATTTGCAAATATGTAACCGACATCTATGTAAACGACATTTATGCTACCCGACAAAAATGTCGGTTACATATTTGTCTTTACATATTTGTCACCCCGTCGTCAGATAGGGTTTTATAACCTTGCAACTTACTTTAGCAAAGTGTTCTTGTACACCCAGTGGAAAATAAAGGGTGCTATAAAACAACAGTTTAACACTCTGAAGACATCGAACAGTATTTTGCGTTGGTTTGGATAAGAGTTTAAAATCTATCTGTAAGTCGGATAAGCTTCCTTCATATCCACAATCACTGTTTGAATCGCAGTTCCTCGTGTGTAAATCTTTCACACATAATTTCATAGCGTCCACGATATAAGTCAAAGATTCAGGGTCGATGTTCATCACGGAAAATTGTGCAGCATACTCGGACCTCAGAACACTTAACCAATTTAGACTTGCTTGCGCTGTTCCGCAATTTTTTGAAGTGCACTCAACACAAATTTGGATACATGCTCGAGCCAATAATTTACACGGTTGGACACAAATTGTTTGTTTGGTAGTTTCGCTCGTGGAACAATGACGATGTAACCAATGTTCAATTGAGGACAGGTCAGCTACAGTAAGTTCAAGTTCGGGCAATTCATTTATCCATTTAAGTGGTGTTTCCAATTCACTGATGGTAATGTCGTGATTATTTTTCTTTACCTTATTTCTACCCATTTTTAGGAAATTTAAGCAAATTATGATAAAATTGTTTTGAAAAACTGTGGTGCAAGTGAACATGTGTGTTGAGTTGACGGGTGCGTACTATGCCTCCAGTCAGGTTTCAGCCTAAAGCTTACATCTATATTTGCTCACCTTTATGTATGCATGCATGTCAAAGTTTGTAAACATGTGTGTATGTATACACATCCTGCATAATCCTTTTTATCATTATGGCAAATGTGTTATGGCAAATGTGTTGATACCTGTTTCATCAATCTTAATTAATCCTGACTTAGATAATAATTGAAATATTTTAATAAATTTTATTACATTTGTGATATAATCGGGTGGATGACGGTGGGATCGAGAATTATAATACATACATACCTAGTTAATTTTGTTGATTTCATGATTTCATAATATTTTTCCAGGCGTATTTGGTATCTTTCTCATGTTTATGCTGGGGGGAAGGTATATGCAATAAAAAATAATTTAATCATATTCGCATTTTTAGGCACGAGCTAATAAAACATAACACAATATGTAAATATGTTTATCTCGGTTCAACCACTTGATCGATGTGATATACTTATCAATATGCAAAACGTCCTTTGTTAAAATTGACGTTGAGTTAGTAAACAACAGTACTACGATTTATGTAGAGAACCCAGCTACAGCGAATTGACAAGTGAATTATTTGCAACAAACAGGTAAATATCACAAAATGCATAATTTAATAATTAATATTTAACTATATAATTGACGCGTATGTAGAATACAATGGCCTTCAAGTGGGTTGCTGACCAGTTCAATACGCACTTTGGCAGTAATACGACCCACATCGCGAACAGTACCAGTGGACCAATCCACGTCTCCAAAAGTTCAACGATGATGACCTTCAAGGTATTTTGATATCTAATCTGAGAAGAGCGTCTCGTCCGTCATTATTCCGGCCGGAGATAACTATCCCTTTGACAGGTCGGATGCGCTGGATTATTTTTCCGTCGTGGATTCCACAGGGAAGAAAATTGTGGATAATTATCCCGTCAGAGCAAACGATTCGTACGTCGTTACAAAAGAGAAGGGCTTTGTGCCGCAAAAATACGGATCTGGAAATTTGCATGAAAGAAGGTGAATACCGTAAAAACTCAAATAGTAGCCGGGGGCTACTATATAAAAAATCGGTGGCTGGGACCTGGCTACTATTTGAGCAAGGCTACTATTTGGGCAAGGTCACTATTTATAAAATTATGAAGCTGGACACGGCTACTACTAGAAAGCAGCTATTATAATTTTATTTCCAGAATCAAACTCAAATTAAATTTTAATAACAGCACCAAATTCTCCCTTAGATTCGTATTAGATGACAATTCTATAGGTTAGGCCTGCTCTTAATTTTAATAATTTATCCCATGAGCCGAATTTCGTGTTCAATTCGATGTTGTATAACTGAGATTAAATTGAATTGCGATTTAATTACTTAAATGAGCTGGCTAGGAGATGTCTGGTTGGATCTATGTACATTGGAAATTGACGAACGTCTATAATTCAAATAAGGCTACTATTTGGGCACGGCTACAGTTTGAGCAGGGCTACTATTTGAGCAAGGTCACTATTTATAAAATTATGAAAACAGGCGGGGCTACTATTTGAGCAAGGGCTACTATTTGAGTTTTTACGGTAATCGAATAAAATGCAAGTAAATTATGAGAAATATTCAAACACAATATTTTTGCTATACAGCGTCAGCTTATCTTTTACCTGTCTAATTGCGAAAATTTGTTCGTCTGGTAATACATAAATCAAGATCAATAATAAGTATGGTTATCCACAAAGTTGCTGATAAAGCTGTATGCATCCGTTCTGACTAATAAATCCCTGTTTGTGCGTTTGGTGCGCAATTAATAACGTCTTTTTGCGAAACAAATTGATGCATATCAACTTGTATACATACATATGTATGCAAACCAGGGGATTATGCACATATGTATGTATCTATTCTATATATCTACATACGCATGTATGTGTATGGTGGGAATGCAGATATATAAATTTGCGGTGTATTGTACATAAATTTGTATATGTACATATGTATGTACATATGTATGCATGGAATGGTTAAGTCCTTCAGAATACTTACTAAAGTTTCTCTGGCCCTGCATGAAATGGTAATTAATAGTTTTACTTGAATTTAACAAAAACACAAAGTTTAGGTTAATCTTATTATTATGACTCTGTTTTGCGTAATTAATAAAATTCACCAAGAATATGTAACACAAGAAAATGTGTTTTAATATCATTCATAATCTTCAAATTAACAATTGAATTCAAAGGGTACGCAAAGCCGGATGCTGGGCGAGGTTGTAAAGAAATATTGTCCTTCAGTTCTGAAAATTAAAAGCTAAATAAATACAAACTGACAAACTATTGCAGCAAAAGTGATTACAATCATTATTCATACCCATTAGTCGGAATTAATTCACCTGCCCGTATGTCGAGATTTTCATCATCGCAAGGGCAATAAATCCTTAGCCCCCAATCCTTAAAGTGCTTACACTTGCAGGCATTTACAACTTGGTTTATTGTGACGGCAAACACTTCCACAGCAATGTTGTGGCTGCAAACTGTTTAAAATTTTGAATAATTTCTACTTTAATAGATTCAAGTCAATTATTCTTAACCCTTTAAACTGTAACGAAGACAATAGTCGTTTTATAAGAAATGGTTTAATTCGGGAGTAAGATAAAAGTCGTCTTAAAAAATCGTGGTCATGGCGCGGAAGGAAGACAATTGTCGTTTCTAGGAGGTCATTGATTTTCACCATTATCTCTCCGCGATCTAAAATTTGTTGCAATTTTGTGGGATTTCTCCTATGCCAACACAATGCTAAATTTGAACATTTTCTTCCCGAAAATGTAGATACTTCCCTATACAACGCAATGTTAAATTTTGGATTTTTCAGTTTTTCGAGTTTTATTAAAACTCCTGAATTTCTCCTCCAGCGCCATGACCACAACAAACTTATAGCGTTCCCGAATAAATGAAATTTCTTGTTGTTATTAATACACGTTAAAGGGTTAAATACTTACTGGATTCCCCAAAACAGCCTGGCTGTAGTCGACCACCATTAGCTGAGATTAGCAAAAAAGAGATCATTGAGTTCTTTATCATTGTTCATTTTTTGTATACCCATGGTAAAAATCTACATGTCCCACCATTCCGAGGTATCCAAGTATTCCTGTGTTGGTGTGATAAATATCCACAAAGGAAGCATCACTCTCATCCAAAATTAGGTCAAGCGGAAGATGCTGAAAACTTGGACCGGAAGGATCCAATTATGAAATGAGCCCCAACTTCTGCCCTGGCCGAACTATTTGAATTCTGTGACCAACCTGACCTGCTACATGGCAACCGAGACTATGCCCCACAAGATGGATTTGATGAGGGGTGGAAAAATCTTGATCAACTAAAAACTCAATGAACTTCGCGATGCGTTTGGAAACTGTTGGAATGTTTTGAACCACGACAGGGAAGGATTGTACAATGACGGGTATTGTTAGCGGAGATTCTGCTGGAAGCGATAGGAGCCCCCAATCTACGGTGATTACGTTGTAGTTTAGTCCAGAGCGAAGATATTCTGTGCGGCATGTTATGTAAGTGTATGTAAAAATTTTACTACACTCAAAATAATTAGGTAGTAATGAATCATTACCATGCGGAATGACTATGTGGCTCTACCACGTCGGTTGCGATTTCTAGTAGAAATGGTAATAATAAGTTCAGGGAAATTCAAATTTAATACATAATGGTATTCACTTCCTTAATATCTGGTAATAAGTTTGAATTTCCCTGAACTTATTATTACCATTTCTACTACAAATCGTAACCGACGTGGTACAGCCACATAGTCATTCCGCATGGTAATGATTCATTACTACCTTATTTTGAGTGTAGTAATCACCATAAATAAAATTATGAGTTTGAAAAAAGTCTCACCATTCCTTACTGTGACTGGCATATGTGTTTGGGAATTAGAGATGAAGCCATGAATTAAAAATAATGTTTTGTTCCTGCTCCTAAACTCAAACCTTTTCAAGGGTTTTTTGTCATATGGGAGAAGTTCAATTGTTTGTTCAGGGTTCCTGCAACAGATTAATTTCGACCTATGGAAATGGTTTAGTCGTATTGAAATGAATGCTACCTACTCTGGGTAAGGATGCAGGTAGAAATGGACGTCGTTTGGGTTATCTGAAACTGAGCCATTTATTGCAGATTCCACACTCTAAATAAAAATGAGTAAAATTTACCCAAGGTTGGGTAAAAAAGAGGATGACACAACTAGAGGGTAAAATTTGTCCAACGTTGTGCAAAATTTATCCAAAGTTGTGTAAAATTTACCCAATGTTGGGTAAATTTTACCTTTTAGTTGTGTCATCCTCTTTTTTACCCAACCTTGAGTAAATTTTACTCATTTTTATTTAGAGTGCACAAAGAACAGTTTAAGTAGAATTAGATAAAAGTTTGACTTGGTCATAATGACCACCGGTTTTATGATCCAATGTTTTATTGGCACTGAGACCGAAATATAACAAAATTGTCACGAATCTCGCTTTTATTGCGTGGAAAGTCCCATCATTTGTCATCCAATCTCAAAGATGTTTTGCATTCATGATAATTACATGTATTTCGGTCTGAGTACGACACAATTATCGTGATTCTTTCTTTAAATGCATAATGGGGCTTTCCATGCAAGTAGTGAAATCGTGATTTGGAGAAATTCAGAACATGACATTATCATGAATAGGAAATGCAAATCATGCTGGAAAGGCGTCTTTGTGACTCGGTCCAAATTATGTACATTGATTTGGTAATCTTACTGCTAAATCTTACCATAATGTTCTGTTGTCTTGAAAATGTGTGCACCAGTGTTGATTTCTTGTGTCCGAATAGTTATGTATGTGTATATAAATGTCCAAAAACTTTTTCATACGCAATCTCTACTTCGTGTCCCATCCTGCAGAACTTACGCATTCATTTGCACACAATTGTTTATCCTATTCCATCAGCGTATCAGTATTTATTGAATTATCACACAAAGCATAACTAACCTGGTAATAATTTGGGGGGCGGGTAATCATCAAGAAAACATGCAATTCTTTTGATTTTGTAATCAAAAATTCGTCGCTACCCGCTTCGACCCCATCATTACATAACAAGTTAAAACACCATTTCACACAATTGTGATCATTCCTATGGATTAAATCTCATTCTTAATAGATGAGATGTTTTAATTAAATATTTCCATGCAATTCTTAAAAATTTGTAAAGGTTTGTTTTAGTCCTGATTATTAAGTAGCGTCAGCTACTTATTGTGATCGTTTTGTCCGTCCGTCCGTCCGTCCGTCTGTAAGCAGGATATCTCTAGAACGAGTCAACATAATTAAACCCCGTTTTCGCCACTGTGCTTCTAATTTTTAATTCTCGGTCGAGTTCGGAAATTGGGTCAATCCGACCACACCCAACGGCGCCAGTGGGTGTGGTCGAAATTAAATTGAACGTTAATTTTCATGTGGGGTGTCATTTTAAAGGAAATTTGACGGAGATTTCAAATAAGTAAATAGTTTTGACCTCATGACCTTGACGACGAGGTTAAAGGTCAAAAAATGCATCATTGTCAAATGGGGTGTCATTTTAAAGAAAATTTGACGGCGATTTCAAGGACGTTAATATTTTTGACCTCATGACCTTGACGACGAGGTCAAAGGTCAAAAAAGGCATAATTGTCATATGGGGTGTCATTTTAAAGGAAATTTTACGGCGATTTCAAGGACGTTAATATTTTTGACCTCATAACCTTGAGATCCAGGTCAAGGGTCAAAGATACATAATTGTCATGGGATATGATAAAATTTAAAGGAAACTTATATCGCTCTGACGCTACTTTTTTATATTCGTTTGGAGGGTTTATTTATGTATTTGAAGCCAAAACAAGTTATCACACTAAATCGAAACTTAAAAGCTAATGGGGACAAATAAGCTACACTATACTGTACCAAAAAAGTTGATCATTATTCAAATGCCAATGCATTGTTTGTTAAATTCATGTAATTAAATATTTACATGGCTGGTATGTATGTATGTATGAATGATATGCAGTCTGTTTTTACAATATTCCTAACATTATGTCACACATACATGCATACATAAATAACAAATACAGGAATAATTATGAATATCAACGTAATATGTGTTCTAGTTTTCTCGGATCCATAAATATGGATCTGATGTATGGATTGCCCATATATGTATGCATTTGGCCCCCACGAGATCGTGGGGACAAATGCATTGACTGTCCCCACGGCAAAATGTCTGTGGGGACATTGTCCCCACGTTTCCGCGGCCACTGCTTGCATAAGACATAAATTCTTACATATTTCATAATTTTATACCTCTATGTATGTATGTACATATTTTTTTTAAATTTGGGTCAGAATTATTGAATATTTTGTTATATCCTGTGAATGTATGTATAGCTCATATGAAATAGAGTTCCAAGTTCTCAATATTGCGTAGATAAATTTCTGTCTCGACTTCTGGCGGCTGTGGGGGAGGCATTTTTGAAAGTAGAGAGTTGAATTTTTGTACACAACTATCTGAGGATAACATGCTCCTCTGTTCTCAATTTTGACCCGCTACGACAAACCGTTCCGGGGTTATTCAAGGTCAAATACGTTTTCAGCAACGTGCTGGACTCTCTGTATTTATGGAATTATGCGATTGTAGGTTTTAGATACTATATTACATATGTACATATGTATGCATGTACGCTGCATTTATTCTTTACTGCATGTTATATAATTTGAATATCTAAGTTACGTTTAAATTTAAGGAGAAATCCGAATTATCGAAGAGCTGATAATTACCGGGCAAATATTTGTCATCTGCCGAAATGTAATGTACTTATTACGTATTTTGTTTGAGTACCGGTTATGGATCCGGATCTTGACGTTGACAATTGCATTGACTGGAACTCGAATTCAGGTTTAATTATATATCTGGGAGTGGAGTTTATTCGCAGTTTTAATTAGTACCGCAAAGAAATTTTATGTTTAGAATGAATAGTAATGATGAAGTTATAATAATGATGCAATTTTTTCGCGATGAATATTCCACGAAAATTGTACATATTCAAGAATGCAAATAGCTTAAATGCGTATTCTTCGTAAATTTTTATGAGAGCTCATGAACACCCTCGTTTATTTGGAGAAATGAACTCATCCATTTACATACCCGGTTCGTCAATTGTGTCTTGCTGCATATGTATGTATGTATGTACGTCATATTTACATAACAAATATTGCATGATTTCTGCATATGTAAATCTTGATTCATGAGAAGGAAAGAACAATTAAGAGACTGACATGCAAAAAATTTGAATATTTATACCTACCATTATTTGTTTCGATTGATTAAGGGAAATCTGATTATTGCACGGTATTTTCAAAGCCTTACATAAGTATCGATTACTTGGAGAGCTCACAAAGGCAATGCAATTAGCCGGATTTTGTTAGTTTAGCAAATGAGGAGTTAGTCTTGAGTATTACGAACAAGTAGAAAATTTGCAGTTTATTTACACATATTTTACATAATTTATGTAGACATATGTACAACATCTTATCGGATCAAAATTTCTGTTGAAAGTTGGTATCGATTTTGTACTCTTTGCAGCACTTTTCCCAAAAATTTTGATCCAACAGTAGCTCCAATCGCAGGGATATTATTCCGTAGTTACCTATACATATTTAATTATACGAAAAGTGGAATATACTTATACAGAGGGTTAGAAAAAGTACAAATTTAGAGCTAATCTCCCATCTGACACCCGCCCCCGTTCCCTGGGTGGAAGTACTCGGTGTAAAAGTGGTCGTATCCTGCATCGTGGAAGAATATGTGACACTTGTCGTTGTTGGGTCATCAGTGGTCGAGATGGGCGCCAGTGATGAAGTAATTGTCGCCGGCGTAGTTGGAATGGTCGTTGACATCGTAGTGGTTGAAGTTGGAGGAATTGTGGGATTGGCAATGTCGTCGAATGGGGTTTCCTATAATATTCAGGAAGATTAGCACATTTTATGTATTCGAGTTGCTGCAAATTATTAGATTGCATGATTATAATAAAGTGGGACTAAAAAATTGCATACCGCCAATTTTTCGCAAAAGAATTGCTTCGTCGCCACTAATCCCGGCATTCTTGGTATATCTTGGGAGTATTTGGTGACCCAAATCTGGTCACCATAGGCATCCATTATGTCACGATAGAAGAGGTGATCGGAGGGAACCAGATTTTCTATTCTGGTCATTCGGGTGGCCCCCGTGGAGTAGGATGGGTTAGGAGTTGGGTCGCAAATCATGTACCCATCGACTAATTGGTAGTTGATATTGAGACGGGCTGTGAAACCAAGGTAGGTATGGTTGAAGGGTCCCACGGTGGTTAAGGGGTTGCCCATATCGGTCCCAGAAGTAGAGTGGGTTCCTGTGTAAATACATGTACATATGTACAGTAGAATTAGTATTAAGGGTCACCTCATTTGCATAAATCTCCAATTTCATCGATACGGATTTTTCACGTCGAATAAACCATGCCTGACGCTTGTAGATACGTCAAAATATGCAAAGGAGGTGAACCGCAACAATAATTCTACGTAAATACTACATACATATGCAAAATTTGTACAAAAAAAAGGTTTTTGTAAGCATTTTCAACTGTAAAATTATTGAATTCTTTACACAAATAGTTATTCCGTGATTTCTTACCAACTATACTCGGGTTACTTGCAGGAAGCATTTCCAGCCTGAGACTGCCCTCGTTAGAAATTGACCAAATTGACGTTGTCCTTAAATCGGGCCAATAAATGTGAAACTTGGCGTCGCTAAATTCGCAAGTTTTTTATTATTATTTTAATACTTGTTAACATTTCAAAATGAAAATCAATTTAAATACATACTTACCTGAGATTACTGTTAAAATCGTAAAATGTGGCGGACACATTTACCACGCGTAGCCCTGAGAAGTCATGTTCGCTTCCGGTGTGACCATGATTGACAAACCAGTCCCTGAATTGGACAAATTTCTCTCGAATGTAACCCTCAATTCTGACATCGGCTAGAAAAATATATGAGCAAAACTTCTGAATATTTGGCGAATTTTCACTTTGCTTTAGTAAGTTCGAATTTGAGGCAATTATCAAATGCTCAGAGCAAAATGTGTTCATACAAAACTTCAAAAATACACACTTTCCTTATATTCTTACCTGGGTTGGTTTGAGCTAATCCGGTGTCACAAAGGAGCAATAAGTTAACAATTATTATGAACTTCATGATTGAATATGTTTGCCAAAATGTGTTCGAACGTTTCATACAATGCGAAAAATTAAGGTTAAGCAGCGTAAGTTTTGCAGAAGGGTATTTATTTGACATGTGTCGGATAACGTTACTGAATTGTGTGTAACTCCAATGTATATATTCAAGGCAGGTGAGGTGAGGTTTTACCTGCTTATCAGGAATCTGATGACGTACGGATAGCAATAACCAATTAAGCGTGGTGACTCAAGGTAACGAAAACGTCACATATGTATAAACGCAATGTTGTCCTGCAAGATGAGAATGAATTGAACAAGAGGCTCTGCATTATGGATTTTTGCGAATTATAAAATACACACATGTTTATGTATGTACATATGTATGTATGTAGACTCAAGAAATGGCCATTTACGATTAGTGCAATTTCCAGTCGTATTAGTAGAAATAAAAACAAGAATGAATCGTCCCCGTCTCTCAGGTATACCACACCCACCAGCCTAATTGTACTTGTACGTACATATATGCATTAAATTCGAGATGATAAGTATGAAACATCTGTGACGTAGCTGAGGTATAAATATATAACTTCTTTAACATGTTTACCACATTCGGTATAAATTAAACAGTTCTGCATATAAGTAAAAAGCAATTCACACGGATTTCTGTAAGGCAGTAAATTTGATCATATTATTATGCAGGCTTATAAAGAAATGAAGAGAAATTTGCTTTTAGAAACTGACGGGCAAGTCTTTAGTGTAGCTTTCAAGTGCCAAATTGCAGTTTATTAATTTGTCACTATCAGTTTAAGACACAAATATTTTACCTATTTTATACAAAGGAACATGCAATACACATATCTGTACTAAGCTATTTCTTTATTATACTAATTTATTTATATGAAAAGTGGAATATGCTTATACAGAGGGTTAGAGAAAGTAAAAATTTAGAACTGAACTCCCATCTGACACCCGCCCCCGTCCCCTGGGTGGAAGTTCTCAGCGTAAAAGTGGTCGTCTCCTGCGTCGTGGAAGAGTGCGTCCCATTTGTCGTTGTTGGTTCTTCAGTCGTCGAGATTGTAGGTGCCGGTGACGACGTAGTTGGCGCCGGCGTGGTTGGAGTGGTCGTCGTCAATGTTGTCGAGGCTGTGGACATCGTGGTCGTTGAGGTGGAAGGAGTCGGAGGATTGACAATGTCGGCAAATGTTGTTTCCTACATATTCGTAGAAACATACGTATCAGTAAATTTTCAACAAATGAAACATTGGTCACAAATTGCATATTAGTAATTAAAACAGAAATTTGCATACCGCCAACTTTTCGCAAAGAAATTCTTTCGTCGCCAATAATCCCGGCACTCATAACATATCTTGCGAATACGAGCCCCACATCTGGTCACCATACCTGTCCATAACTTCCCCATAGAAGGGGTGGTTGTTTGGGAGGAGATTTTCTAGCCTGGTCAGACGGGCGGTAGACGTGGAATATGTGGGACCCGGTGTTGGATTGCAAATGAGGTAGCCATCGATAAGTTGGTATTCGACGTTCAAGTGGACGGAGAAGGATACGTAAGTGTGGTTAAAAGATCCCGTGGCGTCTAAGGGGTTACCCATTTCGGACCCAGTAGTGGAGTGGGTTCCTATATATAATATCGATGTGTATTACACTTGTATGCACATACATACATACATGCGTTACATATAAATATGTACATGGATGCAAATTACAGTACAATCTTAAAAACCCAGTTTTAAGATGATACCAAACGGTACTCACTACTCATACATATGCACATGCAAATTATGTAAATATGTATAACTACAAAAATTTTAGTGCTATATACCGTGTAGAAATATGTAGTTCAGTATTAAAGTTTTCCCTCATCGGTATCAATTTTTGACGAACAGGGATAATTTGAATACCAGGCGGTAGCGACTTTAATTGAGAAATTTGTAACTATACGTTACTATAGGAAATTTTAAACAGTGTATAATTATTTATGGGTGTCCCCTCATTTGTATAAATCTCACTATGTCCGTCTTAGGCGATACATGCTTTCCAAGTTAAATAAATAAACTCGCTAATAATGCGTCAAAATATATTTTGACACATTCCATATATGGAAATGGTGCGACACATCGGAATACCTCCTTAATTCTTTGATGGATTTGTGTTTCCGCAAGATAAGCCCTTAGTACAGAGGCATAAGATCTCTTACCAATTATGTTTGGGTCACTGGATGGGTCCATTTCTACCATGATGCTACCCCGACTAGAAAATGACGTGATTGACTTTGTCCGCAAGTCAGGCCAATAAATGTGTAACTTGGCTTCACTGAAATAAATTTAGTTTTTGAACTATTAATCGTAAAAATCAAAATATGATAGTAAAAAACGGTATTAATGAACTTTCAATATCTCCTCAAGACTTCGCTTATTGACATGACAACTCAATTGCCTAACAAGGGTAGTTTACGAAACAGTGCCAAAACATGCCAATTTTCTTGGCAACCAAGAATTGTGTAAATATGTCTGTAAGTTTCCAGCAAAAATTGCAAACTATACATGCGTATACTTTTGAGCAGATTTCCGACCTGTCCAAAATTTAACGGTAGTCCGCCTACTATGTAAGTTCGCTTACCTGAGGAGACTGCTCAATTGGTAAAATGTTGAAGAAACGTTTATCACGCGTGACCCGGGGAAGTCGTGTTCCCTTTCGGTGTGACCGTGGTCAACAAACCAGGCTCGGAATCCGTCGAATTTAATCCGGACGTAATTTTGAATTCTGATATCGACTAAAAAAAGTGGACATAATTTTGAATTTTTTGCTTACAAATTGGGATTAGAATTTTGGAAATATGTTAATGACTCATTGATCATACGGTTTTCATGAATTAATGCAACTACGCGTAAAAATAATTGGAGATCTTCATTAAAGGGCAAAACAACCTAATTTTAAAACAAATGCGAACTATCTAAATACTAGCGTTGCTCATGGGCAAGTTCGAAAATGAATTTGCAAGCCAAACTTTTCTGCGAACTGTTTTTTTTGTGAACTGTTTTTTTTTGCTAACGTTGTTAACGATATCTACGAACCCGTTATGAATACCCGCATTGTCACGAAGACCAAAAACCATAATTTTTTCTTACCTTGGTTGGGTTGCAAGGAACCTTTTCCAAACAGTAGAAACAAAGTTACAATTACCGTAAAGAATTTCATAATTAAAACTACTAAAAAATTCCGTTTCTATTTTTAAGCAGTGAAAAAAGGTATGTATAATACTCAGAATCAGCAAAATAATCTTTTTCGAGAAGTTTGCTCGCCGTTAAACGTTACTTTGTATGAACTCCAATGTCACGCGAGGTTTTGCTTATATGTAAGTTCTGTACATGCTTATCAAGAATCTGATAAAAGATGGAACCATACAAAATCAATTAAACGCAGTGAGTCAGGGTTACGATAACGTTACCGACTACGTAAACGTTATCCACGTGTCTTGGTAAATCCTGGATGACTGTTACGAGGGTCTGTGCATTATGGATCGTGGCGAATTCTGACGAGGGTACATATGTACACTGTAAAGCATCCGATAGAGTCACATATGTATCCCGTACTGGTATTGACTTGGTAATAATTCCCTACCGGAATAGTAATATGTAATTTGATTCGGAGTGGTAACGATTTCATTACCACCATATTACTACGCGATAACCATCGATATTACCGATGCCGGTAGAGTCACATATATATGTACTCCGTCCGGTAATAATATGGAATGATTCAATACCAATTGCCTAAGAGTGTACGTACATTGTACACTGTTAAAAATCTGAAAGAGTCGCATGTTTACATGAATACTCCGTACTGGTAATGATCTGGTAGTAACTTTCTGCCAGATTGGTAGTAATTTTTTCTGAGGAGCAAATTTTGCATTAACGCAACATTACATACTTCATGGTAATGTTCGTTATTACCATGCCAGTAGAGTCATACATACATATCTATGTACATATTCCGGTCAGTAATAATGCAAAGTTCCTAAGTGTGTATATGCACATATGTACAAAGTAATGTCAGGCGAGGTCTTACATGCTTTTATCATCAAATTGATGACGCCAAACTGATAAGTACTGGAGTAATAAACAATTAAACGTGGTGAGTCAAGGTAATGAAAACGTCGCAGACTACATACGTAAAAGTTATCCTGGAGGATAAGAATGAATTGTACGAGAGTCTCCGGACTATAGATTTTTGAGAATCATAATGTATGTATGTATGACATATGTATGCCCAAAGACTCAAGTACATATGTATGTATGTAATTGACATTTAGTACAATTTGTAGACGGTCTTCTAATGGTTACATACATATGTACATACAAGCAAAATTTATATATATGTATGCATTAAGTTTAGGCTAAGCAAAACTTAGGATTAATCATTCCCATCCGTCATATACCGTACTCATCGGCCTAGAATATGTGCACCTACATATGTACATATATGTACATATATGTACGTATGTAAATAGGTAGGATAGAACTTCGTCACATTGTGTATAAATTAAAAGTTACCGAGGTATAAAAATCACTGCACTCTGATTTTTGTACAAAATCCTGCAAGTTTTTTTTCAAATCAAACTTTAAGAAGTCTCTACATATATGTGTTCACGTAGCAATTGAGGAGCTAGTCTTAAATTCATACAAACATATTTGGCCCAAGTGGTACATAAATTTGTGATTTATTCATTTGTCTCCTATGTAAATACACCCCCATATTTTCCGAAGTTTGTACAACATGAGATATTAATAGGATCAAAATTCTGTTGAAAGTTGGTTTCGTTTTTGGAACTTTTGTTCATGCAATTTCTCCAAAATTTTGATCCGACAACAGTTCTAAAGACAGCGATGTTACTACGCAAATTTATTTATACAAGTCGAATATATTATACAGAGGGTGAGAGAAAGTAAAAATGTAGAAATGCCCTCCCATCTTACACCCGCCCCCGTCCCCTGGATGGAGGTGCTCGCTGTGAAAGTGGTCGTCTCCTGCGTCGTGGAAGAGTGCGTCACATTTGTCGTTGTTGGGCCATCCGTGGTCGAGATGGGTGCCAGTGATGACGTACTTGTTGCCGTTGGAATGGTCGTAGTTGTCGACCCCGTTGACATCGTAGTTGTTAAGGGAGGAGGAGTTAGAGGACTGATAATGTCGACAAATGTTGTTTCCTACATATTTATTTATTAATAAAAACGAGTAATTTTATTGCTTATCAACAGAGTTTCGGGTTAAAATAAGCACTGCAATAAACAATAGCAAAAAAGTGGTTTCTTGCAGCTGCTTATTTCGACCTGCAAGAAATGCAAGCCACAAGAAACTATAAATAGTTCTTAGGGCGCTTCGCTAAATCACGCATATTTATATTGCGAATTTTCTTAGTTTCTTGTATTTGCATTGCAGTGGAGGAAGTGTAGCAGACCCGCAAGAAATCGGACATATGTAAATATATAAATTACATATATACATTTGTATTAATATCAGAACAATCCTCAAAAATTTGCATACCGCCAACTTTTCACAAAGAAACTGTTGCGTCGCCAACATTCCCGGGAGTTGTACGATATCTAGGGCATATGAGATCCATATCTGCGTGCCATAGTTCGCCATGATCTCGACATACCGTGGGTGGTTGGTTGGGAGGAGATTTTCTAACGTGGTGAGACTCCTGACAGCTGAGGAGTACCCCGGATTCGGTGTTGAATTACAGCGGAGATACCCATCGATAAGTTGATATTCGACATCCAAGTGGACGTTAAAATCCGCGTAGGTGTGGGCAAAAAGTCCCGTGCCGTTTAAAGGGTTGCCCATTTCGGACCCAGTGGTGGAGTGGGTTCCTACATAAATTATTTTTGTGGGTCACCTCATTTGCATAAATCTCACTGGGCGTACTCACGACAACGTCTTATTTCGCATCGCAACTCATTTAATAAACTTGCGACGATCAAAGTATTTGTGTTGTGAGGGGACTCGCAAAATCTGACTTCACAAATTTCGCAAATCTACCAAATATACCGACTTTGAGATTGTTTGAATGGATTTCTGTAATTTATCTTGATGGTGAGGACGAATTTGCGAAATAATTTTGCGAAACTTGCCCAATTGCTGGGTAAATTTGCGAAAAAAATCCCATGGTTTTCTAGGGAAAATTTTGAGAAATCTCGCAAGTTTCGCAAAACTTCGCAAGTTATGTTGCTATGCGTCAAAATATGTAAATGAAGTGACTCGCACAAATAATTCCACTATACATACATATCTATATGCGCTTGCTCAATATGATTCAGATCGCATAATATCTCTTACCAATTAAGCTTGGGTCACTGGGCGGATCCAATTTGATCATGATGCCACCCCCGCTAAAGTTTGAGGTGATTGACAGTGTCGATAAGTCAGGAAAATAAATGTAAAACTTCGCGTCACTGAAATAAATTATGTTTAAGTTATCTTTTTGTATTTAGTATTACATAATTATGAAAATTAATAAGCGATATGTCATCGTTTTATGAGCATGTATACAAATATTAAAATAAATCCATTTGGTATATATGACTCCACCGAAGTGGTATTAATAAGCAACACCATGGAGTCATAGCTCAATATTAAATGTTACCATGTCGGTAACAAATTTGTATAGATCTGTTTAATTTTGATCCCAGAGAACATCAAATTTATGCAAAGTTTAGCGTGCAGCGTGAGTCCGCCTAATGCATAAGTTGACTTACCTAAGAAGACTGGTCAAATGGTATATTTCTGCGAATTCTGCAGAAACGTTGACCACACGTGGCTCAGGGAGGTCGTGCTCTCTTGCGGTGTGACCTAGGTCAAGAAACCAGGCTCGAAAACCGTCAAATTTATCCCGAACGTAAGCTTCAATTGCGACATCGACTAGAAAAATGTTTTTTTACAAATAGGAATTTTCACCTTTGACTTCGTGACCCTCATCATTATTTAACATCATATTATTCTATATATATTCGAATTTATGAAACCTCACTTCGGTTAAGTTTAAGTAATCATTAACAAAGATACGATTTTAGTTAACATAACATAACGAACCAAGAAAACACTTTCGCACGTTAAACAAAGCCATGAAAAAAACGTGATCTATTTCTGAGAAACTTTAATCAGTAGGCGAGAAGAATATGTGCATTTCACGGTACAAATAATTAAAACAATTGGTAACAATTAACTGAGTAAAATGGTTTTCCCCAAGACTGAAAACCATTATTTTTTTCTCACTTGGGTCCGTTTGCGAGGATCCTTTTCCAAAAAGTAGCAGCAGCAGAGAAACAATTGCTAAGAAAAATTTCATGATTCGAAAATACTTAAAAAATACGCTTCTAATTTTAACCAGTGGAAAAAGCTATGCATAATTCAGTCAGCTGAAGTTCGGTTCCGTTACTGAGTTTCAATACAAATGTCACGGGAGGTTTTGCATGCTTATCATCAATCTGATAAGAATTGGCACAATAACGAGTTAAATGCTGGGAGTCAGGGTCACGACAATGTTACATGTCATGCATTCTAAACGTGTCGTTGTATGTAAATCCTGAATGAATTTTGCGAGGGTCGTGCATTATGGATTTTTGCGAATCCATACATATGCTTTGTAGTCACCAACATACATATGTACATACATACATTTACTTACCTGAATTGATAACCCTTTGCAGAGTGGTTAGCTTACATACGCAAAAAAAATTAATTTCATTATTAGCAAAGAATTACTAAACGGTTCTGTCCGTTATTACCGTGCCGGTAAAGTCATATCGCCCAGTGAAGATTTAATACCAGTTTCGCCTAATCCTAAGAGTGATATATTTACATACATACATATGTAATGTCATAAATGATAAATTCCTAACTTTTTCAAGCTAATTTTACTTTAATCCGAGTTTAACACAGCTAAGTAAAAACAGGGTCCAAATAAATTACGTCCATTCTACATAATAATTCTGTAATGTGACATTTCAGTAACAATTATGGGATGAGTTAATTTCGACGAACATTTCCAATCTTATGTGTGTATTTAATAATAATCAAATATTTTTGCATCTTCTGGGCGGAGTATTGGATTTTTTATTTTTAAATTTATATCTTCCAATGAAACCCTGTCATCTTCATCAGGCAAAAATACAAAGATTTTGGAATTTTTAATTAATTTTATCTTTCAGTGAAAGATAAACTCAATTAGTTAGTTGCACACCCAAAGTTCCCAAAATTGAGTTTTGGCTTGGTCACACCCCCAAAGTTCAAATTCTTGTCACACTCGGAAGCGTTGCATAAATAAAATGAATTAAAACTGCCAGATTCAATTTTCGGTATCGAAATATCGATATTTCGGTATTTGAATACCGAATACCGAAATACCGAAACCGATATCGAGATTACATGCCCTATCTTTCACCATTGTATTTATTAAGTAAATAATTATCACCGGATGCAACTTTTGTCTCTGTGTTTTTAATCTTAAAAGCTTGTATACACGTTGATCGCGTAAACATTTTTGCTTATCTTATCTTATCACACATCCTGCCCCTCTTTGAGTGGCAAAACTTCAACTAAATATGTATGCAAAATTTAAATCGTGCACATTTACATAATCTAATCACGTCATAAAACAGGGGAAATACCTTGTCGGCTTTTACAGAGTGATGACTGATTAATGCAAAAGTATTTTGAGATATATATTGAGCACGTCAAACATTTGGACTGTAGGGTCATACTCATGTTACGATTAAAGTGAATTAAATATGCAGGATAATTCCAACCCAGGCAAAACAAACAAGTGTTTAACGTCATAAATGCTGGATCCCCTGGACGGCATTATCTTTAATTCGTGTTCGGTCAGGATGTGAATAAAACAAATACATACATATGTCAACTATTGATTCAATACATGTCCAGCTGGTTGCCAGAAGAACGACAGCATCCAACAATTAAAATATTTAATAACCATTCTCGAAAATTTCTTGGCAAAATGGATCGCACCAATAAAATTACAATAAAGCAGTACAATTTTGCAGCCCCATTAAAATATAGAGGCGACCCTTCGAACAACGAGGTGACAGAAGAAAGGGTTGGAGGACTTGAAATTTCTGGGATGGTATGATTTTTATAGGAAAATTATCATTTCGAATAAAAAACAGCTTTTAAAGAGATGGCGGAATCGGGTAATGGAATTTTCGAGTCTTAACCGATCCGTTACCCGGAAGTCCAACTACCCAGTACGGGTATGTTAACTCTTTATCAGCTTTTAAGAATTAACTACAGTGTCGGACAGATGTCTACGTCCACATAGTCGCGTCAATTTCATTTTCAAATTGTCACTGAACTACTGAACCAATTTTCATCATTGATATATCAAATTCTCACAAATTTAACGTAATTTCATAGCACATTATTAGTTTTCCACTAAAAAATTTATTTTAGGCCAGAGATGTATTTTAATTCAAAATGAAAACAATTGGATGGACAAAAGTCAACGTCCAGTCAGAGAAAACATACAAAAAAAACTGTAATTTATAAGGAATGTTATAACAATTAATTTTTAATATTTGGTTGGGCCTCCGTTCGCTTTAAGGACGGCTTCAAGGCGTCGAGTCATTGAGTTTACCAAATTCTTGGTCACATCTTCAGAAATGGTTTCCCAAACTTCACGAATTCTGGATTTAAGGCCCGGAATTCCTGAAAAAGATTGTTTTCTTATTTCTCTTTCAATGTGGTCGCACAGATGCTCAATGGGATTCAAGTCTGGAGATTGGGGAGGCCATTCTAGCTTCGGAATTTTTTTTTCTTGAAGTATTCCATGGTGGACTTGGCAGAGTGTTTCGGATCGTTGTCTTGTTGGAAGGCAAATCGTCGTCCAAGTCCAAGTTTTCGAACAGATTCCTGGATATTACGGTCAAGTATTCCCTGGTACTTGTATTGGTCCATAATTCCGTCAATAAATTCCATTTTTCCTGCCCCACTTGAAGCCATGCATCCCCACACCATTACCGACCCGCCGCCGTGCTTAACTGTGGGGTTGAGATTTTTTGGATTCAAAGCTTCTTTTGGATATCTCCACACTCTACGACGCCCATCTGACCCAAAGACATTGAACTTTGACTCGTCAGTCCATAAAATATGTCCCAGAATGTTTGTGGCTTGGAAATGTGGTCTCTGGCAAACTTCACTCGTTTGGTTGCATTCCTCGGTACAATAAGAGGCTTCCGGACTGCTCTCTGGGATTTCAAATTTCCCTTATTCAGTGTTCTTTGGATGGTCATAGGACTAACCTGTTTGCCGAACATCTCCTTGATCTCGGTAGATAGCTTTGGAGCACTAAGTGAGGGTGTAACGTTGACTTTGTTGAGCACGTGGCGTACTTCTCGGTGAGCCAAAATGGGTTTTCGACCACTTCTGACCTTGTTTTGGACTGAACCATTAGCTTTAAAGTTCTTAATGATTGTCTGGATGGTTGTCCTTGCTAATTTATACTTGGTCCATATTTGTCTCTGCGACAGCCCCCTTTTTGTCCACCCTTCCAGTCCTGAATGACAAGATCTCGAATAGCGATAGGAATTTCCTTGCGTGTCGACGCCATCATATTTTTCTGGAAGAAAATTATTTAAAAATTAATGCGGCATATGTTATTGATAGATTTATTAAGTTACCTGATTTTATAAATTGGAGAGATTTTTGTTGTTGACAATTAAAGTGAAGTGGACGTAGACTTTTGTCCGCTCAAATTTCATCCTCTCTCGCTCTGCACTATGATTCTCAGTTTTCCCAGAATTTTCAGAAATAACTCATATGTTTTATGAAATTACGTTAAATTTGTGAGAATTTGATATATCAATGATGAAAATTGGTTCAGTAGTTCAGTGACAATTTGAAAATGAAATTGACGCGACTATGTGGACGTAGACATCTGTCCGACACTGTAACCTCCAAAATAATGTCAGTTTAATTCATGATTTGTTTTACTACTGATACATAATTTTTATGAAATAAGTACATATGTACGTATCCGACATTGTAAATTCAGGCATTATTAAGGGGTGAAAACCCCTTTATGGAAATGTCTTGTCTGTCCGTCTGTCTGTCTGTCTGTCTGTCTGTCCGTCTGTCTGTCCGTATCCACGATAACTTTAGAACGGATTCGAATTTCGACATCCGGTTTTTGCCAACGTGTTTCTAATTTTTGGGGACGGGATGAGTTCGAAGATGGGCGTTGTAGGTCGTAAGGTCACGGCGCCACGATGACGACGCCAACGGTCAAAGGTGTCGAATTTTTTGTTTCCACCGTTTTAGACGTATTTTTGGACGGGGATTTCAGAAATCGCCATTATTTCGACGTGCGACGACCCCGTGACCGTGTCGACGACGCCAAAGTCGGAAATTTTCGAATTTTTTGTTTCCACCGTTTTAGACGTCATTTTGGACGGGGATTTCAGAAATCGCCATCATTTCGACGTGCGACGACCCCGTGACCCTGTCGACGACGCCAAAGTCGGAAATTTTCGAATTTTTTGTTTCCACCGTTTTAGACGTCATTTTAGACGGGGATTTCAGAAATCGCCATCATTTCGACGTGCGACGACCCTGTGACCGTGTGGGAGGTGTCGAATGTCGAAAAAATGACTTACAAGATTGGAACTCGTTGAACATTTTCAAAACGAAACATCATAACTTGGGCACAATAAATTTATGCGGGATTATATTTTTAGAGAAGAAAACCCCACAAAATCTCGACATTGCTGTCACCTCAGTATTCTCCTTTTCGACGGACACACTCCGACAAAAAATTATGTACAAGAATCGACTCCACATTTTCCACCTGGCCTCAAACGCTGACGAAGTTTCGGACATGTTTTTAATCTACAAATCAGTGGACGGCCCTTTGCATGAGAAAACCATTTATGGAGCTCAACACAATTATCTCATACTGTATAAATACTCTCATGTCTTTCTCCTAATTTGGAGTCAAACTGCAGCAACCAAAACGACATTTTACTACATCTGTGCTCACTGTGGAATGATATTAATTAGAATGGATTTTAGGAAACATTTTAGCACACCCAGGTTCAAATTGGCAGCAATAAATGTTATGGACAAGATCTATTCGGCAGAATTTTTATGTGAGACAAGTTATGAAAGGGTAACCTTTGCGGAGGTGGTTGCTTGGGAAATATTCTGTTATAAGAATGTTACACTAAGCAGAAAACGCCATGATGATTTGGATTCCTTCATGCCTGAGTTCTACAGTGAACATGTCATGTAAGAAATCTGATATACAGTGTAGTAGGCCAATATGTTAAGTAAGGCCATATCCCACAATTCCAATTTACACCTAATAATAATTTTAAGATGATTTCTTAGATTACCAACACTTCATATCGTCAAGCTTGTCTAACCATGAGTACATTTTGATTTCTTTAAAATTTCTAGGGAAATGCGCTACATGACATTCGCTGACAAATTCAGCCTAACTGGCGAGCTCTCAAGTAAATTCGTCACCTGCTGGGCAGAACAGCCATACACTTTAGAAATGTACTACAAACCGTTTTCTAGTCAAGTCTGGGCCTACTTGTCCACCTTCTTGGTGGGACTAACGGTCGGATACTGCATCCTGATTCAGACAAAGATGAAACGGCACATTTTTCACGTTGCTCACAATGGCGACGGAATCATGACATTTGTGGCCGCGCTATTTGAAAAATCGGCAAACGTGCCCATTTTTGTCGGTAAGATACCCGCATTTCGACTAATATTTGCTCTTTGGACGCTCCAATCTATCCTCTTCAAACAATTATACACTAGCGTCCTTATCTCATATTTAATAATCCCGCTACCAAAAACGTCAATTAGTCGCTTTGACCAACCCAGTCCTAACCAGGAAACTCCGAAGGTTTTGTCATCCGCGTTGATTCAATTTCGCGATATTTTAAATCGTACATATCAAAAGGAAGGTGACAGTTTCAAAATCAGCTCGGCTCCCTCAATGGGATTTGAGACAACGTATTCGCCACAGTTTTTATCAAATTATCATAACGACCCTGTAACCTTTCAGAGAACTTTCCAATTTAGCTTTTTCTCTTTGATATATCTTAGCATTCAAGGTTGGTTACTCCATCCGAGTGATAACATCGAACACAACAAGTTTCAAGATAGAATGCTAGCTGTTTCATCTAGGGAACAATTTTCAGCTTGGTCAGCTGATTTGAAATCTGGCGGAGATATCGAGTTGAACGAAGAGTTGTCACTTTGGTTCAAATTGGTTACAAAAGGGGACCCTTGGATTCCGAGGATGAATAGCAAGATGATGAATTTAACCTTAATGAATTCTCTCAACGCCCCAGGTCTCCAATCACCCCCAACGCAATCCTTCATGGAAGAAGACCTTGTTCAGTGTGGCCGAATGGTGCACGTGGAAGCGACAAACAAACTTGAAACAGAGATGAGTTACTTAAGAAGAAACTACCATTGGCTGGATTTCTTCAAAAGCGAGGAGTCCATAACTAGCCGTGGGGCGGGCTGGCACTTTTTGAACACAGGAAAATCTAACTTTTCAAATTGGCTGGATTGGTTTTTTGAATCAGGGTGTTACAATTTTTTGAGGTGGAGAGTACAAGTCCAGGATTATAAAGTTCGGAATGAATTTACCAAAGAAATCGCTAAAGGACATAAGGTACCGGATGTGGTAAAGCCTCTCGGGTTTAGCACCGGTATTACGACTCTATTTCATATTTGGGGAATTATGGTTGGAGCAACGGCACTTGCTGGATGCGCCGAATTTTGTAGTGGGCTAATACTCAAGATAAGGAAGAAAGAGACGCTTGTGTTTCAATTTGTAGAATAATGAACACTAATAACGGCATTATGTGTCATTGAGTATTGAAGTACGTATGTATGTATGGTTGGAGCTACGTACATATGTATATAGATGAAAGTTTACAAATAAATGTGCCCATGTTAGTGCTAAAATTGGAAATTTTGTTTGGTAGACGGATATTTAAATATATGTAAAGTCCCATTCGCATGGGATAATATCAGAATTTTCTAGCGTAATTACATACATCACGAAAGACTGGAGTGATGAAGGTACTCTCCATTCGCGCACAGTTGAACTTTTACAGAAATTGAGAATTCTGAGAAGCTATAATTATTGTCTGCCAATATGATCACGTTTGGCAAAGATATTTGCATTTTGCATTTTAACAGAAGAAAATCGCACGAGGGTTGACATATTTTACACTTTTTAAACGTATTGCCCTTTTTCTATTGTTTGGATGGATATATTTCTGCCAAATGTCACGTTTGGCAGACAATAAATATGCATCTGTTGTGACATTTATTTGTCAAAAATAAGAGATTGGGTGACTTTCATCGTAAGTGTTATGCAATGAGTAACCCATTTAATTAAATATGTATGTATGCAAATGTATTTATTTACGTGTAACAAATGAAACCTTGATAAGCATGCATGTCACCTTTAAGTTCACTAATAAGTCACCAATAAGTTCCAAACGGACGGATGAAGCATAACCAATATATACATAAATGCTCATTTTAATTAAACGCGATCCCATCCAGGATCAACATTAATATTAAATTAGGCTTGTCAAGTTATGTACACATGTACATATGTATGTATAAATACATATATTACTTACATGCATTTATTTCTGTTCACCCAAAAGCATCCCTTTCAAGTGATGAGCCTTACATAAATCGTGTCGCTTGCTTATTTTGCCTAAATTCCATTCGACCCAATGACGACATTTCAATGTTTTAATCGCATCCGTTATTAATGGTCCTTTACCAAAATGTTAGTTACTTGGACTAATGAGAAGGCTATGCAAACACGACAATCTAAATTCTACAGGCTTGACAAGTCACGAAATATATGTAAGAAAACCTTACACAGCTCGACTCTAAAAATACTTATTTAACATTCGTTTCCCATCCTTCATCGCGAACTCTAGCCTAAAACAAATAAATGGAATAGATTTCAAAACTATAAATCGCATTTCTGATATCCTTTAAACGATATTTACACGAATAAAGATGTCAAACTTTTTACTAAAATGGTCAATTTTGTATTTTATAAATCTAATAACTCTCTTCCAGTGCATTTGTCTCCCAACATTCCAAATCCATGCAGAGCATCGGCACAATTTCAATTTCGACACAATCATTTCATCCACTACGCGAGATTTTCATATTGCCACAGACTCCTCGAAACACAAACTATTATCTGAGATTTTATCAAAATTAAATTCAGCCCCTAAAACAATTCATATATTTCCACAAAATTGGAACTCGCTGAACATTTTCAGGACGAAACATCACAACTTCGGTACAATAAATTTGTGCGGGATAATATTCTTAGAGAGGAAAACCCCACAAAATCTAATCATTGCTGTCAAATCAGTATTCTCCTTTTCGATGGACACCCTCCGACAAAAAATCATGTACAAGAATCGATTCCATATTTTCCACCTGGCTTCAAACGCTGACGAAGTTTCCGATATGTTTTCCACCTACAAATCTTTAGACGGCCCGTTGTACGAAAAAACCGTTTATGGAAATAGAGTCACTTACTTTACACTGTATAAATATTCTCATATTTTTATCCTCATTTTGGGTCAAACTGCAACAGCAAGTAAAACATTTTACATCTGCGCTCATTGTGGAGTGAAATTAATTGAAATGGAGTTTTCCCAAAACTCTACACACGCTAGAAAATACTTTAGCACACCCAAGTTCAAAGTGGCCACGATAAGTGTTATGGATAATTTCTATTCAGCTAAATTTATATGTGAGAAAAGTCGCGAAAGCAGAAGTTTTACAGCGGTAATTGCTTGGGAAGTATTCTGTTATAAGAATATTACACTAAAGTCAAGACACGAATTGAATCAGGACCCCTTTATGCCTATGATCTATACGGAGCATGTCATGTAAGTTATCTGATATTTATATATACTTATTTACCTATCTGGATTAATGGTAATTCATTGCAATATGGTTTATCCTTTTTTAAATAAGAAACTGTCCGCCTCAAGGTTTGCATACATAGTAAAGAAGTCGCTCATTGAAAAAATTGGACTATAACTAATTTGTTTTCTTAGTTTGTTAACCCTCAGGGTAAATAAACATTTTTGTTGTGCGTGATTTCCCCTAAGAGGGTGATACATAGTAGGAAATCGTGCACACTTTTCGAGTTTTACCTCAATTGGATACAATGCACATATTATGTACATTGTATCGAATTTTTAAAGGAGTCTTTATATACTACATAAACACTCAGATCCCTAATATAAATATTGCTTGCGCTGATTCAAATTATGGAGAAACAGTCTCCCGAATAGCAGTGGTTACCCCTCTACCACATTATAAGCATTAATTTTTTAAAATTTGCAGGGAAATGCGCTACATGACATTCACTGATAAATTCAGTCTAACTGGCGAGCTTTCAAGTAAATTCGTCACCTGTTGGGCAGAACAGCCGTACACTCTAAAAATGTACTACAAACCGTTTTCCACTAAGGTTTGGGCCTACCTGTCCACATTCTTGTTAGGATTAACGGTAGGATACTGCATCCTGATTCAGACAAAGATGAAACGACAATTATTTCACGTTGCTCACAATGGCGACGGAATTCTGACATTTGTTGCCGCCCTATTCGAAAAATCGGCAAATGTGCCCATTTTTGTGGATAAGATGCCCGCGTTTCGAGTAATATTTTCTCTCTGGACACTCCAGTCTATCCTCTTCACTCAATTATACACTAGCGTCCTCATCTCACATTTGATAATCCCGCTACCAAAAACGTCAATTACTCGATTTGATCAACTAACCCCTAAGCAGGAATCTTCGAAGAGTTTGTCATCCGCGCTGATTCGATATCGCGATAGCTTAAATCGCACGTGGCTAGAGGAGGGCGACAACTTCAAAATCAGCTCGAATCCCTCAACCGGAAGGGATACAACGTATTCGCCAGAATATATCAAAAATTTTATCAACCATTCTTATCCATTTCCAAGAACTGCACTACTTAACTTATTCAGTTTGATATTTCATAGCATTCAAGCTTGGTTATTCAATCTGAATGATAACATCAAGCAGATGAAACATCGTGATAGACTTTTAATGATGTCAAATTGGGAAGAACTGTCAGTTTGGGCGGCTGATTTAAAATCTGGCGGGGATATCGAGTTGAACGAAGAGCTGTCACTTTGGTTCAAATTGATTACAAAAGGGGACCCTTGGATACCGAGGATGAATAGCAAGATGATGAATTTTACCATAATAAATTCTCTCAATGCCTCAGGTCTACAATCACCCCCAACGCAATCCTTCATGGAAGAAGAGCTTGTTAAATGTGGGCGGATGGTACACGTGGAAGCGACAAACAAACTTGAAACGGAGATGGATTACTTAAAAAGAAAATACCACTGGCTGGATTTCTTCAAAAGCGAAGAGTCCATAACCAGTCATGTGGCAGGATGGCACTTTTTGAACACAGGAGGATCTAGCTTTTCAAACTGGCTGGATTGGTTTTTTGAATCAGGGAGTTACAATTTTTTGAGGTGGAGAGTACAAATCCAGGAGTATAAAGTTAGGAACGAATTTACTAAAGAAATCGTTAAAGGTCATGAAATACCTGATTTGGTAAAGCCACTAGGGTTTAAAACCGGTATTACGACTCTATTTCATATTTGGGGAATTATGGTTGGAGCAACGGCACTTGCTGGATGCGCCGAATTTTGTAGTGGGCTAATACTCAAGATAAGGAAGAAAGAGACGCTTGTGTTTCAATTTGTAGAATAATGAACACTAATAACGGCATTATGTGTCATTGAGTATTGAAGTACGTATGTATGTATGGTTGGAGCTACGTACATATGTATATAGATGAAAGTTTACAAATAAATGTGCACATTTTAGTGCTAAAATTTGAATTTCTGCTTGTTAGACTGTTACACATGTACTTATATGTAAACTCCGTTTCAGAAAGGATGGTTTCGGAATTTATGGCGTAATTACAGAATGCAAGACCCGAATGAGTAAGGTACATTTAAAGTTTTATGTATATATTTAAGTAAACCGTAATTCTTAAAGTTTTTTTGAGTTATTTAAATAGTAAGCATTTAAAAGCGAATTATGATTATCAACTCTTTAATTGTTGAGGTCAGACACAATTGAACAACTGTCTGACCTCTAATAATTCAACATGCAAATATACAAATTCAAACATAATTGTTTACTACAAATAATCCAGCATGATTTTCCTACACAAATGTGTTTGAAATATTTTTATGAATCTAAACAGATTGTATATATTTAAACATGCATCTAGATATTTGCGTTGAAACAAGTTCCTCCAGAAATTTATTTAAACTCCAAGACGAACTTCCTGAAATCATGACACCCTTTTTACACCGTCGACTTCAGTGACTTTTCAAACATACTCCAAATCCATGCAGAATTGAACTTTTACAGAAATTGAGAATTCTGAGAAACTACGTCACTGCCAGTCTCAACTTCCCTCAAATCATGTTGACGGGGAACTTTGAGACTGGCAGTTGAGTAGTTTCGCAGAATCCTCAATTTCTGTAAAAGTTCAATTCTGCATGGATTTTTTAAGTATGTATACATACTACATATTTACAAATATGTAGTTGCTCATCTGGCAAAAGAAAACTCTCATGTGTTACCAAATCAGACACCTATGTACATATGTACTTATGCAGCATTAGGATATGAAGGTAATAAAAAGTCGGCCTGATTTGGGAGAATCAGGTAAATCTGTGCATATTGGTATGCACGTATGGTATCACTATGTATCACGGAATAACCCGGGTATCAGATTAACTATGCATGTATTTAGGAAATAACCGGTTTACAACTGTTTACACACTCATCTCTTTATGTACACAAATTTCCGTGTTGCTCAACGTATCCGGTCCCGAGGTAAGATTAGGTTCAGTTTAACAAAGTTGAATTTCTTATCAGGCCTGGCTTTATGTATAACTACGTATATACATATCTGATATGGATAGATGATCCAGAGCACACCATTTCAATCTCCATCAATATGCACCTTTTTACCCTTTCTACTTACATTCTTAGCATCGTTTCCAACTTTGCATGCCTTTATTTATTTCCACCAGTTGCACCTTAATTTTAGAACGAGTAAGTGAACGGAAAATGTGTGTCTATAGCAACTGGAGGTGCCAAGCTATGGTGATAGCAATTTTACAAATTGTACGTGAAAATTAAACTTTTATGTGACCTATATATATAACTTGTTCTATAAAGATGTTCCCGTATCTATTATGTAATACATAGGTTGGAAGCTGTGTCGTATTAATTGCTTTGCTGGCCGGGGTGGTGGACGACGTGCCAGATTTTAACATGGGAGAAAGAGGTATATATTTGAAGTAAATTTATAAAATGCAAAAAACGAGTAAGTTTTATACATTGTGGACGATAACTTAAGCGTTAGATAATAAAATAATTTAAGATTTCTGCAACCCAGTAAATTTTGCAAAGCATAAATTTTGCATTTTAAAAAAATAAGAAATGACAATTAGGGTAAAGATGCATAAGTAATTTTGTGCTGCAGATTTATACACCGAGTTTCTTTCGCAATGCATATATGTATATATTAAAATATGTACATACGTGTAGGTGTGTGCGAAAATAATAATAATGAAAAAAAAATTTCATAATAAAAATTTCAGAATAAAAATGTCATGTTTTGCAAAAATTTATATTTATAGATAAATTTATATTTCCAAAATTTCCAGGCGAAATTGTGCCCGCTATTATTACCAAGACGTCCTGCTTGATCAGCGTGGTTCTTGGAGTTACCTTATTTCTTGGAGTGATTCAGGTAATAGCAGGATTTTTATACGTACGTTTTATATGCACAAATTTCAGTTGAATAAATAGTTTTCCTATTTGACAGGAAAATGAGAAAAAGGGCAGAATTTGGCTAGTTTCGCACTGTATATTTCTCTTGCTTGAAATTATTTCTGCCGTCGCGGATTTCTCGTTAGGAAGACGAAATCCGTCCTCAGTTTTTCCCGTGGTATGCTCTGTTGGAATAGTTTGCTACTTTCTCTTCGTGGTGAACGCATATTTGGAGGAGTTACTGGCAGACGGGGAAAAAGTTGGAGTAGTAGAAAAGAAGCAGGATCCCGAGCGAGATGCGGATGCTGAAGAAGTGTAGGAATTAATGTAAATTTCCATGATTTATTTTTGCGACGAATGTGTATATAAATTTGATCGGATAGAATTATTGTGCAATGTACATTTACATATTCTGATGGGTGGGCTATTTAAATGTGACAACCTTTGTAAGTAGGTCAAAAGAGTAAATAAAAATATATTTAGTAATAAAAGAATTGACGATAAAGTGAAACTTTTTAACTTTTTACTGCCAACATTTTCAAAAACCGTGCATAACATTTCACGAAGATTTGCATAGTAATTAACATTTAACTGCTTACTATTTATTGAAAATCATTTAAAATCGATGAACGTAACGTGTAAGGGTAAGCTCTAAATATATATCTATCACCAAATTATCTATTTATCTATAACCTACTTATCTACTTATTTATACACCTAGGTATTTACATATTTATTTGATTTGTAAATAAATTGTTATTCCCTATGATTTTTTACACAATGGAGGGATGTAAAAGAAGATGGGTAGTGGATTAAAAATTATTCGATAATATGTAAATATGTACTCATTTAAGTGTACATACATACATACACCAACGGGGTGGATAATAAAAATTCCCCCATAAACTATTCACATTCTTTAATCATGATCTCTCAAGTAATACGACTATTTTTAGTATGAGGAATTTCGATGGGTGGGTGAAAGCATTTCGCAGAGAAAGTGGATCTGGTCGATAAAACGGCTCAGCTGGCTCAATTTCGCTTTCTCTTTTATGACATTAATCTCGGATTGCATAAGGTAGAAAAATAATGCCCAGTGATCCAGGGGAAATCCGACTCAAAAAATTTGATGGGAACAAACATATGTATTAGACATTAAAGAGGAGGAAGAAAATTTTGGCTTTAGCCAAACGCACAAATACCATATTTTCTTGAAAGCTGAATTTTCCCCTTGTTAATCCAACATGACGAGCGATGCCTTTTAGCAGCCAAATAAGCTCGACTTTCTCCAACGTATGACCGACCACCTCCTTGCTGTTACCACCTTGCTACTGTTACCAATTTCCAAATCTTAAGCCGTATTATAATTTATTTTATGCAATTGAAAATAATTAAACTTCAGTTTCACAATGAAATACAAAATGATTTCATATGAAATAAAATGAACTCATATTTTTTGCAGGATAGTAATAAAAGCCGAAAAACATGGTGGATATGAACCTTGCACTCCAAAATAGAGAAATATGAAGAGTCCATGCATTTAATGTGCTCTCCGGGGAGGGAAGAATTATTAGAAATGAGGCTTCCATTTGAACTGCATGAGTAAGTTTAACACGATATCAAAGGAAGTCAAACTTCTCTCCGTTCCTTCTTTATTTTTTATTAAGAAAGCCAGTGAGCTTGTCTTAGAAAAATGATGAAAATGAATTCCGCACGCTGCCGGGAATAAAATCCCATGTGAAAATGAATGATGGAAAATGAAGCGGAATAAATTTTTTCCCTGTATTTATGAATTCTTTCCCCTCTGAAGTTCAGTATTGCGTAGCTTTTATTACTCTCGCCTGATTAAAACACAAGCTCTAAAACTTCCCGAAATCATCTAATCCCGATGAGTCAGAAACATTCCGTTGTCTAAAAAGGAAAGGAAGCGAAACCACTAAACTCGACCCTAAATGCTTGGCAGACTTTCTCCGCTTCGTCATTGATTGACAATCATGACCAGATTCTTCTCTCCCACTTTCTCTTTCTCTCTCCCATTCGCACGTCGCAATACCATTCCATTCCATCCGAGAGGGAGAACAGGGTGCACGAAGACGTGGAGAGAAGTGATTTTTTGTACCAAATTCCATCCTGGGGAAGCTTTGTTTTTTTGCATTTTGATATAAAAAACATAGGAAATCGACAGATCACAAACAATTAGATAAATGCAAATGTGTACGAATATCTAAATTTTTGTACACAAGTGTAAGGATACAGTTACTCAGAACGTTCATGTATTCCATTGAAAACTAAAACATTTCCTAACAAGTACCGAATTATGAAAAAAAATCCACAAAAAAATGACAAAATTTGAAAGTTCTACATATTTTTTAATGTTAAATTGTCTCTTGTATAAGTACATACTTCCGAAGGTGTTCGTCATACTACATGTAATTACTCGATTTTCTACCCAATAAATTGAAACCATGCCCTTACGCCTAAGCTAATATTATAAAATACGTAAATTCTTTAAAAATACATACAACTTTAACAAAATTTTACAAATATTTCTAAGCAAAATCAGCTTAGTAATTTTCATATATTTACTGTCTCAGATCAAAGGTGTCTTTTCATTATGGGATAAAAGTCTGAAAAATAATTTTACAAAACTTACAACTTTAAAAAGTTATGTATGTGCCAATACCTTCCCTGAATTGCCTCATTGTTCCACCCGAACCCTACCCCCTACTCTCGTATAGACACATTCTTCTCGAGAGGACTCACATTTTACGGGCGAGTGAGACATCTTCACTTGGAGTGAAAGTGACTGGAGATGAGCCGAGATCGTGATTGGAATCCAGCCAAGAAACCAAACCAGCGTCCGGGTCGGGTCGTCGGGCTTTCTACTTTCTCTTTGTACTTACTTCCCTATGTACATAGTGTTACTAACATAACATCATCTTTATTCCACTTCTCTTTCGTGGCGTGGTGGTGAAAGTGAAAGTGGGAGGAAAGGACAACTTTCACTCTGCAGTGCAGCAGTTGTGCTGTGGTGTCTTCCCAGACCGACTTTCACTCTGACTTTCTCCGCCTCCTCCTCCGTTCCTTCCGAAAAGAAGAGAGAATCCCAACTCGTTTGTTCCTGATCCATATTTAATTTGGAACGACGAGGACGACTACGATGTATTAAAGTGTCTTTAAAAGTGTGTGCCTCTCAAGTGATATTATACCAGGTGAAAGGTCGTTGAGTTAGTGTTATTCGATGTGATTTCTTTAAAGTGGGGAAATTTAATAGTGTGTGAAACCAAAGGAAACGGGAGGCTGTTTCAGTTCAGTCCAGGGATTGATTTTTCAGCTCAGGCCAAATAAATGTGCCACATATGTAGTCTCCTCTTATATGGGACGTTCGGGTTTGTGTGCCTGCTCAGATGCGAAGGAAAACTGTGAGATTTTTATGCTTTTCTTTGGTTGGGGGAATAAATTATGTATGGAATGTAAAGTCGTTAAACGGGGTGTGAATTGTATGCACTCTTAGAAATACAGTATTAAAATAATACCAAACTGGTATTGTTATTCGTGATACATAGCTCGGTATTACAGTTTTTCCATTTCGGTAATAAGTTTTTATGGACCGGTATAATTTTAGTACCAACTTTAATACCGAGAAATCAATGTGTGCAAAACTATGCCAGATTTCTAACTGTACTTTTGTATAAGAAAAAATGCTAAAAATAATCTCATACAGTAATTGTGGTACATATTGCAGTCACGATAAGCGTTTATGATTTTGATTAAGATTAAGGAACTCGTTAATCAATTACGTATGAACATGTGTTAAATGAGTAATTAGTTGATTTTGTTGTTTTGCATGGTCCACAGTCCTTCACAGGTTGAAGAGGTGACACTTGGACAGAAAGTGTCCGACATACTTAACACCATCCGTGAAGGGTATGACAAACGAGTTCGGCCTAATTATGGAGGTAATCAATTAATTAATTAGCTAAAATTAGACCCTTCGTTGTATTTCCAATGGCATCATGATATGTTTTTCGTATAAAAAACTCACTAACTATTTTATTTATTATGTATATATTAATGTGCACATACATACAAGTTCTGACATAATATTTGGCTCAAACAGGGGAGCCTGTCGTGGTGGGAGTTACCATGTACATATTGAGTATCTCATCCCTCTCGGAAGTTCATATGGTAATTTTTTTAAGAAGCAGCTCAACCATCGCCTCTTTTATCAATCATTTTACAAATGCTTGCATATCCTTTTTTTAGGCTTGTAGAATAATTTTGCACAACTTGTTGATGTTACAATAGGTGTACCCAAGATAACACTCATAAATCGATATCTCAAATTGATCATGTATTTAAGATATCTTTTTGCATGAACATTTGTAAGTAATATATTCGCAAATTTTCGCAAATTTAAACATTAGATAATAAACAATAATTGGAATTTTTGCTCCCGATTTACCGGCAAATTGGCATGATTTCTTCTCGCATGGGTAGTTATTCTGCAAACTACATAGTAACATTACTAAATATTTAGGACGTTGACTTGAGTACACCTAATGTTAGCCAGGATTTTGTTTGAATTGCCCCACCATTTGATGTGAATTAAATAGTTACTTAAAAAATTAAAAAATTAAAAAATTAAACCTGACAGGACTTTACTGTCGACTTTTACTTTCGACAAACCTGGACTGACCCACGCCTCAGCTTTAAAGGGCCACCTGGAGTTAAAACGCTTTCTGTAAGTGAGCATACAAATTGAGGTAAATTTTTTTATGAATTTCTTAAATTATTATGAATTTATCGATCTTCAGGTGGGGACTGAATTTTTAAAAACCATTTGGGTTCCGGATACTTTCTTCGTGAACGAGAAGAAATCCTATTTCCACACAGCTACCACATCCAACGAATTTCTTCGCATATCCGAATCCGGAGATGTCATAAGATCACTCAGGTAGATCCATTTATTATGATATTAATGCACGTCAAGCTACATATATTGTTGAATCAATAGTTGGCAGAACTGATCGTAAGATAGACTTTTTGAAATTTTTGAGTTGCCCTTGGCGTAAGTATTTTTGGCAACAGCTTCAGAGAATTTAGGGAGTTTACGTAGTGGCATTATTAATATCAAGAGTACGAACTGTGCAGGAGAAAACTAGGAACATTGTTTAATTTTGTAAAAGTTTACAAAGTTTCATAGTTAACGGAAATATGTACATATGTGCAGATAAATATTTAGTGGACTTCGTGTCCACGTCGAGCCTGAGTCTGAGTATTCTACAAAGTTGTTAGAAAATCTCATATTGATGAATTTAGTAAGTAATAACATGGATTTATCTAATTTTCAGATTAACCGTGACAGCCACGTGTCCCATGAATTTGCAATACTTTCCCATGGACAGGCAGCTTTGCACGGTCGAGATTGAAAGTTGTGAGTGCATTGAAATATTTATAATTCCAAATTATTTAGAATGCAATGTAATGAAAATGACGCAATTAAGGGGACTAGAGAAATTTTACGTATGTAAATTAATAGTTGGCTACACAATGTCTGATCTTCGCTACCGGTGGGCGAAGGGTCTCGAGTCGGTCGGAATTTCGTCGGACGTTTCGCTTCCCCAATTCAAAGTCAACGGGCATCGCCAACAAGCCGTTGAAATATCGTTAAGTTCAGGTAAGGATATCAATATTTGAACGAGTTTTCAAAAATCATGGGAAACTTGTAACTCAGAAACTTGTAAATCTAATTAAATCATTTTTTTTAAATTTTACACAGACAATTGACTTGTTTATATTTGAAATTTATTGGTAGTAGGCTTACTCAACTTACGACGCAAATACTTATTTAAGCAAATACAGATATATGCTTCCTGTCGGAATTATTCACCAGAAAAAACTTTTGCGAAATCTCACAAATTAGCATTTTTTAGGTATGCTCAATTTTCGAAGTAAATGCATCTACACTCTAGGAAACTCGGTAACTACGTTATTACCAGGCGGAGTATCTATGTGACTCTACCGCATGGTAATTACTTTACTATTGAGTGGTAGACATTTTGTTACCAAACCGGTAATAACCCCTGTCGCGAAATTTGAAAATATTACCATCCGGTGACTAATTTTCTACCACTCAATAATAAATTAATTACCATGCGGTAGAGTCACATAGATACTACGCCTGGTAATAACTTAGTTACCGGGTTTCTTAGAGTGTACAAGAGTTGACGTGAGTGCCCCTAATGATTTTGCACATTAATTGCAATGTAAAGTTGAAGAGCAAAATTGTGACGAATATATCATACTGCGTACATTCATATTGTCTACATACCTGACCTAATAATGTTTGAAAAAATACATTACTTTAATTTTAGGAAATTACTCCCGATTGGCGTGTGAGATCCTGTTTGAGAGGGCGCTAGGATTTTACATTATTCAAATTTACGTTCCCGCCAGCCTAATTGTGGTCATCTCCTGGATTTCCTTCTGGATCAACAGGAACGCAACACCTGCCCGAGTAGCTCTCGGTGTGACTACGGTAATTATTTATTAAACAAAAATTCCTTGAAATTTAAAATTCCCGTCTCACAACTCTTGAAATTATGCACTTCAACCAACAGGTGTTGACCATGACAACGTTGATGTCTTCTGTGAACGCTGCTCTCCCAAAGATTTCCTACGTTAAGAGTTTGGACGTTTTCCTGGGAACGTGTTTCTTGATGGTGTTTGCCGCCTTGTTAGGTTCGTAATTTTACACGTGTTTAAAATGAGACAATTCACGCAGTCCTTGATAACATTGTAAATTTCGTAAAATCCGTAAACTTACAAACTTTTAGAAATATTTCTAAACGAAATTAGCCTCCAAATTTTTTTAAGCTTATTGTTAGTCAGTTTGAGAACCTTTTTATTTTACAAATGTTATCTATAAACTATGTTACCACATTTACGGAGTTTACGAAGTTACGAAGAAATGCATGAATGGTCTAAATGCTTCCTAACACAAAATAATTACGGTATGACTATCGTAAAATTTTCAGAATATGCTACCGTGGGTTATATGGCAAAACGGTAAAAACAAAAAAGTCGTTAATTACTCAAAAAATTTTGCATGCAACTTAAAAAAAACTCTTAAATTCACAGGATCCAGATGAGAAAAAATAAATTTGACGCGTTACGAAAGAAAGTGGAGGAGGCTAAACCGAAAGGAGGAGATGCCGAGGCCGGAAATGCGAGCAATCCAGGACTTGACGCCATTGCAAAAAAGATTGAACGGCTGTGGGGCGTTGCACCCTCGGATATTGATAGGTGCGTAATTATACCCTATTTTACATTTCAAAAATTTGTCCCTAAATTATATTGATACAATTCACGAAATCCGTGGTAACTTTCTAAGATCCGTAAACTTATGTACAAAATTTTACAAAAAAATTACAAATATTTCGAGGAAAAATTAGTTTATAAATCTGATGGATTTTACAAAGTTACAAAGAGCTGTGTGAATTGCCTTATTAATTAATTAATAATTTTTACGCCTACGCAGATATTCAAGAATAGTGTTCCCCGTGTGCTTCATCTGTTTCCAATTGATGTACTGGGTGATTTATCTCAACATTTCGGACGTCGTGGAAGACGATCTGGTCGTCTTGGAGCAAAATTAGCAACCATTTGTCGCCTTCGTGTTAATACATAAATATTTAAGTTAGGATACCGTTTGAGAAAACAGATGTGGTCTATTAGGTCCCTGATTATAAAGTATGACGTGAAAAAATTAAATTTTGTCGCAAAAATTCATAAAATTGCGAAACCAAAATTTAATCGGAAGAAATCTGTAACTGAATTGACTACCTAAATTGTTGCTGGATTAAGGATTGTTCGTGTCTTGCAATATGTAGAAAATGTTCTAGTGGATCGTCCTACTAAATGTTAGACAAGTTAAAAAAACATGCTCATTCTCGTTAATTGAATGCTCAATAGATAACTAGATATCGTGTTGTATAAGATTTACTGGGGTAGACTTAAGTATGAACTAAATATGTACCTAGTTAAGAGTTGACTTAAAAAATAAAGGAAAAGACATCCTTACATATATAGAATTTCGTCCAATTTTGTTATATCCACCAAGTACTTAAGTCAGTAAATGTATAGTAAAAGTTTAATGAAATAAATTACGTTAAATTACAAATTTTATGTTCATTTACATATAAACATATTTAATCATATTGAAATAAATTTAGGTTATCTCAGAATTCTGAAAAATCTCAGGAAAATCGAACTTGTTCATACAAACTCACATACATACATACATACACACTAAAGTGCACAAAAGCACGTTTTTTCGAAAAACTATAGGCCTGTTGTCACCCTTAATGCTGAAATTCCTTTCTATAGGCCAATTTCTTGCCTTTTTAAGTGAAGGGCATGACTTTTCCATGCTTAAAAAAGAATTTTAAGCATGGCTTAATGGCTTTTTTTCCCTTGCACCGACCTACACCATTTAATAAATATAAGTAAGTAACATCTTCTTCACCCTTACGTACATACATATGTACTTATAAATAGTTTCAATAAATCGTAAATACATTTTAGCAGGAAACCTGAAGTTAAGAGATTTCTGAGAAACTGCATATGTATGTACATCTTTAGAAACCAGCTTCTAACAAAGGGTTAAAACTTTATCGAAGGGTTACTCTAAGTGTGCTTATTATTTCATATGGAATTTTTATACAAGGAAATAATTCTTCAAACAAAGTCAATCGAACTTTGGTTACTGCGTGTACATGCATATGTACATATGCATATACATATTTACACAATTCTGGAGTCCAGAATCTGGACCCTTTTACTAAAAAGAGACATTCTTGGATTAGAAAGGTTTAGTAAGAATATGTAGTGTGTCCCAGTCCTTTTTACACACAGTTTAAGGAAATGGTGCACCCAAAGTTCGTATGTACGTTTGGCCAGTTTAAAATAAACTTGACCACAAAGGGTTAAATGGGTACATAATCCTATTTGCATACGCGTGTATGTACGCACGTATTTTGCCTTACCCTTTATCAACGATAAATTATCATATACCCTTCGCTGTGGACGTTGAGGGCTCTCAGTGCATTCCAACTCTCTCTTCAAGAAACACGACAGTCTTGCAAGTTTTCAAAGTAACGACAGCCTTCTCCAATTATAAAGGAGCTTTTGAAAAGCTGTGAATATTGTTGTCAAGATATTCTAATTAATATGCCTCTCAAACTGGGAAAAATTTACTACTCTGACAACTGGGTGAGTAAAAAAAACTAAGACATATTTACGACGTCTTTAACGTAATATTTAGCAGAACGTTTTTTTCTAAATTTTGCTATCTTTCGTGAATTAAGTGGCTAGCAAATTTTAATATTTTATTCCGTAGCAGGTCACGATTGAGTATTTGCTTAATGAGTTTCCATAGGAAATGCGATATTGGGCGACAACATCTTATTTCGTACATATGTAAGCTTGCGAAACTAAAAATGCATGTCGTGGGGGGATTAGCAAAATATAACTTCAAAAATCTCTAAATCTACATACTTGTAAAAATATTTTTTTATTTTGATCCTATTCCCACGAATTTCTATAATTTCGCGAAATAATAGAAGTACGTATGCCCAGTTGCTGGAAGAATTTGCGAAGAAAACATAGTTTTCCATCAAATGGTTTTCCAAATTTGCTAAATTTCGCAAAATTTCGCAAGCTAAGTATGTTACTATGCTCAATTTGCGAGGTTGACGTGAGTACGCCCAATTTCGCAATTCCTCCAAATAATTCGCAATTAATAATTTTAAATGAAATATAATTCCTTAATTATTTAGTAAAATATTAATTAATTAAATCATGACCCCTTTCCAGCCCAACGACCGACCCATTGCAAACAGTTATCATCCCAATGACGCCAAGTTGACCCTTGCAACGGACGGGTTATCGACTGACCGGCATTTCATCCTGCGGAACACGGCGCCATCTGGCGTCTATGATTACATCGTGGTCTCCTTTCACAGGCTTTCCGTCCTTGGCAAGTCCCCTCTTTTGGACACCTTCATCGAAACGAACAACTCCAGGCTGTTTGAAAATGAAGCTTTAGAAAATTTGAGTGAACTCCATTTCCGTCGTATGCTTGGGGTAAGGCGAGACAATTTTTTAGAAAGATTTTTTATAGAGTCGCATAAATTTATAAGTAGTGTCTCGAAGCTTAATTTTTTAAATCTTAGGCAGAAAAATCCTTATGGATTTGTATGAATGAGAGGTTGACAAGTTTTTGGTCGTGCTAAATTTTGATTCTTTTAATATAATTTCTTCGTTTAAAATTTTCATGATATTGTAATAACTTTACGCAGCCATTGGTAACTTGGTAAATCAGTAAGATTTTTAAAATCATTTTACAAACTTATACAAAGTACGCCACTGACCTGAGTAAGCTTAAAGAAATTTGTACGCTAATTTTCCTTGGAAATATGTATAAAATTGTGTAAAAGTTTGTAAGTTTATAGAATTTTTGCAATGACAGCGTGATTAAGTTTCCAAGTTGTTACTGTATAAATGTTTTGGATTTCCGTTTTTTTAGAAATACTTATTCTTAAGATTTTATCAGTTCTTTATTTTCAGTATTTTCTGATAGAAAACTGCAGCATTCAGAAGTTTTACTGTATGTTTTTTTTAATGATTAGCCTTAATTTGTTCATGTATTTCATTTCCTTTAGTTTTTCTACGGTATGGACATGGACTACATTGAGGATGACGGTGAGCTTGCTGCCCTCTACGAGGTGGCGATGCTCTTCCGGGTCAATTCCGTGGCGAACTTTTGCATGACTAAGCTCGATGCCAACGCCGCAGCGAGGTGGGCTGCCCGGTCACCGTCACCTGCGCCGTCATCATCGTCATCATCGGCATCTTCATTTTCGGACTATTCCGACCCTGACTTTGAGGTCCTGGAAGATGCTCAGGTGGAGGAAGAGAATTCGGAATCCACGAAAATCCAGGAGCACATTGAGAAGGAAGTTTCAACCAGTCATCAAGAATCCCGAAGTCTTGGAAAATCAAGAACCTCGGTAAGACTGAATATTTCGAAATCCAAATAATTATTTAAATTATTTAAATATCTGTCAAAGCAGATTTTTTTTATAAGTAATAGACCAATTTTTTTAAATTAAAAAACAAAATCAAACAATAATTTATTTTGGATTTTAAAATTTTTCCTGTATTTCCGAAGAATTTTATCTGTAGCTCACAAATTTCTCTTTTTCCGCACAAATTTACATAGGGTTGCCTGAAAACCCTTCTAACTCTTATAAGACTTTCAAATTCATAAATTCGCAAAAAAATTCAAATTCAAAAATTCAAACTGAACTATTTTCCTTAATGCTTCGTTAAATTAAAATTAGATACTAATGTTTTAGTACATATAAAGCATAATTTTAAAATTTGTTTCTTTCTAATTTCCCTCCTTAAGGATGCCAAAACCGCGGCAATTTCGACCTTAAAGGCAGAAATTTTAACCGGGATGACGGCCTCGATTAAATCCGAGATCAAGCAGGAACTCATCGCCAGCATGAAGGGCAAACTTAAATTGGCCATGACGAACAACGTACACGCCAACATTGTGCGACGTTCCCGTATTGATGGGAAGTTTAAGTATCAGCTCGCCAACGAAATTACTGCCACTTTTCGGGACGAAATAAAAGCGAAGTTGGTAAATGTTTTGCCAGACAAATTGAAGAAACAAGTTAGAAAGGGGATTTTGAAAGATAAGCATTTTGAAGATAAGCTGGCCAGCGAATTCGACCACGATTTGCGGGAAGATTTGAAATGGGAAATTACCGACGAATTGAGAGAGAATATTAGGGCCAAGATTTTAGCGGAAGTTTGTGAGAAAGATTAAGTCGTGACGGAAATTAGAAATTCTAAACTTGTGGATGATGGTAAACTTAATGAGAGATTTTTTGAAAAATTTGAAACTGTATTTGATTTGATTTTTAATGGATTTTTTAATGGTTTTAATAATTGGGGAATGTTTCTTTTTGGAAATTTACATATGTTAATGGAAATGTTTGTTAAAAATTTGAATATGTAATATCGTATTTGACAAGTTTCTTAGGGTTATTTATACTATCTGTATTTCAAAATTTCTGCAATTCAATAATAAAAACTTGGACTAATTATATAAAAAAACGTCAAATTCGGTTACGAACCTGCAAAATGATTTCCTCTTACATACACTCTTAGAAATTCAGTAATAAAATAATACCAAGCGGTATTTATGCATATCTGACTCTTCCAAATTGATTCGGATCTGTAATACCGTGTAGAAATGGCTCGATATTAAAGTTTTACATCCCTATATAATTTAAGTATGCACCAATCGATAGCAAATCTAAAACTGATAAATCAATATTTAACTACGTGACTATATCAGTTTTCCAACAGTGTAATTATTTATACATATTTCTATTCATGGTTTAACACGACAATAAAACTCATCAAATAATTATATTCTGTCGGAACTAAATATCCAACGAATCGACATACATATTTATGCGCACTTCCATAAATTAAATTTATTTAAGTAATATTTTCCTTGACACGATGATCGATAAATAAGCGTCACTCTTAAAACTTCAGGAATTATTTAGTCTGACTCTTGCATACGGTATCCATCATTTACTGACAATTTTATTCCTCATGTACATATGTACGAATTTAACAATGGCGACCAGTGCTCAGAAGATGCCACTATTTAATCAATTTGGCACAAACTAAAAATATAATTTCCATTCAGGCCTGCAATTTAAGTGTGTACATATTTAGGTAAAGCTTTCAATGTGATTATACAAGCTTCCGAGAAAAAGACATCCTATATTTATTCATATTTACATACGCATGTATTACACGTTAAGCCTTTTATGTAGTCCTCTGGCATTGTAAATAAGTACTTTCTGGTCATATCCTCTATGAACAGTAAAGTTTCCTAGGTTAACTTCCACCCTTTAGTATTTGTCCACACGATGAACGATTTCCCCAAAGGTAACTTTATCCCTCTGCGTATTACCTTATTTTTCTTACTTCTGCCAATCATTCACCCCGAAAAACCGCCTCCTTTGTTAAATAGAATACATCTAAAAGATGTTCCCTACTACATCTCTGGCTACCCGAGTGATTGTGCCGTTACCGTTATTCACCCCAATTTAAATCACTTCAACACCTTCTGGAAAGACGTTGGCGCCTCAATCCTTGAAGGGCAACTTCACACTTATCTTTTACTCGATGAAACTCAAACATCTTCCAATGTCAAGCTTCCCGTTGCATCAAAAACAGCGAAATGTGACGTAACATTCGTGCTGAATTGGTCCAACAAAAATGTAACTCCGGGGTGCACTTTTGGCTACGGTAAAGAAGGTTCTCACGTGGTCCTCCTAACTATAATCCACCCCTGGAAAACCCCCCTCACACGGGACGACTTCATGGTTCAGACCTCCGCACGAATTTTCTTCCTACACGCGATATTTAGTCCCCCGTTTCACGTGACGTTCACCTGGTTTATATTTTGTTCAACGTGCCCGCTCCGATGGGACGTTTGGTTCATACGTTTTCCCTATCGTAAACTACTAACTGAAATATCACCTAGAACGTCTGGTCAAATTAACATATTTACAGATCTCGTCCCAAAGGTGGCATTCAAAATTTGCCGGGACGGACTCCGTTCCCGCCAGGAATTAGAATGTTCAACCCGCGAACGGAAAATGGCCTACATTTCGGACAAATTTAACCTATCCACAACCATCGGACAACCGTACGTTGGTGCAATCTACCTATTCAAATTGTCCCGTTGGTTGCGTGGTTCGTCCATAAATCGGGCCGATTTCCAACAAGAAGAAGGCTGTTACGTGGTCTACTGTGATTACGATATTCGTTCGACGAGATTCTCCTTCGCCATCTGGGTCACTCCGATAAGTCTGCAGGTCTGGATTAGCCTTCTCGTCACGTTAATAATTCTAGCCATATTTTTTGTCAAGGCGAAATCCATGACCGTTTTAGACGCGGTGTTCAACCTGTGCGCCACCGTGCTTCGACAAGGCGTTTCTAAGGTTCCGTTTCCCCTAATTTTTCTATTTTCTTGGTTTATGAGTATGATTTTGTTGTCGGAGTATGAATTCTTCGTGACTTCGGAGCTAGTCGCGCCCGAGATTCGGAAGAGTCTCGGCACCCTGAAAAACATTTTGGGGGCGGGATACATTTTGTATCATGGGGCGCCCCCGCGAGGGGAAGAAACTCTGCGGGAAATGCTGGCCAAGGATTTCGTCAAGGCGGAAATTGACCCTGGAATTCTGGATAAATCGTTGGTGCAAGTTAACGGAACGAACACGGTGGCTGAGATTGGCGCAAATTCTTCGAGTACAGATCCCCATCGGGCCTATCTGAATTTAGGGAATAAAATACACGGGCATTTTTTCCGAGGACTTGTGCAAGATTTTCATTTAAGGGAAAAATATGTGTGTCACTTGGTCACCGAGGTGGGCGGGGTGGCCGCGATAAGTGACGTTTTTGATGTATCGTTTGCCGCGGAAATCCTCAAGATGGTTGGGAAACTTAAGGAAGGCGGATTTTATGAGGTTTGGAATGCCTGGGACAATTTCGTACTGGATCAAATCTTGAATTCGAAGTATAGAAAGTTTATTGTAAAAGGCAGTGGGAGAAGGATGGATTATATTACGTTTGTAAATTTGGGGTCGTTTATAATTGTGTGTGCCGGGATGAATATTTTGGGGATTGTAGTTTTCGCTAGTGAATGGGGGAGTAGGGTGGATTTTAGGGCAGTATTTACTAAATACTATTTAGGAGGAAGGTTAGAAATTCGGTTAGAAAGTTTACATATGCGTCATTTTAGGAGCGAAGGTACATAAGTTGGGTAAAGAAGTGATATTTATTTACAGTCAGGTTTTGGCCGTTAATGAGAAAAAAATAAACCTACCGGAGTATTGGATATACATACCCTCTACGTCCACCTTTATAAATTGCGACAGGAGGATAAATACAAATTAAATGGAACATAAATATTAGCTACGTATTTATGTAGAAGTATTTCTCAAGTGCATTTGAATGCATGCAAATTGAGAATTCATACTCTTCGTCATACATACATACATACATACATGCGAATATGTATGTATGTATATACGTATGTATATACATATTACATTACCATAGTGAATCTTATTTGTAAAATACTTACCTAGTTTAGTAGCAGTATTTTTAATATGTACACGAATAGTAAATGTAATTTAATTAATTTATTAACATTGTGAATTTTTCCAATTAATTTGTATATATATTTGTTACATATGAGCAAAGGTACATACTATGTGAATTCATGAGTTTTGTGCATCTATTATTTAGTGCATACCCACATATGTCAGTATGCAAATTAACACTTATCATACATACGTACTACCTACATATGTACATAAATACTATATACATATGTACATATATAGATACATACTATATTTTGTATTTACGTTTGTGCCGTTAGTGGGAAGTTTTTAGCAAGTGGGGACCAGTAGTTTGGGGACATTGTGTTGTGGTCAAAAATAGTATCGAATTTATGCAACGATATGAGTTTCATACATACATTCCGTACCGTATAGGATTTTATTTTCCCTACAGAACAATTTTCCAAGTTTCCACAGCCCCTTCCTGAGCGTCACATTGGAGCAAACTCAACCGCATCAAGTTCATTTCCTTTACGCAAATGCTTCAATTAAAATTGATTGAAATGAATGAAATGATCTCTGCACGTAGTAACAAGAGTTCAGTGCAGTTACAAATGTACATATATTTGTCAATTATACTTGTAAACCCTGCTCCAAATGCTGAACCAGAACTCTGTGTATGTGTACAGATTTAATTGATTAATTTATGTACATATGCATTTTTTGCTAATAACACAGCGCCGGTCTATTAATATCACACTTGGTCGGCGTCTTGTTGACGCAAATACTTCAATTAGGATTTAATTGGAATTGAGAATTGGCCTGTTTTTGTCATATTTTCATGTTTTGATGTCAATCGCAACCCTCGCAAGTTTAGATGTGTACAGAGCTGGATTGAAGAGGAGGATTTAAATAGTTCTCGTAATTACAACGTCCTTCAAGTGGCAGTCAACTTTGAGGAGTGAAATAGTTCTGTGATTTTGGTCAAATTTTTCAAATTCGGATCCAATTTCCCATTTCGTTTACTATAAATCCAATTTTTAACACTAGTGTAATAAAGATGCGTATATTCTGGTTGTGGGGGACGTTCGTGATTTTGTTCTTGGTCAAATGTGAAGGACAATTGTAAGGTTTACATAATATACGATTTTTTTTACACTTTTTGCACTGTTTTGTCATTTTTTTACCGTTTCCACATATTAATTACTTCTTATGCTCTAAAATCACATTGGGATTAATTTGGCTTATGTTTTATTACTTTGTCCCGGATTAAATAATGTTGTAATTTGGTAAATAATTAATTAACGTTGTAATTTTGTACGAAAATGGACGACACAGTCCTTCGCAGACCGGAAGGGTGGCTACTGGAGACCATGTGACCGAGATTCTCAACAACATACGCCAAAGCTATGATAAACGAGTACGGCCTAATTATGGAGGTAACGAAACCTTTATCAATATAATTTTGAGAAAGAAATCAGAGGCCGCAAAAGCCGTGGGGACATCGGGGGACATTAAAATTGTAAGATTGGGGAGGTCGGGTTTATGTATGCATATGTGTAACGTGGGCAGATGATGGGAACATCGAATAACCGTGGGGATACAGATATTGTCCCCTCACTTCCGCGGCCATTGCAAACAATTTGATCCTGGATTACTGAAATTAATGTAAGTCGATTAAACTAGTTATCTGCTTTTAGGAGAGCCTGTCGATGTGGGAATAACCATGTACGTATTGAGCGTTTCATCCGTCTCGGAAGTAAATATGGTAAATTCTGCTCAACTAATTAATTTCGTAGTTCGTAGCTTAATATGTAATTATTAATTTATTATTCGGATAGGATTTCACCATGGATTTTTACTTCCGACAAAGCTGGAACGACCCACGACTCAGCTTTAAGGGGCAGCCAGGACTTCGAAGTATAACTGTGAGTGCAAAATAAAATTCACATTAAAAGAAACCTATTTTATATACATAAGTATTAAGTATGTACATGTAAATATATACCAAAAAAAATAATGGGGGTATTCATTACGAGTTTGCATTATATTGAGATGCGAAAATGTGAACTCGTAACGAATATGTACCTCTAATCTCATGTGCAATAACATTTGAGCCGACGGTTAATGCACGATTTGGTTAAACTGTGACAAAGCTTTTTGAATATTCATTAAGTGTTGGGTATTATGTAAATTTCGTCGGTGTGCATATGTACATATGTACTGTAACTTGTGTCTTATGAAGTTAATGTAAATTAAAAAATTGTTTTTTGTAAGCCAATTAAAGACCTGATTTTCAGGTGGGGACTGAATTTTTAAAAACCATTTGGATTCCGGACACTTTCTTCGTCAACGAGAAGATGTCGTATTTCCACACAGCCACCGCGCCCAATGAATTCCTTCGCATATCCGAATCCGGCGATATCATGAGATCAATAAGGTTTGTAAATACGCTTGTTTTATTTTATCTACGACAATTATACAAGTGTGAAATGAAAGCATTGTAAAATCTGTAAACTACTTGAAAACTTGCATAGAAATTATTAAGGAATTTCACAAATATTTCTGAGAAAAATTAGCTTGCACATTTTCTCAAATTTACTAATGGTCAGATCAATGGCGTCTTTTGATTTTGGAATAGTTTGCAAAATTATTTTGCTTCACTTCTATGGAAGGTTGTATTTTACTTTGTGCATTAATTGTTCTATTTTGCTTCAAAATTTGCATAATAATACATACAATCGAGCCGACCATCTAACCACAAATTTGCACAATTTATTTTTTTAGATTGACCGTAACAGCGTCGTGTCCCATGAATCTGAGAAACTTTCCAATGGACACTCAACGCTGCCGGTTGGAAATGGAGAGCTGTAAGAAATTTGCTATAAATACATGAAATAATTTAAATATCGGATTTAAATATCCTATTTTTTATAATAGTCGGCTCCAACATGTCGGATATTCGGTACAGTTGGGCGAAGGGTGTTGATTCCGTTGGAGTAGCGGGAGATGTTTCACTCCCTCAATTTAAAATTGTAGGCCACCGTCAACTAGTAAATGAGGCATCATTGGGCTCTGGTAAGAACTGGCTTGCTGGCATTATTTTTTTGTAGATTATGCACAAATTACTTAAGAAGTGAGGAAAGTCACGCTGTTAAAAATGTGGTGACGTTACATATGTATATATATACATACATGCCTATCTATACATATGTTTTAAGGCTGGTGTGAGCACGCATTTTTATGTACATGATTGCACCCAGGGTTTCGTTTCTCCCGCCCAAAACTAAATATATTTACCGATTTGGTGTCAATTCTCCGCCATCGATTCCCCCCATCGATTCTCGCCCAACAAGTTCCCCGCTTTATCCATTCCCCGCCGTCAAATTCTCGCCCGTCTCGTGCCATTTGGCTTTTACCAATGGAAACCCTGGTTGTGGTGCATGTGTTTATGTTTTCATGAATACTGCTTATATGCATTAGGGCATGCAATACCGGTATTCCAGTACCGGTATTAATCGGTATTACCGAATACCGAATACCGGTCTTGAGCTAACCAATACCGGTATTCACTTCATAAATTTTACATATTGAGACTAACTTTCAGTTAACCAAATTCCACTTATTAAATCCAAAATTAAAATAACAAGTTGATGGTCACAATTTGGCGGATTATAATCAATGCATTTTTCGTACCAATCATATATTTGAATTAATTTTTAATTATTTTAATTACTGCATATGTACATATGTATGCAGTATGCATTTATTTTTAAAGTTTCAAACAATTGTGTAAAAAAATGCTGAAGAAATTAATTCCCCAAATAGAACATCGAATCGTTTTGTCATGCAGATTGTCCTCTAGAAAAATTTCCGACAAGCTCAAGTTTTCTAGCAAAAATGTTTTAGATGTAAAACACTGTAGGTTTTGAGTTTCTGAGAGAAAATACGAAATTTTCAACGGCTGAATAACTGTTGCTGATATGGTAGCAACGCCAAAAATATGCTACCGTACTTTGACAAATAGACAACTAAAAACTGTCAAGTAAAAACTATTTCACGGCTCAAATTTTTAAAATCGCTGAAAATACCTTAGGCAGTTATGAGCGCACACACGAAATGACGATGATGTTAAAACAGTTCAATAGTTTTAGTTTAAGCGCACACGTTTAAAAGTGGATGAATTTGAAAAGGCTGCGATACGGAGTAAATAATCAGAAGTTTGGGGAATACAATGAGTAAAATTTGAATCGGGGGTAATTTTTTGCCCGTGAGCTCTGATAAATTATTACGAAGTTAGGCATATAACTAAAGTTTTTAAGAATATTTATGTCCACTTCTGTAATAATACTTATTCATATGATTACACACAAGCATTTAATTGTCTTAAACGTATGCAATTGCTTTGTGCGAGGATTTTCATTGATATTAGCATGTTTAACAAATTTAACATATGGTGTCGGTAATACCGGTATTACCGAAGGTCTCAATACCGGAAATACCGAATACCGGTTTTGAAAAATGGTACCGGTATTGCATGCCCTAATATGCATTTATTTTGGTAAAAATGTGCATTTAAGATACATAATTTTTAAAAAGTTTCCCAATTTTTAGGAAATTATTCCCGATTGGAGTGCGAACTGGTGTTCGAGAGATCGCTGGGATATTACCTCCTTCAAATTTATTGTCCTGCCACGCTTATTGTGTTGATTTCGTTCGTAACTTTCTGGATCAATAGGAACGCTACGACTGCTCGAGTTGCTTTGGGCATTACGACGGTAAATAAATAATTTTTGCACATTCAAATACACGTTTTTTAATGAGTTTATAAATACTCGTTCGACATTCAAGACGCCATTTACGCAGGCCACGGTACATTGTAAAACCCGTAAATTCTGTAAACACACAAGTGTAAGTTAATATTTTTAAGTAAAATTTACGCAACCTACTCAAGGCAAGGGCGTCTTTGTAAAAGTTTTTAGCCACATGTTACAAAATTTGTGGATTTTACAATTTACCAGTGCGTGAATAGACTCAATCATTGCGCAAAGTATTTATGCACATAAATATGTTCATAATTTTTTTTATATTAAGATTTTGACCATGACAACGTTGATGTCTTCTGTGAACGCTTCTCTCCCAAAGATTTCCTACATTAGGAGTTTGGACGTTTTCCTTGGAACTTGTTTCGTAATAACGTTTGCTGCTTTACTGGGTTCGTGATCTAATTGGCGGTGAAAGAGTGTCTTTTAAATAATTTATAGTTTACCTATATTCATTTTTAGAATTTGCGACGGTCGGCTATGTCGGAAAGCAGATCGAGATGAGGAAAGAGGAAGACGATGCGGAAGGAGGAAACGCAAATGGGACCAATGCTAAAAAAGTGGGGAAATGGGGCGGCGTTGCACCGGCGGATCTTGACAGGTGGGAAAATTTGAGAATTATCACTGTTAGAAAACTGGTATAGTCAGGGAGTTCTCCGTATAAAAGTTGCTACCGCTTAGTGTTCAAATTATACCGGTCGGTGAAAATTTGCTACCGATATGGTAAAACTTAGTACCGATCTATTACAAACTACACGGTATTGCCTATCAATTTTGCGTTGGTGGAGTCATACATGAATTCCGTTGAGTATACTGGATTTCTAAGAGTGTATAAAAAACTAAAATGCGTTCTTTATACTTATACAATTATATATTTTTTAATTTTGAAAGTTTATTCCATAAATTGACTTTTCTCTAGATATTCAAGGATCCTGTTCCCTGCAATCTTCGCTTGTTTCCAATTTCTATACTGGGTGATTTGTCTCAACATTTCGGACGATTGAGCTGGTCGATCTGGTCCATTGTAGAAACAAGCATCTCCTACGTCGTACATATGTACGTAGATGCCTTGTCGTTAAGTTTGCCAATACTTTGCTACACCTCATAATAATCAGAATCATCCACTTACGTTATTTAAGAATTATTTATCCCTACAACATGATCGGCGTCTAAAAAGTATAATGAAATGAAACTAAGCTTCTTAAAGTTCCCATGCTTATGCACAGGTATGTAGTACATGGATGTGAATTATGAAATTCAACTGTTTGAGATGAATAAATTAAAATTTAAAATAATAGAAATGTTTTCAGCAATGCGTCCAACTTTGATTTTCAGATAATTTAAGCATAAAAATTAAACACGACTCCAAATACATAAGTACACATGTGTACTTACGGATTTACGGATTTACGTATATGTATTTATTTATTATGCAAGGATAGTGAATGTGTGTATAAAGATCGCGTACGAATTGCAGCCAAAATGCGATTTTTAAAATTTAAGATGCATATTTAAATACCTAAATCCATAAATTCAGCAGGTTTGTATGAGGTAGTAAATGTTTGTGGAGAAGATGCATTAAGCTTGGAATTTGACTTACTTAACAACACGACTTTATTAAGTAGCGTCAGCTACTTATTGTGATCGTTTTGTCTGTCCGTCTGTCCATAAGCAGGATATCTTCAGAATGAGTCAACATAATCAAACCCCGTTTTCCCCATTAATTTTTAGTTCTCGGTCGAGTTCGAAAATGGGGTCAATCGGACCACTCCTCACAGCGCCAGAGGGTGTGGTCGAAAATTAAATTCATGTAAATTTTCATATGGGGTATCATTTTAAAGGAAATTTAGCCACGAATTCAACGACATCAATGTTCTTGACCTTATGACCTTGTCGACGAGGTCCGAGGTCAGAAAACATAATTTTCATATGGGGTGTCATTTTAAAGGAAATTCCACCGTGAATTCGAAGACGTTAATATTTTTGACTTTATGACCTTGAGGACGAGGTCAAAGGTCAAAGATACATAATTGTCATATGGGGTGTCATTTTAAAAGAAATTTGACTGCGATTTCAAGGACGTTAATATTTTTGACCTCATGACCCTTAGGACGAGGTCATATATGGAGAAACGTTAAAGGAAACTTGAATCACTCTGACGCTACTTATTTACATTCGATTGGAGGGTTTATTACGTTAAAAACTTTATTACCAAGCCATTACCACACGGTACAACTTATCATTACCACTTTGATAGAGTCGTATGCTTGTGCTTTTGGGTAATGTTTATTACCAGATTATTTACAGTGTGGGATGCTTGTTCTTTCCAAGTTTCCGCAGCCCCTTCCTGAGCGTCACGTTGGAGCCAACTCAACCGCATAAAGTTCATCTCGTTTACGCAAATGCTTCAGTTAAAATTGATTGAAATGAATGGAATGATTTCTGCACATATTTACCAAAGGGAGGGCGGCCTGGTGGATACGAATTTGACCTTGAATAACCCCGGAACGGTTTGTCGTAGCGGGTCAAAATTTTGAACAGACGAGCATGTTATCCTCAGATAGTTGTGTGCAAAATTTCAGCCCTCTACTTTGAAAAATGCCTGCCCCACAGCCCCCAGAAGCTGAGATAGTCATTTCAAATAGTTCCAGAAAAAATCTGGCTCGTGCTTACAAAAAAATTTTATTTAAATTTTCTGTTGAGGAATAGGAGTGAGTTATTTGTCACATTTGACGAAGCACTATTTTCTCTACAAGTTACTAATTGAGCTCGAAGAGCTTAGTACACGACAAATGCCGAAAAAAAATTCACGGAATTTGGTGTTTTCCCGTGAGGAGAACTTTTGTAAACAGTTTTAAGTTGTGGGTGCAATGTCCGATCGTGGTGTCCTCCCACGTATCAAAGTCCCCCAAAAAGTGAAGAAATCTGCAAAGCAATATGCTGACCGTGTCTCGAAACCACTTTTAGAGTAACATTTTCCTAAATAGCACGGTAAAAAAATAAATAAGGTAATTTTTATCGTGACGCAGCGTCTTCCCAGACGATAAAGTTGACCCAAGATTATGCAAATGACCTTGAAGCTAGATTAGGAATAAAAATCATTTCGAATAGTGAAATACCTATACAATCCCCTGATATAAGTCAAATAGACTTCTTTGGGTTCGGATACTTAAAAAGAAATTCTTTCTGCGGAGACCGAATTTTTTAGACGGAGTTTGGAAAAAATTGAAATGAGTGTCTCAACTTCTGGGGGCTGTACGGGAGGCATTTTTGAAAGTAGAGGGCTGAAATTTTGCACACAACTATCTGAGGATAACATGCTCGTCTGTTCAAAATTTTGACCCGCCACGACAAACCGTTCCGGGGTTATTCAAGGCCAAATTCGTATCCACCAGGCTGCCCTCCCTTTAGTATTTAGTACCAGGACAGGAGTTCAGTGCAGTTACATGCATTCATACATATATTGGTCAATTCCTTGTACTTAAACACTAGTCCAAATGCTACATATGACGTCAATTATGCATATTAAGTGTAAAGATGTTGACATTCTTTTCATGCTGGTATTTGCAAATAAATAATCTTAATTTGCTCATTCAACAGAATCCAGATTTTATGTATTTACGAGGCATAAATAAACCCAAATTGTACAGATTTAATGGATTAATTTATGTACATATGTATGTATTTTTTCTAATAAGACAGCGCCGGCCTATTGATATCAGACTGGATCAGCGTCTCGTTGACACCAATACTCCAATTGGAATTGCGAATAATATTAATTGGATTTGCGAATTGACTGTTTTTTGGCAGGTTTTCGTGTTTTGATGTCAATCGTAACCCTCGCAAGTTTACGTATGTAAAGAGATGGATTGAAGAGGACGATTTACATAGTTCTTGTAATTTCAACGTCCTTCAAGTGGCAGTCAACTTTAAGGAGTGAAATAGTTCTGTGATTTTCGTTAAATTTTTCCAATTGGGATCAAGTTTCCTAAATATTTTTTAAAATTAAAAATCAAGTTTTTATTTAATACGAGTGAAATAAATATGCGCATTTTCTTGTTGTGGGGGACATTCGTGATTTTGTTCTTGGTCAAATGTGAAGGACAATTGTAAGATTTACATAATTTTTACCATTTTTGCGCTTTTTTGCCATTTTTTATTTATGCCATTTTATTTATGAAACGTTGACTTTTTTCAACCGTAACAACAAATTACTTTGTGTTACGTTTTATTGTTTTTTCTCGGAAACTGAAATATACTGTAAACAATTATCTTATTTTGTAAGTAATTAATGAATCTGGTACATAATTTTACACATAAATGGACCACATAGTCCTCCGCAGACTGGAAGGGTGACCACTGGCCAGCAAGTGACCGATATTCTCAATAGCCTACTTGAAGGATATGATAAACGAGTACGACCTAATTATGGAGGTAACTAAACGTTTATGCATATGATTTTAAGCATGAAATCAGTGGCCGGCGTGGCCGCGGAAGCCGTGTAAAATAGGGGAATGGGGACATTTTCCCTCTGTCCCCACACTATCGCGGCCACTGCATGAAATTTACACCTGGATTTTCGAATTTAATCGAAGTCGATTAAAAATTGTTGTATGTATCTCCTTTTAGGGGAGCCTGTCGATGTGGGAGTTACCATGTACGTATTGGGCATTTCATCCCTCTCGGAAGTGCAAATGGTAAATTAACCCTTTAACGTGTATGATTAACGACAAGATAATGCATTAAATCGGGGACACTATAAGTATGTTGTGGTCATGGCGCGGGAGGAGAAATTCAGGAGTTTTTAATAAAACTCGAAAAACTGAAAAATCAAAAATTTAACATTGCGTTGTATAGGGAAATATCCAAATTTTTGGGAAGAAAATCTTCAAATTTAGCATTGTGTTGGCATAGGAGAAATCCCTCAAAATTTCAAAAAATTTTAGGTCGCGGAGAGAAGATGGTGAAAATCAATGATCTCCTAGAAACGACAATTGTCGTCCTTCCGCGCCATGACCACGATTTTTCAGGACGACTTTTGTCGTACTCCCGAATTAAACCATTTCTTATAAAACGACTATTGTCGTCGTTACAGTTTAAAGGGTTAAATATATTATCGAACCTAATTAATTCAGTGATTATAATAATTAACAGTTAATCAATTATTTTTACAGGATTTTACGACGGAATTTTACTTCCGGCAAATTTGGAACGACCCACGACTCAGCTTTAAAGGGGAGCCAGGAATTAGAAGTATAACTGTGAGTGAATAATACAATTCATATTTTTAAAAAAATTATGCAAATAATGGGTGTATTCATTACTATGACGTTCGCGTGGGTAAATGCATATATACATTTTTTAATTACGTAACACATGCAAATACCTACCCATAGGGGTATTCATTACTATCTAACTCGCATCGTAAGGCAAGTTTGCAAAAAAACAAAGTTCGTAAAAAATTTGACTTGAAAATTCATTTGCAAACTCCAAGGCAAGGTTAAGTAGTGTTTATTCAGGGGTGAAAGCCCTTTATAATATCGTTATGTTCGTCCGTCCGTCCGTCTGTCCGTAGCTCCGATAACTTTTGAACGGAAAGATATAGACATGAAATTTTGAACGTAAATTCCTAACGTCAAGGGACAGGACGAGTTCGATGATGGACACTGTGACATCGTTACCTGTGACGATGACGTCGTCACAGTGACGAAAAGTGAAGAAAAAGTATCACGTGCCAGTTTTGGCAAGTGACACATCATTTGTAACTATTTTTCAAAGTCGAATTCAATGGTGGCCCTCATTTTGACCTCAGAGGTCATCTAAAGGTCACATAACGTCGTATTAATTCGAAAACGACGTAAGTGCAGTCGTGTGTTAATTCGAAAACGACGTAAGTGCAGTCGTGTGTTAATTCGAAAAAGACGTAAGTGCAGTCGTGTGATATATAACTATTGGTTGTGAAATTTCAAAATCTCGGTTTGCGGAATCATACGTATGACCCTACGCGGAGGATCCCGTCATATTTTGGGGCCAATCGGAACACACCCCCTCGCTTCCATGGGGTGTGGTCGTAGCAAAATGAGGCTTTTACAAAAATTGAATCCATGGATGAAATAGAGTAAAAGTAAGTGTTCCCGAGTTGTGCCACACCCCCTCGAGCCCAGGGGGTGTGGTCAGGGCAAAGTGAGATTTTTACAAATATTTAATCGAACACGTAGGAGATATAAAACAGTAAGATTGATTTATTAATTAGGATTGATAAAACAGTAAAACATGTAAGATGCATTATTCTTCAGAGTGGCAAGATAGAATGAGGAAATCTCAATTATTTTGTTATTTTTAGATAATTCAGATTCGGCAATCTTTGTTTTCTTTGCTGTATCGCATTCTCAGCATTTTTGCGCTACTTTATTTACTAATGGAATTATTGATGAAGATGAAAGATTTACTTCAATAAATATAATATACATATTTAAATTTAAATTTTAACTTAATTAGATATAATTAGTTTTGAAAAACTGACCAGTTGTTAAAATTATAATTGCACTTACGTCCTTTTACAAGATTTTATTGTGTACTTACGTCTTTTTCAAATTAACACACGACTGCACTTACGTCTTTTTCGGATTAGCACACGACTGCACTTACGTCTTTTTCGAATTAACACACGACTGCACTTACGTCTTTTTCGAATTAACACACGACTGCACTTACGTCTTTTTCGAATTGACACACGACTGCACTTACGTCGTTTTCGAATTAATACGACGATAAGGGTTATGAGCTGTAAAAATTTGGCACATCTGAGACACAAACGTCGAAAATGCGTCAGAAGTGTAAATTTTGACAAGTTTTCGAACGCAATATGATATTCACTTTGACGTATAACACACTTCTTTCACCCCTTGGTTACATGCGTTGCAACGGTTTATCTAGTTCTTATTTTTTTAAATTGTAAATTGCGAATTACGATTGCAAATTGTTGTGATGCGGAAATGGTAAGTAACTCGTAATGCATATTTGAGCCGACGATAAATTCCATATACCAAAGGTAATTTACGTTAAATGGGGCGATTTTAAAGTTCTACAACTCCGAAACTGGTTAGACGTTTGACCCAAAATTTTGAGCATAATAACATGTGACCCAAGGCTATGTGTCTGTACCAAAATCTAACTCCCAAGACAGAACTGAACCCCCCCCCCAACTGACCCCAGAGCAAGAGGGTGTGGAGAACACTTTTTCCAACGCCCAATTGCTGCCTGCAAAAGTTTTTGACGAAGTAAAAAACTAAAATGTGGCATATATTATGCCCCAGTGTGCAGGGAACTCAAAACAATTAATTTTATTCCCCAAATACAACTGGCTGTATTTTTGGAGAAAACCTAAAAATAGCCCCCACGCGATTTAAGCGTCATCGGTCTGCTTCAAATCCATACCAAACATCGAATTTAAAACTTAGAAAACCAACCAGGTGCAATTATATTAAGAAAGGCCTCCTCTAACTGACAAAATGATAATCATAGAAAAATTTCAAATATGGTGAGATATAAAGTTCCATTTTATCAAAAAAAAAAGTTTCCGAGTTGTTTTGGGCCTGGTATTCAAAGAGGTGAAACTTTTTTTACCCGATTTTAAGTTTTTATTTTAAGTTTTTAAGTTGGTTTTAAGTTTTTAAGTTTTAAGTTGTTTATTAAAGCTAGATAAATTCCAAAACTTTTTATACCATTGGCATCAAATTCTATGAACAATTAACAATTTTAGAGAATTTTAAAATATTCTAAACCTCAAAATTTTGGGTGTTTAGAAAAACATTTTTTCGTGACTTTTTTTTCGGATGTTTGTATCTCAGGCAATTTTTACACTCGTGACTTGAAATTTTAAACTAACAATGATGAGAATAGGATCTACTAAGGCCAAAAATTTCAAAGCGATATTACATATAGCGCCTAAGTTATTAAGCTTCAAAATCGCCCCATTTAACGTAAATCACCTTTAGTATGGTTAAACTGCAAGAAAGCTTTTTGACTTCTTTACGTACACATTTGGTATTATGTAAATTAATTTGGTGATATACTTATGCACGTAGATACTACTAACAATTTTTGTACGGCTACTCTATATATGCACTATTTATGTACATATCTCAAAGCTAATGTAGATTTGAAATTTATTTTTTTTTGTAAATCAATCAATGACGTGATTCTCAGGCGGGAACCGATTTCGTTCGATCAGTTTGGGTTCCGGACACTTTTTTCGTTAATGAAAAGATGTCGTATTTCCACACAGCTACCGCGCCCAACGAATTGTTTCGCATATCCGAATCCGGAGATGTCGTGAGATCAATGAGGTTTGTACGGTTCTTTTATTTTATCTACGTCAAACTTTGTACAAGTGTGAATAGTACGTGAAATCCGTCAATTCTCTAAACTTGCATATATTTAGAAACTTTTACTCAATTTCACAAATCCAAATTTGTGATAAAAAATAGCTACCAGGTTTTCGCAAATTTACTCACAATGCGATGACGCCAGCGGTCTCGCCCCGATTTTGACGAAACGACGATAATTATGTATCATTAGATAAATAATTGAACACGTGTTTCAGGATTTTTCATAATGCTCAGTTTAAACGAAATTATGACGAAATCGGGTGAGCGAGAATTCCCATTTTCACCGTGACATTTTTCTGGCAAGGGAGAAAAATACAGATTCTCCATTAAGAATTCCATCATGGATTTCCATGGGCATGAAGTGTTTTTTTCGATTTTATATTGCTTGTACGAATTTTGAAATTTTAATTTTTTTTGTAAATTTCTGAAAATTTTGAAATTTTTTGAAAATTTCTGAAAATTTAAAATTTTTTAGAAAATTTCTGAAAATTTTCAAAATTTTCAAAAATGCAACAAACCAAAATCGTAGCAAACCACTTCGTGCCCACCAATATTGAGTTTAAACGAAATTATGATGGCCTCCGTAATGGAGAATCTGTATTTTTCTCCCTTGAGAGAAAAATGTCACGGTGAAAATGGGAATTCTCGCTCACGGATTTCCTCATAATTTCGTTTAAACTGAGCATTATGAAAAATCCTAAAACACGTGTCTAATTATTTATCTAAAGCTACATAATTATCGTCCTTTCGTCAAAATCGGAGTAAGACCGCTGGCGTCATCGCATTGTCAGATCTAGGGCGTCTTTTAGTTTGTAAAAGTTTGTAAAATTATTTTGTAAAACTTCTTTTATACGTTCTGTTCTATTTCCTGCCATAATTGTTTATATACTTCAAAATTTGCACAATTTGCTACAATTGGCAAATTTCTGCATACATAAAATTATTTTTTGTAGATTGACCGTAACAGCGTCGTGTCCCATGGATCTGAAAAACTTTCCAATGGACACTCAGCTCTGCACATTGGAAATTGAGAGCTGTAAGATACTTTTCATGCTACATGTGAGGGACTGTGCAGATAGTATGTGATCAATTTGAAAGGGGTAGGGGTCCTATCCTTTCCATGTTAATTATAATATAACATGGGAGTATATACATACATAGGTCACACCTGGGGGTAGGTGTCAAAGTTCGCCGAAAATCGATCACATGCTTTATATACGGCCCCTGAAGTAATTTCAAGATCAAACTAACAATGGAGGCGCAAACCATGTTCAGCCCAGATAATTTTTTGGCCATGTTAGTTTGGAAGAGCAAGTCTCTAGAAACAACATTTGGTTCACCACTTGCGCAGATGCGCAAAATTCAGCACGTTATGGGCGCCACAAGTTCGCAAAAACGTATGATTTTTGATGCAAGATCCAGCGCGAGCTCACTCTCGACCACTTTTGTGAACTTGTGGCGCCCATAACTTGCTGAATTTTGCGCATCTGCCCAAGTGCCGAACCAAATGTTGTTTGTAAAGGCTTGCTCTTTCAAACTAATAAGGTCAAAAAATTATTTGGGCTGAACATGGTTTGCGCCTCCATTGTTAGCCCAATTTTTATCATAGACGCCTTCAAGATGTCGGATATTCGGTACAGTTGGGCGAAGGGCGTTGATTCCGTTGGAGTAGCGGAAGATGTTCCACTCCCTCAATTTAAAATTGTAGGACATCGTCAACGATCATTTGAGATATCATTGAGCTCTGGTAAGAACTGGCATTATTTTGTATGCGTTTTATGCAAAGTCTTGTAAATATGCTGCAAATTACTGACATATGTAAGTGTGGAAAACTAAATTTTAAAGTGTGGTTTTTACCAATCGAAACCCTGGTTCTGGTCTGCTACATGTGTTTATTTTTACATGAATATTGCTTATATTTGTATTGTGTAGAAAGGTGCATTTACATCACAGATGAGAAATGTAGCTTTGTTAGATATATTCCATATATTCCTTATCGTGTGCATTTACATATGATAACTTTTTAAAACGCTTCCTAATTATTAGGTAATTATTCCCGATTGGCATTGGAAATCAAGTTTGAGAGATGGCTGAGATATTACATCTATCCAGTTTATTGTCCCGCCACGCTCATTGTGTTGATTTCTTTCGTGAGTTTCTGGATCAATAGGAACGCTACGACTGCTCGAGTTGCGTTGGGTATTACGACGGTAAGTAGTTTTTGCACATTAAAATACACGCGCTTTTAATAATATAACAAAATATTTGGGAGTTTACTGAAGCTGGGCTCGGATCTGCTTCCTCTAAAAAGTCCTATTTTGATAGGTTTTGAGCGTGCACGCACTCTCGCCTAAGACATGTGAAATTTTAAACTTTGTCCTAGAGATGCGAAATTTGGCATGCACATGTACCAAGATATGCTGCCTCATAATCTAACATCAATTCCCGTTCGGTTCGCTATAAATTTTTCAGGAAAAATCAAAAACCAAATGTCACCCCTATTCCGTTTGGTTTTTGATTTTTCCTGAAAAATTTATAGCGAACGGAACGGGAATTGATGTTAGATTATGAGGCAGCATATCTTGGTACATGTGCATGCCAAATTTAGCATCTCTAGGACAAAGTTTAAAATTTCACATGTCTTAGGCGAGAGTGCGTGCACGCTCAAAACCCATCAAAATAGGACTTTTTAGAGGAAGCAGATCCGAGCCCAGCTTCAGTATACTCGAAAGACGCCATTTATGTAGGCTTCGGCAACATTGTAAAACCCGTAAATTCTGTAAACATATAAAGTTTTACAAAATTAAGTTAATATTTTCATGTAAAATTTACGTAACCTACTCAAGTCAAGGGCGTCTTTTTACTTTGTAAAAGTTTTTAGTCATATGTTACAAAATTTTTGGATTTTACAATTTACTAGTGCGTGAATAGACTCAATCATTGCACAAAGTATTTATGCATATAAATATATTCATATTTTTTTTATATTAAGATTTTGACCATGACAACGTTGATGTCTTCTGTGAACGCTGCTCTCCCAAAAGTTTCATACATCAAGAGTTTGGACGTTTTTCTGGGAACTTGTTTCGTAATTACGCTTGCTGCTTTATTGGGTTCGTAACTTTATTGACGATAAAAGAGTGAATAATTTATAGAGTTCATATTCATTTCTAGAATTTGTGACGGTCGGCTATGTCGGAAAACAGATCGAGAAGAGGAAAGAGGAAGATGATGCGGAAGGAGGAAATGCAAATGAGACCAATGCAAAAAAAGTTGGGAAATGGGGCGGCGTTGCACCGGCGGATCTTGATAGGTGGGGAAATTTGAGAATTATCACTGTTAGAAATCTGGTATAGTCAGGCAGGTATTGATTTCTCGGTATTAAAGTTGCTACCGCTTGGTGCTAAAATTCCCGAGCTGCACCACAAGCGTTGATTCGGTACTTGCTTCTGCAGGTGTTGACAAGGTAGCGAAATGGAACAAGATCATATGCTTATATGGTACTGATGGCAAGCGACTAATGGGTGCCGAAATATGTCATCATTTCGTCAACGAAATATCATTGCTTAATCCATACTTTTACACGTAATGAAACGGCGACGAAATGCGAACGTTGTCTCGGTACCAAATTTTTTAAGCAGTTTTGGTAACTAAATTTCGTTATTGAATTAGTACTGATACAATTGGTTTATTTTACTCCAAATTATTTATTAATTTCCAAAAATTATTACAATTTAACTTTCATATAATAATAATCAGTACAATTTAACGTAGTTGGAGAGCATTAAACAACTAAATGCATATTATTTTAATACAAAAACTCGTTAATCTTATAATAAGCAGTATTCATTATTTGCGATTTATTTCAAATGAATTGCACAATGATATATAAAAATATTTTTTCCCGGATGGAAGTAGAATACATTTCTTTGACAGGTTAAAAGGGTTTAACTTGCGCAAAACTCCCAAATTCGTAACGTAGCCTATTCCTAACTCTTTGCAAACTACGGGATAAGATTTCGGTTGTAAATATTCATCAAATATACGACACATAAATTTCTGGTTATGTTTTTCAACAATACATACTTGTCCAGTTTTCGTGATAAAACAATTATCACCAAGTTTAGCTGAAGGAGTTAAGGATGAATTTGTCTGCTTTGGCAACTTTAGTGGCAAGTCAGTTAATTCCCCAACCCTTCTAACAATTTGACTTAAAGGGGCATTTTTTGATCGCAGCAGGCGTTTTATTGCTTGCATGAAATTTTCAAACGGGAATGCGCTAAAATTATCTACTGGTCCGTGAAGATGAACATCTGCAGCTAAATGAGTTAGTGAATGAACATTAAATACAATAAACTCTTTACAATAAAGTGTAGGAATTTTCTCAACAAATTCATTAACGAGTTGGGCTGCAAAATCAACCCAATCGTGAGAGTTTGCAAACTCAGAAGCTAGAATATATATTGCAGTGTGTAACAATAGAAAATGGTGATATTTATCTGTTGTTAACACACCTTTCAAGCAAATTGGTCCTAAGTAGAGTAAGAAGTTTCTGAACTCAGTAGCTTTCCAATGTCTAATTTCTTCCAAACTTCTCGGTTTTCTAGAAAAATGTGAAGGGACTCGATTACGGAACAATAGAAGTCTACTTGAAATTAATTTAATTTGACGTTGAGATAGTTTGTGTGGAATATGTCCGTCTATCCATAAAAGTAAGAATTTTTTCATCACCCCGAGGCAACATAAATGCATATAATCCAGAGGAATTTGACTAATCATTCCTACTCCTGCATCTATTAATGGCGAAACTTTATTAATTTCGTGATGGTTAATATGCATCCGTGTTCTAAAAGTTTCATCAGAATGCAAGGGAAAAGATCGACCTACTGGATATATTACGCGGCCAGAATATTCACCTTTTGTGTAGCATCGTTCACAACCATAATATGCATTGTGTCCTCTTACTTGCTTAATAAAGCTTCTTGCAGGTGCGTCTGCAATTATAGCTTTTAGAAAAAATTCATATTTTTTGTTGGACACCACGACTCCATTTTGTTTTAAATTGATTACTTCATTCACCAGTGGATTAAGAAATTCTTGAATTGATTTGGGTTTCTGATTACCACAAAACAAGCTTACTATAAAAACGCTATTACCCCCAAGCTCACCATTAACTTTGCATAGGATAGGCCAAAATTGTAAGTTGGAACTCTTGCTAATCGGTAACCCATCAATACCTAAACTAACCTCAACCTTAGTCAAATTTAATTTGCCAAATTGTGTATCATTCAAAATTTTAATTAAGCCTAATTCTAGTCCAAAGTAATAAAACTGTCCTCCATCTACATCTTTTAACTGGACAACCCTTTTAGTTTTTAGCAAAGTTCTAGGGTCATTTGGAAATCCAAATGCAGGCAACCATTCCTTACAGAGCTCTAACAAATCCCTTAATGCAGGGTGGGTAATATTGTGGGCTAGTGCCCACTCCTTCATTTGGGATAAATGGTTAACTTCAATAAAGTTATTATCATTGTGCAATTCATTTTCACTTTCATCAGAACTACTAATTACATTTTCTGATAACTCAAGATTATAATTACTTGAGATTTGTTCAGTATTAAATCTTACAAATGGTTCTTGAGAAGGAATTGAGTTCTGAAATGTTGACGATGTTCGTGGGGCTCTAATTTGGTTCAACATTTTTCTCAGCCGTTTCTTCACTCGCTGGGACTTTGTTGACCGCGGCGCGCCCATTCTTAGCCTTGGATCTCTTCTGTTTTCCTTCGTCTCCTCGATTTATTGAGTCACGAAGCCACTTTGCAATGTAAGAATCCAATTTACTGTCACTTAACTCAGCTTTGATTCCTTCTGTGTTACCCGCCTGAATGAAGAATTGACGGACCGCGTCTATAAATAGTTGTTTGTAATTTATAAACAATCATGTACCATATTTAATGATTATTTTACAAATTTAGTGCATAAAAATTTCTACCTAACAAGCTTGCAGCATAAAGTTCCCCCAAAAAGTAATTTATCAGATGCGTCAGTAAAGCGAAGAGTGAGTGCAAATTGGTGCAAAATAATTGATTTCATAGTACAGTTAACGGCTTTAGTGACAGAATCTCCCCCGACTCTGGACAGCAGGGTTACCTGGCAATTTACAAAAATAAAGAAATATAATGAAATGTGTATCAGGATCGAATAATCCGTTTAAAAATAGATTTCTGTTTTAATAACTTACTTGTTGAATATACGTGTCATTGTTAGTAAGAATTTCGTTTATTTTCTCAAGCTCTTCCTGATTTTTAATTGGCCAAAATAAATTACTTGTTGCCGCTGCCGGATTTGAAGAATTCAGGCAGCGCAAGACAATATTTTTGAGATCGCGGATCTCCTCTTGCAAAATTAGTTGATTCTGAATTGAAGTTTCTTGAAATGCTAAATACGTAAATAAATTAAACTCCAATAAATTTTCGGTTTAGATATAAACTAACACATATTTCAAAATTCGTTAAATACCTCGGAACTCCTCTACAGGGTGTTAATAAAGTCCGATCCCATTTTTCCTGTAAAAAAGTGAAGGCTAGTATAAAAAAAACTACCCGTGATACTTACAAAAAATGTTCGACATATTTACCTTAGTATTTGGTCTTGTTACCATTTACTTTAACCATGCCCTCAACTCTTTGTTTAAGGCTCTGTGCTAATTTTTCCAATGTGCCTCTGGAAATCGAATTCCATACATCTTGAACTTTTTTTTACTAGCTCTTCCCTCGTCCGGGGTTGTGGCTCTTTGTATACATTTTCCTTAAGTATGGACCACTGGTTCTTCAGGGGATTCAAATCTGGGCCGTTAGCGGCCCACACCCCCTTGCTCCAGACCGTTGAAACTTGCGTCTTGATGAGACTCAAACTCGCTTTTGCTGTATGGGCTATAGCACCATCCTGCATGAAAACTATTTTTCTTTCATTCGGAAATATTTCCTTGTTCCCCATGCTATCGAAATAGATAGGTAATATTTTTTCCATATAATGCTTTGCATTGACTGATTGGCCTTTTGGTATGATATGTAGAGGGGTCACGCAACGTGCACAAAATCCACCCGCTACCATAACTTTAAGCCCGAATTTTGGGATCGCTCTTGATGGTACATCCGATTTGTTTTCTGTCCTGTAACGAACATTTTGTTGGTTCAATTTTGGATATAGTTCAATAATAGATTCGTCAGTCCAAAGGATGTGACTGCGCAATTCTTCACCAAGTCTTTTTTCACTCAAATGGGCACTTTTCTGAAGGAGTTCTTCAAATTTCAGACGGTCATCGATATATTTTTGTGACATGAGAGGTTTTTTTGGTTAGTTTGTAAGCTGTGTGACCCCACTTCGTAGTTTTCACAAATTTTTGCACGGTCACACAGTTAATTTGCTTCTTCTTCTCTTTATAGCGTTTTGAGTCATTTAACTCCCTTGCTCAATTACGTAATGAACTACCGGTTTTCTTGCAAAGTCTGTTTTTAATCATTCTTTTTGTGGTAGGTGACACCTTTCTGGGTCGCCCTGGTCGCTTTTTGTCGTGGACAAAATTTTTATTCTTCCATTTCCAAACAGTTCTGCGGCTGCAGCCCAATTTTTGCACAATTTCTGTAGGTTTAAGCCCCTGCTGATGCAATGTTTGTATCTCAACTCTAAGATGCTCATGACTTACACGTTTAGTTGTTCCTCCCATGGTAAAAATTTGAAATAAATAACTTCACTGGTTCAAAAGTTCCAGCTGAATTTGTAACAACCACGCTCCAAAAAATGCATGGGATCGGACTTTATTAACACCCTTTATTAAAGTTGTAATGCGGTCATCACAATAGTCAAAAGTCACGGGAATGGATTCTACTTCTTGCTCGGTTCCTTCGTTGATTGGTGGCTCGAACGGTTGAATTACTTCACCTTCTGTAAAATATGAAATCGCAAATTTCGCAATATGTTAATTATAATAAAAAACAGTGGAAATTACCTGCTCTGCGTAATCTTTCTTGTGACGATTCACCTACAATGTCCAAATCACTGCTATCGATGTAGGCAGCTTTCAAAAGCTTCTTAGCTTTGTCGTTTGCTCGCTCGAACTTATCTACAATAGCAATAAAAATTATATGGTTTCATTAAAAAATGTATGAATCAGAAATTATTTTTTACCGTAACTCTTCTTTACGTTTGCTTCCCAAATTTTCCAGAGAGGATCTGGTATGGATTCAGGGTCCTCTTGATTCTTTTTGAAACCTTTCGACCGATTTGAAGGAAACGCGCACTTTGTGTTGTTATCCGAAAGCCAAATTCGTGGCACTACTTCAATTGTCCTGTCCACAGGAAACTCCACTACACAAAATTTCTTTAACACTATATCTGTCATTGATATAATTACTTTTTTCAACTAAATAAATTGATGTAATCCGGTGTAAATGTTGCTTCTGAGTGGCGGTGCGGTAGTGCGTGCTCACGAGAAATCTACACTGATACAGCGATGATTATGTACTTATAATCACCACAGATTAGCGGACGATTTTTCGTTACTGATTCGTTAGAGGGTAATAGAGGATTTATCAACACTACTTCTTAGGTTGTAAAAGTGTGAGGATTTTGTACCGAAATTTGGGTGGCTGGTAGGTAAAGATTTATCATCACTGATTAGTTGTTGGAATATGCATGATTTTTCAGCGCCGTTTTTTGGACATCAAATGTGTAAGGATTTTGCACCAGAATTTTGGCGTTTTGTTGGTAACGAATAAAAGACGCTTAACCAGTATTGAGTGTCAACGGTAAACATCCGTCGAAATTTCCATACCTAGTTAATGCGTTATCATTAAGTCAATTTAAGCGCTGAAAATTCGGTACCCAAAGTTTGCCATTTCCGTATTTTTATTTAAGCAACGATTTTTCGTTTTCATATCATTGCTACTTTCGTTACTCCATCCTCACCTTTGGTATCTCGGGATTATACCCGTCCGCAAAAATTTGCTACCGATATGGCAAAACTTTAATACTGATCAAACTACACGGTATTGTTTATCAATTCTGCCTTGGTGGAGTCATGTATGAATTCCGTTGTATTACTTTAATACTACATTTCTAAGAGTGTATAAAACCAAAATGTGTTTTGTGTTTTTAAGATTTTTTTACTTGTACAATTACAAATATATTTTCATATTGAAACTTAAGTACATACATTTACTTTTCCCTAGATATTCGAGGATCTTGTTCCCCGCAATCTTCGCCTGTTTCCAATTTCTATATTGGGTGATTTGTCTCAACATTTCGGATGCTTGAGCTGGTCGTCATTTTGAAACATACATTTCCTACATAGATGCCTTGTCGTCAAGTTTATCTACATATTCCTCGTAATAATCAGAATCATAATTTATTTAAGAATTCTTTCAGCCTTAAACTTGATGGGCCTATAAAGATTATAATGATGAATTAACCTCTTAACGACCAAGTACACACATTTGTGTAGTTATTTTATTTTTCCGTTGACGACGAAATACACAAATGTGTGTACCGCAAAAATTTCCTTGACACCAAAGTTTTTTCAAAAAAGAATATTTCCTCGGTTTTTTGTGGAAAACTCGATGGTGAAAAGTGGATTTTTTTTCGATATTTTTCTCCTAAAATTTTGGAATTTTCCCTATACCGACCAATGTTTAAGTGGATTTTTCGTGTTTTTCGTCAAAAACTCGAATATTGGAAACTGGTGCAAAATTTTAATTGGTTGCTATCTGGTATAATTAGATATGAAATCAAAATCGTACCGAAGGGAAATAAAATTCCCTTAAAATTCCTTCCCTTAATTCCCTTAATTCCCCTAAAATTCCCTAAAATTCCCTAAAATTAAATAAAATTCAAGTAGCTGTGTCACTTGAATTTTATTTAAAAATTAGTAGTCCGAAAGAGGTTAGCTCCGTAAATTTCCCATCTTATGCATATGTGTGTACATGCATGTGAATTTTGAAATTTAACTGTCGAGATGAATAAAATAAAATTTAAAATAATAGAAATAATTTGAGAAATGTGCCCTTCTTTGATTTTCAGAGCATTTAAGCATAAAAATTAAGTATGAGTCCAAATATATTTAGTGTATAAAGGAGAAACTAGAAAGCCAAGCTCCGTAATGATACTCAATACTATTTCATACATACATACATATGTATGTAGATCGCATTTTTGTACGAAATGCAGCCAAACCACCATTCTCAAAATTTAAAATTTATGGTAGAATTTTTCACCATATATTTAAAGAAACTAAAAAAAAAATTGCAGTTTTTCAGGAAGTAGTAATTGTTTGTGGTGTCAATGCATTGGGTTTGAAATTTGATAATACGGATATATGTATAAGTATATATGTAGATCGTTAGCATGCAAACAACGACTTACTTGAGTATTAGTTTAGTTAAAACTCAACCTCATGGTCAGATTCGGCTGCAGTACGTGGATATATTACTAAAATATTTATTTAGTCTGATTTATGCTCAGACGTATGTACATATGTATGTATGTATGTAGCTGTGTCACTTGAATTTTACTCCGCTCAACGTACAATATTACGAATATATTAATATTACAGATATTAATAAGTAGAAGGTTATTTCCGGAGAGTTTCCTAGCTCTAGATTCTATAAATTATATAACACTCATGCTCAACTTTAAATAATTCAATGGAATAACACGAACGTACAAGTCAATATCACGCGCTAAAGCTATCCTAGAACTCCAACGTTACATAAAAATCATGCAACCTGGACTAACATTTAGTACAAGTTATTTGTTCCGTAGATTAACATGAAGTTTTTAAAATTTCTGTTGCTAACACCGCCTTAGAAGGAGTACATATTTCTAGACGTGTAAGCTTTTGGTATATTAGGATGCTACATGACTTTGGATACCATGGGGATCCTTAACTTAGCCCATTACATAAACTTATTTTCAGGATGTGTAGTAAACATTCTTAACTACGAAAATATCAACATCCCATCCTCCATATCAGTTCCCTTTTGTACGACAAGATTCAAAGTTGTACCACTTTGCAACTTCATGTCAAGTGATCCTCATAGATTTGCATTTTTTGGGTATCAAATTATTCAACTAGACCCAAATAGCAACTCCACTTTCCCCACTTGTCTCCAATCATTTAAACCAAATTATGAAATACCTCTTCGCAAAAATCTTGGTCAACCTAGGAGCTGGAAATGTTTGACGCGTTTCTACATCTTCCCTCCTGCCAAACCTGGCGTGGGTGTAATGCCATCGGATTTATATGAAGAGTATTTTCCTTCGGAGAGACGTTACCGCAGGACAGGGTACCACATCTTGGTACAGCATTATGGAAGAGATTTAAGGACTTGGAGTACCGAAATGAGAACACCTTTAGGTGGAAATTCTGCCCTTAAGATGCTCCTTATCCTGGTGGAGAACAATTTAGTAGAAAAGTTCCAGTTTTGTTGTAAATATTGTCACGATTGCTTTCAAGTTTGTTACGATATTAATAATGATACCGTAAAAGACATGGGAATACATGAAGTAGCTCATTCGTTTAACCGGATTAGTGATAAGTCACCCTGGTGCATTCTGGGCTCTCGGAAAGCAATAAAGTATAACAATATTGATATTAGGTTCTCAGAAATATCCAAAAATGATGTAACAATTGATGGCATTTTGCTGAATTTGCTTTTGGGAGGTAACGCCTCCCTACAATTTCATAGGTGGGCTTGTTCCGCATTTGTGCAACCTACCCCACGAACTCCCCCAGGTAACGTGACCCTGTTACAAAACCTGTGTTCCTTCAATCGTCCCAATATTCATCCAACAATCGATATCAAAGCTGACCTCAATATCGAAATCGTGACAGGCTCCCGTCCTTACGGATTTCTCACTTGTTCCAAACCACGATCCGCACAAACTTCATTGGAAACTTTGGTCCACGTGTTCCCTCTCACGTTGTGGATTTGCATCTTATTAACATCAATATTCCTGGGTTTATTCGCTCTGCTAACGACAAAATCAAACGTGTCGCGATTTGACATAGTGACCACCGGATACATTTTCCTCGAGCAGGCCTCCCTCATAGCGGGAAATGGAAAGGGAGAAACGCACATGTACTTCGTGTGTGGTCCATGGATTTTAATGTCCGTCATTCTAACAAATCTTATTCGAGGGGATAACGTGCAAAATACAATTTCGCCTATTCGCATCATTTCAGGTTTATGACCGAACAAGCACATGTCGAAGTTTTTTTAAACCAAACCGTCTATGGGGCCAGTGGGTGTGGCACCTAAAAGTCATATGCACATCGCTTTTGAACACTTTATTGATCTGGTTTTTATTTTTTAGACAACAATCCTGGATAGATTTTCCTTGTTTTGTTTAAAAAATGAACTGCATGAGTTGAATTTTTAGTTTCATAGCGAATTCGTTATTGAATCAGATTTGTTAGAAGTAAAAAGGTTGTATCCGCTAGCGGCTAACTTCACAAGCTCAAGTAATCAAGGTCCCTGATTTTTATAAATTTCGGGTTTCTAGTTGTCCAAAATTTATAGCAATAGATAAATATGTGCTAATAATGTAACATCATAAAGTAACGCATTTTAATTTTCTAATTTGGCATTAAATTAGAGAAATACAATTTTTATATTTTCAACGTTAATATGTTTAAATTATAGAATTAATTTTCTAAAATTTGAATTTTAGAAATGGATAACTACATCTTTTTTCATATGTACACATACATATATGTATGTTGAGATTTGTAAATAAGTGAAGAGCGACTGCTGCAGCACTCGAAAAACCGAGTGCACTAGGTTTTTCGAGTGCTCGATTGCAGAGGCACCAAGCTTTGCAGAGTACTCGAACTCGGCTTGAACTCGAAATGTAGAACTCGTTGCATCACTAATTAAAATGGTGATAAAATTCATTGTCGGCTTTCACAAAGGAAGAAATACGACGCAGAACTGTAAGTAAATAGTAAATATTTGTGAAACAATTGGTTGGAAACAATACGAAAATAAAATAGCTTTTTCAGTTTGGCTTCATGTCGGACCTGAACTGATTATGGTAATAAAATCACAAACAGATTCGCCGATCTGAACCAGGCACCTACAAAAACGGAAATAATGTCAATTTTACGTCAAAATATTTAATCAGTAGTTCAATAAAATTGACGATATGCGATAGACGCAAACAATTTTTTACTAGGGTCGGAAAAATGCTCTATTTTTGAAGGTATGTACGATTTATTTTTGTGTCCATGCATTTTTTGTGTCCATCTATTTTGATACTATTCATACAAAAGTATACACTTAATTCACTCGCATGATTTTAGGGTGACTCAATGTTTTGTACTTTTCGTTGCTGGGATGAACCCAAAATTTCCTAGTTTGTGACTCATCTTCTCGTTGCAATTTTACTTACCATTTCACCTAGTACGCACTTGACTAGATTATTTTGAAAATCTACACCCTTAAAAACATATTTTTGATTAACATGATTTTCAAAAAACTACGAAACTTGACAGAATCTTATACCGCCTTATATTTATTGCCCATCCTTTGGAAAGCGTGGGCCATCCTGCAATTTTTGTATCGTGGTTTGATTTCATTTTTTCGCTACAAGATACTTATCGCGATGATGATAAATCTCGTCGTGTGGAAACGAGGACGCAAATTATCTACACGGGACTACTCCTGAACACGATGTTTCTTCTTTACGTGCTTTTTAATTTTGGAAAAGTCGTTCGAATGTACTTTTTCTCTAATGGTATGAACTATTTTACATGATAATATCCATTTTTAATCAGATGTTTCCGTAACTATCGTCGGACGAAATTAGCTAGTGTTTTTTAACCCGGTAAATTGTACAAATTTTCCAAAAATATTTTTTTTACAAATTTTGACAATTCACGCAGTCATTGGTAACTTGTAAAATCTGTAAGTTTTGTAAAATTATTTTACAAACTATTACAAAATGAAAGGATTTGAGCATGCAAGTCTTCAAAAATATGTAAATTGATTTAGGAGTTTTTGTAAAATTTTGTAAAAGTTCGTAAATAAGTTTCCAGATTTTACAATGTTAGGCCTGCGTGAATTGCCGGAAAATTAAGTCGTCCTGTGTATGAAACTCTAGAATAAATTGTAACCGAATTTTTTTTTGTAAATTTGCGGAGTTTACTGGGTTACAAATGTCGGAGTGGGGGGCTGTACATAAAGCCTTAAGGCATCATATGCTCTCCACCAAAATTCTGATATGTCGAAAATATTAGTGCGACTGGAGGAAAGCAAGCGTATGTAAAAATTCTGGGAATATTCGTAGCGAGCACATGCTTTATGCACGGTGCCTGAATCATTTCTTTCTTTAGTTGAATTAAATTTAGCATGCACGAATTTGGTATTTTTTAGATGATGCTCAACACCATCAGAATGGAAGGGCTCCAATGATTTTGAGGATAAATGGAGTTGACGTCGCCGTGATTCACGCCATGCGTCCGATGAGACGGGGATGAGTTTATTGCAGGATGATGAATTTGGTGTGGAAATATATGTACTTAATTACATATTTATTATGTACGTAATTACGAGTTTACATGTCCGCATACTTTTCTTTTCGGTATATTTACTGATACATGTCAAATACGTACGTACATACATATTTTTGAAAGTTTTTAAAAGAACGAAATATATATTTATCAACATACTGTACAATTTGGTACATCACAAGAAAGTATTTCCGAACTCGTAATTAATATTTCCATTATTAGAGAATAAATTCACTTTTAAATATCTCGATCAATAAGTAATTAGAATACGTATGTATATACATATGTAAAATGTGTAAGTACACTAAAAATAAATTGAATTTGTTTCATTACATTCGAGTAAGGTTATGGCTTTGTTCGGTTTCCTTTAGTGTGGTTTTCTGCATTTTATACATAAGCAGGAAATTATGTACCTATACGCATATCTGTATATATGCATCGCCGATCTGACAAGGAGAAAAAAAACAGTACTAACAGTCTGGTTCAAGTGCCGGGGAATTGGAACTTAGTACCTGGGAAACGTTACCCAAAAGTTCCGATCCCCTGGACTTTTTAGTTATGCAAGTTACAGGGAAACGGAACCCACTTGTCGCAGGATTTAGCGGGCTTCGATTCCCCGGTACCCTATTAGACAAAAGTTACGATTCCCTGGAACCCACGATTTTTCTTTAATTTTTCATAAATTGAATAAATTCCCAAGAAAAAATTTTATTGTCTCAAATTAACAGTCAACCAATGAAGAATATTGGATAAAAAAATTAGAATTTTTTATAGTGGCGAAGTTTTCTAAAATCGCAAATATCTGACAAATTTGAGGAGCGGCAAGTCCAAAAAGGTACGGGGAATCGTCACCCAACAATTATTTTCAGAGAAAAATGCAATTATTTTTGGAGAAAAATAATTGTAACATAATAATAACGCAATAATTGTAACAAAAACTATAAAATAATTGTATTTTTCCCTGAAAATAATTATTGGGTGACGATTCCCCGTACCTTTTTGGACTTGCCGCTCCTCAAATTTGTCAGATATTTGCGATTTTAGAAAACTTCGCCACTATAAAAAATTCTAATTTTTTTATCCAATATTCTTCATTGGTTGACTGTTAATTTGAGACAATAAAATTTTTTCTTGGGAATTTATTCAATTTATGAAAAATTAAAGAAAAATCGTGGGTTCCAGGGAATCGTAACTTTTGTCTAATAGGGTACCGGGGAATCGAAGCTCGCTAAATCCTGCGACAAGTGGGTTCCGTTTCCCTGTAACTTGCATAACTAAAATGTCTAGGGGATCGGAACTTTTAGGTGACGTTTCCCGGGTACTAAGTTCCAATTCCCCGGCACTTGAACCAGACTGACTAATAAAAAATAAATCATGTAAATCTTGCATTAAAATTTTTAACCAGTAGTATAAACCTAACGATTGACGATAGCACATTTTTTCTACCTGTGTCGGACAATGTTGAAAAATTTAATATTGATGTATTGGTGCATGTACATACATAAATACATTTGTATTTGGATCATTTAAATGCATTCAATTACTTAGATTATTAATTACTTGTTAGATTTATTTATGAACATCTGTCTTTAGTCGTTAAAACTAGCGATATTTATTCCAAATAATTGGCGATTGCATTTTCAAAATATAAACGAATAATTAGTGCTGTTCGAGAGTTCAAGCTTTGAGCCGAATCAGGCGAAACAAACCTCGATTAATAATCGAGCGACCCAAGCTTCTGGATAAATAAGCCGACATTGATAATTCCACCTCCACCCAAATCCACTTCCATTTCAACATTGTTGTTCCTAGATTTTATTGCATTTGAGAAAAACTCGAACTGGCTTGGCTCAGCTCGTTTAAGTGCGAGCCGAGTCGAGCCAACAGTCTAACTCGGCTACAAATAATTTAGCTAGGGTCGTTTTCTACACAGATAAATCGATCCAGACGAAAGCTAGCTTGGCTCACGAACAGCACTACACAGAATGAAGATTTTGGCTAATTTTGTGTGCTAGAATGAAATTAACGGTTCCATGGGAAATTGCATAAAACACTTTTGCATAACACCCTTATGGCATAAAATTTATTGCATAACTATGCAAAATGGCATTACCATATGTAAAGGCATACGATAGGCATACGATACGATATGTAAAGGTATTCTTACGTATTCTTACGTATTATACGTATTCTGGCATACGATATGTAAAGGTGTTATGCAAAAAAATTATGCAATTTCTCCGCACAAGGAAATTAACCATTCGAGTGGAATAACTTTTATTATTTTGCGTTATGACTCACTAATTTATGCAATCCTTTTGATACATTCCGCACTTTATGCGATATCAAAATTTGATTGCAGAGATAAATATAGGTATATGTATGTAAGTAGGATCACACTATAATAAAAACAAGATCGTAAAGAAACGACGCAAATACGGGTCATAAAACTTTGCCAATTTATACAAAGATAATTAAATAAATGGATGCAATTTAAATAACTCTAATTTATGATATGAACATACGTATTATTGGTGCAAGTGCCAAGAAAGCAAATATAACTTTGCATTTTATTTGCATCGTTTAAGAATTTTTCCACTTGGTTCGGTTACTGCTGCTGAAGATGGATGGTGACGTTTGACAACCGAGTAGTTGCAGATATTCTCAGGTTTGTTTTTACTATGCTCTCCATTTTTCATAGAGATGTAGCCCACAGACATTTTTGAATCACCACCTCCTGGTTTTGGAACCTCAAACGTGACTTTAATGTTAATTATGTCTGGACGATTTTCATAATTCTCCCGGATCTTGTTTTGTGGCAACTACTCAAAATAATATTCCATTTTTACTTTTGAACCAGGATTCATTTCTAAAAAATCGGCTATGTCTTTTTCTCTCGATCCCCACGCAGTATTTATGCTTTTGTCTTGTGCAAAAAAATTATCGGGCTGGTCATTAAGTTCATTGTTTTGTTTTAATAGAGATGCAGGCTTAATATGGCCACGATCATCCTTCGGCGCCATATTAGGTTTCAGATACTTAGTAACCTTATCAGAAATTGCGGATCCACGATTTCTTCTTTTTTTCGTTATATCCCTAACTTGTACGTCGGCACTCGTAGCCTCAAATGCAACATAATCTAATCGTCCTCGAGTTTTTCTTACAGCAAGTAGTCCCGCTGGTGGGGTCGAACCATAAGAAGATTCTGTCCTTAAGAATTTAGAATATATTTCGTCACACGAGATTTTTCCTGACGGTTTCTCCTGTGGTGGTTTGTTACTCTTGTTCAGCACTTCAAATTTGAGTGAAAACATCAATTAGTTCTTACGTACATTTATGTATGTAGCGGTTAAGAAGCAAAGTTACTTAAAACTTTTGCCAATTTTTACCTTCTTGATTTTTCGGATTTTTCACCGGATTTTTCACAGGTTTATTACTTTCAATTTCTTTGCAATTTTCTTTAGAAGTTATAATGCAAAGTTTCAGTTTAGCAAATTTCTTTTTTAATTTCTTCATTCCGAGAAAAGATGATGGTTCTTCTCTAGACTCTTCTCTAGTCCTCTGATTTTTGATGCGACGTGGACCAATTTTTTTAAAGTTTGGCGCAACTTCAGCAGCAATTACTCCAATATCATCAGAACATGCATCTTGTACCTTACCTTGGTTTTTCATTATCGCTTTGGTTGTGCGAATACTATTTCTCCGACGAAATCTAGAAAACAAGTCAATGAATTAAATCCTTATTGGTACCCAAGTTATTGGAAATATATGCTCTATGTACATTTTGTTTCTTCGAAAACCTTGTCCATTTTCGAATAATATGATTTGCATTAGCAAAATCAACCACAAGCATGTTAAATTCATTTTTACTGGATATAACTAATCTCAGAAAGAAATTTAATTACATATTTTTTTCAACTTGTAAGGATTCCTCTGATTATAAGACTGGCCAGCCGATTATTTGTGAAATTAGTTACATACCATTGTAAATATTTATCAGAGTGATAATAAGGAATAATAAATTTTTACCAAAAATCAAATTACTTTATTGCTGCAATGTTTAATGTTTGTAATGTTCATTTTCGGCCCTCTATGTATTTACGGCCGGCCGTTTTGTCGGATTACCTTGGAGAATACTGCATACATTTTGCCTGTTGATTTTGTAAGAACAAGGGTAAACGATAAGTTGACTAATTGTAAGTTGGTAAGTAGCAATAGAATCTTTCTGTTCTTTCTTTATCCATACCATAATTTACCGGAATTTATTCATTAATCGGAATGTTAGTGGTTACGTTGTTCCAATTGATGTTTTTTGTGTCGGTATAAATTCCATTCTAATAAAATTGTGTCATTATGTATGAAACTTTAATTGTTGTAATACGTGTTAAATGTTATTAAATTAATATACAACATCTGTATTAACAATAAACCGTTACAACGAATCTAACCAAGGGGTGAAAGTAGTGTGTTATCCTTCAAACTGAACACCATATTGTGTTTGCCCTTTCAAAATCTGTTAAATTGACATGTCTGATGTGCTTTCAAAAAGTCTGACATGCGTACCAAATTTAACTGTTGATGGCCTTTCTGTGACCTCTTGTGACCTTAGAGGTCAAAATGGAGGTCCCCATTGAACTCGGGGTTAAATTTCAGATCAAATTGATATATGAACGTATATATATATAATTTGGCCTTTGAATGACATTTCATGACCTTTGGACCTTGATGGGTGCGACATACAGTGTCCATCTTCGAACTCGTCCTGTCCATTGACGTTAGGAGTTTATGTTCATAATCTTAAGTCTCTATATCTTTCTGTGCAAAAGTTACTGGAGCTACAGACACATAGACAGACAGACAGACAACGATCTTATAAAGGGCTTTCACCCCTTAATAAACCTATATTTTGACACATTCCTCATTTGACGCCGTATTAAAGTTAATTGAACAAAGATAACTAAAATTTCATTTTATACAAATCAAGGTAGTTAAGAAATGACGCAAGTGAGATTTGTGAAGCGGTGTCACTTCAAATGAAATATATTTGCATTCTGATTCAATTCAGATATCATTATGAAGTATATGGGTATCAATAATAATTTAGACATTGTTGGTATTATGTATCTGTCATGAAAGAATATAAGGGTTTATAAAGAGTTTATATTTATATTTATTCATTCGCTGTGAGAAATGCAAGATTATATGTAAATACACAGTACTCGCTAAATTGGTCTTACAGGGAATGCTCGATTTCGTATGTGCTTAAGCATGTACATACATACTTTTGGATCCATGCATTTATGTATGTTTGTATGCAAAAAAGTATACTTGCACTCATAATTCACGTGCGTAATTTTTTGTGACTCAATGTTTTGTACTTTTCGTTGCTGGGATGAACCCAAAATTTCTTAGTTTGTGACTCATCTTTGAACCTTGTCCTTGCAATTTTATGTACAATTTCACTTACGCACTTGATTAATTATCTTTAACCACTTCGCCCCTATAACGACTATGTGGCGTATTTGACCTTTACACCGAATATGACCATGTGGAGTAAGTTCCCTTGGCTCCGGAATACGACGATGTGTCGTATTCACCCTTGACAACGGATACGACTATGTGGCGTATTGCCCGTTCACACCGGCCTACGACTATGTGTCGTATTCGAAAAAAATTAGGTCATTGCCCTTCCAAGTCCAGGAAAGTATAGTTTTGAGACAATAACCCTTTTTTGGACGGAAGATGAATTGCCTCTTCGGAATCAATGTTATAAATGATGGTAGAAACAATTTATAGCCAGGTGGCTATTTCTAGCCAACACGCCCAGTTTTGAAAATTCCTATTTCAACAGCGCTATCAGATAAGATTAGAGAAATTGTTTTTCTCCGATTTGGAACGCACCAACGGGCGTTTTTGGCGGAAAACTAAACGTTCGATGAATTGTATGAAATTATATTATAGGACGAAATACGTCAAAATTAATTATTACGCATCTGGAGCTGGTGAAATCTCTTTAGGCGGGAAAATTAAGCGACTGCCTGGAATTAATAGCATTTAATTTTCCCGCTTAAGATTGAGTTCTATTCACCAAATGCGTTAAAGTCTGGCTTAGAAAAGTTGGTGCTATAATTATTCATTCCCGCTGTTGTCAATTTAAACTAATTTTAAGAACTTTTGGTTTTCCCGCCCAAAGTGTGCGTAAATTTTATGCAACCTAGATGTACAAGAAACAATTTTTACACATTTTAGTGTAACCACTAAATTAATTATAGCCTATGTAAATAATTGAAAGCAAGAATTGCGAAGTTTAATTTTCCCGCCCAAATCGGCTTTTGGGGCGGTTGAGACGCGATAATCGATTTTTTGCGAATTTACGTACTATTATGTAAGTATTACTCAATGTTTGTATCACTTTCCATGCAATTACAATCACTTTTAAAATTCGGCGTGTTGGCTATTTTCGGCTATAAACATTAGTGGTCGAAAAAATGCACAAATGCAAATTACAACTCAAAATCCGTTCCCCAATGGTTATTCGTATCAACTTTCATAAAAAACTGTCCAGAATAATTCCGTTGGGAACACCATTTTTCAATTCATTTCCTAGTAATTAACGTTATGCAGTAGGTGAAAATTCCGGGGTCAAGGGAAGAAAAAATTCCACGTTGCTAGGGGTGAAAGGTATGAAAATATGCGTCTCTCAGGGGTGAAGTGGTTAAACTCATTACATTTCAAAACATACATGCAATATTTATGGCGTCCATTCGTGAAACTATCATGATTTTCAAAAAACTTCAAAACTTAACAAAATGTTGCACAGTGGTATTGTTATTGCCAATATTTCGCATAGTGTGGGCGAATTGCGGATAAATGCACCCGCTCATTTGCACCCGCTCAGTAGCACCCCAGCCAATTTGCACCCCAGGCCATTTTGCACCCCTTAAAAACTAGAACAAACAGAATAGTTGCTGGATGAATTAATGAGTTGTTAAAAACTAGAACAAAGAAGGTTCTTAATACATGCGACCCAGGGTTTCGACTATCTTAGTCCATGTGTACAATTACACAGGCTGGATACATCCAGTCATCAGCGATAGATCGTACCCCGTTTTGGGTCATAGTGCAGCAGTCAAACTATACAGCCCAATAACGTGTCGTCAAAATCAAAGAAAAAGAAATATTTGAAAGTAATACTTTCGAATGTCAAGCACTCTAACGAAAGTTGTAGAAAATTTGTACAAGATTGTGTAAAATTTTATTAAATTGAAAAATATAAAATTTTTCAGGGGTGCTACTGAGCGGGTGCGATTGAGTGGGTGCAAATTGGCTGGGGTGCAAAATGTGCCGGGGTGCGAATGAGCGGGTGCGATTGAGCGGGCCATCCTGCAGTTTTTGTGTGGTGTTTTGATGTCCTTTTTTTGCTACAAGATGACTTTGGCGATGATGGTAAATCTCGTCGTGACGAAGGTGTCTGTCCGCTTGACGGATTGTGTGGAAACGAGAACGATTATTATATGCACTGGATTGACGCTGAATACGATGCTTCTTTTGGCACAGAACCTTGTCTGTTTAAGTATTTCATTATTATTTGTGTGTGAATACGCAATTCCTATTCTACGCCAACTTCTACTGTGAATATTTGGTAACATATAATTTGATGCAGAAACTTGGTCAGGATATTATAAACAATGGGTAACAAAAACTGGTTTCCCAGCTTCGTCTGAAATTACTTATGGAGATCTTCACACATAATCAGTACTTTTGTTTACAATTAAAGTTTAATTCCTTTAAGTACATATGTATGTACGTAAATACACCAATTCATATTCGTATGTACAGCTGGAAAAATTTACAGTATACACGTGTCCAAAATATCGCAATTATGTGAAGATAGATATTTCAGAAACACAGATTCTGGAAGCGTTAGGAAATATAGCGTAACTTTGTGCCACTAGTATTTTGCCTTTGGGGATTTCAATCCTGTAAATTTTTAAAATAGTGTTAACCAAGAATGTGCGATTTTTAGCTCAGTTTTACAAAATGTACAGATTCATTCACTTGTTTTGGACGCCGTAAAGTGTGAAAAATCTGTGAAATTACATATGCCTAAATAGTATCAAGTTTCCTGTGACAAAGAGACGCCTGTGTGAAACACTCATTCGACTGATGGTGAGTTATCTCAATGTCTATGTAAATATGTATATATGTAATATCTCATCTGTCTTATTTGTGCAGAATTTGTATAAATACTTCAGTAATTTTAGCACGGAATTTTAGTAAAAATACAAAATTTGGAAGAACTGTATTTATCATTAGAATTTTGACTTTATGATGACAAGAATTTAAAGTTAAATTAAATATTATTAAATTACAGCGAAAACTACATATATCCAAAATTAAATAAATATGTCTAAAACCGAAACCATACATATTCTAATATTACGTATTATATAAATATGCAAATAAATTAAATTATTGCATTATTCCTTAAATTATATACTAACTTTGTATCATTGCAGAATATAAAAGCCACGCCACGCCATGAAAGAAACCAGCCTAATGACAAACCGTACCACTTTGGAGGACAAACCCCTCATCCTCCTAGAAGACTACCCACCCTTAGAATGGACATTATCCAGAACCGTGAAGTCCACGATTTTCGGATTGATCATAATTCTCACAATTTTAGGAAACTTACTCGCCTTATGGGTATTTTTCCGGTATCGGAAACAATTGAGGTCACCGACCCACTACTTTTTAGCGAACTTAGCCCTGGCCGACTTATTCGTCGGGGTGTTCTCACTCCCTTATCTGGCAGTATTTAGCGTCACGCTGAGATGGTATTTCGGCCGAGAATGGTGTTATTACTGGACTTTGGGACATTATTGGTTTTGTTCGAGTTCCATCCTTTCAACGTTAGGAGTTTGTATCGAGAGATTCGTGGGAGTGAGGAACCCTCTAAAACATTTGAGTGTCATGAATAAGAGAACCATTTTCAAAATGATGGCGGGAATATGGATCCTGGCGGGAATGTTGAGTGTAGGTCCGTTCCTGATTTGGCTAGAAAGACCAACAAATGACGCGTTGAGGTGTATAATTAATTTGACGAAGGGACACGTGATTGTGGCGTCGGTGGGAATTTTTCATATTCCGGCGGGAATTATGGTCGTGCTGTACTATTTGATTTACAGGTATGTAAATTCATAAATAAGTATGCTTTACGATTAAAAATTGAATTTCAATTTTTAAAACTCACATTTTGTAATTTTTTTAAATATAATTTTGACGCCTTATTATTTCCTAAATTTTTAGGGCTGCCACCGCCCCGCTAAAAACCATCGGAGAGAGTACCGCAAGTAATCAAAACACTGGCGCCCAACGCAGCAAACAAGTCCGTCTCGCGAAAAAATTGTCATTTTTGGTCGGATTTTTAATAATTTCGTACCTTCCGATGTTCACAATGTTGCTAATTCTCGGCTTCGATAGGAACTTTATCCCCCTCGAAGTTTACCTTCTCGCCGCTTGGCTGCGATATTTCAACAGTTGTGCGAACCCAATCGTGTACATTTTCTCGGCTCCCGGCTACAAGAAGGCGTTCAAAGCAATGTTCTACTCCGACCAAAATCCACCACGTGATGGGACAAATTCTTCCGTGTATTTTTCGAGTAATCAGAATATAAGGACGACTGAGGACAAATGACCGGTGGGAAAGTTATGGAACGCATATCCTGTAATGCAAATAAGTAAAAAGTGACAAGATGTGATGAGATAAGCTGTAAAGTAATTTATGGATGACACGCAGTACAAAAAAAATCTGGAAAAATACTTAAACTTTTTGAAACGTGTCTTAATTTTTTTGCGGATTTATGCCTACCAAATTTTCCAGAGATCTACATATGTACATAATCTTATTTTACCTATGTCCATACTTACGACCTGGTCTTTCGAAAAGCTAAATAAATATGTACATACATATATGTGTGTAATTGACATTAAATAAATTATAATATTCTTTTACAATCTTTGAAAATTAGAATAAAAATTAAGGTCGTTTTAAACATATATGCAATTTTACTTAAATGTGTCTGTATGCCTCTGGGCAGAATTCTAATATTGAATTTGTTGAATTATTTCTTAAATCAATGTTGAATTAATATTTCCAAAGTTCATATTTATTTATTTGTTTTTTATAAGTTCTTAGTATGTAGTAATGCATTTCGAGCGTTAAAAGTTACTCGCTCAGCCATGCTTCTTCGGATTAGTATTTAGTACTCATACTCATACGAGCATTTGTCTAAATCGGCATACCACCAACAATCGGTGGGAGTGTCGCGACGTCCTTGTGGTCGCCGCGGAAGATGACGACGCTTAAATCGAGGGTGATCCTCCTTCACGGCGGATTCGTCAGTTTGCTTGGCCTCAACACCAATTATGTCTGAAATGAGGGAATTTTCTTGAAATTGTGAATCATAAATGGTTCCAAATATCTAAGAAATTTAAGGAGTCGCACATCATGACAATACACTCTAAAAAATCCAGTATTAAAATAATACCCAGTGGTACTCATGTATGACTCTATCAAAGTGATATCGATTAGTACGGCTTAGTAAGTAATAGCTCGGTTGCTCGGTATAAAAGTTCTACCTTATCCGTGGCAAATTTTTACGGACCGGTATAATTTTAATACCAATCGGTAGCAAGTTTAATACCGAGAAATCAATGCCTGCGTGACTACACCAGAATTCTATACATACATATAACGACAATCACGCCATAATTGTGTACATTTTGTCGAATTCGTAAAAATCCAATATAATTATTATCGTTATTGCGATGAGGAGATGTGGAAATGGTTGCCATTTACATGCATAATTATGTAGTTACTCTGGTGATGATTATATTTTACAAAGAGGAGGAGAAAGAGGGCGCTCGAGGAGAGAACACGTCACGTTGCTCTCCTCCATTTCTAATATTTTTTAAGTTTTAAAAATTTGACGAATAGGGTCATCCCCATTTTAAAATTTCTTCCCAACCAGTTCCTTCAGACCCCTAGTGGGTAGTGAAAGTGTTTTTGTTGGGGGGAACGTGTTTTGGGAACTTTCTGTAGTTTTAGTGGGGCTACGTTCTTCCCAACACGTAGCAGTTCGCCCCGCCTGCCCATAGCAACCGTTGTCAAGGGCCCGTTTTTTCCCGTTTTTCTCCTGTGGCCGGACCTGGAAGGATTTCCCACGACTCAGTTCGTGTAGGGGGGAGGTCCCTGCGCCCCCAGAAGCGGCACGGAGTTTGAGTGTTCCGTTTTCTGATGGGGTTGGCCTCTCTCTCGCATTTTAAATGCCTTTGTTCAGGCGAGATTTCTTAAATTTTATTTTTTCTGGAGTGGCAGGAAACTAATTCTTTTTTGTTTCCTTGGGTGGGACTAATTGGTCTCTCTGCGCCCTCAAGGCCCCTCACAGACCATGTCCACACCACAAAAAAACACCGATCCCCCCTCGTCACAACCGCCGCGGGACGTCTCCACACCTGCGCCGCGCCCCCGCGGCCGACCCCGCAAATCCACCATCGGAACCCCCCTTCCTGCCATCGGTTTAGGCGGAGATGAGCCTTCCTCGAGTGACGGGGCGACGTCAGCTACGATTTGTGACGCCGATCCCCCCTCTCTTTCCGTCCCCCGATCTTGTCGGTCATCCGTTTCCCCCACGTCCCCTGGTGTTACCAAAAAAGACACCATTTCTTCCGCCCAGGACTGGGTTCGTAATTCTTTTGTTGTTGTCGACCCCAACAATCACCCTCCAATCCGTCTGAAGAAAGCGGACGTCTTCGCCCGCTACGCTGTTTCCGTCGCCCAGAGCGGGGAGGGTGGAGTCTCGGAGTCCACCATTGGGAAATACATAAAACAGTTTTTCCCTGACACCATCACCCGTCGCGTTGGAGCCAGGGGTGGCCTCCACAACTGTTTTGAGGGTATCCAGTGGGTGGATGCACCTCCACCTTCACCTCAACAACAACAACAACGCGACGATTGGGGAGAAATTCTCGCCCGCCTCAAGACCACCACGCCCACTTTGCGAAGAGTCCCCCGCGGCGCAAGAAGGTCTGTGGCGCAGTGCCTCGCCACAATTCTGCAGCAAGTGGCGGAATCGGACGACGAAGAAAGCTGGGGAAAGTTGCTCCTCTTTCCCTATGCAACACTCCCAGTCCCCCAGAAGTCAGATCGCATCAAGAACTTGACAACCTGGGTCAAGGATCATACCGCGGGGTGGGTGGGTGGCTTCTCAATCCCTCGGCCCCTCCCGCCACGCCCACCCTCTAAAAAACCCCCACTCGACATGACGGCGAAAAAGGTGGAGGCCAAGCTGGCAGATGGTGACATTCGGGAAGCAATCCGCCTCGCATGCTCCGACGACACCATTGCTCCGTCCGACGACCACACCCTTTCTGCCCTTCTCACAAAACACCCAGCCCACCCACAACCAGTCAACTTTCCTCCACCACTTGAGGATCCTGCCATTGCCTCGGTTTTGGATGAAGAGCTGCTCCGGGCTATTTCCTCTTTTCCGCCAGGGTCCGCGGGGGGACTGGACGGGATGAGACCCCAGATCTTGAAGGATCTCCTGGGGTGCAGTCAAGGAGAGGGGGGCGACCAACTCGCCGAAGCAATGCGGACTTTCCTCAACAAGGTCCTCTCCGGGGGAGTCCCGCCAACTCTCTGTCCCCTCTTTTATGGAGCTTCACTCACTGCCCTGAAGAAGAAGTCGGGCGGGATTCGGCCCATCGCTGTGGGGAATACATGGCGGCACTTGGCCGCGAAGATCATTGTGGGAAGGATTACCCCTCAGTTAATCAAGCATTTTTCACCCCACCAACTGGGGGTGGGAATCAAGGGAGGAGCGGAAATCGGCGCCCACGCCGCCCGAATCTACTACGGCCACACCCACACTTCCCCCAAAGCGTTCCTGAAAATCGATTTTCGGAACGCCTTTCAACGAAATACGGCGGGACACGCTACTCCACGCCGTCCGCGACCACTTCCCCTCAATCTTCCCATTTGTGGCGCAATGCTACGAAACCCCCCGCGTCACTTTTCTATGGGACCATCCCCATCCCCTCCCTACTTGGGTGCCATCAGGGGGACCCCTTAGGCCCCGCCCTCTTCTCCCTCGTGATCCACCCCATCGTCGAATCAATGGAAACGGAGCTAAACTTATGGTACCTCGACGATGGGGCCATTGGGGACACGCCGGAAAAGGTTTGGGAGGCCCTAGCAACGGTCGCTAGGATGAGTGGTGAGGTGGGCCTTCACCTCAACCACGACAAGTGTGAAGTGGGGATCCTGGGAGCGGAGCGGGACACCGCCATCGACATCCTGCTCCAATTTCAGCAAGTAGCCCCCGGAATCCAGCTCATGTCCCCCGATTCTGCGATGCTGCTGGGCGCCCCCCTTACTAACGAGGCGTTGGGAGTGGTCTTGGCCACGAAGACCCAACAATTGGCCACCTTCTCCCATAGACTCCTCAACCTTTCGGCGCATTCGGCCTTTTTCCTCCTGAGGGCGTCTATCTCCATCCCCCGGCTGATTTACTTTCTCCGTTGCGCACCATCGTGGAGAAAGTTGGACGCCCTCGTCCACTACGACGCCACGCTAAAGGACGCCCTGGAGGGGATCCTCAACTGTACTCTCTCGGAGGCTGCATGGATGCAGTCCTCCCTCCCCGTGAAGGAAGGCGGCCTGGGGGTCAGGCACGCTGTGGATGTGGCGATACCGTGCTTTTTAGCGTCGGTCCACAGCGTCCTGCCCCACGTAGAACGTCTCCTTCCGGACCACCTCCATGGCACCGACATCGCCATGGCAGAGGGAGTGCAGCGGTGGACCGACCTCGGCCTTACGGACCTCCCACCTGAAACCGTCAGAGGGAGTCAGTCGGCTTGGGAACGCCCCATACTGGACGACACACTGTCCAAACTCTCGGATTTGGCAGTGATCCCGGAGGATACTGCCCGCCTACGCTCCCTCCGCGACAAATATGCGGGGGTATGGCTCAACGCCCTCCCCTCTCCACAACTGGGGACCCTTCTCCCCAACGAGACCTTCCGGGTCGCGATCGCCCTCCGCCTAGGCTGCGACATCTGCGAGCCGCACAAGTGCCCATGCGGGGCGCAGGTCACTTCCCGCGGCTACCACGGCCTCTCCTGCCGCCGAAGTAAGGGTCGTTGGTCCCGCCATGAGGCCGCCAACGACGTCATTGCAAGAGCCCTCCGGTCTGCCGAAGTATCCTGCATCAGGGAGCCCGCGGGGTGCTCCACCACGGACGGCAAGCGTCCCGACGGGATGACACTTGTCCCTTGGTCGCGGGGGAGGTCCCTTGTCTGGGACTTCACCTGCGCGGACACATTCGCCCCCAGCTACCTCCCAGACACCGTGCGCCATCAGGGCGCTGCCGCCAGCAAGGCAGAGGACCGCAAGAGGAAGAGGTACGCGTTCCTCATGGACCGATACATCTTTGTTCCCGTTGCCATGGAGACCACAGGAGTATGGGGGCAGGAAGGACTTGCCTTCATCCTCCAAGTTGGTCAGCGGATCGCCGCCACAACTGGACAAGCCAACGCCGTCAACTTTTTGCGCCAGCGGGTTTCCCTCGCTGCTCAACGTGGGAACGTTGCTTCGATTCTGGGTACACTTCCTCCAGGAAAGGAACTGGAGGAAGTGTACTATTTGTAGTCCGCTTTCTCTCTCTCTAATTCTTACGGACTTTTTCTACGATTTTCTGCGTTTTTTTAGGATTTTTCTGCGATTTCTGCGTTTTTTTTAAGTTTAGGGACTTATTTGTGCGACTGCTGCGTAGTCAGATTTTTCGATACTTTTTGTGATACATATTTTTTTCACACATACTCTGCGATACACTTTATACTAAGATTTAATAAAGAAACTTGCTTGTTTTTGCAGAGTTATTTTACAAGGTTACAAAGATTCGAGTGAAGCGTTTTGTTATTATTTTTATTATACCTAATATATTCAATGGTTTAGCAGTGGTGACCCCGACCAGAGCTGATATCACGAAGAGGGCAAGGAAGACGGATTTCTTCATCGTACTGGAGAAAATCAGCATTAAAACTGAATTTAATGTATGTTAGTCAAATAATTAAAATTTGGTTTAGTTACCTTAATTTGATAATTTGTTTACACGGCTGCACAGCTAAAAAGTAGATAATTTTTGTTTTCTTGAGTCAGTTTTACTACAAATTATCGTACCCATTCAACAAGTACAAATAATGTCACATATTTATATCGCATTCCTGGGAGTTGCACAATTTGACCTTATAACGAATTACAGGGTTCCGCTCTGATAAACATAAATAAAATGGGATTTTGTGCATATTTTGGAATATGTTCGTGCGTATGTATGTATGTAGCTGGTGATACGTTGCGGCAGATTTTCTTATGGAAATCGTCCAAATTATGGGTCGTATGTATTACATGAATTATTCTGCACTATACTGATGTATGAAGAAAGTTTTCGTTGTTTATTTGTAAGAAATGCTTCATGCACCCTGTATTACCATAAAATTTTATTATTGTTCTTTCCATGAAATCATTTTACATAAATTTATTTCGAAAAAGCTAAACGATCAGCGCCGTACCCTGTATTTGTATGTAAAAACCTATGTACATATGTAGTTATAACCTTTACAATTGCATTGTACTTAGGTCACTTTCCAAAATTGTTGCATCATATCTTAATCAAGTAAAGAACATTGTTATATTTAGTTAATTTATAAAGCATACATATGTATGTATGTATGAATATATACATATTTAAATTTTCATATTTGATTTTATTTTCTGTTTTAAAAACGTAATGTGGTGTTAATCATGAATACAGTAAAGATATGAAGCGAGATTTCTTTAACGATGATAAAATTTCCCTGGATTTCTTCCTCGCTTCAGTTAGCAGTCATTTCACTTATACGAATATGGAAATTTGCCTCTAAATTTTACCCAGTATGGGGAACATATTTCTATCTTTCTTGGATCCATTTAAATATATACTTATACATACATATGACATGTACATACATACGTTTCGCGTATACTTACATGCCCAATTCAGAGTCCGTCTTAAAACTGACCCGGCATGGCTACATACATATTTGCATATGTATATGTCCATATTCTTTGACAAACACGGTGGTCAATTGTGGTAATTTTCCCCATAGTTAGACATACATATATGGTTGTCAGCCCTTAACCTTGCCTTCATTTCTTTCATAATCTTTGAAAAATAAGTACTAGAAAAATCATTTTTGTTTTATGCAGTAATTGCGACTCACCGACATATTTACATATGTACATTTGTTTGTATGGATGGATGTATATACATATGTACCTTTATGCACAATTGTAAGATTGCTATTTTTCTGGCTTGCCAAAATTAAATATCACTTTATACCGAAATTCGTATTTATTTTTTAAAAAGTATTTATGTAGTAAAGGATATCAAGCATTCAAAACAGCCATGCTTACAATTTGTGTATATAGTTATTTAGTAATAATAATACTCATCCGAGCAGGTCCCGGTCCACCAACACGGCGTAGGATAATCGTCATCATCTGTTCGTGCGGGTCGTGGGTGGAGGCCAAGATGGCGACGCTTGAATCGAGGGTGATCCTCCTTCACTGCGGATTCGTCAGGTTGCTTGGCCTCAACACCAATTAGGTCTGAAATTAGTTTTTTAATTGTGGATTACACATAATTTGTTCCAAGTAATTCAACAGATGACTCGTCGTCACGAACATTGTAAAAATAATAGCATTTTTACTAGAACTAGGAATTTATTTTAAAATTCTGGACGACTAATTTGTATTTAGTTGATAAATAGAATGGCGGTGAGTTTTTTAAGGTAGTCTGGATGAGTTCCAACTTTTCTGAAGGCTTCTTAAATTTAAGATGTCCTCCTTCAAAAACTTAAAATATGAGGGGCACTTTAAAAAAATTGGGAATTACTTGCTCTACAAATTTGTCGTCCAGAATTTTAAAACAAATTCCCATTAATAATGTGCTGATTTTGACGATGCGTCAAAAAATGTATTGAACCCTGTAAATTTTGCCGATTAATCAAAATCCAGCACAATATTGTACATTATTATCTTTACGTGGATTTATAACTGGATCTAATTCCCATTTCTTGGTAATACATTACTTAATTTGCTAGAGATCAAATTTACAAAAATTCGAGTAATGCATTTTGTCACTATTTTTATTGTACCCAATGTATTCAATGGTTTCGTGGTTGTGACCCCGATCAGAGCTGATATCACGAACAAGGCAAACAAGACGGAATTCTTCATCGTACTGGAGAAAATAATTACAGCGGAATTATGTACATAAATTAAATTAATTAACTTGATTTAAAAATTGGCTTACACGGCTGCCCAGCTAAAAAAATTTGCTGTCTATGTAAATACCTATCCTCTCTGGACTTAGTTTTGCCAAAATTATCGTTTATATATGTACTATAGTAACACTGCTTTGTGTTCTGGGCGTTGCATAATTTGACCTTATAACGAATAATAGGGATCTGTTTTATTTGCAAAAAACATAAACTTCTGACACCAGTTACACCACGGTGGTGTCACCACCCTGTATGCATGTACATCTTTATGTACATACTTATATATGTGTGACCTTTAAATTTTAACGGTAGGTTATATGCACACTTTCCAGCAGACATGTTGCATCACATCTCAATTTAATAAAGAACAATGTATAATTGGTTTGTATATATATAAAGATTGTAATTTTTTTACAATCTATGTACATATGAGTTTTATAAATACAATCGTGATATTTCGAACACCATAGTTACCGATTATATTAGGCAAGGAAAAATTAAAAACAATTTTATGAAAATTTTTTTACGAAGGGCCTTTCACGTCAAGCCTTTGTAAATTTACGAATATTTTCTTACAAATGCACGGTTATAACTGTGCTAAACAAACTAAACACTCTAAACTCACTCACATACGAAGGTCGTGAAAACCCTCATGGTTTATTAAGAATCTGAACCATTGGGTTTTAGTACGAGCTGAAGCTTTTGTAATCGTCACATCTGTCTGTCTCTCTCTCAATTGATTTTTGAGGCTATGCACTATTACGAGTATCTTATCTCATCTAATTACCTACGCACTTGACACTTTCCATGCACGTTTGATTATTAAACAGTCTTTAACACTTTCACTTTTCATGAAATTTTGCAAATACATATAGAATCAAAGTTAATTAATTCTAAGGTAATGCTATCCATATAATTTAAATAAATAGCAAATTCAGTACCAATGTACGAAAGTGTAAATGAATTCAAAAGGAAATATAAAAATATATGAGTCAAAAAAACATTGACTCTGATGGGACTCGAACCCACAATCTTCGGATTCGAAGTCCGACGCCATGTCCATTAGGCCACAGAGCCTTTATAAAAAGGAGGTCAAAATAATCTATACTTCTGGCTGATCAACTTTCACCATGCTGCTCACTTTCTCTCGTAGGAGAAAGTGATATGAATGATTTGGTCGGAATTTTGTGCATGTCGGATATGCAAATTTTGCACAAAAGTACAACTTGTCGGATATTAAATATGCAGGGACATAGTACTTTGCATAATAATAAATATCCAAACCTAGCAAGAAAAATTGTGTATAAAATTTAAAAAATAAAGAGTATCTGTGGTCGAGGCATTATATAATTAGATAAGCACATTTCTGCATAAGTTGATAAGCATTGCAAAATGTGCTTAATGTTAATTGCTCAACCATTCATAGTCAGAGATGGTGAGGTTGGCCAAATATATGTACTTATCGTTCTTGAACGATAGGAATGTATATATGTATATATAAGTTGAAACTTATATATACATTCCTATTAAAAAAAGAACTGAATACAATTACGTATTCCAGATTTTGGATTTCATCCTGAATATGCATAGAGTTAAATAATATAAGTTTACGTACATATATGTATTTATTTACATGTAGGTATGTATTATCCTTAAATCCATTTAGTCCACAACTTTTGGTTGACTTTGTTTATACTAATTTTTCGCAGTTATAAATAAATACTTATTTGAGCCAATCGTGTTGTTTTAAATGTTCTTACACTTCGTCCCCCACACGCCAATCTGCACTCTTTATTCCCCCAAATTATATTCCCCACATTTCATCACCTATTTGTTCGTTCCTCACAGTTCATGCTGATTCATGAAGTTATCAGTGATAACTGCGAAATAAGTTTAGACAAATATGAAATAAACACCTGAATATTAAGACATTATTATAAAATTTCAATTTTTGCGTTGGAATTCTTCTAAATATAAATACATACATATATATTGATTTTATGTGCAAAAGTTGTATGTAATAGATTTTTATTTGTGACAAAATATTTTCGCAAATTTATTTAATTCTGCGGTGTTTGTGTATGTTGTCGCTAGTAGTAGTAGTCTTGCATTGTTGGGGGATTGGGTGGGCAGTATATGTACCAACAGCGTCCGCCGCGGGGGCCAAGATGGCGACGTCTAAACCGCGGATGCTCCTCCATACCTGATTCGTAAGCCTGCTTCGCACCAGAGTCAAGTCCGAGTAGGTCTGAAATACAGGAATTTTTGTAAAAAGTATTGAGGCAATTCACGTGGCCATTGTAAATTCTGCAAACTGGAAACACAAAATTTTACAAGTATTTCTGAGGAAAATTTGCACACATTTTTGTAAATTTGCTCAGGTCAAGGACATCTTTTTAGTTTTGCAGATGTTTGCAAAATGACTTTACAGAATTCACGGATTTTACAAAGTTACAAATGACTTGGGGAATTGCCTCGGTGTTATTTATTAACGAGAGTTCAGGCCGTATTTAGTATACCGTGTAAATTTTCTCGTATTATGTAAACGAAAACCATCGGAATATATTTTTCACAGTCGTAAATTAGCATTCGTTTCGAAATTTTTGCAGATTTAAATCCCTTAAAATTTACACAGTTACAAAGACTCGAGTTGCTACATACCCAGTTCACTATCTGGATTAGCGGTAGTGACCCCGATAAGGGATGCTATTATGAGCACGGCAAAAAATACGGATTTGTTCATCATGCTGAGAAAAAAAATTAAGATCTGAATTGAATTAATAATTTGTATGATAACAATTTGAAGTTCTAAAAATTCACTTACGTTCCTGAGCGATCAAAAAGAGCGAGTTGTTCAATGCTAGTGTAAAATTTGGTACAAATATATGTGCATGTTAAACAAACCTATTTATGCGACACGTTCTCTTCGGGTGGTGATCCAATTCGACCTTAAAACGCGAAGCAGGGTTCTCACGAAATGTTTTAAATATAGTTTCATGAAGATTGTGCATATTGATTAGATAAGTTTTGCGAAATTTCGGATTTTGAAGCCTCCCTCGAATTGCTTAACTGATTCTGCATTATGAAAATCATATTTAACACCACGAAGACTTTGCATCTTAGTAAAATATGTAAAAACATGGTTCATCCCACTCTGGGTTACCCTGGAGTCCATCTTACATATGTGCACAACAAGGTCAACTATATTTTAACGGGTCTCTCAAAATTAATGTGCCATATCCGACGACTTGATTTAGAACAATGGGATAATTGATTTTGTGGACAATACGCTAATAAAATGAGAGCCAGGAATAATATTTTTGTGAAACGGGTGTACAAATCTCGTAAATTAAGCATATCAACATATGTACATATTAATGTGCATACATATACATACACTCGTACATACATACAAACGTAACTTTTCTTCAAAATAATGCAAGAGTTTGCGAAAATTTTACTTAGAAACTATGAGATTTTTTCCCAAAATTTACCAAAGAAATCGATACGTTCACTCTTCGCAAGCTTAGTTCGATGACATTTTAAAAGAAGCGTGTTATAAAATAAAAATTTGGACTCATGGGAATTTAAATGATGTAAATTATACATTTGTACATATATTCATATGATTTTGTACATACATACATATGTAAGTATGACGTGAGTTCTCTCATCAGTTAATTTTGGCAGAGTTAAACAGTTCGCCATAATTAATAAAAACGATTTACGTATGTATAAATGTTAATCCAAATGAAACCACTTAATTTTGATTGACACAAATAAAACTTTGTATTCAAATTCTGACAAGATTTTAATTTAAATTCGTTCTATAAATTGTACGCATTTATTTATTAATTTACAAAAAAACTGGACTATTATATATAAAATACTTGCAGTAGTGTTACAAAGGTAACGTAAAATTAACAGTTATTTATATCCTTTCAATTATACTACTGGTATTGAGATCACAAAGGAATTGAACACAATAATATAATTATTATTATTTTATGTAAATGCTGTCACCCAATTTAATTGAAGTTGAGTTTATGTAAGGTTTTATAATGTGTGAGAATTAACTCGTGTATGTATGTATGCATGTACATGTAACCCAGTAAAATGTTCTTTTTTGTCAATTTTTTTTCAAACTTTTAGGAGTTTCCGAGAGAAGTTTGAAATGACTTACAATCTTAGTTTTTGCAAATTTACTATAGTATGTTTATAGACATACTTTATTGCTTTACAAACAGTCGAGCTAATCACTTTATTACAATATTTGCTCTTCAACTTTGCATATTTAGCTGAATTTCCCAAAGTTGCCAGCCAAATTCTGAAAAGTTTCTCAGAACTCAGAAGTCTGTGCGTAAGCACCTGTGTATTTGATTTCGCAAATTTATCCATGAAATTTCAGTGGCCCTTTTTCGCAAAATTTTTCCGCAATCAACTCGCCGACTTACAATGCAAACCAGGCTATCACAATTTTCCCACTACACGCTCCACCACCCGACACACCCCCTCGGTTTCCTAACCCCCAACCGATTTCTACAAAGAGGACAGAAATGGACCACATCATCATAAACGAGTCTCGCATTGACATAAATTTTTACAACGAGAAATGTCAGACAAAAAGCGACGATTAATCCGGCTCCGATTAATCCGTAGAGAAGTAAGGATTCCATCCACACGGCGAAAAAAGTGCAGATGGAGATCGTCACGGTAAAAAAAGTGATCAGTCCAGCGATAAAAATTCGGTTACAGGTTCGTAACGCGGGTTCATTCTCTTCATACCGAATTTCCGTGGTCACTAAGCACGTGCAATTGGGACACACGGCGCGCACCGGGCGCCGACCATCCTTCCCGGAAATTAGGTTGATAAGGTCGGCATAGTTGTGGAGGAAATCCTCGTTGAACGCAGTTCTTCCCTTGGAACGGTCGGGCTCCATGCGAGAAACTCGTGGGGGGAGGACTGCAAGTAAAGTAAAACTGTATAATTTCAATTCACGAAGATGTTTGTAACGGCGTAAACTGTGTAAAATTGCTAAACTTGGAGGGATTTACATAAATGATAAGACTACGCAAAGAATTAATATTTTTGTGATGCAAAAGGTCAAAGAATTAAATTATAACAGCAAATTACAAATTATTCCAAACATACAGGGTGTTAATAAAGTCCGATCCCATTTTTCCTGTAAAAAAGTGAAGGCTAGTATAAAAAAAAACTACCCGTGATACTTACAAAAAATGTTCGACATATTTACCTTAGTATTTGGTCTTGTTACCATTTACTTTAACCATGCCCTCAACTCTTTGTTTAAGGCTCTGTGCTAATTTTTCCAATGTGCCTCTGGAAATCGAATTCCATACATCTTCAACTTTTTTTACTAGCTCTTCCCTCGTCCGGGGTTGTGGCTCTTTGTATACATTTTCCTTAAGTATGGACCACTGGTTCTTCAGGGGATTCAAATCTGGGCCGTTAGCGGCCCACACCCCCTTGCTCCAGACCGTTGAAACTTGCGTCTTGATGAGACTCAAACTCGCTTTTGCTGTATGGGCTATAGCACCATCCTGCATGAAAACTATTTTTCTTTCATTCGGAAATATTTCCTTGTTCCCCATGCTATCGAAATAGATAGGTAATATTTTTTCCATATAATGCTTTGCATTGACTGATTGGCCTTTTGGTATGATATGTAGAGGGGTCACGCAACGTGCACAAAATCCACCCGCTACCATAACTTTAAGCCCGAATTTTGGGATCGCTCTTGATGGTACATCCGATTTGTTTTCTGTCCTGTAACGAACATTTTGTTGGTTCAATTTTGGATATAGTTCAATAATAGATTCGTCAGTCCAAAGGATGTGACTGCGCAATTCTTCACCAAGTCTTTTTTCACTCAAATGGGCACTTTTCTGAAGGAGTTCTTCAAATTTCAGACGGTCATCGATATATTTTTGTGACATGAGAGGTTTTTTTGGTTAGTTTGTAAGCTGTGTGACCCCACTTCGTAGTTTTCACAAATTTTTGCACGGTCACACAGTTAATTTGCTTCTTCTTCTCTTTATAGCGTTTTGAGTCATTTAACTCCCTTGCTCAATTACGTAATGAACTACCGGTTTTCTTGCAAAGTCTGTTTTTAATCATTCTTTTTGTGGTAGGTGACACCTTTCTGGGTCGCCCTGGTCGCTTTTTGTCGTGGACAAAATTTTTATTCTTCCATTTCCAAACAGTTCTGCGGCTGCAGCCCAATTTTTGCACAATTTCTGTAGGTTTAAGCCCCTGCTGATGCAATGTTTGTATCTCAACTCTAAGATGCTCATGACTTACACGTTTAGTTGTTCCTCCCATGGTAAAAATTTGAAATAAATAACTTCACTGGTTCAAAAGTTCCAGCTGAATTTGTAACAACCACGCTCCAAAAAATGCATGGGATCGGACTTTATTAACACCCTTTATTAAGGAAATTCACGCAGCTATTGGTAACGTGTAAAACCCGGAAGCTTTATAACACACGTTTACACGCTTAAAGACTCTCTCGATCTGAGCAAGCTTACAAAAGTTTGGAAGCTAATTTTCTTGAGAATTGCATATTTGTAAAAGTTTTAAGTTTACAGGATTTAGGTATTTTACAATGTTCCCAAGGTCTGCATGAATTTCCTCATCGATAATAGTGAAATAATTTAGCAAAGCTTACGCAGTTTACTGGATTACAAAATTAAGGGTAAGTTGCTACCATTGCAGAACAAAACTTCACTTACCGTTTCATAAAATCACATTTGAACCGATGTCAATATAATGTCACTTTTTTAACAAGCTGACATAAAAGTTATATAAATATCTGCACTTTTAACTGTGATATTACTATGTTCAACTTATAACAACGTTTTTAAACTCAACTTTATGTACACCACGGCCTCAAATATCACTAAAAACTCGAGTGCACCCATTTTCTTTAGGTACACAGACGACGCAAATCAGATTTTTCCTTGTTATCCGTCCCTCTTCTATAAAAATACGATTATGAATGACTAATTTCCACTAAAATTTTTGTACCCTAATCCAAATCCAGCTGCAGGTACAAATATTCGCAATCACAACACAGCTATTTAACTTATATAAAGGAAACAAGTTATATACTTGTATGTATCTATGTTATTATTATTGATTGTACACCTCCGTAAATGCGGAGATGTCCAATATGCAAGTCGCGACTGACTGGAAACCAGTTTGTTTCGTAAGTTTGTTTAATGATGTGAGAGAGTTTTTTGCGAGTGAGAAATTTTTGTGCAGCTTGGACGTATGAATGCGCACAAAAGTTATGGGTAGAATTTTACAGTATTCGCAAATCCATAATACGCGTGAGAAGAGTTTTGGATGGGGAATTTATTTAAATTGAAGTCCAAGGATATCTTTTAAGTGGCAAAGTGTGTAAAACTTCGGTCGGTGGTTTGGTTTGGTTTGGGTTTACACATTGCGGGAGGATTGCGAATTGCGAATCGCAATTTGCGAAGAGAAAGATGAGTATCAGTGTCTGACAAGATTCTGAAAATTATGAGTTTACATATTTATTTATAAGGAGTGTGATAGGTTGTGTGAAATTGCGGAGATTTCCGGCAATTTTATAGTCCACATGACTTGTGGTTTAGTGTAAACAGTTTTTCCACTGAAGAGGAAAAAACAATTTTTTCGCAATCGCAATTATTAGAAGCAAGCAGGTCTCATTTATTGTTTAGTTATGGACCGCGCATAAAGGGTGTGATTGATTTTAGCAGGATTCTGATCTCTCCGATAAAATTTGCATGCGATGATATGCGAATGGGATAAGTCATGTAAAATGGATGACATGCTTTACGCATTTACAACGCGTGTGTACATAAACCGAGACAAATATGCAAAAAATAGATTCAAATTGATGAGCAAATTGATAAGAAATTGATAAGAAAATAAACTCCACGATCCAGTCGACGGGGAATTTACCTACATAATACCTATATTTATAAGGGTGGATTGACCCGAAAGGAAACGCCTTTCTTAATGTAGCACTTTTATGCTAATTACACTATCTATTAGAAATCCAGTATTAAAATAATACCAATCGGTATTCATACATGACTAAGTGGTATTGATAAGTAATACCGCGTAGCAAATTGCTCGACATTAAAGTTTTACCATATCGACAGCAAATTTTTACGGACCTGTATAATTTTAGTACCAAGCGGTAGGAACTTTAATACCGAGAAACCCTCAACAATAACCTTAGAGTTTGCACACATATGCATTAATGAGTAGTCAGAATTTACAAGATTTTTAACAGCTTGAAGAACTGAGGCATTATTCTGGACGAGGAAATGAGGTTTATTTATGTACATACTACACTGAGAAAAATGAGGTAATTTCGTAATGAGATTAATGAAGTTTCCGGTGAGACAGACAGGAACACACGTATTCTTTACACACATATCTACACATATTTATGTACAAGTACCTCAACACGCATGTTAAATGTTCACTTGGTTACAGGATTAACCTTGCCCATGAAGAGACGAAATCAGTGTCAAACATGCAACAAAATTTAAGTCAGTTTAACCTTAATTACGAGCTAAATAATGCATGGAAAAGAGATACGGTTGTGCATAAAGCATGTTATTCACACGTACTTATTTATGTAAATATGTACATTCCAGCGAGAATTACTAATTAATATGTAAATAGATTGACACGATATCTCAGTATGACGTAAGTAACTACTTAAATCATGATTTTATCACAACCTTGATGCACGACCCTTAACGTACAAACCTAGGGGTTCAAGCCAAATTTATGTATATTTTCGTATTGCATGCAATTTATGCAATTGGACTGATCGAGGAAGACGACTGACTAAACTTCGTTCCGTATAAAGTCTTTTTATGACTGTGTATGCATATCTATCAACCTTGCCTACTGGCTGCACGTCATCATCATCGTCTCAAGAAATCCCAAATACTCATCATGCATGGGTGGAAAAGCCGATTGAAAATTATTATTTGGATGAATTGACTTGGACGTGGGTTGGGCTTATTAAATTATGCATCACCTTATTCACGTGTTACACAGGTACATATACTTATTGTGCATAGGGCATGTGATCGATTTTAGGGGTCAAATACGTTGACGTTAGTAATACATATGTTAATTATGTATAACATTTGCGTAATTTGTTTTCGCATCCTTATAGTATCGTAGATTAAGAAGAAAAAGAAGGAACCAAGCTTCGTAAAAATCGTAACTTTGGTTATGGGATTCGTAATGACAAAATTTTAGATTTTGTAAGAGAGTGTGTTACCAAAATTATGTACGAGAACGATGTTAAGAGAATGCTACGAGATTTTAAATGTCGTAACCATCGTATTTGTAACTTACTTATTTTACGAAGAATACGAAGGAATATCCATACCCTCAATGAAATCTCTCATCTTGACAATATTTACGATTTGCTTGCATGGTCGAAAGCGAACGAGTCTGCACTTTGTTCATTCACCTCTTTCTCGTGTGTTTATCTATTTGTATGAAAATCTTCTTCCTGAGAAAATAAATAAACGAATTCGCCGAATTTGTGTATGTATCTACATGGTGGGCTTGCAGTTGCAAATACCTATACTAATATTGTGGCGTTCACTTCCCATTATGGCGAGATGACGACAATTTAGCGTGGATTTTTGCATTTATCACAGTTTATCTAAACATTTAAGCATGCATACATATTTACTTTACTTTCACTTGTAACGTCGACATGTTCTGGATTGTGTTGGATTTCGAGGAAGACTGGTGATCCTGTGCAGGAATTGGGACTAAACATCATCATTATCCAAGTAAATATATCTTATCCTAAGTTTAGGACCCAAAATTTAGGTACGGTACTGATTATGATTATTACATGCATGTGTGAATGTATGTACATATGTATATACTGCATATATGCACTAGTATACTAGTGCATGCATACATACATACCGTGCAAATGTACATGAAGTATGCATAAGCCAAAGTGATTCTGACATTATGATTGAGTAGGAAATGAAATTAAAACGATTGTATGGATTCTTTTAGACTCAGATATAAGTATGTATGTGCATATGTAAAGACAAATTTAAAACAAAACCCTTGAATACAAATATTGAGCAATTAAACAGGCTGCAATGCCAGCTATATATGTACGAGATACAAAATAAGTATATTGTAATTGCCTCTTTTTTGAAGATATTTTTTGTTAATGGAATCATATTTATAATAACTAGAAATTACATTAATAACGAAACGAATTGAAATGGCTTTATGTGTAATTAATGTTTCCACTATACTTTTGTATTACGATTTAACAAATAACTTTTCACCAAATGTTATCGTACTTATCCGTGAAAAATTATCCCTTACTTGATGAATAGTTTGATACGCATGTACTTTGTTAAGGCATATTTTGTACTAAATGATTCAGTGAATAAAATTTATGCATTTGATTCAAGATAAGTTTTTATCTTGAAATGATAACCAGGCGCCACATCACCTACTACGTTTTATTACACTCACCATTTTCTAACCTCGCCCAAAAACATTCACATTTTGAGTGCAAAATTCTCAATAAGAAATATTTCCATGGCGAAAAAACATCCAGTGACCCCTCACATTTCGGGTCCCCCGATCCCCGATTTCGTCGACGCCATTACAACCTACGAATCCTGCCTGGGTCACGGTACATTTGGGGTCGTTCTTAAAACAAAAATAGCCACAGATTTTTACGCCGTAAAATTTATCCTTCTCAATCAAACCTTACTTGACGAAGGGACTCGTCGCGAGTTCGATATTCCTAATTCACTCGAGAAACATGAAAATGTCGTAAATAATCATAACTTCTTGGAAAAGAAAGTCCTGTCGGTTTCTCAGGTGGCAAAAATCATCCAATTATCGCCGCCCCTCTACATCGAAGCCAGATATAAGGAACAACTCCTCAAAGGGGCACCCATCGAGTGGACTTGCATACAAATGAAGCTCTGTGGACGAAGCTTGCGCCATTGGTTGGACGATCTTAAACCCCCAAAAGACTCCATTTTTACCCAAATGAAGCAAGCCGTGATCGTCGAAAGTTTGATGAACGGCCTAAAATTTCTCCACGATCGAAACGTTATTCATCGAGACCTTAAACCAGAAAATATTATGTTCACCAACTTCGAGTACGAGCTCCCCGTAAAAATCGGTGATTTCGGCCTGGCAAGATGGATCCGGCCGGAAGATGGTAGCGAGCTCACAAGCCGAGTGGGAACGAGATGTTACATGGCGCCGGAAGTACTAGATGGAAAGTACTCGTACCAAGCCACATTGTCCAAAATGGCCAGATTTGAGGAAAAAAGTCCCCGAGCACTTTTCTCCTAATATTTTTGCATATTCAGAGCCCTAGGTGGCCTAGGATGTGTTCATAAAAAATTCGACGAGCCACACCCACTTTGGGTGAGGTTCTTTCTTTGTGGGTTTATGGCCAATCGCCCAAACGAAATTTGTAGCCCAAGCGATTATACACTTTCAGTAAAAATTTCAATCAAATCGGTCCATAAACCAAAAAGTTATTAAGGGTAAAACTTTGGCGAAAGGCAAAAAGGGCCTACTTTGGGGGCGCGGTTGTCTGAGAGGGGCAAGTAAAGAACTCCAGAAAGCAATGCAAATAGTGATCCCCAGGTAGATCTTCTCAACCCAAAAAGAACTGAGTTTCCATATCTGCCCCTTTCCAAGATATAAGGCCGGGAACATTGAAAAAAATCTTGGCGAAATTGTCCAAAACGGGCGAAATCAAACATGACGTAGAGCGATCAAATTTAATATCTAGCTTCAGCTGGTCCTAAAAAGTACGTCGCAGGTGAAATTGAGCCATGTCGTCATGGAACGACATCGACATGTCGAAATTTCGACATGACTGTATAGCGCTCAAATTCAAAGCGAACTCAATTTTTTCCAAAATTGGATGTCGACATGAAAAAAAGAATTTTATGCGTTTGTGCAGAGGTAGGGGAGTATTCGTTTTGAATTTGAGCGCTATACAGTCATGTCGAAATTTCGACATGTCGATGTCGTTCCATGACGACATGGCTCAATTTCACCTGCGACGTACTTTTTAGGACCAGCTGAAGCTAGATATTAAATTTTATCGCTCTACGTCATGTTTGATTTCGCCCGTTTTGGACAATTTCGCCAAGATTTTTTTCAATGTTCCCGGCCTTATATCTTGGAAAGGGGCAGATATGGAAACTCAGTTCTTTTTGGGTTGAGAAGATCTACCTGGGGATCACTATTTGCATTGCTTTCTGGAGTTCTTTACTTGCCCCTCTCAGACAACCGCGCCCCCAAAGTAGGCCCTTTTTGCCTTTCGCCAAAGTTTTACCCTTAATAACTTTTTGGTTTATGGACCGATTTGATTGAAATTTTTACTGAAAGTGTATAATCGCTTGGGCTACAAATTTCGTTTGGGCGATTGGCCATAAACCCACAAAGAAAGAACCTCACCCAAAGTGGGTGTGGCTCGTCGAATTTTTTATGAACACATCCTAGGCCACCTAGGGCTCTGAATATGCAAAAATATTAGGAGAAAAGTGCTCGGGGACTTTTTTCCTCAAATCTGGCCATTTTGAACAATGTGCAAGCGGACTTGTTCTCGTTGGGATTAGTTCTGTAAGAAATAACAGGACTACTTCCGGTTAAGAAAACGGATCAGTTTATTCGACCGGTTGGTAAATGACGGAAATGAGGATTTGGTAGAGAATTTTCTGAGCGATGGAGTGAGACAGGCGATTATATCTTGTACGAAACGGAAGCTAGAAAATCGGATAGAAAGTATGAATCAAGTCGTTTAACTAGTAAATTTAAGAGCCATTACAATTCCCGCGCAAGAAATTGCCGCCAGAACGAGTGAAGAATTAGAACTATGTCTCCATTTTGTCTCGAGTGGGTGTACCATCTTCTTGGAAGAGGCGACCTACACGTGCAATATTGACCTGCGTGTCGACCACGTGGCGATTGTTGGTCGCGGGGCAAAAACAGTGATTGATTTATGTCGCGATAACTCTATCGAGATTAGTGCCAATCACTGCACCCTTTCAAACTTAAAGGTAGCCTTTAGTTCCTTTGGAAGTAGTGTAATCTCGTTAAGGGGATCACAGAATGAAATAAATGACATCGAAGTGACACATTATTTAAATGTCCCCGTCGTATCACAAGATGCTAGCTTTTGGGACATTATAATTGAAGGAAGTCACAATATTTTGCAAAGAGTAAAAATTAACTGCTCGATATTTGAAAATTTCTATATTGTAGTGACAAAGTACGCAACAAATGTTGTCATTTCCGATTTACTAGTGACCAAAGGACGTGTCGAGGTATACCTTTACGGTCAAAATAATACTCTGAGACATAGCAGAATATGTGAAGCGATAAGTCTGTCAGAAATTTTGAGACAATTTTATCGTCCGACAGAATTGCTTTTATTTATGAAAGGATTGAATTGCACTATTGAAGAAATTAAGTGTACCTACGTTGAAGTTGAGGCAGGGTCGTTGACAAATGTAGAATGCGGTGGCACTATTATGATTGTGGGCAACCCTCAAGGAATTATATTGAAGGGATGTAAAGCAAAAACTTTGTGCGGCGGTCCATCAGTCGCCATGAATGAGTGGGATGTTACCACAAGGGGTACGAAGTGTACTGTGATGTAAGAAGGGAGATGAACTGTATGAGTGCGAAAGCATGTAAGATCGTAATAAATAGATTTTGAGGATACATATGTATGATAAGTTTAATATTGGGACAATTCAACATTTTCCAAACCCGTAAATTCTGTAAACATAAACTTCTACGAAATTTTAGAAATATTTTTTTTATTTTACAAAAACTTTTAAAACAACACTTATGAATATTTCATAAAAGTTACCAAGGACTGCGTTAATTGCCTTATATTATAAATATATGTTATATTTTTTAAATAAAATTCTCTTCGGATATGTAAACGAGGATAGTATATATGTATTCGAGGTCGACTTGCATAATGGACTTTCAGTCATCAAAATCATCCTGGTGCGAAATTTTTTGGACACCTCGACAATATCCACGGGGAGCAGGTTCCTCTTCTGCCTATACTTTCATTCTAATGCGTGACGAATTTTTGACATTGGTTTTCTGAACAATAAATACTTTATATAACTTGGCAATTAAATTTAAACTTGATGATTTACATAAGCCACCAATTTAGGGTTTCCTTATACATACATACGTGGAAACAATTAGCGAAAATGTTAATGTATCAGTTCTTTTATGTATGTGTGTCAAGTTTTGTCGTAAATAGTTTATTGTATAAATGAGAGAAAACAATTATCTGTTATAACTGGATGCAAGAAAGTATCGGTATGGAATACATACAAGAATTTTGTGTATAAAATTTTAACATTTCTTATTCATATGCATGTTCACAACATCTTAAAATTCAAAAAACGACCTTTGGCCAAGCCTTATGATCGGATGTCGTTTAATATAGGGTTTTCAATTTGAGATTTTATGAGCAAAAATTCCAATGACTTTTAAAACCAAGACAGAACGTTCTCATAAAGTAGCTTATATAAGTACCTTATACATATAAGTGCATATGTGTTTCTACATTCTCCCGAAAACTATGCATGTAACAATGGGATGAGTTTCATACATTGCTAATTTTTATTTATAACAATGGATATTAATTATGCACGCACATGTCTAAAAATTAGTTCGTGTCACATTTAAGTGGTTGACGTTGTGGAGAAAAATTGGTATAAAATGAGTAGCTAATTGGCTTACTAAACCATTCCGGTTTTTACCTCATTCTAAATTTTGTTATTAAAAACTGAAATTAGTTTTTACTTCGAAATTTAAACAAACTTTGAAACCAAGTACAATTTCACGAGTACAAACATGAATCGAAACGTCATCTTGGTATTTTTGGTCTTGGCAATGTTTGCTCTGACCGTTGCTGGACAAGAGGTAAATAATTAATTAAGCACACTGTTGGAAATCTGGTATAGTCAGGAAGATATTGATTTTTCAGTATTAAGATTGCTACCGCTAGGTATCAAAATTATACCGGTCCGTAAACACTTGCAACCGATACAGTAAAACTTTAATACCGGGTTATTACGACACGGTATTACTTATCAATACACTTTGGCAGAGTCATCATGAATACCGCTTGGTATTCTTTTAATACTAGATTTCTAGGAGTGCATTAAAGTATATTTTGGAAATTTTCATAATTTTAGAGAAAATTCGGACACTAATTATTTAATTAATGTATCGCAGTGCATAAAGAAGGGGATGTTCTGCTCGACCGTAAAGTTGGAGGGGGATTTGCAAGACACGGTCGGCGTGTGCTGCAAAGGTCTGTCCTGCAAACCCGTGGCGATTTCCGATTCGGCCGGCTCCTGTCAGTAAACTGAAAACGATTTGATTTTCTTCCTCTACTAATTTGACAATATACTGGAAAAGTTTAATGGAATAATGGACAATAAATAAATATTTGAGCATATAATAAGCGTTTCATTGTTCGTTATATGTAAATAGATAAATAATTTACTTTCATACATATTTTCACCAATTTGATTTTTAAATAAGGTTTTTCGACCTGGGAACATTGTAAACAATGCAAAATTTAACAAAACCTACCAAATTTTATGTTATCATCACGTCATTTATTTGCATTTACATACTTGTACATACCTACATAAAATGCTAAAATTGTTCTCTTAAATACTTGGAATAAATTTATACACGCGTCCATAATTTAAATTAGAAATTTAATTTTTGAAAAACTCAATGAAATATATACATAGGATGTACTAAAGTACTAATTAGTATTTGTATGAACATACGTACTTACATACATAAGCCTGTCTTTCATGATTTTTCTTTGTTCGTGCATAAGTACAAATGTATTTGCTTTATAACGTAGTCACATACATACGTAATGTTGATACGTAAAATAGTCTTTATTTCATTAAAATGTGACCAAATTTGCTAATCATCTTCATCATCCGATCCAAACGTCTCACTGAAAAACTCACCTTCACGGATGTTAGGATCAATTCGACTCAATTCTTTTTCTGTGTTCATCTAAATCATAAAAGATATAAATTTACATACAAATTTCGCTACCACAAGTCCAAGGCTTTAAACGAATCAAAAAAATTAGAGATATGAAAAATATAAAAACTTATAAATATTAAAATCTACATAAATGTCCAACCAAATATATGCATTTTGGGACAACAATCTAAATATTTACATATGTACATATGTATTTATAAAACTTTTGTTAATTACCATATAGACAATGGCCGTGTTTCCGATATGCAGCTGGATTCTATGATCAAACGTGGTGACCTTTGCCCCTTGAATTGCAACTCGAAAAGGGGCCGCATTCACACGAAACGCTTTCTCATGACCTCGCCAAACATTACAGTGAAACCGGCCCCCCTGAAATTAATTTAAGGGAATAACTCATAATTACATATATATTTTGATAGTCATTTCCTACAAGGAAATAATCAGTCAATGATTCGATTAACGCAGTTATTGATAACTTTGTAAGTTTTGTGAAATAATTTTACAAACTTTTATAAAATCAGAAGGCGCCCTTAATCTGAATTTGCAAACGTTTGTAAGCCAATTTTTCTTAGTAATATTTGTAAAAGTTTGTGAATTTACAGAATTTAGGGGTTTGACAATGTTACTAAATCAGCACGGTATTACTTGCTTCACAAATTTATTTACCATAATCTCGAGTGTCACGAACCGCAAGAGGTCATCAGGAGCACCGTGCGTTGCCCCGACACGAACCACGGTCCCGAGAACGTCTAAATAAAATAAAGCCCGGTATTTTTCAATTTTAATGACCCACAGGTTTTAACCGGACAAATTGGCAAATATGTATGTAAATATTTGTGTATCGACTCACCGACTGCCTGTCCCACATCCGTTTCTCTGATTACGTCAGCACTACTGAATTGCAAGGGCAGATACATCTTGGCATCTTCCATAACGTTATCCTCCTCCTCGTCGTCGTAAGTGTCCACCATGTTGTCGAAAAGCAATTCTGCCCCGTTCCTCTGAGTCTGGACCGTATAATCGGGATGGTAGTTTCGAACTCGGGCAGCAAAAGTGTACACTTGGCCAATCTAATTAAAATTAATAGAGCAGAATATTAAGGATCAAATTCGCAATTTCGACGCCATGATTTACGTTTATGTATTTTATAGGATGACTTGCATGCAAAACTCTGAAAGTTGCATGCAAAACTCTCAAAAATAAAGTTGTGTAAAATTTACTTAAGGTTGTGCAAAATGCAACACAACGTCTGATAAATTTTGCAAATTATTGTATCATCCTCTCTTTTACTCGACCTTGAGTAAATTTTACACAACTTTATTTAGGGTGAAGCTTAATAGATGAGACATTTACCTATGTACATATATTCTTACCTCTAATAGGTCCACAACTTCCTGCATTTCTTCCGTAAATTTCCGATTGGCCCCCAGTGGAGGTCGGGGATGGAGATAGACGAACAAATAAATCTGGTCGGTCTTATCGGCCAGCAGAATTTTGTAAAATGGTCCGGAAGCCGATCCCATAGCGGTGTTATGCACACCCGTTTTACACACGACCTTCGCCTTGACATGGACCCTGCAAATTTTACATTTTAACAGAACACAATTAAGCATAATTATGAATTCATCTACAACAAAATGAAAGGAAAACCAACCTCCACATTTCAGGAGGGGGCAAAATATCAGACACGCGAACAGGCACTAGTTCCTCCTCCATGATTTGCTTCCAGTGGACGCGACGACAGAATGGAACCGACTGACGGGACAAATTACGGAGATTTTAGCTCTGGAGGGTGCATAACAAGGGGGAGATTATGTACATTACAGACAGTGCATATGAGCACATATGTGATCATTTAAGTATGTGAAGAGGGTGAATATTGCACTGAAGGGTGGAAATGTTGCTGCAATTTCGGGATCTCTTCCAGTCGGACGAGAGTTGGGGGAGATATTTTTAGTCTAATGTGGACAATACATACATATGTACATGCTTTAGGATTAAGATTTTATTTTTCTCAGATAGAGGCAACTTTTTACGCCTCTGGTCGTTTAGTTTTTCTTAATGACGATACAAAATGTAATTAATTATACATACTCTGCGAACACAATTTAGGGCCCGTCCATACATAGATAATGTAACGCAAGAGGGGGGTCTAAGACTTAAATGACATCGTGCCTATATTACACATGGTAAAGGGGGATGGGGGTCTAGAAATTCTCGAAAACAACGTAATTTATAGACGGCCCCTTATAATCCTATTAAATAAATTTAGATCATATAGCTACATATGTAAGCATGCATGATAATTAAGTACAGCTTGTAGCGAATTTAATTGCACAATTAAAGTACAAACGAGTGATCATCATGCACATAACATGATACCAAATTTCTTGGTGTTATTAATTTATAGGTACATACACAAAATTTAAATGGCAAGAATGTTTACTGGGGTGCCAATTTAACCATCCAACGAAAATATAGCTTTATCCAACCAAAATTAATAATTTCGCCAATTATGAAATGGGCAACGAATTGATTTATTTTGCAACAACTTTCATTAAAATGCACAACAAAATAATTAAATTTCCAAATAAGAAATAAATGAAATCCTTGTCCTTGATTACTTCAAATTTTACGATAAATAAGAAGGTATAAATATTTAGTCAATAATCAAAGCATTTCTAACTAACTTTTTTCGACCGCGCTTAGCTTAGCTTCCAATGACATCAGTTTTAACAGTTTTAAGATTGTCCGGTACAACAATTATCTTTATCAATTATTCATATTCCAGCAATATGCTTGCATGCATATACTTTTTTGAATATAGAGCAAGAACAAGTGGAAGAAATCCAGTCATGCAATTTAAAACTGATAATTCAGAACGCCGGTTTGAAGCGTACGACTCAAACTTTTTCAAATACATTATTCATATTCTTTTGATTAACCCAAGGATTTTATCAATTTCATCATTTCGAATAGATTTATTTCCGCCTGGTGAAATACATTGCATGAAAATTTCACTCAGGTTCCTAAACCGAAGTCCTGCTTTCTCCCGTGCCCAAGTATATGATTTTGATCAGCAAATTTGAAACTGATGTTGTAGTTTGAAAGAATTTACTGTCTGGATTATCAGGGTTTCTGTCTCGAGACCAATTTAACAGAAGTTTCATACATCCAAAATATTGCCTTAACCGAACTCTCTCTCTGTAAGTGGTTTATTTCCTAATTATAGAAAATAAATTCGGGATTACGTTGTTGCTTCTTTGTGGGGTTTATTCAACCGAGTGAGCAGAGTCGGATTGATAATTATTTAGTCGCTGAAAATCTGACATTTTCGTTAATTGTTTTACGAAATCACAAGGAATGGCCTGACAAAAGTTGAATGAGAATTGGGAAGAAATGAGAGTTAGTGATGGTAATTGTGAAAATACATACCCATATCTATCCATTTATGTATGATGTCAATAATATGATAGGCAAAGTAGAGTAATATAATATGTAAAATTTGGTCGGATGGTTTTACATTTTCGTTGGACACAAAAATTAAACCCGTTGCCCATTGCATTATTGGCCAAATTATTAATTTTGGTTGGAATAAACTAAATTTTCGTTGGATGGTATAAAATTGACCCATGTTTACTGCAGTGACGAGCTCGCCAGTCAGTCTTCGTATTTAGTATATATTTAGATGCTTTATGTGTGCAAGCTCCCATTTGGTCACGCAAAGATGCAGACATTGCAAAAAATAATAGATATTAGATAATATTTATCACACAACTTCTTGTGTTTCAGTTTTAGCCTGGGAAAATAATGATAAAGCAAAAGCAAGGTGTAAAGGTCGTGATCATATTGCACATTTGCAGGTTAGTAACAAGGTATCATACATAACTGGCTTGGTTAAGAAGGATGTATGTAAAATAGACTATGTGCGTACATAAATATGTATGTATGTATATAAGCACTTGCAAGACCGCATCTGCAAACATGCATGTATGAAAATATGCAAAATTTGTATTTGTATTTAATGATATATATCATTAAATATATACATACATATACATACATATGCATACATATATGTATGTATGACACATGTATGGTGTTGCTACATGAATATGTACATAGGTCGAGGCAAAATGTTAAAGCCATACAAGACGACGATATGTATATGTACATTTGTTAACATAGATCATAGATCACAATGTTAATTTAAGTGCATTTTATTGCACAAATGTATCGTCTTCATTTGTGAGGTTTTTGTTTTTGTACCAAAAAACTCATCCACTAGCTTTGCTATTTTAGAAAAACCTGACCAGAAAGAAATTGCGTCAGTGGTGGTGGTGAAGCAGTAATTATAATTTTGTGAGCATTCAATTAATTGGATTAGTACATTAAAATTAAGGACGAAATATTTGGTTTAATTTTAATTTTAATATGATGATAATGCCATCATGAAAGGATTTACATCAAGGAATATGAAATTGACGATTGTATAATTTGAGGTGGAGTGTAAAAATGTGAGAAAATTGAAATATGAGATTTGTTAACTTTTACTAAAATGACTCATTTATAATAAATAAAGTTGTACTTTGGCTAGGCTCAGAGCTGGGATAATCCTGATTAAGGATTATGGATTTTAATCCCGGATTATGGATTATTAATCCATAATCCCTAATCCGGCAACCTGAGTTTTTTGTAGATTAATCCCAATCCATAATCCCGATTTTTCTGGAATTAGAATTAATCCGGGAATAATCCCATTTGATTTCATTAATCCATAATCGTGATTACGGATTACTAATCCTGATTAATCCCAATCATGATTACTAATCATGATTATTAATCCAGATTAATCCAAATCATGATTACTAATCATGATTACGTATTCATGATTAATTCTCAATCTGGATTACTCAGTTCACTTCCCATAGTTCCATTCATCCCACAGTTGACAGTGTAGCTTGAAGTCTCAAGTTCTCACAATGTTGTTCTGTCAGCTACCATTTGAAGAATCAACATGTTCTCGCTGCCCTGTGCTACATACATATATCAATTGAAACTGGCGTCATTTTTATGTGAAACCACGTAGTTGAAATTTTTTGCGCTAGATATAGTGTAAAAATCATTAATCACCAAATTAATCCGGATTATCAATCCATAATCATAATCCCGAAATTTTCAGAATTTATGGATTAATCCGGATTAATCCTGACATGAATTAATCTCACGAAAATAATTTAATCACAATCCACATTGTTTTGTGGTTAATCCTTAATCCTTAATCCACCCTCAAAAACCAATAATCACCCAGCTCTGGCTAGGCTGCATTTTAGTTTGGTCATCATTGCGTTTATTTATGGAGGCTGGGGGTAAACTGTGGCCGCGGAAGCGTGGGGGCAGATGGACAATATCCCCACGGTTATTCGATATCCGCATCATCCGCCCATCTTATACATACATGAACAAGACCCTCCCGCTATCCTGCAATAATAAGGCCTCTTGATGACCCCAAGGCTTCCGTGGCCACTGTATGTAAATGAACACAAGTACAATTCTACTACTGTGAATTAAATAATCTCTAATCCGATTACTTAATGTGGCATAAAATCCCTGTCAAAGTAGGCATGTTAATCTCGACGTTGCAAATCTGTAGTACATGTACATATATGTACATACAAATAAGAACTTTGAAGGCGTGCATCACTAACAAGAAGACGAGACTTGTCAAAATAAATAAGAAATAAAAAACGCTACTTTGTTCACTGTTGAATGATTGTAAACGGGTACAAGTTGTGTTACACTGTTTTTTGATGATTTTTTTGTTTCTTGAAATGAATGCCCCATGAGTTGGTGAAGTTTTTTGTGCATTAGATATTTGACATGCAGATGGGAATTTGGTACTGGGAATGAAAATTAATGGATGAATGATTACCAACGGCATGTTATGTTTTTACATTTGTCTTTTATCAAATTGGAGTGGAATTTAATGTGCGACATACATTTTTCTTGTTGCTTTGCTGATAGTGAAGATAATTTATGGAATTTATGGGAGAAAATGTGAAGGTGAGGATGAGACGAAATGCAGTAATACATATGTACTAATGATGTTTTTGTGGTTGGGTTTGGGTTTGTGGAGAGGTTTTCTTTGCTACTAATTTTGCGAATGGTTCACCTTGTCGTACTTGGTTTGTTAATTTTGGCAAATTAATATTTTTAGTAAATAAGTGAACAGATGATACGCCCTCAAACTACCGGATGACTTTGCCGACACGAGGAAACCATCGCCCATCACCACGACGGCAAGTACGACCACGGCGAAAAGTGGGGGCAGCGGTACAACCACTACGACACACCGCCCAAAGCGGAAGCTAAAGTCGGGAAGTAATCGTTTTATGATAAAAATGATGACTCCATTGTACATATTTTAGTAGCCATTTAATCGCCACAATGATGATTGGTCCTTGTTCATTGGTCATTTTTGGGCAATGTGAAATAAATGAGAATAAAATTGCATAGAATTGATGTGAATTTGTACTGGAATATCGGTTGCATATTTATTTTTAAAGACATGTTTAATAAGAACGGCTAAAATTTTTACATTTTCGTTTGGAAATTAATTTGAAAATTAGAAAAATGAAGAGACAAACCAGTTAACATTTTTGACAGATAAGCCGTCTTTCATGACAAGGGATCCATTCAATTCATACCTAATACATAAATATGTACAGCTTGTTGGCCTCTTATCTAATATATTCCATTCATTGCGTACGTCTTTGTTCACATTTCCCGTCTCTGCTTGAATAAAATACCATTTTATGGTATTTTATACATAAATGTAAACTTATCAATGTATTTGCGTTTCATCTAAATATGGAAACGAACCATTTCCTGTGTAAAATAAAGTATTTTGAACTCCGTTCTTCCCAATCTTTAGATTTCGAAAGTTGTTACACCCACAAAAAGAATAGAATCTGCATGAAGAAGGCAGAAGTCACACGAAAATATAGTTTTCTTTAGAAATCAACTTTTCATCGCTCTCAAAATACATTGTTATCACGATTTTTAAAATAAAGTGTGTATTTTGACATGGGTGAAATGTTACTTTCTTCAGAAAACATGCATTTTCGCATGACTTTTGCTTTCTTCATGAAAATTATCATCTTTTGTGGGTGTAACAACCCTGGAAATCCAAACCATGGGAAAAACTACTCTCAAAATACTGTATGTTGACCAATTCTGCATTTCTGATGGTACATTTAGTCCGAAAAACTAAACTGACGATGCATGGGGTTGATAAGCACACAGCATTATAAAAATATGCATTTGTCATGTAAATATTTCTAGAATAAGGAAGAAATTGGAGAGGTGGAAGGACAGACGAATCATAACGAATAACCAATTGTGGCAGCAAATTCCTAGCCAGCATTCGAGACGAGAAATGCCGGATGCACGATTCAATTGATGAATACAACTTATGTATCAGTCTGGTTGTTACCTGAATAAATTCAATTCATTGCATTGGTTTAGGTTCACATTTCCATGATCTGCGTCTCAAACTCATGATAAGATTCCCACCTCTGTTATACGTACATACATTACATACATATGGGAGCGTCCATAGATCACGTGATCGAGGGGGGGGGGAGGGGGTCTGAAATTTGTCACCAATTATCACGGGGGGTGGGGGGTAGATGGTCAGATGTCACGTGACATGAGTAAAGTTTTTTTAACTTTTGTACATATATGCCAATAAATGTCATGAGAGTTATATATAAACTATCTTGGCATATCACACATAAATTTGATTTTCATTTTGCATATTTAGAAACTTGCTTCGACTTAAATTCTTAAGTCTGACTGGCGTATTAAATAGTTATTAACACATGTGTGTAGTGTAGCTCTAATTTGATTAATGATTTAAAAAATATTGTTATTCCGGACAACATGATTTAATTTGAGCATCATCTCCTGTCACGTGACCGGTGGGGGGGGGGGTAGCGAAATTATCACCCCCGGTCACCAAGGGGGGGGGGGGAGGGGGTCAAAATTGTCCAAAAATCGATCACGTGATTTATGGACGTTCCATATGTACATGCACATGTATATAAGAATCTATGAACATGCTTGCTTATGTATGTACATACATACCAGACGATACCATTGTATATCATGGTCAATTATTTTACTTGTTCGAGAATCCAATCCAACTTCCCGTCAACATTGTTCCTCCGAATGGATGAAAATTGTCTCCTTAATAAAAAAACGCCAGGATATATAAAAGGACATCTCAACCTTTTCATCGAGTCAGTCTAATCCTGGACGCGATTGGATCCTGGTCAGAAAACTGTTAAGAAGAATTAGCTGAAAATCCTTTCCTAAAATTGTTAACCGTGTGTGAATTACTTCTCCCTCATAAAAAATGTAAGTAAAAAAAATATTTCTCACACTCATGTAAATAAGATTACGTAGGATTTGATGACGCATCACCAAAATTACCACATTTTTAACCATTTCTCCTCTCTGGGAATTTATTTTAAAATTTTGAACAACAAATTTACATATACTCATTCAATTGATTGATGGAATAGCGCAGTTTTTTCAGCTAGTTTCAACGAGTTGCAATTTTTCTTAAATTTGAAATCTCCTCCGCCAAAAAGTGTAAAAATCTGGAATGTACATTTTTTTGATTGGCAACGACCTTTTGTAGAAATTTGTCTTCCAGAATTTTAAAATAGCTTCTCAGAGCGGAGAAATGTGCTGACTTACAATTATTAGGCGTCAAGTCTTACACTAAAAAAATGTCTTTTTTTTCTCCAGATCGAGATGGCCTTAGCAAGTGAGGTTAATCTCCTCTATTTGGATTTGGAATCTTATCGGCAAATCTTGGTCAAGTCCCGGATCAACTCCCCCACGTTTACAGACGAAATGAATCATCTGGCCCACTCGGTACATTGGTTGTATTGGGAGGCAAGGAACTTGGACGAGGCGATTCGCCAGGCTGGATCGCGCAGCGTCGTCTATAATCAGAACGCCTGGAGCGTGAGTTATCGATCGAACCAGCTCCGCTACCAGATCCGATTCGCCAAGAAGCGGCTAGCAATTTGTGCTAATTGTAAGTCATTTAAGTAGCATTTAAATTGTGAGTACTCTTATCGTGATGATAACCAGAGGGCGGTTATGTATGTAAGTATTTAATTTCCACTTTTTTATTTAATGACGACCGACGGTAAAACTTGGTGTGTTACTTATCTATTAAATTGCAAATTATTTCCACACATTTCCGAGTTTTCCTAGTTTTGTACATACATAAATACGAATTTCCACTATTGTCTGAAAAGTACGAAAACACTTTAGATATTTTTTTAATATAGAAATGTTTAAAATATTTTTTTTTCAAAACGACACATATTTTGTAAATACTTCAAAGATAGAAATTTTTTTGCCCAAAAAATCCAGAGCATTATATTCAGAAGTACAAATTAGGCGAAAATTGTTCTTTTTATGATTATTTTGGTACATATTTCGTAAATATTTTTGGGAAGTATTTCAACAGTTTTCGTAATGCATATCCGCCCTGTGATGATAACTGTGTCCATATGTAAATTTCATGCATTTAACTAATTGTCTTATTAATTTTTGATTGTTGCAGATGAGAAAAATCCGCCCACGAAGTCCACGATCTTCTCGTCCCCGTCCCACAGCGAGTCGTCTGAGGGTCAAGGGCCGAGTCGCTCCATCTTTTGGTGGAGTCCACAAAAAAAGCAGGCCTCGCAGGAGAAAGTGGTTTATAAATAGGTCCTAACTTTGTACTTATGAAACCAGCTAATTTTTGAAAAATTATTGATCAAATTAGAATTTCCAGTCTCATATGAATTTCATATTTCATTCTGCTTCCTTATTATTGGCATATTTTTGATAAAGTGTCCACTTAAATAAATAAATTTCAAGAAATGAACTCAACGCTTGTTCCACTTTTGCATAATTTTACATTTTATCTAGTTTTTTAAAGAATTAGTTTCATCATTATTATTATTAATTTTTATGACAATTATATGCATAAGTACTAGAATTTATCATTATCACACACTAATCAATAATAACAACCATTATAAGATAACCGTCTATATGTAAATATGGCTAAGTTAGCTCGTTGTTTTGTGATCATAACATTTGACATTACAAAGCTAGTCTTGTAAACCCCAATAAGTAAATACATATGTGATCTGCATGTACATATGTATGTATGTAGATATGTAACATACATGGATGCATTGTACATAATGCTGTATGAAACTAGCTCACGATAAGTATATATATTTAATTTTATTGATTTACTTCATCTCATAAATCTCACGGGGTACAAAATATTATTATTCTGTAAATATAGTAAATAATGCACTTATTTAATGGACCCATACATATGTAAGTATTTGCATCGATTTAAACCTATTAATTATTAATTATTACCAATTGATTACCCTGGAAAAAGCTCGACTTAATTTATTTAACGGGGTCAAGCTCTCGCTATGCGGTCTTCTTCAGGTAAAAACTACAAAATCAGGCACACCCACCCAACGGATCAACCCCCTTATCAAACCCATCCTTCCATTCTTCCTCCAACTCCACCTCGTGAATCACCACTGTCGACGGTGTCACGTGCTCCCCTCCAACCCCTTTCCGGTGCACGATCCTCGCATGAATCTTCAACCTCTCTACATCTTCAAACCATCCCTCACACTGATTACACGGATGGACGAGCACTTCCGGATGAGCCGTCTTCCGATGCACCCCCAACGTCGCTCTGTGTTGATATCTTACCCCACAGATCTCACATTTTAGCTTCCCTATGTCATGCGTGCGTCTATGAACCTTCAGCTTGCCCACGCTTGGACAAATCTTGTCGCACTCGGGACAACTAACACCGCCAGGGACCTTGCCCCATATGCCTCTCCGCTTACTGGCGTATCCCTTCCTTTGCTCCTCGTATTCCTCGGCAAGCCCTGTTTTTTTCGCGACCCGGCAGTTCTTCCGGACATGGGCGAGCATATTCGTCCTCATCGTGAAGGCGGCGCCGCATTCTGTCGGGCAGAGAAATGGTCGCAGGCCGGAGTGTGAATTTAAATGGTTTTGCAGAGTTAAGGCCGATGTCGTTACGTAGCTGCACTGGGGACAGGTCAACCTTTGCTTGACGCGGGGTTTGTGAGGGAGCCCGTGTAGATTTTTCTTATGGGTTCGCAGACCTTTTTCCGACTTGAGCCGGGCGGGACAGACCTCGCACTGGAAGGCGCGCGAGAACGAGGTGAGGATGACTTTGGCGCACTTGCCGGAGCGAAGGTGGGTTCTTAAGGTGTCGTAGAAGCGGTACGCGGAGCCGCAGGTGGTGCAAATGAAGGAACGCTCTGGAAGGAATATATATAGGAGTCAGTTTTTGTATAATTAATTTAGGAAATTTTGACAGGAAAGTTTCCTGAATTATAAACATGTCATTTTTTAAATTTATGAACATACCATTCCTATGCCAACGTAAATGTCGTTCAAGTCCGGCTGCCCATTTAAACGATCTTGGACACTGGGGACACTGCTTCCGGACTGGAGGCTGATAAAGTCGCATCCGCCAATTTCGCCTATTTAAGATGAACTGTCTCTTCAATTCGGCTAGTTTTTTGGTATCCTTCCGAAGTTCTGGCCACTCTGGGGTGTGTTGGAGTTTATGCATTTCGCAAAGTGTGTAGAAGGCGAATTTTTTGTCGCAAGTGTCGCAAGCGAAGGGTTTCTCACCAATGTGCTTTTTCCGATGGGTGTTCAGTTTCTCTGTGGTGTCAAACGTGGCTGCACAGCTGTAACAGGGGTGAACTACCGAGGTTGGAGGAGGCACCTGAATGAATCGAGTAAAATAATTGTTACATGGGAATAATTATGGGAAAATTTGTAAATTTTATGACGTAATGAAATTTAGCAAGAACAATTGAAGATCTACTGTTTAATATTTAAATATACTTTTAGTAATCAAATTGCAAAGTTTCTAAGAATGATTATTCTTAAAAATCTAGTCGCAATATTTTTGACCATCACTTTCTTACCTAAAATGCATGACCAATTTGGCAACAGATAAAGTAAAGCATCAACTACCTAATTCCTTACTGCATAATTTATGTATTACTAAATTCTGCTACTACTTAATTTGTTAAATAAATATAAAAAAAGTGCATAAATACCACCAATTTTCCAGATGCATCCACACTATGGGATTCGTCTTCGTCACTTTTATCGTCATCTTCATCTCCGTCGCCATCTTGTTCATTGTCGTCATCTTCTTCACTTTCATGATGAGTAATCCTCCTCTTCCTTTGGCCACGTGGGGTCTAAGCAAGCAGAAAAATATCAATTATTGATACAACTAGTATAATTAGTCGCAAAAACGTAAACGGATAAATAATACAGATCATGTTATAAATAAAATACCCAGTTAGCATCATCGCGGTCGTGAAATTCGCCAACCTTATCATCGCGTCCTTCGTCACTATAGCCGTCTCCTTCGTCATCGACCTCTTCATCCCCTTCACAAATGTCCTCTTCATTCAGGGCGACGTCATCCATCGAAAGTTGTACTGCACTCCAAAATTCTGACTCTGTGGGAAGAACGATTCGCCTAAAAACGAATGCAAAAATCGTAACGTACAAAATTACTTTAAATGCTATACATTTAAAAATAAATACTCACAGCGGTTCTAATCTGACATCATCACGGAGAAGAATGTTTTCGTCATGTTTCTCCAAAAAGTGCAACGTAACTGCTGGCTCGTTGGGGAGATAAGCCTCGCAAATTTCGCACCTCCACCACACCCCGTTGTAACTCATCTCGACCACCTATATTTAAGTAAAAAGACAAAATTAAACTTAAATTTTTAATGAAAGACTCCAATAGTAAAATTTTAAACCGCTGCGAATTGTCCCAGTTTAATAAATACAAACGTATTCTTGTTATTTTCCAAGATATCGAGAGTATTTTCCTTACCGGAGCCAAGAAGAATACGGACTTGACTCAACTAATTAATGAGCAATGTGTAATTAATTATTTAATTGTTACAAAAGGTGGACTTCTTTGATTAAATGTGTTTTTTGAGCAGAGAGAGATGGACGGGTCGAGAGCAGCTGAGGAAATGAAATGAATGAACCACTTCTCGCTCGGGCTCCTCCGGCTGACAGCGCTGATTTTTTACTATAAGTTATACTATAAGTTATAGTTACGAGTTCGCATCATAAAATAATTTTAAACGAAAAAATTCCGAACACTAGCCTTGGAAATGTGCAATTTCTCGGATGAATTTTTAAGTCAAAATTTGTTGCCAACTTGCTAACTTTGCCTTTGTTAGCGTTGCAAGTAATGCGAACTCGTAACGAATACCCCCATTGTAAAATTGAAATTGATGATATGTTGAGTAAATAAAGACATCCTAAAATTGTATGAAGATAATAACACAATTAATTAAACTTTTATCATGTATTTAAAGCAGTCTAGTTTTCAAAATATAGTTTATCGGACGACATACTTTTTTCCTATTTACAACTTTTTCCAAACAATTTCGAACTAGAATTATTTTATTCGTATAAATACTTACGAGCTTGGCTGACTTTCGTGACAAAAAATATTACAAATAAAGTTCATAAATAGTAAATGAACACAAACATTTTTCATAACTCTAAATACAATAATTATCAAAACTAAGTCCCTTCATCGTAGCTTAGATTAGTCCAATTTTTAAATATTTACAACTAAAACTAATTTCTCCTACTTTGCGTACTACCTACAACTATTATTTCTACGTAATAATCGTAAAATGTTAGTGAACCAAGAATACACAGGTGTTCCAAGGCACTAAATTTGTGTGTTGGCCGATGATCCTGACGTGGAAGCACCATCCTCTTTATTACGACTGAAAGGAAAGGGCGTCATAATTCTCCAAAGGCGAACATTTCTTACAGCGACGTGCAAATTCCTTATACGCCTTCGTGTGGCAACCAGCACGGCGCGAGCCGCTCGACGGGCGATAGATGGTGGCGTCGTCTGAGTAGTCGTAGGGGTTCCTCGCTCCTGATTTGTCGCCACGTTGACGGAAGGCACATTCCCGGACGGAATCACAGTCGTGTTGACGTGTGGGCCCGATGGTTGAGGAGGAGGCTGAGAATCCGATTGTAGCCATTGTAGGATCTGAAAGAGAAACAAATTATTAAATAGGGGTACCTACAGTGGAGGTCGCTCAACGCATGCTCACAGATTTTTACTAAGCTAGTGTCAATCTCCTAATTAAATTTGACTGTCAAATTTTGACACTACTTTGGTCAAAATCTGTGCGCAAAAATTGAGAGACCTCTATTTTTTTATCAAAAAACAGCAATTCTTATTTCATCTTCAAAACAGCGTCGCATTTTTGTGGTTTACTCACTCTTATCGTAAAGGAAGTGGTTGCTCGCACCTCCAGAGCCGTCTCGACTTCTGCGTCACTCATTACCGGAAATGACACGGATTGCCTAATGCGGGGTTGATAGTCATCGTCATCCATGGTCGGCACGATCTAAGAGGAAAAGTAGAAGGGATGAGAAAGTGAACGCTAAGTGGGCAAAAAATTAGTCTGCATTTATTTTACCTGTGGCCCTTCCAGCAAGGCTTCTTCCGCACTAATTTTGTTATTTAGCAGCGTCCATATGTCAGACGCCGTTGGCCTTGCTTGCGGGTCCACGACAAGGAGCGACTTCAGTAATTTGATCGTCGCCACGGACACTGTAAACCCCACGCTGGAAAAAAATACAGCAAGTAACAAAATTAGCTTTATTTATGATCTAAAATATGAGTAAAAAATGCACAAAAGTGATTCGAATTTTTTAACAATTAAACCAGCCACAACAAGCAAGCAATGGTAGCAAAGCTGGTCATCTTAATTTGTAACAGCAAATAAATATTCCATAATTGTTAATGACGATATTTAAACTGAACTTACGTCGGAATATCAAACACTCCGCCCTGAACTTTCTTGAACAGCTCACGCGGGCTGACATCGAAGAATGGGAACTTCCCATAAAGCATAGTATACAAGGCGACACCCAACGACCACATGTCTGATGGTTTACCTGGCAAAAAAATATTTATAAATAAACTAAAACTTTTTGCTCGGAACTATAATTTGTAAATAAATTAATGAAAAAAATATGATACAAGCTAATTAATTAATTATTTACATACTCACCAGCATATGGTTTCTTACTTATCCCCTCAGGCGACACGTAGGCTGGAGATCCGCACTGGTCCAGCAATAGTTCATCTTGCGCCGTGACATATTTCGCTAAACCAAAATTAATTATCGTTACCTCCAGGGTGTTTTTATCTACGACGATATTTCCCAATTTGATATCCCGATGAACAATATGTCGCTATAAATTGATAACAAAAAAGTTAGGATTTATAATAATTTAAAATTTAGTAGCATTTCAACTTTTACCTGATGCAAGGCCTCCACAACTTTGACAACATTACACAAGATCTTAATTGCCATGGATTCCTCCAACTTCTTTTCTTGAATAACGAATTGTTGTAGATATAAAAGAGAGGCGCATTTCCTGGAGTAATTGTGGGGCATGTAACATCCTAAAACGAGGCAGATTATATCCACCATTCGTCCATCATCTTCGGCATGATCCTGACACAAAAAAGGACAATTTTAAAAACTATGCCCACTTTTTTTTAATAAACAGAAAATACGCCTCATAAAATAAAAATACCTGGATCATCCCGTACTCCTGCGGGACACCGTTCAGACCTTCCAGTCGCCGTAACAAATTGTACTCGGTGCGGAGGAGGATTTTCCCATACATGTCGTCCGTCGACTCGACAACCGCTGGCTCAGCAATGGTCAATACCTAGGGAGAGAGAAATTATGTATTAAGTGTATTAATTAATAATTTAATTTAATAATAACGAGAACCAACTTTTCTTAATCTGATGAGTCATCGTCAAAATCACAATCGTTTTTAATCATTGCTCTGCTCTGGGAATTTAATTTAAAAATTCTGGACGGTAAATTTGCACAGCAGATCGTTGCCAATTAAAAAAATATACTCTAAATTTTTACATTTCAAAAAATCAGATTTCAATTTTAAGAAGCATTCAGAAAAATTTTAACTCACCTCATCCAAACTAGCTTATCTTATCTTACCTTAAAAAAACTCATCTTCATTCTATTTAATCAATTTCCTGACTACAAATTTGTCGTCCAGAATTTTAAAATAAATTCCCAGGGCTGGTAAATACTGTGTTAATTTTCACCATTTTCGTGATGATTTATCGACTCCTACTTAAATACTTATCAACAAAATATTTAATGCATAATTATGATGATGAAAACAATTTACATACCTTAACGGTAAAAAAGTCTTGTGTCCCTTCCCTCCTGGCCAGGAAGTGGGTCACACATTTGGCAGGGGGGGAGTCGAATTTGGGACCAAGCAGAAAAGGACCCACCCTCCTCGGAGAAGAATAAGAAGAATTAACACTTTCCTGCCCTTCCGTGGCGGCTCGAGATGATGATGATGGATTCATAGCAGTAAATTTGTATGTATTAATTATTTTCACTATCAAAATTTGAAATATTTGAAATATTCCAACTAAAACTGCGAAAAAGTAGGCAATTACAAGTAAAACGTTTGGAGAGTGAAAATGAACTACGCAGTTTCTTCTTGCTGTGTGCTGGGTGAAAGAAAAGAAACGACACAAGTGCGTAGTAGGCAGGCAGTGCAAGCATGCAAACGCGTGCCTACTTTGCATTTTCTGCCAAGTCGAAAATGTGAGATTTTTTGGGGAGGGTGAGATTCGCAGAGAGAAAAATGAATGAAGAAAATGAGAATTATTAAGTAAAACTTCACTAATTTTAATTTACTTATTACGCATTAGTTTCGGAGGAGATTACGTGATAAGAAGGGTGCTTATAAAAGTTACATTTAATTTATCTCAATCACAGAAATATTATACACTTTCCTGGAGGGGAAACCATCACGGCGCACAAATGCATGCATTCTTCTTACCGGAAAAAGTGAATATTTCGAAACCAGGCGAGTGGGACACTTTGTCATAAGTCTAAAAATTAATTAGCATCTGAATTCTAAACAAAATGATATCGCTAATAAGCTTACTTTATTAACATTTGTGAATTTCTTTGATGAAAACTCGGTCAGAGACAGCACTGCTGACTGCACAATTCTTGGGTCTAATACCTAGCCAGACATAACGAATAGCCTCAGTTTCTTTATTTGCATTTAGATGTGGTGACATTATTTTTAAGCGTAAATATTTCATTGTCGTATATACATATACAACAATGAATAAATATCGTATATGGATGTATACATATTTATTATTTATGTATAAAGCTTGTGATTGTGACGTGGGAGCAGAATAAATGCATAAGCTATTAAAGAATTCATGCAAAGGAAATTGGCTACATATGTATGTACACGGGGGATGGATGTTGGTCAATTTTGTCCAATGATACATATGTAAATGATTGCTAATTTTAGGCCGGATATTCGCTCACGTATCCATTTCGCCAATTTTACCTCACATGACGCAAAGATAGAAAGGTCATATTTTTAGCATAGGTAAATGCCCACACACGTCCCAGTTTGTTAACTAATACCCGTTTTTAAAACTAGAACAAACCATAACCTTCGTAATTTCGATAAGCTTTCCAAAAAGGAACCAGTGGTCATGATTAAACCATTCTTGTTTCTGTTCTTATTTGAGAATGTTTTATCAGCTAGTCAAATTTTTCCTGTGCAAAATTACTTTCAGAAACGCACCATTCAATTTATAACAAATTTCTACGACTTATCCCCAAGTTCTTATCAATTACGAATTTTCCACGAAATAGTATCCTTCCACCAATTAAATCCGCGTGTACTGGACAATCTTCCCCACTGGAAAGTAGCCCTTTCTCGGTACAACCCCCAAAGCGCGGGTATTACAAAACGGTACCCACTTTACTCCCATTACGACCCGGAAGTTGTAACTTTCCTCCTTCCCAAAACCCGGAAAACCGAATCCAACCAAGAATTTATTCGCACCCGCAACTTTATCAATTCCATCCTCGCCGGAATCATACTTTCCAGCGAGAACCCATCCCACATATTCATCCAGCTTGATTATTGGATACCCGATTTTAAAGAGATCTCCTTCCCCGGGACAACTCTAACCTCTAAATTCATCATTCTAATTGAAAATAAGCCGCTCCTTCTAATCTGCAATACGTGTCCCCTTCCTTACATCCTTATTCCAAAATTTCTCAGTATTAGTGAGATTGCGCCCCTCTGGGAAAAATATAATTGGGACTTTTCCTCCGTAATTGTATCCCCTACTGAAATTCTACTCATTGACACATTCTTGGATCAATACAAATGTACCCTGGTCTTAGGACTATATAAATACCCGCAGTACGCCTGTGTATTTGCTACACTTGGAGGACACTACAATATTTCAATTTCTGCATCATCGCATTCCAGCTTTAATTCGGATGGGTCACTTCGGATGAAAATGATCGTAATGGGCACGCCACGTTTTGGCTATTTAGCCCTTCAAGATTTCATTGAGAACTTTTTGGCTAGAAGAAAGTCCAAGTTGTCATGGTACATTTATGGCACACATTATCTCCCCTTTGTTTATGTCGTTCTAACAGAAAATGCGCATATGACGTTTGAAACGCTTGTCATGCCATTCGACGTGGCGACCTGGTTGATAAGCGTGGCGTCATTTGGGGGCGTTATGATAATTTTGATGTTTGTGGGAAAAGTGAAAAAGAATACGGACTCTCAGCCCGTGAGGGACAAGTTTCTTTGGTCAATTTCGACCGTACTTGATCAAGCAGATGGGGATTTTACAAAATTTATATTTCCGAACAGATGCGGAATTTTGATGATTTTTATCGGGATTTGGTACTGTTTTATCTTTTTTCTCGGAAACTTTTACAAGGGGGCGTTATTCTCTTGGATGACGATGGGGATAAGTGTCCCTGTGCCGGAGGGGTTGTCAAATCTGATAACTGGGACGGACTGGGGGGTCTTTACTAGTTCCGTCATTTACCTTTCGGATGAAGGGATGCGCGCCGACTCTCTCCTGCTGCGCGGAATGATTCCGGATTTAATGAATTCTTCGGTGGTGCAAATGCCCGAATTTCTGAGAGATCTTGCCACACGGGGTAAACTTTTGCTCGGGGAGACGTTCGATATTGGGCGGAATATTAGTAAAAGGGTACAAATATTTAGAGACATACCTGTTAATATTCATTGATTTAGCAGAGAATGAATATATTATTCATTCATTTAATAGAGAATGAATATATGTATTATTCATTAATTACTTAAAAAATTAATAATTGTTGCAAAATTTTTGAATGAGTTTTGAAGAAATTTCTACTCATTTCATATTCATGAAAAATGAATGAATAATTTCTTCATGATTGATTTTTCACCCAATGCTTAACGCATGCGGTATAGTAAGAAATCCGTAAAAAAATTAATGAATAATGAAAAAAAATCGTTTTCAAATTTTTAATAAACGAGTTTTGAATGAATAAATATTTTTCGAACAGGTACAAATAGAGGGGATAAATGGGACAGCAATAACTCCAAAGTTGCCCTTGATTATGCTAGATCGAAAAAATGAAATTGACAACCTTGTCGAAGCTGTAGCCCTATTTGAAGACGTTAATGTAATCCGAAATTACGAGAGTACCCCGTTTACCAGTCGAATGCCGTGGTTTGGAGATGCCAACTTTTTATACCCACTAATGTCCCGCGGTATCGGGAGGCTTGTTCAGTCAGGAATTTACGATAAGTGGGATGAAATAGATGCATTATCGAAGCGGTGCGAAAGTGCAAAAAAATCGTTAAGTGGAACCAACTATAAGAAACTTTTGACCAGATTGTTATCAAGGGCGAAGAAAGAATACGTTTTTGTAGAGTCTGCTCCCGTCTCGTTTGACACGATGAAGTATGCGTTTGCATTTTGCGTAATGATGCTGTTGGTGGGAGGAATTCCAACTTTGGGGGTTGAATGGATGAAGGCTAAAAATTTTTTGACATTGATAAGACGCCGGGTTATCGTACTAATCAGGAATGGATCCTAAGAGTAATGTTGAGGTCGAAATTTATATTTGGAGAAGCGATGATTAACTTGAAGTTCAGAGTCAAAAGTCGACGTCGACCGATTTTGGTGCGACCGAGGCGCTAATTTTGTCGATTTTGCTTGTATACCGTACAGATGTACACACATATGTAACCAGTATGTCATGTGAAGTAATAAAAATTGAATGAAAATAGTAAAAAAAAATATATAAATTAAATATATTTTGTATTAACTAATAAATATTTGTGACATAAACTCTGAACACTCTCTATTTTTATTGAATCTCTGTAGTTCAAAGGTCAGTTTCTTTACCCAAACATAATTGATAACATATTACTTTTTACGTTTCGAAATCCTGGATCTAGCAAGAACACGAAATGTAAAACGCTTAATTAGTTTCTGCATACTTGTCACCAACAATTTTAAAATACATATGAATAACTGTCGCCATACTTGAATTTTATACACTATTACAATTCTACATTCAATCATAATGCACAAAAATGCAACTAGAAGAACAGAAACACACAAAACAAATACTTCTCTCACTGCCTTCAAACTAATCGAATCAGCTTCATGAAACACGATGTCTTCTCGCACCTGAAATAATGCCATCGCAACATGTTTGTGAAATTTATACTCAGATATCAATATCTGCGCCTGTAATGGTTTATACACTTTGTACATCTTATGCCACCTTTCTTCCATACCGGAACTGGCTAAATGACCCAGCCCTTTAAGAAAAATTGGCAACAGATACGTCCTCCGTGCCAGAGAAAGTCTAACATGTGCAAATGGGGTGTCCTCCTTACCATTGATAACCAGACGGCTACCATTCCATCTCAAATAACTGGCAAACCAACCCAATTTCTCAGAATCTTCCATTAGTACAAATGGTACACTTGTCTCAATTACGGAATTATTCTGACAGATTATTGGTCTCCCCTGCTCAATATAGTTCATGACCTTCTTCCACACGTTAATATCGTCGATACCTTTGAGGAAGGAAGTCCCCTTATTTAGCTTCTTCATTAACTCAGTGAAATGGGGTTTCTACCTGAATAAATATGTATATCGTGGAATTTGTATTTCTTTAATGATGGACTTATGTAATCCTGGATTACGTTTATCCGCATATCCAGACATGGTCAAAATTGGTATGTTTGAATCAACAAGATCTTTGAAGCTTGAAGGAAATATTGGTGGCATGACGGCACTCAAAAATGAGAAAACTGATCCGGTATATAAATTATTCATTATAATATAGCAACCCCCTAGCATCCAAACAATCAAAATTGGGACAGCCACAAATTTCTTGTGGTAAAACATTTTCCAACAGCACCCATTAAATTGTCCGATCAGGATCATATTTACGTTTAGAAAGTCTCCTATGACAGAATGCAATAAGGTGTTTGTCCGATTTGAAACTCTGATAACTACCGTAATCAAGACAGTAGAAAGGATCAAAGTCACCCAAACTGTGTCATCAAATGGAGATAAGAATACACTCATTCCATTTAGAACAGTGGGCAAAGGTGAGACAAAAACAAATTGGACGTTATTGTAGTCTACACGGTAAGGAGTTTGCACTCTGTGGGTGGTGATGGAAGATACCAGTCGGGAATCTATAACTCTTTGGGGGACGAAATGATTGATAAGATCGTTGAATGAGTTCATAGTAAAATTCAGTGTTTTAGAGAGTGACCAAAGTGTACAATATTTAAATGATTCGGGAATTTTGACCCGTACTTGTAATTTCCTGGTATAACAATGATCCCCAGGTAGGCTGGAAAATGTACTTAAAGCAACTTTACTTTGATGAAGATTTGAATTTAATGCGAACCAAATAGCACTCATTTTGGAAAAATAGAAATCGCGACTACTGGTCACATCTAATTTTTCTGGTTTTAGACGACCGCACAAAATGCATGGAATGAACAACTGATTTGCATATTTGGAACTGAACAGAATAAGTATCGCTATTCCTGTAATGGTGAAATATAACTTATAATTAAATTCATGAAATGGATCATCCGTATGCTGAAAGATGTACGCTGTGTTATATAGTTTTTCTAAGGTTACGCGTTGCATAAATGTGTTCATTGTGAAGTAATCCAGCCCAGATTCCTTATTTATATCAAGTCTGGAGTGAATAATTGCTACTGGTATTCTTCTTGACGCAGCGTGAGGTCCAAGGCGTGAATTGTCCAGACCTAGGATCCATTGATGTGTTTCGTTAAATCCAAACTGATTCAGGACAATGGGTGTGAATGGATTTGAATGATGGATGTTGTAGACGTAAGGTAAATTAGGTGGATTGAAAGTAATTTCGAACGTCACAAGTACTATGTGACAATTTTGGAATAAGTTTTTGGTATTCCATAATGCTCTGGTGGGGCTCGTGATCAGCATAATTTGTGCGACAATGGTCCATGACAATGTCCCCATTGGTACATGTCACATATGTATGTACTTGTTATCTACAAATGACATTCATACAGCATGGTTATAATTTATATAAGGAGAAATACCTCTACTTGTATCAGAGTTTAGAAATTTGCATACCATATATACGATCAGGTCAGAGTTTATATTATGGCAAATATGTAAGTGACTTTCACTGTAAACTGGCTTCCTTTTCTATGTAGCGTATGTATATCCATATGTATGAATGAATTGATTCCCCTTAATGTGCACGATGTGGCGTCGAATAATCTGATGACCAGATCTTGTAAATTGGAAAGCTAAATATTTACTAAATATTATTTAGCTGTATATTTATACACTTATACATATATCCACACACCATAGCATATGTATACTAGTAGTTCCTTCATTTCGGTTACAAATGTACATTTATATCCATGTTGCACTAAAGTGTTGCCTAGGAACATGTAAATTAGATTCTTCTTTCATAAAACATAATCAAAAAATTTGCATGCGGTGCTAATCCATATGACCAATCGTAAGATACATACCTTAAATAAATATACATATACGTCCATATACATACATAAGTGACTAAAAATCCATACGGTTATTATTTTACGTAATAACTTAGAAGGTATGTACATAATAATAACTTGTTATTACAGTGTCGGACAGATGTCTACGTCCACATAGTCGCGTCAATTTCATTTTCAAATTGTCACTGAACTACTGAACCAATTTTCATCATTGATATATCAAATTCTCACAAATTTAACGTAATTTCATAAAACATATGAGTTATTTCTGAAAATTCTGGGAAAACTGAGAATCATAGTGCAGAGCGAGAGAGGATGAAATTTGAGCGGACAAAAGTCTACGTCCACTTCACTTTAATTGTCAACAACAAAAATCTCTCCAATTTATAAAATCAGGTAACTTAATAAATCTATCAATAACATATGCCGCATTAATTTTTAAATAATTTTCTTCCAGAAAAATATGATGGCGTCGACACGCAAGGAAATTCCTATCGCTATTCGAGATCTTGTCATTCAGGACTGGAAGGGTGGACAAAAAGGGGGCTGTCGCAGAGACAAATATGGACCAAGTATAAATTAGCAAGGACAACCATCCAGACAATCATTAAGAACTTTAAAGCTAATGGTTCAGTCTAAAACAAGGTCAGAAGTGGTCGAAAACCGATTTTGGCTCACCGAGAAGTACGCCACGTGCTCAACAAAGTCAACGTTACACCCTCACTTAGTGCTCCAAAGCTATCTACCGAGATCAAGGAGATGTTCGGCAAACAGGTTAGTCCTATGACCATCCAAAGAACACTGAATAAGGGAAATTTGAAATCCCACAGAGCAGTCCGGAAGCCTCTTATTGTACCGAGGAATGCAACCAAACGAGTGAAGTTTGCCAGAGACCACATTTCCAAGCCACAAACATTCTGGGACATATTTTATGGACTGACGAGTCAAAGTTCAATGTCTTTGGGTCAGATGGGCGTCGTAGAGTGTGGAGATATCCAAAAGAAGCTTTGAATCCAAAAAATCTCAACCCCACAGTTAAGCACGGCGGCGGGTCGGTAATGGTGTGGGGATGCATGGCTTCAAGTGGGGCAGGAAAAATGGAATTTATTGACGGAATTATGGACCAATACAAGTACCAGGGAATACTTGACCGTAATATCCAGGAATCTGTTCGAAAACTTGGACTTGGACGACGATTTGCCTTCCAACAAGACAACGATCCGAAACACTCTGCCAAGTCCACCATGGAATACTTCAAGAAAAAAAAATTCCGAAGCTAGAATGGCCTCCCCAATCTCCAGACTTGAATCCCATTGAGCATCTGTGCGACCACATTGAAAGAGAAATAAGAAAACAATCTTTTTCAGGAATTCCGGGCCTTAAATCCAGAATTCGTGAAGTTTGGGAAACCATTTCTGAAGATGTGACCAAGAATTTGGTAAACTCAATGACTCGACGCCTTGAAGCCGTCCTTAAAGCGAACGGAGGCCCAACCAAATATTAAAAATTAATTGTTATAACATTCCTTATAAATTACAGTTTTTTTTGTATGTTTTCTCTGACTGGACGTTGATTTTTGTCCATCCAATTGTTTTCATTTTGAATTAAAATACATCTCTGGCCTAAAATAAATTTTTTAGCGGAAAACTAATAATGTGCTATGAAATTACGTTAAATTTGTGAGAATTTGATATATCAATGATGAAAATTGGTTCAGTAGTTCAGTGACAATTTGAAAATGAAATTGACGCGACTATGTGGACGTAGACATCTGTCCGACACTGTAGCAGAGAAGAATAACATGATCCGACAATGCGAACGTGACCTTGCATACAAATTTCAACTATGTTAAAATGCGTCACACTTGAAAATTGCATGAAAATATCAGCAGGCCTCTAATACTTGCATACAACTGCAAGTACCAGAAATTTGGCTTTTTTGGTCTCCCTAGCTCTCATTGTAAGTTTTATATTGATATTATTATTGATGCCTATGTATTTATTTGTCATCTATTTATTCAGATAAGAATTAATGTACACTATAATAGCGACTACATATGTAAGGTTATCTTTTGTAATATTACTTTTACAATTTTGAATATTCATAAATATTTTACACGAGTGGATAACTAGCTTGAGTGGCCACACCGCATTCGTTTTGATGATTTCGTGCAATTTGAATGTATCCTCTGTTTCTCCAAGCTGTACTCCAAGAATTCTTGACCAGCCAGTAATCTTGACCTTCCTCCGTCGTCCCATATCTACAATGAAAAATAGGAACAGTAAAATTAGTCCCGTAAAAATATTTCTTAATTAGCCTGTTCATTGTATTTTGCAGTGAACACGTATGCAAAAATACCCTCTTCAAAATTAAGTATTATAATAACACCCAGCGATATTCACGTATGGATGACTCTACCAAAGTGGTATTGAATTGACCAGTAATACCGTGTAGTAATAAATTTACCATATCGGCAGCAAATTTTTACGCCCCATATAATTTTACTACTAAACGGTAGCAAATTGAATACCGAGAACTGGCGAGAAATCAATAACTGGATGACTATCTAGATTTAAAACAGTGTAATCCATAAACAAAAAAATTATTTACCCCACGACCAAAACGGCATGATCCAATACAGTCGAACTACACCATTTCTCGGTGTACACTCCACTCGAGTAGAACATGATGGACTCATGGGATGCATCAATTGCAACGGAAATCTAAATAAATCAGTTTAAAATTGCTTACGAAAATTTAAATGTTTTTTGAAACTTACCGGCCCCACGGAGGCGACTGCTTGCTTCAATTTCTCCTCATCGCCGGAAGGAATGTCGACATATCCGATGTCACTCGCACCAGAATTTTCCTTCTTGTAGCGACAACCATAAGTTTGTGCCTGATACGGGTAGCTCGCCTCGGTGTCGATACCGTTATTATTTTTTATGTAAATGAACGCCGGGTCCATGAGACCACCGAGACAGCCTTCGTTACCTCCATTCCCTGGTAAATAGACGAAGACAAATAATTTATTTTTTTTAAACCAATAAATTTTTATTACTGCATTAATTTTGATGTCTTGGGAAAATTTGCATACCACGCTTTTAAATTTTTGTACACGACTTAAACCTACACCGCCGCCAGAAACAACCGCAAGAAAGTGTTTTTTTTGCAGCTATTTATTTTGACCCGTAAGAAATGCAAGGCGCAAGAAACAGCATGGTTCGTACGACGCGTCGCTAAATGGCGCATATTTTTTGCATCCTTGCACCATGCATTGAGTTTCTCGTTTTTAAGTACAATTTGTGCAAGAAATGTATCAAAATACGAAAAATTGACCACCTTAAATTCAACTTACACGAGCAATCAATCAAATTCTGTTCCGATAAAGAAACAAGCTTTCCCGTTTTACGCATATGCTGCCCTTCAAGTGACCCCGTTGCAGAGAAGGCCCAACAACCTCCACAACCTCCTTGATCCTTGACTGGAGTCACGTATCCCTTCGCGGTCCAATTCACTTCGTTTGGTGCTGTAAAAGATTCCGGTGTCAAAAAAGTTGCACCAAAGACAGACGAGTTCCGACGATCGGATCGATAACCATTCATCCTTCGGGTAAATTCATGATGGAGAAGGTCACCAAATTTATTCATTGCTATGGAATAAAAATATATAAAAATTAATTAAAAAACCTTTTCTACAACTTTGCGAAGCCCGACCCGGAATTTGTGCGTATTTTATCCAGATCAAAATTAGCCGATAAGATGTATGCCACAAAATAAGTATTTGGGATGTTTCGTACCAAACTCTAGCACTATTTACCATAAACGTGTTCTACTTATCACACAATTTGGTACACAATTTTCCAACTACTTACCTTGGCTACCCGGACAACTGGGGTCCTTCTCAGAGTTATCGATAACCACACAGACAGACAGATAAACAAGAAACAACACACACGGCGACATAAGCCCTGGGTCGGGTTAAAAATTATTAAAAAGTCAAGCAAGAAATTGTAAAATATGTTTTCTTCACCAAGCTTGTAAGGTAGATTTTGTTCCTTGTTATGTTTTGCGATGCGTTGCCTATTTTCCAGATAGACTTTCATTCGGAAACGTTCCTCCACATCGTTTTCATACAGCTTCTGGTGAGTTGCCTTGAAAGGAAGAGAAATGCATGTGTACATACATAAGCTATTATGTAGGCTTGTGGCAAAATATTGTTATAAGAAACTTAACACATAGATTGACATTTGCTTTGTGTAGAGTCGTATGTAAAGGGTGTTAATAAAGTCCGATCCCATTTTTCCTATAAAAAAGTGAAGGCTAGTATAAAAAAAACTACCCGTGATACTTACAAAAAATGTTCGACATATTTACCTTAGTATTTGGTCTTGTTACCATTTACTTTAACCATGCCCTCAACTCTTTGTTTAAGGCTCTGTGCTAATTTTTCCAATGTGTCTGTGGGAATCGAATTCCATACATCTTGAACTTTTTTTACTAGCTCTTCCCTCGTCCGGGGTTGTGGTTCTTTGTATACATTTTCCTTAAGTATGGACCACAGGTTCTCCAGGGGATTCAAATCTGGGCTGTTTCCGGGCCACACCCCCTTGCTCCAGACCGTTGAAACTTGCGTCTTGATGAGACTCAAACTCGCTTTTGCTGTATGGGCTGTAGCACCATCCTGCATGAAAACTATTTTTCTTTCATTCGGAAATATTTCCTTGTTCCCCATGCTATCGAAATAGATAGGTAATATTTTTTCCATATAATACTTTGCATTGACTGTTTGGCCTTTTGGTATGATATGTAGAGGAGTCACGCCACGTGCACAAAATCCACCCGCTACCATAACTTTAAGCCCGAATTTTGGGACTACTCTTGATGGTACATCCGATTTGTTTTCTGTCCTGTAACGAACATTTTGTTGGTTCAATTTTGGATATAGCTCAATAATAGATTCGTCAGTCCAAAGGATGTGACTGCGCAATTCTTCACCAAGTCTTTTTTCACTCAAATGGCCACTTTTCTGAAGGAGTTCTCCAAATTTCAGACGGTCATCGATATTTTTTTGTGACATGAGAGGTTTTTTGGTTAGTTTGTAAGCTGTGTGACCCCACCTCGTAGATTTCACAAATTTTTGCACGGTCACATAGTTAATTTGCTTCTTCTTCTCTTTATAGCGTTTTGAGTCATTTAACTCCCTTGCACAATTACGTAATGAACTACCGGTTTTCTTGTAAAGTCTGTTTTTAATCATTCTCTTTGTGGTAGGTGACACCTTTCTGGGTCGCCCGGGTCGCTTTTTGTCGTGGACAAAATTTTTGTTCTTCCATTTCCAAACAGTTCTGCGGCTGCAGCCCAATTTTTGCACAATTTCTGCAGGTTTAAACCCCTGCTGATGCAATGTTTGTATCTTAACTCTAAGATGCTCATGACTTACACGTTTAGTTGTTCCTCCCATGGTAAAAATTTGAAATAAATAACTTCACTGGTTCAAAAGTTCCAGCTGAATTTGTAACAACCGCGCTCCAAAAAATTCATGGGATCGGACTTTATTAACACCCTTTATGTATGTATATTGTTTGCTAATTTTTTCATGGGCATTTTAATAATTATAGAAAACTCACCTTAAACGCATCCCATTCATCTTTCGCCAATTGGGAGAGAGACACAGCTTGCGATACGGTCAAGACGAGCAGTGGAAATAGTACGGATAGAACTTTCATTGTTTTTTTGCTGGCTAACTAAGTGTCAAAATCACTTGAAACATATGCCAACAAAAATTGGGACTAACAATTGTTGCAGATCTGCAGTTACAATAGTCAGTTTTACTTGAGGAGTGAGTGATGAACTGATGAATGATTTTACTGCTCGACTTTCCTAATAATAGTTACACATTTAGCCATATGAGTCATATTCTTAAGAAGAGAGGCCCTCTGCATGCCCATCTCAGATCTTGGTGCCGTTTGCATATTTGGGTCCCCTAGGCGAGTGATGAATTATCCTAAAGCGGTTTTAGTCTACGGTCACACTTACGTCACGTCTATATTCACACGGATAAAAACTGCAAAAATCAGCAACTTTCCCTACCTGCGAAAAATCCATCGAAAATCCTATTTTATTCGGACTTTTACAATTATGATCATATCCAATCTCAACTTTTTTGACTGACTTTTTTCGAATAATTCATGAGCAATGGAATGCTCTGAAAATTCATCACTTTGAAGGGGTGTGGAGGACGCAAATGTGGCCATTAAGAAAAACACTACAGGAACTAATGCAAATAGGCATCAAGACCTGAGAGAGGCATGTAGAGAGTCTCTCCTCCTTAGGATTAGTCCCAAAGTCCCTGGGCTTTATGCACGATAAGCAGGAACTAACCCATACAAACAAATGTGGTGATGAAAAGACACGAGATAATGTCATGTACATGACTATATTTATGTTTAACTAAGGATAAATGCACCATTATTTGGTAACAAATATGATTTTTAGTTCCAGAAATAAATTTTGTCTATTGATTTAAGGAATTACATTTTAAACATATTAAAATATAATGCAAAAAAAATGTGCCTACCTGTGAAAAGCTTAACCCGAAGCCTGAAATGGGCTAATGAGCCCATTTCAGGCTTCGGGTTAAGCTTTTCACAGGTAGGCACATTTTTTTTCGAACTCATCGTCGCTTGGGACTTGGTCCATGGGGTCTCCTCTTTACAATTCATGCGCTAATTTGGATCTCACAATGCCCCTTGCTGTCGGAGGTCAAATTCTGGAGTGCCATCCCATGATTTTGGATTGCCTTTGGAACAATATTTGAGTCAATTCGCTTAGATTTGACTGTTGGCCGTCCCGATTTAGGATTATTTGGTACAGTAACTATATTGTTCTATTTCCTAATCATTGTTTTAATTGAATTTTTGTTAAATTTGGTAGTAGCAGTAATTTTTATGTGCCCCAGGTCTCGCTCGAGGAGATTTACAATGATTTGTAATCGCAATGGTCAACTCCCGATTTTTTCCCATTTTTTAGCTTTTTCTGCAAGTAGAGTACCTAGGATGAATGTAAATAATTGTTAAACCCATGCCTTAACCCCCCTTCGTCATGAAGCAATTTTTAATAAGAAGCGGGTTTAAACTTTTGCAGCTAATTTTTTTGTGTTTTTTTCTGGTATGATTAATTACGCATACCCGTTAGTTTTTTCATAACCAAATGTAGTACCGTTGGAAAGCCAGTTAAATTCTGTACAACATAAACCTAAACCCGATGGCTGAATAAAATCTACTGATAAGCTTGAGTTATCGGGGCGCGCAGCATACGGGTGGGTTTAAATTTATGCCCTGGTGCTGTACATAGACTATTTTAGAATTCAGGAAGGAATATTTTAGAAATATGTAATTTGCGCAATTTGCGAGATTTCACAAAATTTTTGCTGGAAAGCCATAGAACTTTATTCGCAAATTTTCTCAGAAAATAAGAAAGTCATCCTCTCTATTAAATGCTTTAGTAATTGCAAATACATAATCAATGGAAACAAAATTAAAATAAGCTGACAGATTTGTGAAATTAGTCAAATAATATTTTGGGAATCCCCTCACGACACAAATTTTTTGAGCTTTGCAAGTTTGCTAAATGAGTTGCGATACGAAATAAGGTGTCGTGAGTACGCTCAATCTTGTGTAACAGGTGGTTTGAGACAATTGTGGCGTGTACCACAGTCGTTTGCATATGAACAACACAATCATACAGGATTTCGAACAACTCGAAATGTATTTACATTTATTTGCGGTTTTATTTATTCTTCTAAAAATACAAGGTTTGTTTATATGCCGGGTCCTAGATCCGTGTCAGCTTGATATAAAATAAGCTTAGAAACGAATTTGATAAAACATATCACTTTTTCACAACGAAATGGCGACTTTTGTTACATTTGTTTTGTTGGTCAGTTTAGCAGGGCCAATTTTCGGCCACGAGTATAACGTAAGTTAATTTTTTAAATGGAAGTATTCCTAAATTTTAAGCTGCAATTCAGAAATTTAGCTTCATATTTATCATTTTCAATTATGTACGTTTTAAGGCTCTGTACCAGTAATTCACCAAGGAATTTAAGTACCCTTACTACTCAAATTTCTTGGGACTGAAACGTGATAGCATGTTTTGGAAAAAAAGTCGTTGGTAGTAAATTTATGAACATATTTTTTAATGAAAATATGATGCCACCCAGCACCACCAACTTCGCGAACAAAATAAAACTGCCACTACTGTTTTTAAAATTTCAAAAGACGTTCACAATTTTTGGGGTATTTCTACTTTAATAATTCTTGTTCATATCGGTGGAGAATAGTGTGGCGCAGATGGTATAATAGGTCATAGACCCAGAAAAATGGTGGTGGACAGTTTTTCTTTCAGGAAACTTAGCACTAACCCAATTACGCACTAGTATTTCATAAATACCAAAATTTTGGAAGTGTATTGGGGTCTCTCCTGATTAATACATCTCGGCCATAATATTAGCTACATCTTCTAACTCAAAATTCTTTGCAAAATACTTTAATATCGACAGGAACGTCTTTGGAAAAGTTACATCCGCCTAGTTGTCAAGTAGTATATAAGATTTATGTATTGAAAAAAAATCTAATTTTCTAATTTTGAAACTTTGAATTCATCAAAATGTTCGTATTCATAAGGGAGTAAAAAGCAAGTTTGGGTCTAGTTCTTATTTATTTTTCCTAGTTCATTGACTTTTAACTGGTTAGTTTTTCCAAATTTGCTTCCCACATATTTTCAGGGGGAGGGGGAAGGGGAAGTCGCATATAATTTTAGAATTAATTAGGTAACTAAGGTCAAAAATATATTTGGGTGTTTAAAGTTGGTACAGAGCCTTAAAGTTTTATGCTAATTGCATAACGGTTTAAAGCGTCATGGTTTCTAAATGCTTTATTAATTATCGTTAATTGTAGTACTATCCGAATTCCGGCTGGGGCTGGGATAAATCAGGATGGGGTAGTGGGTGGGGTTCACCCTCCTCCCCCTGCACCACTACCGCCGCCCCCATCACTGCCGACACCCGGACTCTCTCCCAACTTCACTCCGCCGCCCTCTCGGAAGGCGGAAAACTAATCGTCTACGCCGGCGGAGACTCTCCCGGTCAGCTGAACAGCATGAAAACCGCGTTCGAAACCCGTTTCCCTGGAATGTCTGTCGAAATCATCGTCGATTTCAGTAAGAACCACGACGCCAGGATCGACCTTCAACTCCAGACCAATTCCCTCATCCCGGACGTCACCCACTTACAAACGCTGCAAGATTTCGACCGATGGAAGAAGGCGGGAGTTTTGCTTAATTACAAACCAATCGGGTGGGATCAGGTGTACCCAGAGTTTAAGGATGCGGATGGCGCCTACACGGGAATTTTAGTGGTCGCTTTCTCGAACAATGTTAACAAAGATTTGGCCGGAACGGATCCAGCGGGATGGCCGACGGAAGCGAATGATTACTTGAGAGCTAACTTGACTGGGAAAATAGTCTCAACTTACCCCAATGATGATGACGCCGTTCTCTTCTGGTATAAACAGGTCGTCGACAAGTACGGGTGGGCCTGGCTGGAAAAATTTGTCGCTAACAAGCCAAAATTCGTGCGGGGGGCGCAAGTTCCCTCGGACGATGTTTGGGGCGGAAATACTCCCGCAGTTTTCACTACGGATGGCATGCTGAAACCACAGGTAGGAAGAGTCTCATTATGCCCTCAAAGGTTTCCCGCTATTTTTAAATAACGTGACCTCTTCTTAACCAAGGTGACCAATCCCGTCCAATTCGTTCTCCCAAAGAAAGACCCATTCGTCTCATGGGCGCAACGAGCCGCCATTTTCAAAGCTACGAAACGCCCCGCCGCCGCCAAATTATACCTCAGCTGGTGGCTTGACCTGGAAACCCAGAAGAACACGTGGTACATGTGGAGCGTGCGAAAGGACGTTCCACCTCCGGCCGGATACAAGAGCATCTTTTCCTACAAGGGGCAAAGTGATCCGGTAGAATTCCAGAAATGGATGGCTAATCGCGAAGAAGTCGAACGCTTCAAGGCTCAAGTGACCCAAATCGTCGGAGAAGTTCAGGGACCCAGCCCGACAGGTAATTTGGGGCTTCATCCCGCTAAAATGCTGGCTGGATCGTACCCATAAATTTGCAGTATGGATTAAATTGTGCATAAAATTTGATGACTGACATGTAAATATGAATAATTTGAAACATAAATAAAATTCAATTGCAAAATAAACTTGTCTTGATTATTTTTCAATTTAATTTTTTCGATTATCAACATGACTGATGCAACAAAAACAGAACCAATTACAAAATAGATTTTGATACCAAAGTGCTCAAGAGCACAATAAGTACGCATATCAACCGACACAAACACAATGCGCATTATTAAAATCAACACAAATAATAACAGGGAACCTTGGCTATATCATGTGCAGACCGACCAACGAATTTCCACGATAACGAATGATAAGCAGCAGATAAGTCGAAAAACGCGTTTAGTCATTTAAATGCATCATCAGTCTTGCTCATCGCCTCTCATATGTAAATACACACACCCGAGTACGTTTACATTGACCCAGGTTAATTTGCAATGAATATTGCCTATATATTCAAATATATTGTGATCGGAGACTCGGGTAAGGCACAGATTTACTCAACTGTGTGCAAACCTTTTAAAAATAACGTTACCATTTTGAAAAGTTAATGCAATCTAAATTATAAATTAAGCAAACTACATATGCTAAATCCAGAGTAAGTTAATGTAACTCTGGATTTAGTAGTCTGTAGAATTTACATAATGGAGAATTTAGATAGTAAATTTACTTTTCAAAAGGGTAACAGTATTTGTAAGAGTGATCCAAGCTTCTGAAAGGTTTTTGATGTACTAAAATTTAATTCGGTATTTAACAGGCGTGGGAAAAACTGCCCTTGTCAAGCAGTTGACCGAGAAGTTATTTAATACTGGTCATGTTCCCACCATTGGTATTAATATGACATTGGTATTAAAAAATTATGTGCATATGTAAATTTTAATATTAACATATTGGCACAAATAATCTCGCGCAGGTGTGGACATCACCTCGTACGACGTCCTCATTGGTGAGAAACGAATCCATTTACAAATCTGGGACAGCGCTGGGCAAGAAAGGTTTCAATCCATAACGAAAACCTATATGCGCGACGCCGCCAGTGCCATTTTGGTCTATGATGTCACGGAAAGGGAAACGTTTAACAGTTTACAGCGTTGGCTGGAAGATGTTAAAGAACACTCCACGTCGAACGTGGTTGTGATGGTGGTCGGGAATAAATGGTAAAAATCTGGGTGAAATTTATCAAAAAGTTATGATTTTTTACGAAATGATCAAGTAGCTAACATATTAATTTACTAACTACATACATATAATCTGCCTTAATATGCCTGTTTACTGAGTGTACCCAAACCAACCTTCGCATATCTCGAGTATTGCGAAATTTGAGAGATTTCTTAAAACTTTTGCTGGAAAACCATGGGATTTTTTTCCCAAATTTACCCAACAATTCGGCATGTTCTTATGTATGGTAAAATTATTTCTCAAATTGATCATCACCAGCAAGAGAAATTACAGAAATCCATGGAAACAATATCAAAACAGGTGTTTTTAGTAGATTGGCGAGATTTATGTATAAATCTCGCACATGTACATACAAAGTGAGATTTTGTGAATGCCCTCACCACATTTTTTTATTTCACAAGTTTGCTATATGAGTTGCGATGCAAAATGAGATGCTTCGTGCGTACGCTCACTGATAAATTTTCATTTCGAAATTTATATGTAATGATTCAATTCATACTTAATTTTAACAATGCTGTGTTGTAGTGATCTTGAGTCGCAACGGGTCGTGAGAAAGGAAGAGGGCGAAGAATTTGCTCGAGAGCATGGTTTACTCTTTATGGAAACATCTGCCCAGAATTTTCAAAGTGTGGAGGAGGCTTTCACCAGAACAGCGATAGAAATGAATGACAAAATTGAGCAGGGTCTTTTTGACAGGAATAATCACGTAAGAATGAGATCACTTTAGTAATCGTCACCTAACAATGATTTTCATATACAAATCATTGTTGGGTGACGATTCCCCGGACCTTTTTAAGCTTGCCGCTCCTCAAATTTGTCAGATATTTGTGATTTTAGGAAAAACGCCACTTTAAAAAATTCTAATTTTTTTATCCAATGTTCTTCATTGGTGGGAGGTTAATTTGAGACAATAAAATTTTTTTTCGGAAATATATCCAATTTATGAAAAATGGAAGAAAAATCTTGGGTTCCGGGGAATCGTAACTTTTGTCTAATAGGGTACCGGGGAATCGAGGCCCGCTAAATCCTGCGACAAGTGGGTTCCGTTTCCCTGTAACTTGCATAAGTAAAAAGTCCAGGGAATCAGAACTTTTGGGTGACGTTTCCCAGGTACTAAGTTCCAATCCCCCGGCACTTGAACCAGACTGCACGTATTATATGTACATACATACTGATGTTGTATGTACATATGTGCATAGTTACATGATTTTGCATTTTGGTTAAATAAAAAATAGATGGGTTTCAAGTTTTATGATAAACAGACCAACGAATTTTCATGATAACGATAACGAATATCTCTTTTGACATCTTACCATCCAAAGTTTAAACTGATTTTCAAACGGTTGTGAGGACTAGACTTTTAAAAATTATACTTTTATTTCCGCTACACCAAGCTTTCTACAATGAAGGTTGACTTTATTAGGGTCGCAAATTAATAAATATACGATAAATTTTCTGACAGAACACTTAAAAAATATTTTGATCATAAATTACAATAAGTTTCCCTAGAAAATTTATGAATTTTTTTATAAGAGGCAGAATAGCTGGTAACGAGACAGGATTTATTTTTTTCCATCCTGTACATAAATGATGACGAATGATAAACAGATAAATCGAGCATCCCGTTCAGTCATCATTAGTCTTACTCATTGCTCTCCAATATACACATGTGTTCTTTTACATTTAATTTAAACCAGGTTAATTTACAATGAATTTTACAAATACATTTAAATTTGTTTTGATTGGAGATTCGGGTAAGATACAAATTTTCTAAAGTGTATTTTGCCCCCTATTCTGAAAGGTTGTTATCTACATAAATTTAATTTGACATCTAGGCGTGGGAAAAACTGCCCTTGTGAATCAGTTAACCAGAAAAGAATTTTACCCCGGTCACTATACAACTATTGGTATTAATACGTGTAGCAGAATTCAGAGTTGAGTCGGATCAACGTTGGCAGACACCTGATCCTTTTCTTTATTTTCAAAAATATCCGATCTGTTTTTTGGATTAAGAAAATTTCCGATTACATCCGATCGGGTCACGGATTACTAAAATACGATCCGACTCAAGTCTTGTACTTATAAGGACGGATCCTTTTCATTAAGTCTAATTGTATCTATTACTGCGCAGGCGTGGATTTAGCAATGTATGGCGTCCTCCTTGGTGAAAAACGTATCCATTTACAACTCTGGAACAGCGCTGGGCAAGAAAGATTTCACTCCATGACAAAATGCTGTTTACGCGGCGCCGCTGGTGCAATTTTGGTGTATGATGTCACGGCTAGAGAAACATTTGACAGTCTACACCGCTGGGTGGAAGACATTAAAGAAATCGCCATGTCGAACACGGTAGTGATGGTGGTTGGGAATAAATGGTAAAAATCTGGGTGAAAATCATTCAAACATTAACATATCGGAGTGATGATGAACTACAAGAAAATCTAGATCCTAGGAAGTCCTAGGAAAGTCCTAGGAAAAATATTTCCTAGGACTAAGCATAGTCGAAACCCCCATAAATATCAATTGAGAATAATTAGGTGTGCAGAATGATTGGTGAGCAGAATGTGTGCGTGTGCAACTGAGGATGTGCCGATGAGCGCGAGCAGATGAGCGTGTGCAGATAAGCGCGAGCACAGTGTAGGACACCGTTGTATTAGGTTAGGGTGTGGGAGGAGGAATTACATAACTGGTTTTAATACTACTAAAAAGTATGAAGATAAATAGAAAATTCAGAATTGAACTAAAACAACGAAGTAATTCACGCAGGTTTTGGTAACATTGTGAAATCCCTATATTCCGTAAACTTACAAACTTTTACAAACATTTCTGAGGAAAATTACATAGCTTACTAATTTTTGTCAACTTACATACTCAGATCAATTTAACATTATCGATGTTAAATTGTCTTGAATTCGAGAAGTTCTCAGAAATTTCATCAAATTTTTCATGGTAGTAAAGATCAGAGACCTTCTACAATTAGAAACGACGCGTGTTCCCCTTAAAAAGGTTAAGCTTTTGAATTCGAATTGATGAAGTGGCTCAAAAACTAATTTTAATATTAATTATAATTTGTTAATATGCCTATTAATTGAAAAATTATTTAATTTATAAATTTTACTTGGAAAAATCGCAAATCTTGTGTTGTAGTGATCTTGAGTCACAACGGGTCGTGAGTCAGGAAGAGGGAGAGAAATTTGCTCGGGATCGTGGTTTCCTGTTTATGGAAACATCAGCCCAGAATTTTCAAAGTGTGGAGGAAGCTTTCACTATAACAGCGATAAAAATTAATGACAAAATAATGGAACAGGGTGTTTTTGACTGGGACAATCACGTAAGAGGCTACTTTTTGTGTTTACTTCAGGAATGGTGTCAATAAAATTACTGAATTTTTAAATATTTATAGCAAAACGGTATTCGACTCAGCAATTTGCTTACTGGACGTTGGAAAACTCGATGCTGTTAATTTCTCAGTGTATGTAAATCTTACATTAATTACAGTTTTACATAAAAATTCACGTGCGAAGAGGGGATGAATTACTTAAAATATTATTTTTTTTAAAATAATTATTCCGGCATTAGTATTTAAATTACCAATTAAAAGTTGCATGCTTCTACGAAATAAAATATTAAAAGATTGAATTAAATTGACTTTATTTCATATCTCGAAAACCACATGTACATATGTCTGTATCTATGTTTCACCTACTTTGATAAATTTGTAAAATTGTTAATTCTTTTTGATATTTTTGATAATTTATTACAATTTATTTACTTTTTTGTTTAAAAATTTTGAAATAAAATAAATGAATAAATAAAAATAAATATAAATGCTAGCGTTTAATCTGGCATACGCACATACAACAGTACAACAATAGCTTCCGTGTATTGTCAAAATATGATACGTGACACAAATACATACTCGTAAAACAATTGGATCATTCAACTCCACTCGCTACTCATAAAACCCAGAAGCAAACGCATTTGTATTGTAAGTACATCAACCTGACAACTTTCTTCTTCACAAATAATCAATCCATCCATTACATATGTATTAATTCAATAAGTATTTAAGTACGTCCCCTCACAATCAATCCACCTCTCGTCTCATCAACTTACAAATTTGTATTGCCATCAATGCACAAATCTACTACCATCCCACCAAAGCATCTACGTGCCTACTTAAATATGTACATAAACGAGAACACTTGTGTCAAATACACTCTCCCCATAACATAAACTAGATGGTTAGATAGACACACAGGTGTATGCATAACAATCCAGCTTAAACTTTACAATTTCCAACAAGTGGATTGTTAGATACTCGTCTACTCATTTATTTACCTGTAACCATAGCAACCCCCTTACACAACAAAGAAAAACTAGTCTAAACCAAACCCCCACTACGTACATACGTCCACATGTAGCAAACAACGCTATATTCCCTTTCAATTCTCAAGGTGACTTTTTTACAATAACATACGAAACGCTATTATCAGTCAGTCAGCCAGTCACTCAGTCAGTGGGACATGTGTGCAGAAAATTCGCGAATCTAACAAAATTCGCCAAAATTTTGCAAATTTTTTCGCTCAACATGCCGAAACCATCGCGAAAATATGATCATCCGCAAGAATACCATCGCCACGAGGGGGGCGATTCTGGGAAATTGTTCCATTCTACGGGAAAATGGGGTGTGATTTTAATCCTGTTCTCCGCCGTGGCCACTTCGATCGCAATTTTTACGCCGTACTGGTTGCAGAACGATTACGAGCCGACCTTTTCGAAAATGGGGTTGTGGATTAGATGCGCCGGAGCGGAGGATTATTACAGAACGAATTTTTACAAGTTTGATCTCACCGGAGAGTGCAGGTGGATCTTGGTGCCGAAAGAGTATCCATGTAAGTTGAGATGGAAAAGTTCATTTTGAGATCGAAATTTTGTAAGATTTTCAATATAGAAATTTAAAGTTTGGAATATTTTTAAGGTGACGATGCAAAGTATTTAATCAACACTAATGGCTTTTATGTAGATGGCACATGTATGTATTTATGTATGTATATGCACACGTGTACATATGTACATAGTTACATACCAACATACATATGCAAATGTGCATACATTTGTACATAAGTACCTATTTTTATATGCATGCATACGTACATGTGCTTATATACTTTGCACATAAATACATAAATATTGTACCTACATATTCGTAAATATGTATATATTAACAATTTCGTTACTTTCATGATAGAAATTAAATTTATACTGATCGAAAATTTACGAATGTTAAAGATAATTATCGATTTTCGATAATGGCTTCTTTGTTAGTATTTTTACTTATTTGAGTACTATGAAATGTATGTACATATATACATAAATATGTACCTAATCTTGAGAATTCTATGATACACATGATACCAGAGACTGGTCAATCCCGGATTAAGGATTGGGGATTGAGATTGGGATTGGGGATTAATTAATCCTTAATCTCAATCCTTAATCCCGAGTTTTTGGAGTTTAATCCTCAATCCCTAATCCCCATTCCAACTCGGGCAACTTTAATCCAAAAGTTGGATTAAAATGGGATTAAACTGGGATTAAATTTGCATTGACTAAAAACTCGATAAGCAAACTTCTCGTGAGATCGCTTTCCTTTCGAAAATTGATTGCGTTTAGTTCATTTTTATCAAACATTTAAAAATAGTTCACAATATTTTGCAAAACTACTCGTATCGCGGTATCCTCAATGCACAATGTTCAAATTTTGTATGAGCTTATAAAGAAATGTGAGTACTCTGAACAAACTATGATCGAAGCTGTTCGTTAAAATAGTACCAAGAATAAAATTAGAATTCCTCCCCTATGTAATTTTTAGCACAACAAATATTTAATTGCGACTTAGAAATTGTATTCACAAGCGATCTAATTTTGCATGCAAAATGTTCAAAAGATTTCACTTTCGGAAGTTCAGAGATTTGTTTAATTAATTTAAAAGTCCCGCATAATATTGTACTTTAATACAAACAATTAATCCACGACTATGTAAATTAATTTCCATACCATGTAAACCCTAAATTTAATCTCGTGTTAATCCCAATCCCAGATTAAATTTAATCCCGTGTCAATCCTAATCCCAGATTAAATTCAATCCCTAATCCCAATCCTTAATCCCAAAATTTGAAAAATTAATCTTTAATCCCCAATCTTAATCCCAAGATTTTAAATTGAATCCTTAATCTCAATCCTTAATCCCAATATCTTTAATCTGCCAGTCTCTGCATGATACATAGATAAATAACGAATTACATTAGATATTTATTAAATTTATTAATCTGAGAATTATTAAAATTATTTTTAGTGATATTCCTCGGGATTCAAATTTTCTACTCTATCTGTTGGATCCTCCTCATGTTGACCACGGTTCGAATGATGTCGCCAATTTTCAAGGCGAAATGCTGTCCTGGACAAAATGGAAGTGGACTAATTCCACTTAAAACGATTGGAATCATGCTGCTTGTTTCGGGTACGTTGATATACAAATCACTTGTAAAAAATTGTGAACTGTGATTTAAAAAATTATAAACACATGTTTATAGCGAAATTTCAACATGTAAAATACTGCTAGCTATCTCAAAGTGGTGATTTTTTTTGTGAATTTTGCTCTCTTAGAAATTCAGTATTAAAATTATACCAATCTGTATTGATTAGTTATAACTTTACAAGAGATATTGATAGTTAATACTGTGTAGTAATATGTAGCTCTGTAGTAACGTTTTACCATATCGGTAGCATATGCTTACGGACTGGAATAATTTTAATACCATTCAGTAGCAGCTTTAATACCGAGAAATCAATCCCTGCTTGGTTAAACCAGATTTCTACCAATGACTGAATTTGTTTCGAATAGTTTCACAAATTGGTTCCTTTAAGCATTTATTAATAAAATTAGGACACTACTCACCTCAAAGTTTGCATATCTTCTCAATCTTATGCAAATAAAAAAACTAAATAGTCTCATTCTATTTTTTTTAATTTGTAAAAAAGCTATTTATTTTAGCTCCCAAATTTATGTATGCAATCTAATTTATCCAAATTGATGTACCATTTCAGCCGCCCTCGGCGCCCTGACGCTGCTTCTGTTCGCCGTATTTGTCGAGAACTGGCGAGGACGCGACAATTATCTCTCGTGGTCATTCGGAGTCGCAATTATGGGCGTTTTGAGTGGAATTCCTGGCGCGATCTTGCTCCTGATTGAATCTCGGAAACAAATCGTGCCACACCCACAAGATAGGGCCGAGTCATACATTTATTAAATGGGCGTGATTAGTTACCAAATTTATTGATATATATCAGATCAGTATAACGATGAGAAGTAGAAATTATGCAATACACATGTAACACGATACAAAAAAATATCCAAATCTGTACCTAAAATTCAAATCGACAAAGTTCAAATGTATGTAATGACATTGCTCTACTAAATATTTACCTACAAATATTTTGATTAGTTTGGGAATTTAAGAACTTACAGAGCACATGACGAAATTAATTTAATTATTGTTTTAAGTAGTGTCTCCTTAATTATATACATAATAGTTTGATGCGATGTGTTTTAACGCTGGTTATTTATTGCGTAAAATGTAACTAAACTTATGTATGTATTTGCATACATATATCTATTGTAAAGTCAATGATCTTCATCTACCAGGGTTCACACTACTGCGTGTCAAACTTATTTGTCAAATGATGTAGCTGTTATATAGAGGGCAAACTTATGAACAAAACTAATTGTGTCACAAAATATTTTAAAAATCAAAATGTCCAGTCACATCGACAATATATGTAAATATGTAGATACCTATATACATATATGTACATATGTGCATGTATACAATAATATTTAAGAATTGCACAATTCAAGTGATGGATACAATTAGTTTAAAAAAAATAAACATATATTTTAAATAGATATGAATTATAGAGGACAAATTAAGTGCGACATGGAGCTGCACACATACTAAAATATTTTGCGTTACTTACCCGAATTACTTATTATTCAATTAGTAATTATGTCCTTGAAATTTCAACAAAATAAAAGTGTATATTTCTGAAAAACATATATTTTCAGTATACACATACATACATATAGTCCTCGTACTCTGCTCTGTCACCTCATTTGCATATTTTAACGAATTCGTGAGAGTCATAGAGTTTATTCAACATGGAAAGCTCGTATCGCCGAAAATGGGCTATTGAGATTTATGCAAATGAGGTGCAAAGCCTAAGTACGGGGATAGTAAATTGAAAGTTTCAATTTGAAACTAGCGTTTTAAAAATTTTATGTGAAACCACATAGTTGAAATTTGTTGCGCTAGATATACCTTTAGGTAGTGTAAAATGATTTTACTAAAATCATTAATCACCAAATTAATCCGGATTATTAATCCATAATCCATAATCCTGAAATTTTCAGAATTTATGGATTAATCCGGATTAATCCTGACATGAATTAATCTGACGAAAATAATTTAATCACAATCCACATTATTTTGTGGTTAATCCATAATCCTTAATCCACCCTCAAAAACCAATAATCACCCAGCTCTGATTATGACCATAATGCGACCATACTTTCAACGGTATTTCGACCGTCGATTTTATGTTGATTCCGACGATCAAATCCACGTTGAATCAACGGTCGCATTTTAGGAGAATATGGATGGTTGTTTAGACTAGGTTCTGCCGGCCATATGTGACCAATTTCCGACTGCGTCGTTTCGACGTCACTTTCAACCAATTTTGCGGATGGGGTAATTGGTGCTTCTTGTTGCTGGTAAGTATGGGGATGTCCAAAAATTATGTCACGGTGTCGGAGGGTAAAAGTTTTACGTGACAGGCCCATTTACGCTGCGTGGCAGGGAGGAAGGAAGGGTGGGTCTACATGAAAATTGGCATTTTTGCATGACATCATTAATGGATGTTGCCTTAAGTATGTAAATATTTAAGCATTTTATCTACACAAAAATCTTACTGTACAAGTTTAATAAAATTGTGAAAGTATGTAGCACTTGCAAGTCTCCTCATACTAATGTCTTTGTCGTCAAACGCTATAGAAAAATGTTTAATTATGTATTTTCTAAATAGTTTCATAGATAGATAGATAGATAGATGGTTTATTTCAGAGTGATTTGGCGTCAGCCTTTATAATCACGAAATAATTTCATAAGTGCTGATGCAAAATAAATTTCGTAGCCAATAATGATGTCGAATTTGATGGAGTTTTTAATTTTCATGATTAATACAATGTATCACATTAAAAAGAATCTTCAAAATCTCAGTAAAGGTGCGGTCTGCGGTCTTGATAAGCTTTGCAAACTTATTTTCCGTACATCAACCAGCTCAAGTCGTTACCAGAAACATTTACTAATTTACGGCAATTAATGAATTTTAGAGTCTCAAGGATAGTTTCTAAATTGCAAATGAGATAAATATATCTGTATGTATATCGCCTTACGCCATGGTGGTGGTACTGGTGGTGAAGTGATGGGAAAGCAAGGGGGAATCGATACGTATTTCCCCTCCAGGGTGGCACCAAGGCAGCAGAAAACCAGGACCGCTATTACTAATAAAGTTATGAGAACCGTCATTTCAAAAAAGTTAAAGATTGAATTTAATGTAAAGATTCTAAAAAAGATGTCTTTCAATTAAGTTGTAAATTCTTTGTCGAAATGCCAATTAGAATCAAGCATTATATGCCCAATTTAATCTCCGTTATGCAATTTGTACTTATGAAATTCACAGTTTGCACAGGTGATCAAACAGTATCTTTTTGCATTGTTTGCCAAGATTTAATTGTTATGTATCTCAACCATTGTGACAGTGAAATTTAACCAACATCGCATAATAGCTACTTAATTTTCAATATTCCTCAATTGATACATATGTAGGTATTTACAGTAATTTACACCCTCAATTTTGAAACAAATTGCACGTTGGGAATGTTTGGCCAGAGTAAACACAGACGTATGAACGAGTTCTGAAAGCATGAACTTGAAAACCTAACCCTGTCATTGATTTGACACAGTTCTGAGAAGTTATTAGGCCCTGCAATTGTATCGGCATTTTAACCAAACGGAATTTTTCCTTGGGGTTTACTCTAGGGTAAGTTACCCTCAACCCTGGGTAACATAATGTCCCGATGATGTACATACATATGTACATGCATAAGTTAGGGGAGATCCATAAATTATGTCACGCAAAAAAGCCCTTTTTTAAGACCCCCCCTCCCCTGTTGTCACGCCTTTGTCACGCTCGTCGTGACCCCTCCCCCCCTCTTGTCACGTCACGCCTGAAAATCCGAATTTTGAATTCTGAAGTTGTAAGAAAAACACTAAATTTTTCAGTTTTCTTGTGTTATTGCTACACATTTTTTAATTGTTAACATCTTCGAATCATGCAGTTGTCTCTAATCCCTACACAGTTTTGAAACTATGAAAAATAAGGTTGTTTCGGACGAATTTTTAAATTGTGCAAATTTTTGGAGACTTAGTAATGTTTTTTTAAATTGTTGCATGCATTTTTGCAAAATTATGACGATTTTTTGAACTTATGCAAACTTTATGGCATCATGCATTTTTAATTTTTTTTAAACTTACAAACAATTGGGTATTTTGAAAATTATTTGAAAGTTTAAACAAAATTTAGAAACTCGGCTGAAAATCTCAAAATCTAAAACTTGGTTGAAATTTTGGATTTTTTGGATCAAAGGTTTCATATATTGGGATGGACATATATTTCTAAATACATAATTGCGAAACTAAATAGTTTGGTCCTAGTCGAAGAATTAAAATGAGTTAAAGTTTGCATTAAGTCAGACCTGGGAAACGTGATGTCACGGACCGGCCGGACCCCCCCTCCCCATATGTCACATTTTGTCACGGAAGCTTGGAACCCCTCCCCCCCATCTTCAGCGTGACATAATTTATGGACCACCCCTTAGACAAATTATGCACATTGAAGTTTGTAAATTCGGGTTGATAAATGTCACAAAATTATTGCTTTTTCTTGGGTTTTAGGTAAAAGCCAAAAACCCCAACAGAGTGAAACCCACTCTATGAATACGAAAGTTTTGGAAACTTCATGGACAATTCATTTTAAATTCATTTTACATTTTGTGACATCATTTATGTACGTTCCTGTCATCTCGTCAGACATTTTCTCTTAATAAAACTGCTTTTAAAGAGACAAGCTATTCTGGAGTCTCGAGAATTTGACGAAATTCAAGGATATTTACACCCATGGTTTGGATAAATTTCAATATCAGGGCCATTAAGACAACATAGCGTAGAAATATAACTCGGGAAACAATACTGAAATAGGAATTGCTTTACCACCGCATAAACTTGAGAATTTTAATGTTAGAAGAATTCACAGAACAGGGCTAAAGTTGGGTATATAATGAGCTTAATTTGCCCTAAATAACACATTGACGAAGAATCAAAGCCAGATTGAAATGAATTTCGAGTCGTATAATTTCCAGCAATGATTTTTATCAGAAATTTTTTGCCAGTAGTATTTTGTGCTGTGTGTGACACCTTAGAAGAAAATAGCACTACCACAACAGTTCCTAACATTCTTGGTTTCTTTCCCCGTTCCGGCACCATCATGTAACTCCATGAATCTGTATTACTGGTGTAATATACTATCTGTCCACGGCAAGTTGAACCCAGAGATATGGGAGACTAAACTCAGTTCAACGTTAATAAGCATGGGCCGGGATTTAGTCTTCCATATCTCCGGGTTCAACTTGCCGTGGACGGACTATAGATTCATGTGTAACTCTAACAATAAGTTGATATGCGTAACCAACCATTATTTATTGCATTCACAGGTTAGAAAATTCTTAAATTATTTAATTGTAAATCAGTCAATCCAACAACTTTTAATGCTAGCCGGTTGAACTTGGGATGATAAGTTTGCAAAGTTTCCAGACCACCACAAACCGATGGGTCTTTGAACTAATCCATTTTCAAATGTAACACCCACAAAACCTCAAAAACAGCCCCGTTAACCATTGTTTTTTTTCGGAGATTTGATGCTCGAAAACCAACCTATTTACACAAAAACTCGGGATAACGCACCCTGGCTCCAGTTGCACATTATGTATGTTTTGTTATTTGCTATCAAGTTTCTAAAATGTTTCGTATATATGTAATGTAAATGCACACAGTTATGTTATAACCCACAGAGGTCTATGCCGACCAATTTGGCGTCGGTGCCAATTTTGGACGATTTTTTGGCGGATTGGACGGCGTCTGGGCCCCAGACTCTGGGGCACTTGGCGGCTCCCCTACATATTTTACAGGAATAGGACATCAGATTTATCGGCGTAATATCCCAAGCTACCACACTCGTCATGAGGATCTCCCAAACTCATCGCCATCGTCTAAGGGCGACATGTCGCAGTGACGACCTCCATAGGATATAATAACGATGTATTGATTACGATGTCAGCAAATAGAGCTCCTGTAGACGTCGTGAACCGATATCTGTTAGATATTGTCGATAGACATTCTACGTTTATCATCTCAGGTTGTCCATTAAAGAAAAAAGTGCGCATTTTTCAAATTACTTATTTTGTTTAGTTACACCATGAAATCTTGCACGAGCTTATCGAAACGCCAATTACGCCGTCGTGTCGAAAAAACAGTTGTAGAAACAATTAACAATTTAGAAGCCAGTATTTCTGATCAGTCGACTGCAACTTTTTACCAAGACTTAAGTGCCCCTGACTTAATTGCAGACTCTTTCAACCACGATCAAGTAGAATTAGATTCAGAAATTTATGATGTTATCGACGACGAAATCATATCTGAGCCGTCGTCGTCCGATTTCAGCAGTGATTCTGAAGTTCAAGATAACCAAATTAATGAAGAACTACGGAAGTGGGCAATAGAGAATAATGTGACTAATTCTGCTACCAGTTCGTTGTTGAAAATATTAAAAAAACATTCATGTTTCTCAGAATTACCAGCCAATGCTAGATCATTATTGTCCACACGCCGTCATTTTACTAAACGAGATGTGCTGCCTGGTGCATACGCACATTTTGGACTTGAGAATGGGGTTAAAAGTTATGTGAATCAATTAAAAGTTGTGCCAGAAGTGATTAGTTTACTAATTGGAATAGACGGAATACCAATTAGCAAGAGTAGCAAAAGTGAATATTGGCCAATTTTGGCATCAATATTCCAGGATAGAAACTATAAACCATTTTGTGTTGGTATATACCAAGGATCTAGTAAGCCTAATGATCAGAACGAATACTTACAAGATTTTGTCGCCGAGTGTAAACAACTACTTCAAACTGGGATATTAGTGAAAAATAAGTTAATATCTATACAAATTAAAGGATTCATCTGTGATGCTCCTGCTAGGGCGTTTATTACGTGTACAAAATACCATTCAGGATTTTCAGCGTGTTCAAAATGTACACAGGTTGGAGAGAGGTACGAAAATCGTACCGTTTTCTCGGATAAAATTGCGTCTAGAAGAACTGATGCCAATTTTGGAAGTTCAACATCGCTTGAAGATGATCATCATCGTGGATTTACTATTCTTTCTGAACTTGGGATTGGACTTGTATCAAAACTTCCTCTCGAATCAATGCATTTGATATATTTGGGCGTAGTGAAGAAAATTTTAAATTTGTGGGTTGGTGGTAAACCAAAATATCTAAAGTTCAGTGCATTTCAAATTTCCACAATTTCTGACAATTTAACTGCGTTAAGATTTCATATGTGCTGTGAATTTAACCGACAACCTAGGTCGCTTGTCGAACTACCGAGATGGAAAGCAACGGAATTACGACAGTTTCTATTATATACCGGCTTTATGTGTTGCATAATATTTTGCCACCAAATTATCTGACACATTTTTTGTCTCTCCACTGTGCTGCTACAATTTACTCTAATGACGAATTAATTGCAAGTTATGGTGATTATGCTGATCAACTTCTAAATTTTTTTGTTGTGGAATTTAGTGCACTTTATGGGAAAGAAAACTTGTCTTACAATGTCCACGGTTTACTACATGTATACGAAGACGTGAAGATGTTCGGCAACATCAATAATTATAGTGCCTTTAGTTTTGAAAATCATCTTGGGATTTTAAAACGATTAACAAAAAGTGGATTTTCTCCTCTCTCTCAAATTTGTGGGAGAATTTCAGAAAGGGAATCCAGTTCGCCATCACACATTCAGCGACAAGAGTTGAAACATATTCATAGCACCGGTCCACTAATTCATGGGTATGGTTCCCCACAGTACAAAACATTTGTGAATGGAAATTTTATATTAAAAATTAACAAACGTGATCAGTTTGTACAAATGAGAACTGGTGAACTGGTGAAGGTGAGAAATTTTGCCACTGATCTGGAGAGCGGGGAGGTTTGGATCATTGGTCACGCTTGCCTGAAAACTGCTCCACTTTACACTTCACCGTGCAACTCTGAATTACTGGGAATTTTTACGTTTCCCAAATTTGGACCGTTGAAAAAGTTTCCGCTCTCTGATATTTCACGTAAATATTTGGTTCTACCGAAAACTGTTGGGATATTCGCTGCCCTCCCCTCGTCCACTGTTAGTCAAAATGGTCTTCTCGGTGGTCCATTTTCCTGAAACGGATGAGGTGGAAGTGACCCCGGACATTTGGCTGGATCGAGAAGAAGAGGGACGACTAAAATGTTGGTGGCCTCCTTACAAAAATTCAGACAAGGTGAAGACAGCAGTTAAAAATCAGTCGCCAGTGAATTTGGAAACTTGGAATATTTATAATGCTAGGATTCTAAGGTGTTTTGGTTAGTGAATAATTATTTCATTGTAATAAACTCATTTTCATTAATAACTAATTAGTTATTTATATAAATTTCTAGCAACATACGCAGCAGCACGTGAACACTTATCAACAGCAGCATGGACGTCAAACTTGGAATCTGAGGTTGAAGAAAATGACGAAGGAAGTAGGCGCAGTGCGCGCCCTCGAGCGCTGAACATCGAGTATGAAGAAAGTTTGTCTGGGAGCAGCGGAGAGCTATCATCATTCTCAAAACCTGCAGCGAAAGATAAGATGAAGGCGAATTTCCCGCCACCGCCCGTAATATTTACAAATCGGAGCAACGAGTCAAGCTTGGCCTTAACAAATCCTGGATTTGTATTGGCACCGGGCTCAGGTACTCTTAGTCGATTGGATGACCACAATAAATCGAATGAATCGAGATGTTCAGGTAAATTGAGTGTTACTTTAAGGATCTGTGGGTTGATGTTGTTGAAGAAGTAATAAATATTTCCTTGTACATATTATGCAGGTCACGCAGATAAACTTCCAGTATTTGATAATAAGCTACAAAAAAATTCAGGTAATATTTAGAACTCGGATGTTTAAGTAATTCTATATTTGTTATTCAACACATCTTTAATTTTGCAGAAATTACGCCATTTGAAAAGCATGTCGTAAAGGAACTCGCCGAACTTAGGCAACGAATGGATCTTCTGACGACGAATGTAAGAATGGTGTATGATTTATATAGCAAAGGCTCGCCAAGTGGTCGTCCCGAGAAAATCGACTATGGCTTTCCATTTGACACAATGGAAGCTTTTGATGAGCTAGAAACTTCAATTCAAGATAAGAAGATGTTTCAACAATTGGTAATAAATTATCTGTTTGATGATAAAAATAGTATAATCGTACAAGCATTTGATTTCCCCTTTATGAATAGATCATGGAGTTAAAAGAGATCGGTGGCACAAATTACAAGGAAAACATTACTAACATAATGACTCGTATGATGACATACAATCTTGGTAGTAAATTTTGCTGGGAGGGGATAAGAAAAATCAACCCCAAACGTGCATTTAAACACTGCAAGATTAAAGACGCTATTTATGGTAAATAATTTACAATTAAAATCTGCTTCTAAGTGATATGTGAAAGATATTTACAATTTTTTAGCTGCTGTTAAGGATAATCGAAATTGTGCCGGTGTTACTGACTCGGATATCAAAATTAAGCTGGCTTCATGGTTTCAGCACGCACCATAGAAAAATAAATCGGTAATATTTTATATAGTTTTATCATAATCTATCGACAATATAGGAGCGTAAAACTAGTATTTTTTAAGTATTTTTAAATCATTGCAGGAGCATAAAGAATCTTAGGTGGAGAATTAACAACATAAAAAATATGCAGCGTTGGCGTCTTGTATAATTTAATTACTGTTATTAAATGTCATAGTTATTTGTTAATAGTTATAGATTGTTATTAATGTATTCATTGTCATGTTTTGAATTGGAAATAAATATGTGAAAATATAATATTTCCAGTGTGAGACTAAATACTGCGCATATAATCATACATACTAAGTCAGATGTCATGAGGATGACTTCAGGAATATCCCCAAGACATCAAATAGCATGCTTCGAGAGACGACTTTTTGGCGGACATTGGCTCGTCTTACGGACGTCTTTATTACGTATCCGTATTAAAACCGATGTCGCTACGACAAACTAATCGTCTCGTTTAGATGTCTTAGAGGAGTCCAAACGACATAGTGTGGTAGCTTGGGATGTTGCGTTGACCCTCTGTTATAGATATACATTCAGAACTAGTGTCCGGACATAGTGACAGGGTGACAGTTTGTCATTTCATGCATGATGCAGGTACGATGCAATATTAATTTATGAGACAGTAATGCATTCAAAATATATACAAATCAAGTAATTTAATTAACAAATCAAGATAAATATAGAATTTATTACATTTAAAAAAGGAAATTCAAAACCCCATCAGTTCAAATTGGTGACGTCTGGAAACTCTGCAAACTTATCGTCCGAAGTTCAACCAGCTCGAGTTAAAAGTTGCTGGATTGACTGATTTATGTACAAAAATTAATAAATAATTGTAGAAATTTCGTTCACTGTGACTCCAATAATAAATAACATTAACTTACACCATGATGGGGCCGGAACAGGGGAGAAGCCAGGAATCGTTGTGTTACTTTGTGCTAAGGTATCACACACACAGCACAAAATAAAGACCGCTACGAGCAACAAGTTTCTGAAAATATGCATTTCGAGAAAGTCAATAATTCGAAAAATTTCTTTCAATTTGATTCTAATTCTTCGTCGATATGCCAATTAGGAGCTGTTAAGCTGATTATATACCCAATGTCCGTCAATTCAAATTCGCAAGTTTATGTACACAGTTGGAAAAGCAGTTCCTGTTTCAGTGGGTATTTCTCGGGATACATTTCTACGTAATGTTGTCTTAACTGCAGTGACATTGAATTTTACCTGAAACATGCATGCATAGAGAACCTTGAATTTCACAAATTTCTCAAAATTCCTCAATAGCTTGTCTCTTTTCGAAACAGCTTTGTTAAAAGGGAATGTTTGGCGAGAGTAAATATATGTGAGTTCTGGAAATATGTATGACGCATTCTCTAATAAATGAGTTTGCGCCTAATGACCTGTGTATTTTTCGACCTGGTTAAAAGAGTTTTATTAAACGTCCGGCAAAGTGTAGGTGGGAACCATCTTTTGACCATCGATAAAAATGCTTTGCACCGACTTGTGGCCCGCATAATTACGTTTCGAAAAATAACAATCTCCACTAACTGCGAAGTATATAGTACTTTAAAATAGTGCAGACCCACTTATTAGAGAGTGTATGATATACATGCATTTGAAAACTAACCAAAGTACGTATTTAAAGGTGGTACAGAGTTCTGACAATTTGGTCTTTCGCACCTGTCGGTTTGTTTGCGTACTGATTGGTTGCGTAGAATTTTACGAAGTTCGTTCCAAGTTTACTGAGAAACCTGTTCTATTTGTCGAATAGTGCAAATAATTAGGCAATATATGTATCAGTATGGGTATGTACATACGTGCACATGCATAATACCGCCGTATCGTAGCTTGTCTAAATCGATTTGTTTTGTCTGGTAAACGCAGTCCACCATGCATAAGTTTAAAATTTGAAATAAGACGTTATGAAAACAAGAAATAAATAATTTGTCGTCACTCCTTTGCATTTAATTTAGCATTAAATGTATCAAAATATAAAATTCTTCAAACTAAAGTATAAAGAAAATTAGCTACCAGGTCAGCTAATATAAATTTCTATGAAATTGAGAAATAAAAAACTAAAGCTTAAATTCAACATCCCCAATTAATTAATCATCATCTGTGAAGAATTCAATCCCAAATTTCCTCAAGTCCTCCGGAACCGTTGGGTGGTGTCCGACACGAACATGTTTCAAAGTTCCAGCATAAAGACGACAATATTTCCTAACTTCTTCCGCCCATTTCTCCAGCACGGCCTTTTCCTTGTCCATTTTCATGCAACAAACCAAAACCGTGGCAGCAAGGTCGTGATGCATAAAGTTCGGAGGGATGTTGACCAAAACGGCGTAAATTTTCTGCATCATGGCGAAGCACTCCGTGTAACGCTTTTCGTCCATCAGTACGATGGCCGCAACGGTAAGAACTCCACGACTCATCATGCAAGCATTCAGATCTGGCGTGGCGGCACGAAGTCGTTCCAGCTCGGCGATTGTTATCAAGTCGCGGGTGAGAATTTGCAGATCAAATGGGTACAAATTGGTTGCATGGTCGTATGCCAGACTTTTGAGCAGCTTGACTATTCTCACGATCACGTCAGGATTTTCAGATCGGTCCAGTTCGCATAGTCGACATTTGCAGATGAAACCTGTAAATGCAAAGTTGAAATTAATATGAAGGTTTTTTATAATATTTCAAATAAAAATTCACATCAAATTTCACATAAAATTTGCATAGGTATTTTACAAGTGTACATCATTATCATTACTCACCATGACTTTCCATAAAATTTCTAGCTGAAAAAGGGTGAAACGCGTCGAGATAACTTGTAATAATTTCTTCTCCCTTTTTCACCTTTTTGAAAGTAGTGACCATCATGATCAGGCTGGAATCATGGGGGCGATATGCAGCGTTCGCATCAATGCAGCTGTGATTAATTTTCGACGAGGGGATCCAAACACCTCCGGAAATGAAGTCTTCGTCGTCATTTTCATTATAAAGAGTTCCCGTGAAGTTATATTTTGAGATGTTTTTGATTCGACCAATGTCCACCCTTCCCATTTTCTTGGCGTCTTCTTCATTATCCATGGTCAAAGATTTGAGGTCAGGTCCAGCCCAGAGGGAGTAAAATTCATGGCCAAGTTGGGGATCCAGCCAGATCTTGTTGGCTATTGAGCCGATGAGATACTCGGGGGGTGATGTGTTGAACGTAAATTCCTTGGTTTTCCCCGCTTCGACATACAGCCCGGCGAAGGGTGTGCAAATCAGAAGATGTGTTCCAACTTCGAGGTCTTCAGAGGCAAAAATTCCTTCGCCGTCGCAAACTTTACTCTTCCCGAGTTGAATTGGCCCTCGAAATTCGGCGATGCGGTCCGCCATCCCGACCGGTAAGGGTGGCTGCGGCTGCGGCAAACGCGTCTCGCTTGGTCGTGGGTTTAGTAAAGCACGGATGATTTCTTTTCCAGGTGGTTTCATCAGTTCGGGAATGATTGATCTGCGTATTAATACAATTAATGACGAAATCATTGTTAACTTGTAAAATCCATGTTTTCCTAAATAGGTTTATGAAGTTTAAGATTTGAAATAAACAGACGCGCTTGGTCTGAGTAAGTTTTAAAAATGTAAGATAATTTTATTTTCCTTAGAAATGTTTGTCAAATTTTGTAAGGTTACACAATCCACGGATTTTACCAAGGTTTGCAAGGGCTGTCTCTACTGTCTCATTTGTAATGATCAACTATTAGAATTAATTGGTTACTGGATTATGAATTTCTCACCTCAAGCTGACAATATCTTTACATTCTTCTCCCAGAGATGGGAACTGGTTGAGCTTTTCATCCAGAAATTCTCCCCCTTCAGCGTACCGTCCAAGTCCGATGAGAGCCTTGGCGTGACGATAGATCCCCTTGACGTGGTCGCCCTTTATCCCAAGTATTTTACCCGTACATATTAAAACCGAGTTAAAACAGCCAAGTTTGGCGGCGGCCTTGTTGGACAAGGTGTCCAATAAGATCGACACCGCGGCTGGAGTTATTTCCTCCTCAGACAAGTATTCCAGGGCGACGTTGTAGAATCTGGCGGCATCAGTCGGCCGATTTTCGAAGAATGCCTTGTTTCCCACATTCTTCAACTTGGTGGCAATTTCAAGGTCATCTTGGTCTGGGTGGAATTCCCAAAATACTGAGTTCACCAGCGCTCGAGACTCGTTGGGTAGATCAGACTTCCATTGGACCCCTGAACAAAAAGCATTTAAATAATTAAATTAATTATGCAATTAATTGAAAGATTACGATCAGTATTTATTTACCTGGAAAGAGTGCATCCATTCTCTTCTGACTTAGGAACTCTATATCCGCCGGATTCTCAACAATCAGTCCAAAGGCTGTCGACTTGGCCAAAGGCTTTTTAAACACGGGATTCTTCACGATCAACATCGTTCCCAAGGGAATGACCGACTCAAAATCATCAGATCTCCCCATTTTCGACTCCACAGAGTAATTGAACCATGAATATGTATTACACAGGATTGGCCAACTTATATATAAGCCAACTTATATATATATAGTTCACGAGAGACAGACTGTGCATCTGCTTCCATCTAGCACTGTAAAGGAGATTTCAGCAAAGTTAGGGCTTTGTGTTGCACGACTTGGTGCCTGGACCCCTGTTTTTGAGAATCAGTGTTTCGCTTGGCAAAAACCAGATTGACCAGACCGCCGGTCAAAAACGGACAAAAGTGGCTTTTGATAACTTACAAAAATAGGTGGTAAATGGTCAAAAATGGTCAAAAGTGGCCAAAAGTGGCCAAAAATTCAAAAAATGGGGCATTCTGCAACAAAGAATGATAGGTTAATCATTTTACTAAAAATGCTGTTTTCATGTGTTTCAAATGTCACCAAAAATCCAATTTTTGCTCGGATTTTTATAAAATTTTTGTGATCCCAGATACTTCTACACTTTTAGCAAAACGGTATTGAATCAGAATGAATCATCACCAAACGGGGAGCCCACATGACTTAACCAAATTGTGATAATATTTACCCCACATTGTGATAAATCTTCCCCACAATGTGTTAAATCCTCACTATCCAGTGTTACGTTTACACATTGTGGGGAAGATTTCACAATGTGGGGTAAATATTATCACAATTTGGTTAAGTCATGTGGACTCCCCGTTTGGTGATGATTCAATACCGTTGTGCTAAGGGTGTATGATCATATCTAGTAGATATCTCAACTTTTTGAAATTTTTAATTTTTTGAATAATTCATCAGCAGAAAGTTCTAAAATTTCGAAAATTTCAAAAAAGTTGAGATTGCTATTGGATATTATCACACTAGTGATATATAGTATATATATGGAAGTATCTGGGATGACAAAAATACAAATTTTATCAAAATCCGAGCAAAATTGGATTTTTGGTGGATTTTTGAAGTTGGTAACTTTTGTGGTTTTCATCTCTTTGAGTGGGTGTGGCGGTCGCAAATGTGGCCATGGAGTCAAACCACTTCAGGGTTTTAGTACACACATAGGACCCCACCACATATGCAAAGGACATCAACATTTGAGAAGGGCAGGTGGTGAATCTCTCCTCCTTAGTTTCAAATATATCACTTGTAGTTACCCCTACCTGACAAGATCACCTGGAAAGTCACTCAACTGAACTTTGAACTTTTTTTTGATAGTGAAAGAAAGTGATATTCGTGAAATGTATTAATGTTTATTGTTAAAAATGATAGTTCTGTCAAGCATTGAATTTATGTTGCTTTTGGTTACCCTAAACTTGAAATAAACCTTGTACAAATTCACAGTACTTATTTCCAACCCCTCAGCACATTTGAATATTCCTAAATTCTTTTTAAGCACTAAATATTCGGACAAAGGCACCAAATTCTACAGAAAGCTCTAAGTAATCGGACACAAGCACCAAATACTATAGAAGCACTACGTATTCGGAACCAGGCACCAAATCGTGGCATGAGGCATCATCCTGCATAATCTCTCCCCATTCTGTCTCGCTCTCCTACCTACACATTTCCAATCCTTATGTTTTAAATTCATGATATATATGTACATACATATCTACCAAGCTTACACACTCAACCTTTTCTCTTTTGCAACGACATTTCCCATTGCGGCATGAAATCCAAATTGTGAATCTCAGCTTAAATCACTCCACGAGAGAAAAAGAGAACAGACTTATCGTCATAACTAGTCTATTAAATATTTTGCTCCTCACAAAAATACACCGTATTAAAAACACTAAATAATTTTAATCAACTAAAATTTAGTTGATTAGTTATTTAGTTACTAAATACACAAAGGTAAGACTGTATTTATTTAATATCGTATATTAATGTCCAATTATATTTGCTTAAGAATTTAAATACATATGTGGTTAGAAATTTAGTTAAATTTTGTGGACTTAATTTTATATAGTTTAATTTCACCAACTTTTGAAAGTCACTATGGAGGCATGCATGGAATCCAGAGCTATAAATTTACCAGAGGTAAGTACATCTCATTTGATACATTTTTTAAAAATATACACGAGTTTAATAAACATTTACTATGCACATTTCTAAATCAAATAGATTCCCATATTTATATACCAAACATTTGTAATTAATTTCAATGTATTTTATATTATATGAATTTTTAAATTATAAATATTGCTCGTACCAATTAATGACATTTTTTATACACTCAATATTTAAAATATTACGCACAATTTTACATGTTTTTAACGGTGTAAGCAAAATTCCACCTGTTATAAGAACTCTTATAAGTTATAACAAGTGACCTAGTAATTACACAAATTTGTAAAGCTTTACTATTAATTACACCACATTTGTACTACTTTAAACATACTACGCACACTGAAAAACCTACCATAATTATAAATAAATATTAATTATATACCTCTTATCTCACAGATCGTATCCATCATCATGAGCTACCTCCCCACATCCGACCTTAAAAATTGCACCCTCGTCAATACCGCCTGGGAGCGAGAGGCCCGCACCCACCTCATGTCAAGAACGAAGGTCACCCTGACGAGAAAAAATTTCCGCCCATATTTCAAAAATCGTCTTCGCCTTTGTCACAAAAACGTGGACATTTCCCTCCTCGACATCCAAACCCCGTCCGGGATGACGTCCTTCCTCAAAAATTTAACCCCCCATTTAAAACGCCACTCCGCAAAAATCTCTCGCCTCCACATCGACGTCCTCCTCATCGGATACGAGTCCCCCATATCATCCCAAATTTTGGAAATATTCAAAATTCTCAAAAATTTAAAATCCCTCGACTTACGCGTCACATTTTGGGGCTCGTCCCACAAACGAGATTTCACCCACGTGTCACAACTAATCGAACAAAATGTGGGTACTTTATCCTCCGTGACGAAGCTACGGTTCCGAATCCCAGCCCCCTTTTCCCCCCTGGGTCCGCCAGCCGATCAGCACCTATACAACATTCTAGCCACGTGTTTACCCCCACTAATTAAACTCTGTCCGAACGTGCAAGTTCTCAAATTGGTCAACACTCCGGTCTTCGAGATGTCACCATTTCCCCCTAAATTGACCATGCTCTCGGTCCGTCGTACCGACGGAAATTCCATCAATCTTTCCACCCCACAATTTCCCCCGCTAAAAAATATGTCCAAACTGATCCGACTTGAGGTCAATCTCAACCTACACTCTGAAATGGCTTGCCCCACCCTCCTCACCCTCCTTGCCCCCCAGCTGGAACACTTTGCCATCCGCTGGGTCACCAATTCCTCCCCAGGACCCCGAAGCACGGTCACATTTATCTTCCCAATATTCCCGAAACTCAAAGTTTTTGAAATCCGGCGAAGTCAAGCCTTCTTCCAGGAAGGGAAATGGCTCCGACCCAACCTGTATTTTAAGTTTGCCACAGAAGACAAAAATACCGGGGTCAATGTCGCCTACGCCAAGCAATTTCCCGTCCTGGAGAAGATAATCATTCGAAAAGAGAACGATCTCAGAAAGGGGGCGAAAGGGTACAGTGATAATTTCTACTTTGAAAACTCGGTCCCCTTTTTACTCGAGACTTTTCTGTGGAGTACGAAATCACCGTGTCAAACTTTGAAGTATTTGGACATCCCATTTCCGCCGAGGAATAGGTTTCGGTATAACAGGATGACGCGTGCCGGAGATTGTGGGGAGGCGGAGGAGGTCTGCCATTGTTGGGGGTTGATGGAGGCGTCCATATTTTATGACTTGGTGGTTAAAGTTTTTCCGAAAGTGGAGAATAAATCGTGGCGGAGGGACGAGTTAAGAAAGCTGTGAAGTGATACGAAGTCTGAAAATATTTATTATTATGTGTAGATCAATAAGTATTTTATGTATTTTATGCAAAAATTATAATGATGTGATCCCGTTAATGTAAATATATAGTGTTTTTTTTAGGAAACTCAAAAGAATATTATTAATAAATCGTCATCATTCAGAATGACACTTTATCGCAAGGTACATATGTAGAAATTCATCAAGCTATATATAATAAGCGAGTAATAAGCATCAAGAAATACCTACATAAGCATACAGTGTCGGACAGATGTCTACGTCCACATAGTCGCGTCAATTTCATTTTCAAATTGTCACTGAACTACTGAACCAATTTTCATCATTGATATATCAAATTCTCACAAATTTAACGTAATTTCATAGCACATTATTAGTTTTCCGCTAAAAAATTTATTTTAGGCCAGAGATGTATTTTAATTCAAAATGAAAACAATTGGATGGACAAAAATCAACGTCCAGTCAGAGAAAACATACAAAAAAAACTGTAATTTATAAGGAATGTTATAACAATTAATTTTTAATATTTGGTTGGGCCTCCGTTCGCTTTAAGGACGGCTTCAAGGCGTCGAGTCATTGAGTTTACCAAATTCTTGGTCACATCTTCAGAAATGGTTTCCCAAACTTCACGAATTCTGGATTTAAGGCCCGGAATTCCTGAAAAAGATTGTTTTCTTATTTCTCTTTCAATGTGGTCGCACAGATGCTCAATGGGATTCAAGTCTGGAGATTGGGGAGGCCATTCTAGCTTCGGAATTTTTTTTTCTTGAAGTATTCCATGGTGGACTTGGCAGAGTGTTTCGGATCGTTGTCTTGTTGGAAGGCAAATCGTCGTCCAAGTCCAAGTTTTCGAACAGATTCCTGGATATTACGGTCAAGTATTCCCTGGTACTTGTATTGGTCCATAATTCCGTCAATAAATTCCATTTTTCCTGCCCCACTTGAAGCCATGCATCCCCACACCATTACCGACCCGCCGCCGTGCTTAACTGTGGGGTTGAGATTTTTTGGATTCAAAGCTTCTTTTGGATATCTCCACACTCTACGACGCCCATCTGACCCAAAGACATTGAACTTTGACTCGTCAGTCCATAAAATATGTCCCAGAATGTTTGTGGCTTGGAAATGTGGTCTCTGGCAAACTTCACTCGTTTGGTTGCATTCCTCGGTACAATAAGAGGCTTCCGGACTGCTCTGTGGGATTTCAAATTTCCCTTATTCAGTGTTCTTTGGATGGTCATAGGACTAACCTGTTTGCCGAACATCTCCTTGATCTCGGTAGATAGCTTTGGAGCACTAAGTGAGGGTGTAACGTTGACTTTGTTGAGCACGTGGCGTACTTCTCGGTGAGCCAAAATGGGTTTTCGACCACTTCTGACCTTGTTTTGGACTGAACCATTAGCTTTAAAGTTCTTAATGATTGTCTGGATGGTTGTCCTTGCTAATTTATACTTGGTCCATATTTGTCTCTGCGACAGCCCCCTTTTTGTCCACCCTTCCAGTCCTGAATGACAAGATCTCGAATAGCGATAGGAATTTCCTTGCGTGTCGACGCCATCATATTTTTCTGGAAGAAAATTATTTAAAAATTAATGCGGCATATGTTATTGATAGATTTATTAAGTTACCTGATTTTATAAATTGGAGAGATTTTTGTTGTTGACAATTAAAGTGAAGTGGACGTAGACTTTTGTCCGCTCAAATTTCATCCTCTCTCGCTCTGCACTATGATTCTCAGTTTTCCCAGAATTTTCAGAAATAACTCATATGTTTTATGAAATTACGTTAAATTTGTGAGAATTTGATATATCAATGATGAAAATTGGTTCAGTAGTTCAGTGACAATTTGAAAATGAAATTGACGCGACTATGTGGACGTAGACATCTGTCCGACACTGTAACTGATTTTCGTGTAAGCAGTCTAATGTTTATGCATATCTATATCATTTCGCATCTTGTTTTTAGCATGCACCTTATTTACCACCCAGGGAAACCTCAATATCCCATTCATATATACCTCTATATGAAATCTCAGCTGGAGTAGCTACAATCTCCATGATCCCGTAAACATTTATATTTCTAATACATAAGGGTGTCCCAACTTTGTAAAAAAAATCGCTTTTTCCGCTCACGATTTTTTCGCTCTTTTTGTAAACCGCACTGCGCATGCGATTCTGATCTTTTTTCCGCTTTTTCTGCTCAAAAATAAAACCTACTTTAAGATGATTTTTTCGCTCTTTTTACTACTTTGAGTGAAAAATCAGTCTCTCAGAGACATGTTTAAGGGGACATCACCCGATTTTGATGCCCTATGGAATATATTGCAATAAAAAGTGAGTGTATGAAAAGTGAAAGAGGATTTTACTCCATGGCCCCACCTGCGCCCCCCACACCCCCTGAAAAGCATTGTAACCACTAAAACTACCGCATTCAAACCTTTGCCAAAAATCCTATTTTCATCCCATTTTGGTAATTTTTGGATTTACATGATCTTAGATAGTTGTTTTATCATATCCAACATGAAGCAAATTTAAATTTTAAAAGAAACTCACAAGTTTCCTGACCACCCATTCTCTGCTCCTGCGTATTCAAGTGATAAAAAATCGGGACAGTCAAGTATTGAGCGAAAAAAGCGGATTTCAGATTTTTTGGCTTTTCGCTTTTTTCGATCTTTTTTACAAACTTGGGAGACCCTATACATACATCAGATTCATGTCTTCCAATTTGTACAATTTCCTACAATCTCACCAAACTGTGTTGTCCTGTGTAATCGTGGGGGTCAGTATTCTTGTCTTTTTTGCCTTCACATGTTGGCTGATGGATTCCCGTGTCAAGAAAAAGAAACCACTAAACTACACCGATTTTTGCTTCGGGATGGAATCTCTTTCCGGGTGGGAAGCGGAAATGGAGTGGCTCCATAAAAACGTACTTCTTCCCCTGAGACCCTGTCTGGATCGGAGTGGAAGTGGGATTTTTCGGAGAAACAGAAGAAATAATTCGGACTGGGTGGCTCCACCGAAAGGGATAATTTTTCATGGAAACGTTCCCAAGGTCATGGCGCGAATGGGGGAAACGCCAGTGGGGGAAATTGAGAGACTTTGGAGCGTGGAGGACGGAGAGACGGAGCGGGAATGGAAAATTGGGACTAGGCAAAAAGGCGTGGTCCGGTATGTGGGGGGAGAATTTTTGGGGGATTATTTGAAACTCGGGGGAAGAAGGGGGATGAACGAGCTTTTCAAGAGGGAAGGAGATATGATGACGGTTTTGTGGATTGATGAGGAATTTCAGTACGGTGCGTAAATTGGGTTGGAAATTTTACTATGATTTCTTGGAAATTTAAATGCTAGTCAATTTTTGTTTTTATTTGAAAGCATGATTTTTTTACAGACTTGCTAAAGGATGTACAAATTAGACAGAGTTTCGTTTCCGAAATGAGAAAGGCGGAAGCTGGAGAAATTTTTGTAATTGTGAGTTTTCCACTTGAAGAAGATTTGGGGAAAGAGATTGCAGACTGCTTTGAATTGAGGTTGGGATTTTATGGAGATGAAGATTTACAAAGTGACGTAGACGACTTGGATAGAAGGAGACACAGCGATTAATTTTATTTTTGTGATTTGATTCCAATTTTATTTGTGTAAAACATGTATAGGTAATTGTATTTACATATCTACATATGTATGTATGTACATGTAAATATTGGCTATACGCTGTTTGTACACTATCCACTGAGAGGTTACAATTTTACGATTATTTGCATGAGTTTGTTTATGACAAGAATGGAGTCGCTTTACGTATGATACTTGTCACGAGTGATTTCCTTTTCCATCTTTTATCATTTCCTGTAAACGTACGGTTTTAGCTCATGTGGTCCAAAAAATTGAATACATCTTATGCAGTTTTGAGAAATACATATGCATAATACATATCAGTAACTATGTATATACATATACATATTAAGAATATATTATTATGCATAATACCGCCTGCATATACTTTCTACAGTTAACAGTTTTCGATAATTATAAACAAACATATTGCATGTGCTAAATCAAATAATATTTAAATCGTCTCAAACAGAATTCTCCTCTTCTTCACTTTTTACACGGTTGACATCATCTTTCACACTGTTTCCTTGACCAGTCAACTACTCCAAGTATGCATTCACCACGTAAAGGAGGGCGCATGAAATTTCAACCCCACCAACAATTTTGAATATCGTGTCTCGCCTAAGAGAAGCGTGATCTGACACCGTCACGATAATCTCGAGCAGTAGGAAGATACAGTGCGCTACCAGCCACATCCTGCATTTTGTTTCGCTTTCCTGCAATAATTCGCAATAAAATAATAATCAGGCGCATTTTTAATCGTTATACGTTTAAGATCGTACATAAATCATGTGATCAATTACAGACATAAACATAGGTGCAACTTTTACTCTACATATCTGGGTTACCAATGAGATGCATATGTTATGCGTAGTCTTAGTAATTGAGTATTAAAATAATACCAAACGGTATTACTTAGATATTATCATCTTATATTTAATTTAAATATCATGCAAGCGGCATGCTTTATGCACGGTCCCTTATTCACGCCTACCTGAAGTACGCCAAAGAGTAAGATAACTCCCAGGATAAGACCAAACAGACAAGTTTTCCGAGAAATTAGCAGCACGTTTCCTGCAAATCAATGCATTTCAATTAAATAATAAATGTTTGAAATTTTTGTAATTTATTTTGACTGGTTTTGTTTATGAAATCATAATTATATTGTTATTTAAAATTTTGCATATTTCACCATCCACTACAAATTCTCCTAGACCGGATACCCATGTAATTATGACGACAAAGTTGACAACCTGCAAAATGTTTCAAAAACTTAAGAAATTTATTCACAATTTAAATCGTGTTATTGATTTGGTTGACTTACTATTTGAACGATGGCCAACAGGAACGTTGAGTAACGATAGGCAGACATTTTAGTTAGGTAGCAATTGTCCTGGAAATTTAATCAAAGTTTTCACAAATTCACTAACTTTTTTGGGATAAATGAATTCTTCATTTGGAAAAATTAAACGTTCGTATCTACATACATGCAACTTCGTGACGAATAAGGAAATTACATTTGGTTTTACGAGAATGTGTTGCTCTGAAATGGAGAAAGAGTCAGACATGCACAATAACCTTATATGTTTCCGAAATTTAGCACGGATCAAGTCCCGACATTGTGTCGGGATCGGGAAGTAATCAATCTTATCAGGAATCTCAACTTGAAATAAAAAGTGATGTCTTGGAGTGGAAAACATGAGCAAGATTTATTTGTTGTAGGGTTGGTTGGTACTACGCTGAGAGATAATGATATCCAGAAATCTCCCCGATGCCCGACCTTTACAAAGAAAAGATTTATATTATAAATCTGTATAAAACCCGGGTAAGAGTTGGGATATGTATCTTCACTCTCATCGCCTGAAGCTCAACTCATCGCAAACTTTCACCATCATTTCTAATTTAGCAACATTGCGAAATTTATGCATATATACATACATAGGTACATGTGGAGATACTTTGGGTCGTGCATACATAATGTGACTGATTTTTTCTGATTGACAAGGTATTCATTACGAGTTCTCAGGTTCACATCGCAAAATACATACATAATTTTGAAGAACAATTTGTGAACTAAATACTGGGCGTGGAGATGCGCAAGTATACTTGCGCATTTCCAATTCATTGCGTATACGCAATAAACTTTCAAGCCATTTTTTTGCGAACTTACCGTGTAGCGTGTCAAATACTATTGACTGTAGCTCGACCAAAAAAAATCTTTCAGAATGTGGACAAGTTTAACAAAACAATTTCAGCTTTTAAGAATCTGAAAATCTGCTACTTGTCTGGTACTCAGAAAGTGAAGTGTCTACGATTATTTATACCAACCTATGTAACATACATACGACATACGTTACACAGTATATACATACATAAACATTTAGTTGTGTAGGATACATACATAAATAAATATTGTACCAAAACTTAATGCGGTAAAATTAATGGCTAAAATTACCGGACGAATAAAGGTATACAAAAATTAGGAACGATCGGTTTATATAAAAGAGATTTAATAAATAATGCGATGCGTGTGTGACCTCTTAACCTTTTAACCAAATCAAAAAGCGCCGAGGTGAATCGAATTAGCAAATATTTACATACAATACGGTACTAATAACGGCAATTATTAGTCCTAAATAAACTATGTATATGAACGATTTGAAGGATCAAGGGTACATATTTATGTACTTATTTTTCTGTCAAGGTTAGAGCTAATATGGGACAAATATCTAAGTCTCCACAATAGGTCAAAAATCATGTCAATGACACTTAAGTATTTCGCCTGTGAAAAGTTGTTTTTGCTAACGATTTAATTTCAGTAATTTGGTACAAATTTTGTAATTGTGTACAAATCAACCATTCCACATAAGTGTGTTTGTATACCTACGTCATTGCATTTTGTACATGAATGTGACATTAGGCATTCGTCAGGATTACCGATAAGTCATTCAAACATGTATTCAAAATACGGCCTTAAACTGATCCAAGTTGCCCTCCTCCCGTCTTTTTATCTGGGCTCAAACAGCATCATTTTAAACACAAGAACCAAAACTTTCTACACGGCGAAACATTCGACTTTTCGATTATTACCGGCTTCACTTTTAATCGGTTTCATAACACTTTTCTTTTGGTGGAGAACGATTGAAATATTTTTGTACAAGGGTGGAAACACAAACGAATACTTCCATATTTCGTACACATTCGCATTTCTCTTCACGTTGGGAACGGCTTCCTTAATTTTTTCGAATATCTTTAAATCCCATCTTTGCCAACTTATGACGCAAGTGGTGCGATACTGTCTGCATTTTGAGAGTAAGTACCTAAATAAATATGTAAATGCATATAGTTTTTTTCACAATTTTGAAATTTGTTTATCTGTTTTACATACGTGATTCAAATTTAATTTCAACAACAACGAAATATATACACAAAATTCATTTCTTGTCTTTACAATTTATAATTCAAACAACATTAAAGGCATAAATACAAACAAACATACATATGTGTATGTAAATGTTGTTGTTGATGACGTATGTACATATGAGATGACATATGCACATATTTTCATATGTACAACTCTTGTATAAATAAACAAATTTGTCAATTTGTAAGTAGGTCACAACGAAGTACATTTAAAATTAATTGTCCCCAAGTCCCCATTAAAAATGCAACTATTTAATATTAAATACCAATACACTACATCGTCATACAGATTTACATATATAATTCGCGGATTTAATAGTCCAATATGAAAATGAACAGCAGCATTACGTTTCTTGCGGGTGTGTCACATTTCTTACACTGCAATGCAAGAAACGCTAGAAATTCAAGGTTCAAATTTCTTGTTAGAATTCAAGAAAAACCTCTCTGGTGCTTATTTCTTACAAGTAAATGCAGCCGAAACACTGATAAGCAGTAAAATCATAATGTTTTTAGGCGAATGGATGATCAACTATGATCCTTCCAAATCCTTGACTGAGATTGGTCTCGACGTCGTCATCGCAGTGGGCAGCATTTCCTTCGTATCAACACCTTGGGCGACAACTTTGCATTATTTATTGTTTCCACAAACTCCAATATTTCTGACGACCCTGCTTCCACCGAAGTGGAGAAATGACTCCCGGATATATTGGGGGTATTCAGTCCTACCGACGTATTATGCCTTCGCGGCATGGCAAAACCTGTGGGTATTGGCAGCCTTGGGTTCCGTGTATACGTGTAAGTTTTGTATGGGGCTAAGGTTTGAAATTCTTGCCAAATATTTTATGAATATTGGGGGTATTCATTACGAGTTCTCATGCAACATAATTTTGAAAAAATGCGAATAAAACACTAGCGCAAGTTCACAAATGAATTTTCGAACATTTTTTTGTTTGAGAACTTACAATTATTTTTGCCGTCGTTACGAACTCGTAATGAAAACTCCCAATATTTTGCACACCCAGTTTCAATCTTGCCTTTGCGCTGTTGTGAATTCCGTGTTGGAGGAAGGAATCAGAAAACTCGAGGAGTCCTCCGGTCAGCCTGGAAGCTTCCGTTGGAATACAGATGTGTAGAAGTGATGCACACACAATTGATGTCTTTTGGCGGATATGCACTGACCGGATGGCACGCAGCATTCAGTCAGTTCATTTTGTTTGCCAATGTATCCGTCATAACGGATAAAGCTCGGATGGAAAAGCGAGTTAAGGTAGGTACATAATCTAGCGCAACAATTGCATGCAAATAGTGGATTTAATTCTGAGAATTTTGTTTTTTAATGTTAACGGGGTGTTGTCTTTCATAAAATATGAATGGGAATACGTTAAGCATTTATTTGTGTCTTCTTGTTCTTAAAGGTCTTGGTGCTCATGTTGTCGATCATAGCGCAAGTAACTTGTACCTTGTTGCTCGAAGTCTCCGGGAGGTTACTAGAAAATGGCAAGAAAACTGTGAAATCCTGGAAGGAAATGAAATTCCATACGCGAGAAGAGAAAGCATACATGACTAAATTCAGGAAGAGTTGCAGACCATTAAGAACGGGAAAGGAGGGTTTCTTTATCATATCCAGGATAACTGTGCTTAAATTTATGAGATCAATTATAAGGGGGACGTTTAGAGCTGTGCTCACAATTGGAAGGGTTTGATGCATACCTTAATTTCCTACTTGTCCATACATCCAAGCACGAAGAAATAAATGCCTCGATTAAAAAATGTCTCGCCACGATAAGATGCTAATTTTTATGTACATACCATTAGGCACTAATCAAATTATGAAGTTATAAATGAAATCGTGTAATCTCTAATCATCAACCTAATAGACGATCGACTAGCTGGGCCGCAATAGTGTCCATGTAGCTAACTACAACTACAATGTACAGGTCGGGCCCTATGACAGGTCCGTCTGTATTAAGAAAAATTGTTAAAGCTATTTAGCACATGAAATTGAAATTTTGTAGTCATATCGTATGGGGCAAACGAGAAATCATTTCTAACCGGTGGGGGGGGAGATTATTTAGTGATTGGTGGAGGGGCAAATACTTATTTACTCCACCTGAATCTTGCATCAAATTTTAAAGTTTCAATAAAATTTTCCTGTAACAATAATCATTTTCATGAACTGTGTTAGAAAACGCATTTCTTTAAAAAGCGAGTAAGGGGATTTTAGGGGAAAATTGGAACGAGGGAATTTTAAATTCAGTCCTCAAAGCAAAGTTGCGCTGTGCACCTTCCACCATTTCATATTTGCAGCGAAGACCAGCAGGTGACCATATTTCGAAAATATGGGCCCTAAAAGAATGCCACCTCCCCCCGCAGGTCGCGTGAAAGGGAAAATTTATGCCCCCCGAGTTTTCCCCTGCGCCTCCGACGAGGAAGCCATCCTCCATTCAACCACGAGAAAGAACGTCATCACCCAAATGAACCGGATGCAGCGTAGCGTCATGGATCCCACAAACTTGTCATCCATCCTCAAAAACAACGACTTCCTGGTTCTGGCTTATCCAGACAACCATTCCGCCTACGACACTACGATGGAGGTGGAGTTGAAGCTGGAAAATTCTGTCAGTATCGACACATTGGTGGAAAATGTGGGACAGGTGAATTTTCAAAAATTTCTAAAATTCCAAATTAATAATTTAATAACTATCAATGTTAAAGGTCATGGCTGGAAAATTTTTACTTTGTCGAACCATAACCCCGTCGCGCAAGATGATCGGCGTGGACGCCGGTGTGGAAGACGTCGAAGGAAAGAAGATCATGCGGCTTGCCCTATTCAATTACTCGGTGGAATCAAAAATGTGGAGATCCGATTTCGAGTCGGTCCTCCCCCTGGGGACGATGTTGATCGTGAAGAATCCCGTGTTTAAAAAGCCTTATGAGAAAGTACAGTCGTTTGGGCTGATTGTTGAGAATCCGGCTGATGTGGAGTTGCTCAGTCCGAAGAGAATGGAAGCACTCTTTCCAGGTAAATAAATATTATAATCGATCCATTATAATTTATAAATTTGTCTTACGATATTAATAATTGTTCAATTAATTACATAATTATTTACATGTTTATTTTTGTTCAGGGGTCAAATGGAAGTCTCACCTGCAAAACGAGTCTCGAGCTCTGTTCAACTCTCTGGTCTGGGATTTCCGTCCTGACCAAGGTGACCTTGAAATTGCCACCAAGTTGAAGAACGTGGGGAACAAGGCATTCATCGAAAATCGGGGAACTGATGCCATCAGATTTTACGATGTCGCCCTAGAATACTTACCCGAGGAGGAAATAACTCCGGCTGCGTCGACACTCCTGGTGGACATCTT